GAAACTACAGTAAGATTTTTGAAAATTGTACATCTACAGTAACCCAGATCTCAACTACAGTACTCCTACATTTGCAAAATTGGAATTAAAAAATATTGGAAAAACCAAATTTTTATATGAAAATTTTGAAACAGTGATTTTTTTCAAAAAAAAAATTATTTATTTGGAAACTACAGTAATCCAGAGAAGCTACAGTAACCTGGAAAAATTTCAGAAGCATAAAAAATTGGTCTACAGTACCCCAGATCTCAACTACAGTACTCCTGGAATCATCAGAAAAGTAGGATCAAAAAAACCTTTGAAAAACCAAATTTTTATATGAAAATTTTGAAACAGTGAATTTTTTTCACATAAAAAAAATGTTTTTTGGGAAACTACAGTAACCCAGGTAGCTACAGTAAGATTTTGAAATTTTTTTTACATCTACAGTAACCCAGAGCTTGTCTACAGTAACCTGGAAAAAACATATACCAAGAAAAAGCTTCTGGAAAATTTTTTTACCAAAAAATACGAAAAATTTGATCTACAGTAATCCTACAGTACTCCGGAACCTACAGTATCTAGAAAATATTGTGGTTTTGGTTTATCGTACTCCTACAGTACCCAGATCTCATCTACAGTAACCCTGGAAAAATCCTGGAAAAAATTGTGGCAAAAGAAAGAAAAGTAGAAAAAATATGGAAGATCAAAAAATTATTCCACCTACAGTACCCCCCTACAGTAACCTGGTAAACTCATAAAGAATCATCTACAGTAACCCTACAGTACCTCAAAAGCTTCAGAAAAAGGGCCAAAAATGTTGAATTCTGGAAAAATCATCTAAAAATGTGTCCAAAACGTTCCTAACTTTTTATCTAGCTACAGTACTCCTACAGTACCCCCTACAGTACCCCAAAATTCCCCAAATTTTTTCTAGAAAAATCTCAGAAATTTTTTTGCGAAATTTACGACTTGGGTGGTCTCATTTCTTCAATTTCTCTTCTCTCACACATCAAGAAACGATAAAATGTTTTTTTTTTTTTTTTTTTTTTTTTTTTTTTTTTTTTAGTTTTCTCATTGGGTTAATGTAGTACACACACACAAGATTTTATAGTTTTTCGGTTTTTTCTTGAGAAAAAAGTCCAAGGCAGTTTAATTTGGGGAAAAAACGAGACGAGGAGGCATTTTTTGGAGCATTTTTGGAGCAAAAAATGCTCCATAAAAATTGGGGGCACGACGTCTAATGGATGAAAAATGGGAGATTTTGAGGCGAGATTTGGAGCAAAAAATTGTGCAAAATTCGGGTACTGTAGGCTCAAAAACCCTGAAAAAACCTGATCTACAAAATTTTTCGGAATCTTCTTTTGGCGCAATTTTTGTGGAGGGGTACTGTAGCTTGTTTCTTCTGTAGAATTATGATCTACTACTGTAAGTTACTGTAGTTTTTACCCCTGGAAATCCCTGATCTTTTAGAAAGCCTGGAATTTTTGATCTACAAAATTTTTCGGAATCTTCTTTTGGCACAATTTTTGTGGAGAGGTACTGTAGCTTTTTTTGGCGGAAAAATTGATCTACAAATTTTTGGATTTACTGTAGATTACTGTAGTCTTACTGTAGTCCTAAATCCCCTACAGTACCCCTCTCAAAGTAAAAATTGTGCCAAAAGAAGATTCCGAAAAATTTTGTAGATCAAAATTTTCAGGCTTTCAAAAAGAGCAGGGTTTTCCAGATTTTTAGCTACAGTAACCTACAGTAACCTCAAATCTTTGTAGATAAAAAACTCTAGGCTACAGTACCCCTCTCAAAGTAAAAATTGTGCCAAAAGAAGATTCCAAAAAAATTTGTAGATCAAAATTTTCAGGCTTTCAAAAAGAGCAGGACTTTTCAGATTTTTTGGCGGGAAAAGCTACAGTAACCTACAGTAATCTCAAATATTAGTAGATCAAAAACAAGCTACAGTACCCCTCTCAAAGTAAAAATTGTGCCAAAGAAGATTCCGAAAAATTTTGTAGATCAAAATTTTCAGGCTTTCAAAAAGAGCAGGATTTCTTGGATTTTTTGGCAGGAAAAGCTACAGTACTCCCCAAATTTGGGCCCAAAAAAGTGGAGAAAATCTCGCGAAGCCACGCCCACTTTTTGCGTCGTGTGTGGTCTTTTTGTGTGTGTGTGAGAAAAAGAGAGATAGGGGGTTCAGTTGTTTTTTGCCGCCCGGCCAGCCAGCCTTGGTGTCCTTTTTGTTCATTTTCTATTTATTTGTTGTGTGTGTACTTTTTCAACGGTTACTGTAGGTTACTGTAGCTAAAAATCTGAAAATTTTAATCTACAAATATTTGAGATTCTTCTAGGGGTACTGTAGGTTACTGTAGCTGAAAATCTGCTCTTTTTGAAAGCCTGCAAATTTTGATCTACAAAATTTTTCGGAATTTTCTTTTGGCACAATTTTTATTTTGAGGGGTACTGTAGCTTGTTTTTGATCTACGAATATTTGAGATTACTGTAGGTTACTGTAGCTAAAAATCTGCTCTTTTTGAAAGCCTCAAACTTTTGATCTACAAAATTTTTTGGAATTTTCTTTTGGCACAATTTTTATTTTGAGGGGTACTGTAGCTTGTTTTTGATCTACAAATATTTGAGATTACGGTTGGTTACTGTAGCTAAAAATCTAGAAAATCCTACTCTTTTTGAAAGCCTGAAATTTTTGATCTACAAAATTTTTTGGAATCTTCTTTTGGCACAATTTTTAGAAGTACTGTAGCTTGTTTTTTTTGGCCCAAAAAATGTATAGACTACAGTAACCCTTCAAGAACACCTGCAAAAAATTTTTTCAAAAAAAAACTTTTTTTTTTTTTCTCGGGGGACACCTGGGTTTCCTTTTTTTTTGTACTCAAAAAAAATCCAGCTGCATTATTATTTTTTTTTTTGGTTTTTTCTTGAGGCCCCAAGAAAAAGCCACCAAAAAATGATGAATTTCGGATTTCCGCTCCAAAATTGGCCATTTGGAGCAAAAGTGGGCGGAGCCTGAGCCAAAAGGGGCACCGTAGCCTTTTGGAGCTCAAAAATGGGAGCGCCAGCGCATTTTTCACATAAAAATTTGAATTTTTTTGTTTTTTGCGCTGAAAATCTACAGTAACCCTACAATTCTAGGCCCCAAAACCTACAGTACGCCTCTGAGAATCCTGATCCACAAAATTATTTGGAAACCCTGTGGCACAATCTACAGTAACCCTGAAATTTTCCGCTTTTTTTGTAGATCCCAAAACTCTACAGTAACCCTAGATTTATGGGACTAAAACCTACAGTACCCCTCTGAGAAAAATTGATCCACAAGATTCCAAAATTGTGCCACTTTCATTTTTCATCAAGAAAAGATTACTGTAGGGCTCCAAATTTCGCATTAGTAAAAAAAACGAGCATTTTCTATAAATTTTTAGCTCCAAAACCTACAGTACCCCTTTGAAAAATTTTGATCCACAAGATTCCAAAATTGTGCCACTTTTCTCCAAGGATTACTGTAGCTCAAGTGCCAATTCTCACACCATAAATTAGAGCTCTTCTTCCGTCCCAATTTCGCCTAACTCAACTCAAGTCACACACATAAAAAAACTCATCACTCAACAAAGAAAAAAAGAGCTCTTGGGCCCGGCGAAAAAAAATGCGCATACCAAATTTATTATCGTGCGACACACACACAAAGGGAAAAAGTCGTTTTTTTTCGGACTACGGTAATTTCGGCACAACATCTAACAACTAATGTATCAGAAAAATCGCAATTTTTTTTTTGATTTCATAATTATCGTGGGAACCAAAATTTGGAGCCCTACAGTAATCCTTTCTTGATGAAAAATGAAAGTGGCACAATTTTGGAATCTCAAAATTCTGTAGATCAAAATTTTCAGAGGAGTACTGTAGGTTTTAAAGCTAAAAACTGTACAGGAAATTCTTGATTTTAATAAAAATGCAAAATTTGGACCCCTACAGTAATCCTTTCTTGATGAAAAATGAAAGTGGCACAATTTTGGAATCTCAAAATTGTGTAGATCAAAAATTTTCAAAGCAATTTTATTAGCCAAGAAAAAAATCAGAGAGAAAGTGATAATTATCGTGGGAAAATCCGTGGGAAAGTGAAATTTCTCATAGTTTTCCTGGAAATTTTGTAGATCAAATTCTCCTAGGAGTACTGTAGATTGTGCTGAGAGTACTGTAGATTTTGGTGCCAAAAAGTCTTGGGTTACTGTAGATTTTTACCCTATTTTTGTAAGAAGAAGAGCTCGGGAAAAATTGTGCCAAACGTTTTTCCGAAAAATTTTGTGGATCAAAGGATACTGTAGGTTTTTTTGCCGGGATTACTGTAGATCTTCAAAAATACAAGGATTACTGTAGGTGAAAAATGTTTGTAGATCAAAAAAATCTGAATTTTCTATTGCCATGTGGATTCTTCGGGTTACTGTAGCTACAGTACCCCGGCCTATTTTTTTTGAAAACAAAGAGAACCGGGCTACAGTACTCCCCATCTACAGTACCCTTTTTGATCTACAAAAAAATTTTGCGGAATTTTTTTCAATGAATTTTTTGAAAATCTTGAAGAACTACAGTAATCTACAGTACTCCTCAGGGTTACTGTAGTGACTTTCAGAGCTACAGTAAGAATATTTTGGAACTTTTTTTGATCTACAGAAAACGTGGCATTGAAAAACTACAGTAACCTGGAATTTTTTGCCACATGTCTACAGTAACCCTTGCAAATTTGTATTTTTTTTTGATAAAAATAGCAAAAAAAATGTTTCCCATGTCATAATTTTGTGCTAATCGATTTGCTGCCGAAAAATCGTAAAACAAGCTTGGAAATCATTCGATTATTCAAATTTTTCGCAAATTTTTTGGAAAATTGTGGAATTTTTGCGAAAATTTGAGCATTTTTGACCCAAAATAGCTCATTTTTGACAATTTTTGACCATTTTTTCACTAAAAATCTCGAAATTTTTCCAATTTCAGTCAAATTTCAGCCATTTTCAGCACATTCCATGATGAACATCGAGGAAATTTTGCCGGAATTGTTCGGCGAAAAACGTGTATATTATTGTCAACGTTGTTTGAATCATGGGATGAGGGAGAAGCGCAAAAATCACAAGTTGAATTGTGTTTTTCGGTTTTGTCAGTGCTCGGATTGTATTGTGAGTTTTGGCGCGAAAATTTGAAAATTTTGAATTTCGCGCGAAAATTCCGCTCAAAATGAGCCTAAGATGAGCAATTTTGAGGATTTTTGAATTTTTTGAAAATTATTTTTTCAGCGCGAAAAAATTTGAATTTTCAAATTTCCCGCCGAATCTTTTTGAAAATCAATTTTTCAGCGCGAAAAAACTATTTTTGAAATTTTTTTTTAGAAAAATTTGAATTTTCAAATTTCCCGCTAAAAATTTAAAAAAAAATGAGCGCGCGAAATTTAAAAATTTAAATTTTTTTATCTAGAAAATTTAAATTTTCCAAATTTCCCGCCGAATCTTTTTTGAAAATCAATTTTTCAGCGCGAAAAAACTATTTTTGAAATTTTTTTTTAGAAAAATTTGAATTTTCAAATTTCCCGCCTAAATTTTTGAAATCCGATTTTTCAGCGCGAAAAAATAAGATTTGAATCTTTTCTAGAAAAATTTGAATTTTCAAATTTCCCGCCTAAATTTTTGAAAATTCATTTTTAGAGCGAAAAATACTATTTTTCAGAATTTTCTTTAAAAAATTTGAATTTTCAAATTTCCCGCCTAAATTTTTGAAAATTCATTTTTAGAGCGAAAAATACTATTTTTCAGAATTTTCTTTAAAAAATTTGAATTTTCAAATTTCCCGCCTAAATTTTTGAAAATTCATTTTTAGAGCGAAAAATACTATTTTTCAGAATTTTCTTTAAAAAATTTGAATTTTCAAATTTCCCGCCTAAATTTTTGAAAATTCATTTTTAGAGCGAAAAATACTATTTTTCAGAATTTTCTTTAAAAAATTTGAATTTTCAAATTTCCCGCCTAAATTTTTGAAAATTCATTTTTAGAGCGAAAAATACTATTTTTCAGAATTTTCTTTAAAAAATTTGAATTTTCAAATTTCCCGCCTAAATTTTTGAAAATTCATTTTTAGAGCGAAAAATACTATTTTTCAGAATTTTCTTTAAAAAATTTGAATTTTCAAATTTCCCGCCTAAATTTTTGAAAATTCATTTTTAGAGCGAAAAATACTATTTTTCAGAATTTTCTTTAAAAAAATTTGAATTTTCAAATTTCCCGCCTAAATTTTTGAAAATTCATTTTTAGAGCGAAAAATACTATTTTTCAGAATTTTCTTTAAAAAATTTGAATTTTCAAATTTCCCGCCTAAATTTTTGAAAATTCATTTTTAGAGCGAAAAATACTATTTTTCAGAATTTTCTTTAAAAAATTTGAATTTTCAAATTTCCCGCCTAAATTTTTGAAAATTCATTTTTTAGAGCGAAAAATACTATTTTTCAGAAATTTCTTTAAAAAATTTGAATTTTCAAATTTCCCGCCTAAATTTTTGAAAATTCATTTTTAGAGCGAAAAATACTATTTTTCAGAATTTTCTTTAAAAAATTTGAATTTTCAAATTTCCCGCCTAAATTTTTAAAAATCTATTTTTCAGCGCGAAAAAACAATATTTGAAATTATTCACTTTTTTTCTAGAAAAATTTGAATTTTCAAATTTCCCGCCTAAATTTTTGAAAATAAATTTTTCAACGCGAAAAAATGATATTTGAAATTTTTCTAGAACAATTTGAATTTTCAAATTTCCCGCCAAAATTTTGAAAATCGATTTCTCAGCGCGAAAAAATGATATTTGAATTTTCTAGAAAAATTTGAATTTTCAAATTTCCCGCCAAAGAAAAAGCGCGCGAAATTTAAAAATTCAAATTTTCAGATGGTAGAACGTCGTCGTCAATTAAATTCCCGCTTAATGCAAATCGACTCAAATTCCACGTCATCATCAAATTTTGGCGCCAAAAAATTATCGATTTGTTCGTCGGAAGAGGATCATATGGAGTGCACCAGTCAGTCAGAGACAACTAATGAGAGTGGTGGAGAGGAGAGAGACGCAGACAGCATGACAGGGAAACCGAAAGGTTAGTGATATGGAGGAGATATGGGAGAGGGGGTAGAGAAGCTAGAGAAGATGAGAGATAGTAGGGAGAGAGGAGAGAGTGCAGACAGCTAGAGTCGCTAGACATCATAGGAATGGAAGAGAGTGCAGACGGGTAGAGAAGGTTAGAGATAGAGAAGCCGGAGAGAGAGCCCAGAGAAACTAGAGAAGGTTAGAGATACGAGAGCCCAGAGATTCTGAAGAGAGTGCAGACAGTTAGAGACTGCGAAATCTGAATTATTGATTTTTTTTCTGATGAAATTTGTGTTAGAGATAGTTGTAAAGTTAGAGACGCAGAGAATCTTCTAGAAATTTCGAGATAGAGAGAGAGTGCAGACAGCTAGAGTTCATCACTATGTGGTTAGAGACGCAGACACATTTTCTACAGTATATGAGATAGTATTAAGCTATGAGAGAGGGCAGAGAAGCCAGGGAAGTTAGAGACGCAGAGAAGCTATAACCTCCACAAATTTAGAGAGAGAGAGAGAGAGTGCAGACATTTAGAGTGCATCACTATGAAGTTAGAGACGCAGACACATTTCCTACAGTACTAGACCAGTATTGAGCTATGAGAGAGTCCAGACAGCTAGAGAGACCGATTTTTGTGGAAAATTAGCAAATGCGCTCTTATGAAATTTTGGCGGGGGATTTTGAAAATTCAAATTTTCAAATAGCATTTTCTGCGCGCGAAATTTGAAAATTCAAATTTTTCCGGACCTTAAAAATCTCAAAATTTCCAAATAATTGAGAAAATGCGCTCTAATGAAATTTTGGCGCGAAATTTGAAAATTCAAATTTTCCCGGACCCAAAAAATCTCAAAATTTTCAATTTTCCCATCAAATTTAACGAGATTTTTTCCCGGGGACCAATAAAACAATCAAAAAAATGATTACAAAATTTATGATATATATATTTCTTGACATATGCCGCGCCTTTTGTTTTCCGCCGCCGCTCATTTTTTGTTCACATATTTTTAATTGTTTCTTCTTCTTCTTCTCTCAAAAAATGTGTGTGCACGGTGTTTCGAAAAATCGAAAAGGAACAGGCGTTTTGGACACTTTTATTAGCAAAAAAAATGCCTGCCGCGATTTTTTTTTAGTACATTCATTCACATTTTTTATTGGTTTTTGACAACTAAAGATGATTTGAGAGTTTCTGGGGATCTAGAAAAAATTGTGCCACTTTTTCTGGGTTACTGTAGCTCTCTAGGATTACTGTAGATTCACAAAAAAATTGCAAGAATTTTGGTCAAGAAAAACCTTCTGGAAATAGAATTTCAAAAAGTTTTGTGGATCAAAAAAATTGTGCCATTTTTGGGGTACTGTAGCTTTACAGGATACTGTAGCTTCTATTTTCCAAATGATATGCGGGTTACTGTAGCTCTCTAGGATTACTGTAGAATTTGAAAATCCAAATATTTGGTTTAAAAAAACCACCTAGAAAAAGAGTTCCCCAAAAATTTTGTGGATCAAATAAAATTGTGCCACCTTTTCTGGGTTACTGTAGGCTACAGTAACCCAAAATATATTCTAAAAATATTCGGGAAGATTTGCAGAAGTACTGTAGAGCCTAGGATTACTGTAGTGAAAAAATCCAAAAATTCCGAAAAATTTTGGTGGATCACTGTAGGCTACAGTACCCCAAAAAAATCCAAAAATATCTAAGGAGCACTCTAGATTACTATAGATTTTGAAAATTCCAAAAATTCTGAAGATCAAAAAAATTGTTACACATTTTTTTTCTGGAAAATTTTCGAGAGAAGAGTACTGTAGCTACTACAGTACCCTCAAAAACTGTTTCAAAAATCGATTTTTATCTCAAAAATCCCATAAAAACCCATTTTTTTGCCCAAAAAATGCCGTTTGACAGCTGTTTTGCTTCAGCAATTTTTTGAGACATCTTCTCATTTTTTTTCGAAAAAAAAATGGCTTCTGCCAAATTTCGACAGCTGTTTTTGCTTTATGGGTGTTCCTCTTCTTGCATTTTTTTATCGCGAAATGAAATCCAAATTGGACACATTTTATTTGATTTATTTTTTTTTTTGGCTTCGAAATGTGAAATTGAGAAGGAGAAAAAATGACTGGGAAATTGGCGAAATTATTAGCATTTTTTGAGGGACTAACATGAGCAATGCCTAGAAAAAAGTGGAAATTCAGAGGATTTTTTAACATGAGCAATGCTTTAAAAGAGGTTTGAACAGTTACAGTAGGAGTCTAATATGAGCAATGCTACAGTATTCTGGAAAATTGTCAATTTCTTAATATGAGCAGCTAGAAAAAAGTGGAATTTTAGAGGATTTTTTAATATGAGCAATGCTTTAAAAAAGGCTTGAAATGTTACAGTAGGAGTTTAATATGAGCAATGCTAGAAAAAAAGTGGATTTTAAAGGATTTTTTAATATGAGCAATAACTACACTGTAGTTTAAATTTAGGTTAATATGAGCAATGCTGGAATTTTGGAGGATTTTCTTAACATGAGCAATGATTCAAAAAAGGTTTGAGTTAATATGAGCAATGCTAGAATTTTAGAGAATTTTCTTAATATGAGCAATGCTTTAAAAAATGTTTGAGTTTAATATGAGCAATTCTAGATTTTTACAATTAGAGGATTTTCTTAATATGAGCAATGCTAGAAAAATGAAAATTTCAGAGAATCCTATAATATGAGCAATAACTAGACTGTAGTTCAAATTTAAGTCGAAATATAGGCTACCAAAAATGCGCCAGCAAAATCCCTTGACGCAATTTTTGTAGCCCCTCTTGTTTGGACTCTTTCAAATGCTCAGAATCTCAAAAACCCGAAAAAGCTACAAAAAATGCGCCAGCAAAACACTCCTTGACGCATTTCTTGCAGAACGTCGTCCAAATTGTCAACGTTGCGCTCAACACAACGTCGTCAATCGTTTAAAGGGACACAAAAGGACGTGTCCATTCAGAGACTGTTTTTGTGCCAAATGTCAGGTGAGTACTGTAGAGCTCTGCGGGGTACTGTAGGGTCCTTTAAAATTCCAAAAAAATCAATTTCAGGTCGTGGTTGAGCGCCAAAAATTGATGGCCGATCAAATCAAATTGCGACGCCGTCAAAAACGCGAGAAAAACAATTTGACCAGTGAAAAAGAGCAAAATGTTCAGCCGCCAAATTTGTCGCCGAGCCCGAAAAGTAGCAATTGTGAGTGCACCGCAAATGCGTCAGCATTGAGTCTCAAAATTTTTTAATAGTAAATTCGTGATCTACAAGTCTAGAGCTTTCGAATGACACCAAACATGACTATTTTTGGAGATGCACCGCAAATGCGCCAGCAAGGCTGCTTGTTGACGCATTTTTTGTAGGTGCTGGAATTAGGGCTTGTTGGGTGTTGTTTTGAAGCCCAGGGCTTGTAGATGAAAAATATATGAAGAAAAATCAGTAAAAACAAAGGAACTACAAAAAACGCGTCAGCAAAGGTATTTGCTGACGCGAATTTTGTACCTCAAGAAATATAGTCATGTTTGGGCTCTTTTTGAAGCTAAGAAGCTTCTGGTATCTAATTCACTACCTAAAACACGTCAAAACCACATTTTCGGTGCCAAAAAGCAGGGTGCACCGCAAATGCGTCAGCATTGAGTTTCAACAATTTTTCATAGCAAATTCGTGATCTACATGTCTAGGGCTTTCGAATGACACCAAACATGACTATTTTTAGAGATGCACCGCAAATGCGCCAGCTAAGGGGTTTGCTGGCGCATTTTTGGTAGCTTTCGAAAATAGGCCGTGTGGGGTGTCAAACTGAAGCGTAGAAGCTCGAGATTGCGATGAAACTACAGAAAAAGCGTCAACACCTTTTACTGACGCATTTTCGGTGCTGACGCAAATTTTGTAGCTCACAAAAATATATGATATTTGGGCTCATTTTGAAGCTCCTGACCTCCAGAATCCAAATTTTCAGTCAAAATTTTTTCAGCCGACTCTACAGTATGCCTAAAATGCACCCAACAAGCTATTGGCTATCAACAACTGCTCTCTTTGCTCGACCCGGCCGGCTCTCAACAAGCCGATCCGATTTTGACACTTTCAGCCATACTTTCAGCATGCCCCCATAAATCTGACTGAAAATTTATCGATTTTTTTGTAATTTTCCGCTGTCCCTTCAAATTAATCACTTCATTTTGTCGAAAAATTCCGGTTTTCAAAACCCAAATTCAAAAATTCAAAAATTTTTAGCCACATTTTTTCCGAAAAAATTTTTTTTTTCATTTTTTTTCCAAAAAAACCCCGTGATTTGATCACTTTAATAATAATTTCTCATATTTTATTTATTTTCCCCAATATTTTGTAGATCATAAAGTTTTGCTGACGCATTTCTCGTGCTGGCGCATAATTTGTAGCCTTGGAAATTTTCCGGGCTTGTTGGGTGTCTAATTGAAGCCCAGAAAGCCTAGACTACTCAAAACGCGTCAAGACACTCTTTACTGACGCATTTTCGGTGCTGGCGCATATTTTGTAGCGAATTAAAATGCCAAAAAACATGGCGCCATACGGACAGGAGGACCACCCAGAAAGCGGAAATGGCGCGAAAATGAGAGGTGGTGAGAGAGTGTGGGGAAGTGAGAGAGTGCAGAGAGGCAGAGACAAATGGCTTTTGGAGACGTTTTTTCATGAGGATATATGGAAATGAAGCTTTTGGGGACTTTTTGAACAGAGGGAAATATAGACTAGAGTCTAGTTTGATAAAATATAGACTAGAGTGTAGTCTAATAAGCTGACTAGAGTCTAGTTTGATCAATTAAAAGCGAAATTTTCACGAAAAACTTCATTTTTTGCAGTGAAATTCCACATTTTCATAGCAAATCCCGGAAAAATTCGGGAAAATCGATCAAATTTTGGGCGTGTGTAGTTATCACATCTTCCATCATTCCGATCATTTTGTCCAGAGCGGATTTTCGAATCTGAGAGAAAAACACTACAGACTACGGTAGGTTTTGGCGCGAAAAAATTTCGGAGCGGGGTACTGTAGTTTTTGGGAAAATTCTAGGTTACTGTAGTCAGCGCCTTGCGAATACTGTAGATCATAATTTTGCCTAAAAAAATTCCACGTGGATTTTTTTGGGTTACTGTAGGATCAAGGATTACTGTAGCTGCCGAAATTCCAAAATAAGCTTATTCTATATCAAAGTGCTCCAAATTTTGAAGAAAAAAATTCCCAGAGTACTGTAGGATCAAGGATTACTGTAGCTACCAGAAAAACTCCCAGAGTACTGTAGGATCAAGGATTACTGTAGCTGCCAGAAAAATTCCCAGATTACTGTAGGATCAAGGATTACTGTAGCTACCAGAAAAACTCCCAGAGTACTGTAGGATCAAGGATTACTGTAGCTACCAGAAAATATCAAAATGCTCCAAATTTTGAAGCGAAAAATTCCCAGAGTACTGTAGATCAAATTTTCGCGCCCAAAATTCCCAAAATAACCTTATTCTATATCAAAATGCTCCAAATTTTGAAGCGAAAAACTCCCAGATTACTGTAGATCAAATTTTCGCGCCCAAAATCCCCAAAATAACCTTATTCTATATCAAAATGCTCCAAATTTTCGCGCCCAAAATTCCCAGAGATCAAATTTTGCTCACCTCAGCTCTCTGCTCTTCCGGAATCCCACAAGCCAACTCCAAAAACGGAATAATTCCCGGCAGGACCATTGTAGTCATCACCGGAAACAGCAATTGATAATTCTTCTTCAATTGCTCCAGGGTGTACGGTATTTTGGTGGGATTTTCCAAATTTCGCACAAATTCCAAATAATACGTTTCGAGCAAGAAATCGAGTTGCTCACGACGATTTTTTGTGCTCAAAGTTGAGACGAATAATCGGCCGACGTCTTGACCCGGTGAGCCTATGGAGACCGTTTGCCAATCGATAATTGCACGGAATTTCAGACGATGTTCAGAGGTTCGGGTGCAGAGAAGGTTTGAGGACCAGAGATCGCCGTGGGTTAGGACCGGGGGGTGGCCTGGAAAAAAATTGGGCTGAAAAAGGCTGGTCTGATAGAGTCTAGTTAAGGATGGCTAGAGTCTAGTTAAGGCTGACTAGATTCTAGTTTAGTTCATTGAGACTAGAGTCTAGTTTAGGCTGACTAGAGTTTCGTTAAGGTTGACAAGATTTTAGATTAGTTTAAGGTGACTAGAGCCTAGTTAAGGATGGCTAGATTCTAGTTTAGTTAAGAGTGACTAGAGTCTAGTTTAGTTAAGGCTGACTAGATTCTAGTTTAGTTTAAAATGACTAGAGTCTAGTTTAAGGAAACCTGAGCCCTAAAATTTTTTAATTAGGCCTTAAAGCTTTAAGGCCCGTTTTTTCTAATTTTCCAGATTTAGGCTAATTTTTGGTGAAGCCTAAATTTTTAGAAGGCCTGAAATTTCAAGGCTTGAAATTTTCAAACTAATTTTTGAGCCAGATTTTAAGCCTTTTCAAAAATTTCAGAATTTTCCAGAAAAAGAGAATTTCAAGTGCTACAAAATGAAAAAATTTAAAATTTCTGAAATTTTCAAATTTTCAAATTTTCCCAGAAAACCTGGATTTTGTAGAGAATTTCAAGGGCTACAAAATGAAAAAAATCAAAATTTCTGAAATTTTCAAATTTTCCCAGAAAACCTGGATTTTTTAGAGAATTTCAAGGGCTACAAAATGAAAAAATTTGAAATTTCTGAAATTTTCAGATTTCCCAGAATTTTCCCAGAAAACCTGGATTTTTTAGAGAATTTCAAGGAAAATTTCTGAAATTTCCAGAATTTCACAAAACACTCACCAATAATCTCCACAACTTTCTCATACTTCGCAATCGTCTTCTTATTCATATAAATCCGATAAACATCCAACATTTCCTCAACTTTTTCCCGATATTCTTCCGGAAATCCCGCACGAATCGTGGCAAAACTCTGCTCCTGAAGTTTCTCATCACAAAACTCGGCCAGAATCTGTGCCAACAAATCAGCACCACCCGCAAAATCCAGCTGATCTCTTGAGATGTTCTCACCAATTGCTGAAAATGCGGCGACACTTCGAACAATCGGAAGGAGATCTTCGATCTCAATGTTCTCGTAGATCGAAACATGCGATAGATCTTCAATAAATTCCGAAATGATATAAGCTTTCAGTGGATTCTCATCACTGAACTTCTTCATCGCATAGATCTTTGTGAATGGAATCCGGAAATCCTGAACTTCTAATCGCTGTAGAAGTTTATAGGTCTCAACTTCTCGATTGTGCAAAAGTTTGACAATTTTGTCGAAATTCGCCATTTTTTCCTCTTCCATTCCATCTTCGCCACCGAATTTCATCATTTTTGACATGGCTACCAAAGCTAGTTGAGAACTGATTTTCACCACGAATTTTTTGGGGAGAATTTCGGAATCTTGAGTCCAATCGGGTTCGATTAATGCGATTCGAGACATGAAACCCTGAAAATTGGGGAATTTTGAGTTAGCGCAACTTGGAACCCTTGAAATTCCCTACAAAATCCATGTTTTGCTGAAAAATTCTGGGATTTTTGAACATCTGAAATTGGGGTCTGAAAATGAGGAAGTTTTGAAATTTTGAGCTTCCTAATTTCGGCCTGATTTTCAGCCAAATTCCAGATTTTCAGAAAATCTAGTTAGTCTATCTTAAAGCCCTTGAAATTCTCTACAAAATCTATGTTTTGCTGAAATTTTCTGGGATTTTTGAAGATCTGAAATTGGGGTCTGAAAATGAACCAAATTTCAATGAAACTCTGAAAATTGGGGAATTTTGAGTTAGCTCATCTTGGAGCTTTACAAAAATATTTATTTTTTGAATTTTTCTGATTTTTTAAATGTTTGATAAGAAAAATCGCATGCTTTGGTTTTTTCTACAAATTTTGATATAAAATCAGTAAAAACTACAACACTCCGCGTTTACACCCACCTTCATATCACTAATATTAGTCACTGTCTTATTTTCACCAAATCTGGCTTCAGTAGCCAAACTTAGCCTAACTTCATCCTCAATATCTTCCCAAGTCACATGAGTTCCCAAAAGTCCAGAAGATTCCACATGAAGTGACATTTTTGGGCTGGAATTTTTGAAATTTCTGATAAAAAAAATGAAAATTGATAAAAAATAAAATTTTTAACGATTTTCCAGCTGATTAAATACTAATTTCTTATCGTTTTATGATTTTTTCATCAAAAAAATAATTTTGGACCCAAAAAAATCACATTTTTCCCTGGATTTTTTTCGAAATTTCCAACTTTAACAAATTATTTTCAAAAAATCTTCCCGAATTTCAGAAAAACTCTCAAAAATCGGCTGAAAATCCTGATTTTTCTTTGGAAAATTTCATGATTTGTGCTCTTATCGAAAAACGATTAAATCTGATTAAACTTTACACATTTTCACACACAAGTCACACCGAAAAATGAAAATTCCGGAATTTTGTCAGCACACTAGACTCTAGTCAATTTTCAAAGAAGATTTCCCACCAAAAATTCCAAAAACTCACATTTTCCTGATTTTTCATCGAAAATCCCGATTTTTCACGATTTCCAGCATCCAAGATCGAATTTTTCTCCATTTTCAGCCATTTCCAATCTGAAAATATCGATTTTTTGTTGAAAACCCCTTGAAAAACAGAAAAACTCACATTTTTCATTGAAAATCCTGATTTTTTCGTTAAATTTCCGGATTTCTCATGATTTCCAGCATCCAAAATCCAATTTTCATCGATTTTCAGCGATTTTCAGCCATTTCCAATCTGAAAATATCGATTTTTGTTGGGAAACCCTTGAAAAACAGAAAAACTCACATTTCTCGTTGAAAATCCCAGGTTTTTCGATTTTTTCACGATTTCCAGCATCCAAAATCCAATTCTTCTTGATTTTTAGCATTTTCAGCAATTTCCAATCTGAAAATATCGATTTTTCATTGAAAACCTTTGAAAACCCCGAAAAAAAACAGAAAACCGCCCGAAAAAAAATTCCAAGTGGCAGAACAAGCAAACGCGCTCCACCGAACATTCAAAGTTTTTCTTTCTTTTCACACCATTTTTCACCAATATCAAGGGTTTCACGGTGTTTTAGAAACATGGATCTTGTAGAGAATTTCAAGGGCTACAAAATGATGTATTTTTCGGTTTCAGAGAAAATCTGAAAATTGCTGAAAATTACAAAAAAAAGGATTTTCAATGGAAAATGTGAATTTTTTTGAATTTTTGGGTTGAAAACAGAATTATTTCTTGTTTCAATCGTTGAAAATTGACTAGACTCTAGTCTAACCACTTCTAAAAGTCGAAAAAACGTGTTTTTTCTGCAAATTTGTGAAAAAAGAGATTTTCAGCAATTTTCAGATGTCTTCTGAAATCGAGAAATATACCATTTTGTAGCCCTTGAAATTCTCTACAAGATCCATATTTCTAAAACATCGTGAAACCCTTGAAATTGGTGCAAAATGGTGTGAAAAGAAAAAAAAAACTTTAAATATTCGGTGGAGCGCGTTTGCTTGTTTTGCCACCTGGAATGTTTTTTCGGGCGGGTTTTTGTTTTTCTCGGGGTTTTCAAAGGTTTTTCAATGAAAAATCGATATTTTCAGGTTGGAAATGGCTGAAAATCAAGGAAAATTGGATTTTGGATGCTGGAAATCGTGAAAAAACTGAAAATTTCACCAAAACCCGGGATTTTCAATGGAAAATGTGAGTTTTTCTGTTTTTCCAAGGTTTTCCAATGAAAAATCGATATTTTCAGATTGGAAATGGCTGAAAATCAAGAAGAAGTGGATTTTGGATGCTGGAAATCGTGAAAAATCAGGATTTTCAATGAAAAAATGTGAGTTTTTCAGTTTTTCGAGGGTTTTTCAACCAAAAATCGATATTTTCAGGTTGGAAATGGCTGAAAATCAAGGAAAATTGGATTTTTGATGCTGGAAATCGTGAAAAAACTGAAAATTTCACCAAAACCCGGGATTTTCAATGGAAAATGTGAGTTTTTCTGTTTTTCCAAGGTTTTCCAATGAAAAATCGATATTTTCAGGTTGGAAATGGCTGAAAATGGTTGAAAATCAAGGAAAATTGGATTTTGGATGCTGGAAATCGGGAAAAATCCGGAAATTTCATGAAATCCCGGGATTTTCTATGAAAAATGTGAGTTTTTTGTATTTTCATGGGTTTTCCAACAAAAATCGATATTTTCAGATTAGAAATGGCTGAAAATCAAAGAGAATTGGATTTTGGATGCTGGAAATCGTGAAAAAACTGGAAATTTCACGAAAACCTGGGATTTTCAATGAAAAATGTGAGTTTTTTGTTTTTTCAAGGGTTTTTCAACAAAAAATCGATATTTTCAGGTTGGAAATGCTGAAAATCAATGAAAATTGGATTTTGGATGTGGAAATCAGGATTTTCAATGAAAGAAGTTAGTTATTTTGAATTTTGGGAGGGGGGGGATTTTCTTTCAAAATTGACTAGACTCTAGTCTATGGGGGGGGGGAAGATAAGAGAGCATAGCATTTCGAGAGACGCAGACTAAAATTTTTTTTTTGAATTTCATTGTTTTTCCGCCGTTGTCAATATAGCGCACATGCTCGCATGTCTCAGATTTTTTGGTTTTTCTCACAAAATTTCAAATTGTTAGGGGAAATATAAGAGAGCATAGCATTTCGAGAGACGCAGACAAAATTTTTGAATTTTATTTATTTTCCGCCGTTGTCAATAGAGCGTACAAGCTCGTTTGCGAGAAATTTTCATTTTTTTTTCCTTTTTTTTGTTTTTACATAAAATGTCTAACAAAGAACTGCAATGCAAAATGTTTTATGAAACACAGAAAACCAAAAAAGATCTTCCCTACAGTTATCATCATACATCATCAAAAATTTCCATCCATTAGTTCGAGAATCGTCTTCTGGTCGGGTATGAACCACCACCACCTCCAACCGCTCCACTTCTAGCCGGACATGGGCAATAAGCGGCGTCACTTCCCGGTGATCCGTCGCTTCCCGGTCCTCCCGGTTGTCCATCACCTCCCGGGCCTCCTGGATTTCCAGATGGTCCCGGTGGCCCGGCTGGTCCCGGAGCTCCTGGTCCACTTCCCCCACCTGGCGCTCCACTTGGTCCTGGTGGTCCCGATGGTCCTGGTGGTCCGGCAGGTCCTGGTTGCGATGTCGATCTGGTTCCTGGCGCGCCTGGTGCTCCATCGCCTCCCGGTGCTCCGGGGTTTCCGTCTGGTCCGGCGGGTCCAGCAGGTCCTGGTGGCCCTGGTGTACCAGCGCTTCCACCTTGCCCATCGGCTCCTGGGTTTCCTGAAGGTCCTGCTGGTCCGGGTGGGCCATTAGGTCCTGGAGGCCCGGCGGGCCCAGCTGGACAGGTGATGCATTGTGAAGTTGCGGCGTGTTGCTCAGCAGTTCCAGCACCACCAGCTTGCCCGTCTTGCCCAGCATCTCCCGGCTCTCCCGGAGCTCCAGGCTGTCCCGCTGGCCCTGGTGGCCCGGCAGGACATCCCGAAGCAGCAGCCGCACAGGCACAGCCTCCTCCACCACCACCTCCTTCCACATATTGTCTCTTAACTCTTCCGGTCAGTTGATCAAAGCGGAATCCAGCCGAGTTCCCGGTGGCTACCATAACCTTCCAAGCATCGTCAGCATGTTCACGGAAATCCACGAGATCTAGGATGATCTCATCCTGGAATGCGCTGATATCCGACATTACGTGGATTGTGGCGAAGATTGCGGTGAGCGCTGCAAACGCGGAAGCACCGGTTACAAAGTAGAGCACGTGTTGAATGTGACCCATCTGTAACATTTATTTTAACGTTGAAAAACCAAAAAAAAAGTGATTCAGGAACTGAAAAAAAGAGGTTTTTAACGTTTCTTTACGTTACATCGTTTTTTTAAACGTTAAATCGTTTTCTTAAACGTTAAATCGTTTTTTTTAAACGTTAAAATCGTTTTCTTAAACGTTAAATCGTTTTCTTAAACGTTAAATAGTCTTCTTAAACGTTAAGTCGTTTTTTAAACGTTAAATGTTTACGTAAAAGTGATTTACGAACGGTATTTTTATTTTTCTTAAACGCTTGTTTAAGAAAACGTTAGTACGGGCTAATCAAAATTTTATGGAAAAAATTGTACCAACTGAAAGAGGAGGTTTCATTTTTGTTAGTATGTTCCCAATTTTTAAGAATTTTTTTTTCTTGGGTACTTGAACGTGAAATTTTTTGGTTTGGTACTTAAACGTGAAAAAAATTGGTAATTAAACGTGAAAAAATTTGGTACTTAAACGTGAAAATTTTTTTGGTTTGGTACTTTAACGTGAAAAAAATTTGTACTTAAACGTGAAAATGTTTTTTCTTTGGTACTTGAACGTGAAAATTTGGTACCTGAACGTGAAAATTTGGTACTTAAACGTGTAAAAACTTCCTCTATCAGTTGGTATATTTTTTCCATGAAATTTTGATGAGCCATACCCCCTTTAACGTTCTCTTAACGTAACGTTTGTTAAACGCTTTTAACGTTAAAAAAAACCAAAAAAGTGATTTACGAAAGGGTATTTTTATTCATTTTTCATCATTTTCTTAACACATGAATAGAATGAAGCTTCAAGACCTTCTAATCAGCCTTAAACACCGTCTTTCAAAGCCTAAAAGCCTTAAAGTCCGTCTTTGTCTTAAAATCCTAAAACATGGGTGTCGTTTGGGCCTGGGTATAGCCAGGTATCAGCGGCAGCCCTGGCCTAAAGGCCCTCTTCGTCATTTAGGCTGATTAGAAGGTTTGGAATAGCATTTTTTTTGGTTTTTCAACGTTAAAAACCAAAAACGTTAAATAACGTTTTTTTATGTCGTAAATATTTAAGTGCATGATCTAAAAAGAAAAAGAAGAAGTTGTGATAAGTCATGATATGCCTCCACTTTTATAGCAAAAATACCAGTTCTGATAACTCGTTTTGTTCCTTCTTAACAATAAAAACAAAGTGATTACCAAAAACCAAAAACAAGTCAGTGAAACCATTTATTCATAACTATACTATACAAAATTCTTGAGATTTTCAGCTGACAATTTCAGTAGAACTTGGTTTCTGATGCATTTCCTGCTGCAACTCCACCTGAAAACTTTTGCTCCACTCGTGTTGCATCGAGATTTTCTCCTTGAGTTTTCTGCAATTTTTTTGTATTATTTTTACTCAATTCCCAACTTAGCCTAACTTGGAATGTCGTGTAATATTCTGTCGTAAAATGTACATATTAATGGGAACTATTGGGAATTGTAGGAGATATAGGATGTAACAAAAAGTGTCGGCTCGAAGATATAATCGACGGATTATGATGTTTTCGTGCTCTTGAAATGGGATAAACTCATCGATGACCTGAAAATCTTGATTTCTAGTGATTTAGGCTGAAATTTTGTGCTGAAACTGCTGAAAACCCACCTGTAACATATAATTGGGTAAATTCAAGCATAGAGTAATTGTGGCCGAGATCAAACATCGTTTAATTGCAGTCACTCGACGTTTTTCAGCGCTCTCCAAATTCAGTTTCGACACAATTTTCATGTGATCACTGTGGTTATTGAGCCGCAAATTATCGGGTGATATCAATTTGAAGGGTGTTTGCCAGGGTGTACGATTGATGAGCACCGAAATATCGGCCAAAACTGTGAGCGCGAATGGGATGAAGAAGGTTATGGTGGTTTCGAGAAGCAGTAGGAATTGGGAGAAGCTAGAAAATTGGGGAAGTGAGGGGGTAGAGACGCAGAGAAGCTAGAGAGCTAGAGTTGCTAGACAGCATAGGGTAGGGAGAGAGTGCAGAGAAGCTAGAGAGCTAGAGCTAGACAGCTAGAGTGGCTTGACAGCATAGAGAAGCTGAACAGCTAGATAGCATATGGATGGGAGAGAGAGCAGAGAAGCTAGACAGCTACAGTAGCTAGATAGCATAGAAAAGGAAGAGAGCGCAGAGAAGCTAGAGAGTGCAGGAGATCTAGAGAGGCAGAGAAACCAAGCAGCTAGACAGCTAGAAATAATAGAGACGCGGAGAAGCCAGACAACTAGAGAAGCTAGATAGCATAGGGATGGGAGAGAGCGCAGAGAAGCTAGAGAGCTAGAGACGCAGAGAATTTCCAGGATAGTTCTAGAGAAAACGAACCACGTGGCATATTGTGATAAAAAAAATTTGAAAATTCAAAAATTTTCGATTTTGGCACCAAAAATCACAGGAATTTCAGAATTTCGAGAAAAATTTGAAAAAAAAATGAAAATTTTCAAATTCAGGGCTGAATTTCATGATTTTCAATTTGAAAATGTATAGAAATTCCGATTTTCGAAAAAAAAACAAATGTTAGAGACGCAGAGAAGCTAGAGAGTGTAGGAGAGCTAGAGACGCAGAGAAGCTAGACAGCTAGAGAAGATAGATAGCATAGGGATGGGAGAGAGTGCAGAGAAGCTAGAGAGCTAGAGAGTGTAGGAGATCTAGAGAGCACAGACAGCTAGAGGTAACAGCGACTAATTGTAAGAGAAGCTAGACAGCTAGAGACGCAGAGGAAGCCAGAGACGCAGACATCCCACTCACCTGCTCGGATTATCGCCACAATACGATCCCTCCAACTCGCTCTTCTCCTCCCTGACCTCAGTCATTGTAACAAACGCCCAACTTTGCAAAAACATCGACGAGATCAGAATAACCGTCAGCGAATTCCTGGGGTTCCTTGGCAGCCGCCGTCTGCTTCGCAACGGGAAGAAAATGTGCAAAAATCGCTGCAAAACTGCAGCATTTTCGCGGCATTTTTGCTGGGTTTTTGACCTACCTGCGAGTACATGGCTACCCAAGTCCAATGAATGAAGCAAGAACACGTGTTGACAATGAAAACCGTCAATTTACACATGACAAAACCCGGGATGAAGCCTGGAAGAATTACAGTACCCTTACTCAGATTACTGTAGGTACTGTAGGCCACGTGGAACTTACCGAAACTCCACGTATCCTTGACAACCATAAAAACAATTGTGGATAGTAGAATCAGGTTTCCCGAAATGATCGAACACATGAATGGGAAGTATTGAGAGGATTTGTGGGGACGCATGAGAACTAGGAGTACGGTAAGAATGGGTACGGTAGCCAGGGATACGGTAATGACGGCGTAGTAGAGGAGATTTGAGGCGATTTCCCATTCGTGCATCCACAGGGATAGTGAATCGCTGTGATTCATTTCTGGAAGAGTACGGTAGGAGTACGGTAGGAAAAGGTACGGTAGAAAATTGTGCCGAAAATTCCCAAAAATGGATCAAGGCTGAAATTTTCAGCTGAAAATCAGGGAAATCTTGATTTCTAGTGATTTTTAGCATTTCCATGAGTTTCAGTGCAAAATTTCAGCCTACAAAAAAATTGTGCCAAAAATTCCGAAAAAATGGATCAACTGGATTACTGTAGAAAAATAGTTCTCTAGGCTGAAATTTTGTGCTGAAAATCAGAGAAATCTTGATTTCTAGGGATTTTCAGCATTTCCATGATTTTCAGCGCGAAATTTTGATCTAGAAACTCTTCAAAGGCTACTGTAGAAAATTGTGCCAAAAGATCCGAAAAAATGGATCAACCGGATTACTGTAGAAAAATAGATTTCTAGGCTGAAATTTTGTGCTGAAACTCGTGAAAATCTTGATTTCTAGGGATTTTCAGCATTTCCATGATTTTCAGCGCGAAATTTCAGCCTAGCAAGAAAATTGTGCCGAAAATTCCGAAAAAATGGATCAACTAGGTTACTGTAGAAAAATAGTCTACTAGGCTGAAATTTTGTGCTGAAAATCAGAAAAATCTTGATTTCTAGGGATTTTCAGCATTTCCATGATTTTCAGCGCGAAATTTTGGTCTACAAAAAAAATTGTGCCAAAAAATCCGAAAAAATGGATCAACCAAAAAAAAACTGAAAATAAGTGTCTAGGCTGAAATTTTGTGCTGAAACTCGTGAAAATGCTGAAAATCGATTAGAATTTCAGTAAAAAATGAAATTTCACCGGAAATTTGATAAAAGCATATCAAAGTTAAAAAAAAATATTTTTTTTTTTCAAAAAAAAATAATTTGAAAATTTTTTCGAGCAAGAACTACTTTCGAAACCCTGCTAATCTTTTTGCATGGAAACAAATCCGATTTCGAAATTTTTCTGAAAGTCGAAAAACAGGAAACGACCTTTTTTTGTAATTTGAGCACCCAAAAACTTTTTTGGCAAAAGAAAATTGGCTAATTTTTTTGGAGCAAAGTAAAAGTTCACACACAAGATTAACTCATTTTTTTCGCGGGTTTTTGAGAAAAAAATCAATTTTTTTTGACTGACGCAAAAAATAGATTAACTCAAATATTATTTATCCGAAAATTTTACTTCCATTTTTTTCTCAAAAAAGAAAAATGAAAAATTCATTTTTTTCTAGAAAATCTGAATTTTTGAATTTTTTTTTGAGAAAAAAAGCGCGCAGCTGAGGAAATAATTGAATTAATTTGGAAAAAATCTGAAAAAAAAATGTTTTTTTTTGCATTTTTAGCGAAAAGGGCATCTGAAATTGACACAAAATGACAAATTTTTGAAAAAAAAATTCCAAAAAAAAGTTCATGGCTTATCTAAAATTGAATTTTTTTCATTCGCAATGTTTTTTTTGCTTGAAAAATAAGTGGGAAAACAAGTTGTGTAAGAGAGAAAAAATAGAGAAAAAGTGCATTTTTCGGGGTGGTACTAGTAGAAGAAAAAGTTAGGCTAACTCATAAAAGCGCAGACTTTTTTTGAAGAAAAAAAAATGACATTAAGCTATATAAAATATAAGCTTTAATTAAATATAGGTCATTTTTTTTCAAAAAAAATTTTTTTTTTGAAATCCAAAAAGGGAAGTTAGGATAACTTGTGTGGTTTTTAGTCACGAAAAAAATCCAATTTTTTTCTTGTCACCTAACAAGGTTAGGCATGCAGGTGTTTAGTTAGGCTAACTCAACATTAAATCAGATTTGAGACTAGAAAAATGATTTTCGAGTACATTTTAGGCTACCAGAGGCCCTAAAAGGCTTCCAGGGGCTCGGAAAGCCTTCCAGAAGCCCTAGAAGGCCTAAAAGGCCTGGAAAGCCTTCCAGAGGCTCTAAAAGGCTTCCAAAGGCCCGGAAATGCTTCCAGAGGCCCGGAAAGCCTTCCAAAGGCCCGGAAAGCCTTCAGAGGCCCGAAAAGCCTTCCAAAGGCCCGGAAAGCCTTCCAAAGGCCCGGAAAGCCTTCCAAAGGCCCGGAAAGCCTTCAGAGGCCCGAAAAGCCTTCCAAAGGCCCGGAAAGCCTTCCAAAGGCCCGGAAAGCCTTCCAAAGGCCCTAAAGGCTTCCAGAGATCCGGGAAAAATGGGTGTTGAGAAGTTTTGTGAATAATTCATTTGCGGCCAAACATCGGGGGTTATGACGTGGCAATAATCCTAGATTAGAGCAAAAGCCACAGAAAAAAAAAATAAAAAATGCTCCAGGTGAAAAAAGCTATGACGTGGCGAAATTTCGTGATTTTTGAAAAAAAATGCAAAATTTAATCGGAATCTATTTTTGGAAAAACTATACAAGATGATAAACAGAATGTTTTTTTTCTAGACTGAAATTTTGTGCTGAAAATCATGGAAGCACTGATTTTCAGCGATTTTCAGCAATTCCACGATTTTCAGCGCAAAATTTGAGCCTGGAAACTCTTCAAAAGCTACTGTAGAAAATTGTGCCAAAAATTCCGAAAAAATGGATCAACCAGATTACTGTAGAAAATAATGTTCTAGACTGAAATTTTGTGCTGAAAATCATGAATTTCAGCAATTTCCACGATTTTCACCGCAAAAAAAACGCGGAAAAAAAAAGAAAAAAAATAATTTTTCATTAATAAAAAATGTAGGTATGTATGTATATAAAAAATGTATAAAAAATTCATTAGAGCACACACAGAAAAATTAGAGCTCATGAACTTTGAGCCATTTTACATATATAGGCGGTAGATGTTGAAGAGCAGCTTTTGGGCTGCCAAAGGGTTCCGTTAACCTAAAAAAAGTACACTGAAAATACAGTAATCTACAGTAATCTAAAAAATACCGTAGCACAACTTGCTCCAGTTGTCGATTCTCCGCTTGGCAGATTTGTGTAGAGCACTTCGGAGGAATCGGTCCAGCTCCAGGCTCCGTTTGCCTGCAAGCAGCCAACCCTTGACACCTAGTTGACCCCTCAAGCAGCCAACCCTTGACACCTAGTATAGCTCTCAAGCAGCCAACCCTTGTCACATAGTATACCTCTCAAGCAGCCAACCCTTGACGCCTAGTATAGCTCTCAAGCAGCCAACCCTTGACATCTAGTTGACCCCTCAAGCAGCCAACCCTTGACACCAGGTCTCCCTCTCAAGCAGCCAACTCTTGACACCTGATCTACCTCTCAAGCAGCCAACCCTTGACACCTAGTTTGCCCCTCAAGCAGCCAACCCTTGTCATCTAGTTGATCCCTCAAGCAGCCAACTCTTGACACCAGGTCTCCCTCTCAAGCAGCCAACCCTTGACATCTACAGTACCCCATCTACAGTAACCCATCTACAGTACTCACCGTCTTGCTCAATCCAATCCACGCATTCTGACTAGAGCTCAAAAACCCGGCCAAATTCCCAGAAGCCACATTGAAAGGCGACTCCAGAATCAAATCTGAAAAAAAAAATCAAAATCTACAGTACCCTACCCTACAGTACTCACATTTCACGGCGGTCGCTTCGAGACCCGATTCAATTGACGCCAAATGTGCACCGTACACACTACAGTAACCCTCGGCCTCACTTTGCGTTACTGTAGCCTCGAATTTTTTGTAGCAATTTCCGGAGTACGGTATCCAGCCGGTTAGACAGCCTGCATTACAATTTAGTGGTACTGTAGTCAAGGGTACTGTAGTCAAGGGTACTGTAGTTTGGGCTACTGTAGATACCGTATCACTGGCCACAGTTTGAAAACGTTCTGAAAATTCAGATTTTCGCGAAAAAAATTTTTTTGCTGTCAAACTCACTAATATTATTCAAATTTAGCGTAACTTGCGCGAAAATTGGCACGAAAACCAAAAAAAATCGATAAAAAATCATTTGGAAAATAAAAAATGTTTGAAAATTTTGAGAGGAGATAATCCGCAGGGAAAAAAATTTTAAAAAAAAAATGTTTTTTTCGAAAATTACGAAATTTTGCCACTTCATTACTATTTTTCACCTGGAACACTTCAGGGCCTCTTGAAGCATTTTTAGGGCCTCAGGAAGGCTTTCCGGGCCTCAGGAAGCTTTTCCGGGCCTCTGGAAGGCTTCTAGGCTTCTGGAAGCCTTTCAGGGCCTCTGGAAGCCTTTCCGGGCCTCCGAAAGCCTTTTAGACCCCCAGAAAGCCTTCTAGGCCCTCCGGAAGCCTTTAAGGGCCTCTGGAAGCCTTTCTGGACTCCCTGCAGCCTTTTACGGCCTCAGTAAGCCTTTTTACACAAAACACACACTAGATAACTCAATTATAGTCTACAAAGTTATCTAATCAAGGCTAACTCGTTTTCACACCTCTTCAATACATAACATCACTGATCATTTTTCCAACATCAAAATACGATTTTTGTTCACGTGATTTGGAGAAATCAAACCATTTTATCATTGAATACTTCAATATTTATTGATTTTCTTATTCAAATAACCCGTAACAATAAATGACACAAATAATTAACAAAATAAAAAAATAAATGAAAATTACAAAACTTGATAATTTTTAAAAGATGCAATAGATGTTTGACTTTCAGATTTCTTGATTTTCATCAATTTATTCTTCAAATTTGTTGATGAAATAGCCAAATTTGGAAGAGATTCACATTCAGAATTATTTTTGATAAATTTATGATGATATTCATTTGGTGGTGTAGAATTTGAAGAAGAAGTTGATACAATTGGAATAATTTCAGCACCAACTGTAATATTTGTTGAATAATGTTTGATTGAAGATTGACTTGATTTTCTTGAAGAAGAAGAAGTTTGAAAATCAGTTGGATGTGGATGTTTTAATCCAGAATATTCAGCAACAAATGAAGCAATTTTTGATGATGAGAATTTCATTTTCGTTATTTTTTAGTAGAAAGAAAGAGATGATTTGATTGAGAAAAGAAGAAATTGTTGTCCTTTTATATAAGATAACTATTTAGTCACGCCCTACAAATACATAGAACAGGGAATATTTGATTGTTTTTTGGGGTTTTGTACTCAATTAACAGCTGGCATCAGAAAGAACGATCAAAATGTTGAATTTCGAACAAAAAAAGAAGATAGGTATGATCTGTGTTGTGATAGATCATCCAGAAATCTTCTCACAAATCTCATGTTTTCCAGGAAGTCCATAATTTTTCCATGAAATTCTAAGAAAATGTATGATCGTTCTCTGATTTTTTGTTCAAATAGTATTCACGTGAAAATGTTCTCTGATGAAACAATAGTTCCTTTTTGAAGATGATGAAACCGTTCAATGATAGCGAAAAAATGTGATATCCTTTTGTGAACATTGAACATTTTATTTGACTGGAACATGGTATTCAAAATATATTTTCTGAAATAGTTTAGCTTATTCCAGAAAATTCTGGAGAATCTCTTGAAATTCTGGGATCATTCCTTGCAAAAGCCTGTTTGAGCTTCCGGAAGCCTTGAAAAGCCTGTAAGAGCTAATAAATAAAACATTAATGTATAAACTTGAGAAATTCAACTAAAACTAACCGAAAATATGGTTCTATGATGTTTTAAGTGTTTTGAGAAAAGGTGTGAAATTAATTAATTCAATTATATCATTGTAGTCTAGGCTTTTTTTGCAAATAAATTGTTATAACTTTTAAATTACAAAGAACATTGTTTAAACCTAAATGTTCATATTGTTCATTCTCTGAATTCTATTATTTTTTGAATTTACTAAAACATAACACAAAGAACTTCAGAATTTCACGTGAATGTTCTAACATCTCTCTCAAAAAAGGTTTCCTGTTTTTGTTAAATGATAAAATAAACCATTCAATGATTAATCTACGTCACAACAAAACGAACACGGTTTCATATCAAAATGTCATCATTTTGTAGAAAATATCTGAATATTGTTTATTTTGTCATCATTTCTAAAATCATCATGTTGTTTTGCAAATTAAGAAAAATGATGTGAGATTTTACAAAAATGTTTTGATGAAAGTCACGTAGTCGGTACTACCGACTAGGCAGGAAGAAATACGAAAAAGGTTTCTGGAAATTTTAAGAAATCTTTGGTCAGATTCTGAACTACTATAACAAGGATCAAAACCATTTTTTGAATCACAGATCAGTTAGATCACTGATCTGTGATTCTAAAAGTCTCTGGAAGTCAAACATCCCAATAAATTTTCGGAAATTTTCAAGATTTACAGAAACTCGAGGTTCAAAAAATACCACAAAAACAACATTTTGATCGTTCTTTCTGACCCAGGTGTTAATTGAGTACAAAACCCCAAAGAACAATCAAATGTTCCCTGTTCTATGTGTTTAGAAGGCGTGACTAAATAGTTATCTTATATAAAAGAAGAACAATTTCTTCTTTTATCAATCAAATCATCATTTCCTTCTACTAAAAAAGAACAAAAATGAAATTCTCGTCTTCAAAAATTGCTTCATTTGTTGCTGAATATTCTGGATTAAAACATCCACATCCAACTGATTTTCAAGCTTCTTCAAGAAAATCAAGTCAATCTTCAATCAAACTATATTCAACAAATATTACAGTTGGTGCTGAAATTATTCCAATTGTATCAACTTCATCTTCTTCTTCAAATTCTACACCACCAAATGAATATCATCATAAATTTATCAAAAATAATTCTGAATGTGAATCTCTTCCAAATTTGGCTATTTCATCAACAAATTTGAAGAATAAATTGATGAAAATCAAGAAATCTGAAAGTCAAACATCTATTGCATCTTTTAAAAATTATCAAGTTTTGTAATTTTTTTCTATTTATTTTTTGAATTTGTTAATTATTGTGTCATTTATTGTTACGGGTTATTTGAATAAGAAAATCAATAAATATTGAAGAATTTTACATTTTTTTTCGAATTTCCGGTAGAACTAAGCTATGCAAAAGCCTGAGAGATCTTCCGGAAGCTTTTGGAGGCCTTGGTAGGCCTTGGGAAGCCCTGGGAAGCCTAGTAAAAGCTTTTGGAACCCTTGGGAATCGCAAGCAAAGCACAAAAGCCTGAAATGTTCACACACGTGATGATTTTTTGCCGCTTTTTTTCCCATGTGAATTTTTCCTACTCACATATAAATAGCGATTAACGTTGCATTCACAAAACATTTCTCAGAAAATCAGACTTGGGAGAAAAATAAATATTTTCTTGTTGTGTAACACTGAAAAAATATGTTCCCCTACATTCATCCTCTAATTTTACCACTTGGCTTTTTCTTCTGCACAAATTCGTTTGTTGGAGTTATCGGAAATGCCATCATGCTTATGTGCTATTTTAAGAATAAGTGAGTTGGGGCTTCTTAGGGGCTTTTGGGAGCTTCTAAAGGCTTCTAAGGGCTTCTAAAGGCTTCTGGGGCTCCTGGGGGCTTTTAGAGCCTTCTAAGTGCTTTTGGGCGCTTCTAGAGGCTTCTAAGGGCTTCTGAGGGCTTCTTAGGGCTTCTGGGGCTTCTAGATGCCCTTTAAACCCGTATTTTCCAGAAGACTTCGTTCACCTTGTCATATTTTGATCACCCTGTCATGTTTATCCGATTTGATGCATCTAACTGCGCAATTTATTTGGGGATATTATTTATTTTCAGATAGTGAGTTTTCCTAGTCCCTAATTAATTATAAACCCTAATTAGGGATAAACAAACAAATCCCAGAAACCAACACAGTCGCCCAGTGTTTCTACCGTATGGCAATCCCGCTAATTGGTGTAACCGCAGCTGGTCCCCTGATCCTTGCGATGGGTATAGATCGACTGATCGCCGTCAAATTCCCCACTAAATATCGACTCTACACCCAGGAGCCCCGATCTTATGTGATGTGTCATTTGATCTTTCCAGCTGTGTACATCGCAATGTGTTTAGCCTATGGGTATCAGACAAAGTTGGATAAAGTGTGAGAGCTTTTAAAAGTCCAGAAGGAAACTCTACCAGGCCTCAGAATCCTAAGAGAACCCCCTATTTCCAGCCAAATAACGTGCGCAGTTCCTCTTGGCCTCTGGGGTGCCGCATTTCAATTCTTCACCTACACCTCCGCCCTGATCTACGCTCTAGTCGTCATAGTCTACCTAACCGTATATATTTTGCTCAAATCCTCCAGTGCCAGTGAGTTTTTCCCACGCTCCTCAGATTCTTAAGCTACAATTTCTCAAGGCGCAAGGTTCAAAAGTGTATTCAAATCAATCTCAGTTACCGTAGGCCTGGTGGTTTTTGGCTGGGTTACAACTACAGTAGCCAATACATTGAGCTATGAGGTGACTTCAGATGAATTTATCGCAATTGTGATTCAGATGTATGCTGGAATTACAGTCAATCTAGCGGCGGCTTCTAATATTTTTGTGTTTTATTCGATTAATTCAGAATATCGTGAAGTTATTAAGTCACTTCTGGGGTTGAAGAATAAAACGAAAACTGCGAATTTTGAAGCGTCCAGTGCGAATACAGTATCTGTTATGAGAGTTCACCCAAATCGCAGGACTACTGTTTGATTTTCAAATTTTTATTAAAATTTTTAATTAAATAAAAAATTAATTAATTAGAAAACTCCTCTACATGATCATCGGTACAAACCGTAATATTCGTTGAATAGTGTTCCGAAGCTTTGGTAGATTTCCTTGATGGAGAAGAATCAGAATTAACTTCAGGTTCCTTTTCAGGTTCACTGTGAATATGTTGAAAGCCAAAATATTGGGCGAGAAAATCGGCGATGAATTTGAAAGGCATTGATTTAGAAGGTTAGAAATGAAAAATGTTTATTGTTGCGCGCACGGTCTTTTAAGTTGTGTGATTTTTTGATTGTTCTTTGTGGGGATGAAAAGAACAGTACGGAAAGTGGACTGTGATCAGGGGAAGGTCTAGAAGGGGATGGACTGGGCTTAGGCTTGGTTAAGCTAGGCTTAGGCTTGGTTAAGCTAGGCTTAGTTGAGCTAGGCTTAGGCTTAGTTAAGTTTTAACTAGGCTTAAAAATTTTGTTAAATTTTTTTCCATAAAAAATTTGTTAAGTAAAAAAATTTTTATTTAAAAAAAAAAATTTTAATAAAAAAAATTTTTTTTTTTTTTTTTTTTGAGTAAAAAAATTTGTTAAGATAGGTTTAGGCTTAGTTAAGCTAGGCTTAGGCTTAGTTAAGCTTAGGCTTAGGCTTAGCTAGGCTTAGGCTTAGGCTTAGTTAGGCTAGGCTTAGGCTTAGTTAAGCTAGGCTTAGGCTTAGTTAAGCTAGGCTTAGGCTTAGAAATGTTGTTAATTTTTTTTCTCAAATAATTGTTTGACCCTTTGTTTCAATGAGAGATATCATTGAACATTTTAGTTTTATCAATATAAAAAATTGTAAAAAAAATTTCTAGCAAGTCATGTGATGTCTTTGTTGTTTTCACTAGATACTTTTAGTGATCTGGGGTTTTTTTGTCGCATTCATTGTAGTTTTCCCTTAATCTAATTAATTAATTAATTAATTTCACACCTTTCACAAACATCAATGATCCATTTTACATAGTTACAGACTTTTTTCAGATCTCGAAAAAAAACTTTTTCTGAATGTGTCACAGTATTTTAAAAACCATGGTAGCCAGACAACACACTATATATATAAAAACAATGTGTTTTTATGATGATTTGAAGACTTCGGGGAACCATGGTTTCTAGAATGAATTAAAGCAAAACAAAAAATATATGTTTTTTATTATTTTTTTTTTCAAATGATCTTCTTCTTCCCAATTTTTTTCTTCATTGAAACAGTGAGATTTTCCCAAAAAAGTTCAAAAACGGCCCCAAAATCCAGAAAATTTCCAGATCTCTTGCTATCAGATCATTCTAATCTATGGAACTCTGAATGTCTCCGATGTTTTGAGCACAGCAAATTTGGATTCATATGAATCATGTTCGAATTTATGTTTATCAAATCTGAATTGTGTTTCACTATTCTATATTCCATCTTCTGAATCTTGTTCGATTTATTCGATTTATCAAATCAATTCCTATCAGAAAAATGATAGTTTGGAAAGTATTGTTGGAATTAAGGTGAGTTATGACGTGATTTCTAGCGATTTTCAGTGTTTCCATGAGTTTCAGCGCAAAATTTCAGCCTAGAAAACTCTTCAAAGAAAAAAATTCGATCAAAATCTAGAAATGTTGATTTACTGGAAGTTGAACTAACTTTTGAATCTATGAAGTTTCAAAACTAGACTCTAGTTATTCTACAAACTAGAGAATAGTTTATTTGTCATGTTCTACAACATTAGATACTGAGCTAAGCTTGAAATTGGCTGCGTACCTTGATTAGATACTCAGGCAACCCAAAATATGCCTTGTTTAGTATCAAAATATCGCATTTTTCATGTTTTTCAACTTAGATAGCTCAAATTGGCTGCGTACTTTCATTAGATACTCAGGCAACCAAAATATGACTGTTTAGTATCAAAATATCGCATTTTTCATGTTTTTCGACTTATATAGCTCAAATTGGCTGCGTACCTTGATTAGATACTCAGGCAACCCGAAATATGCCTTGTTTAGTATCAAAATATCGCATTTTTCATGTTTTTCAACTTAGATAGCTCAAATTGGCTGCGTACTTTCATTAGATACTCAGGCAACCAAAATATGACTGTTTAGTATCAAAATATCGCATTTTTCATGTTTTTCGACTTATATAGCTCAAATTGGCTGCGTACCTTGATTAGATACTCAGGCAACCCGAAATATGCCTTGTTTAGTATCAAAATATCGCATTTTTCATGTTTTTCAACATAGATAGCTCAAATTGGCTGCGTACCTTCATTAGATACTCAGTCAACCAAAAATATGCCTTGTTTAGTATCAAAATATCGCATTTTTCATGTTTTTCAACTTAGATAGCTCAAATTGGCTGCGTACCTTGATTAGATACTCAGGCAACCCAAAATAAGCCATGTTTAGTATCAAAATATCGCATTTTTCCAGACAAACACCTCAAGTTCAACATGTTCCTCTTCATTTTCTGATATTACCTTATCCGGTGATGTAAATGGAATCGCATATCAATTTTCTTCAACTTCAGGCACTTTCAGTCATGAAACTTGTCCCAATGGATTTAAGCAATTTACCCGAACTCGAGGATTTTGGTGCATGAAATTATACATTTTGGACCCCTCTCCAATCTCCTTCGATTCCTCATTTTGCTCTCAAAATTCAGCATTTCCAACAGGTTTCGAAAATTCCGAAGAACTTGATTATATAACATCGGAAGTTGTGATAAATGATCTATTCAAAAGAAATATTGCGATTGATGGACATCGAAAATCCACGTGTTATAATTCTACAGTAACCTGGTGTGATGATTTTGAATCGGGCAATAATTTCACCAATTCTCCACCTTTGATTCATTGGGGAGCTAATAATCCGTCTAGAAGAGATGGTTCGGAAATGCAGAATAACTTGGCACTTTGGGTCCCTGATGCGAATTCTCTTGTCACGGTTTTTGCGGATTGTGTTACTGATCGACCGGTTTTTGGATATGTTTGTGGAGTTCCGTTGGGAAATTGGAATTTTTCCTGATTTTTCATGTGAAAAATGAAGATTTTTTATACATTTTTTATGATGTTTTTTACCAAAAAAAAAACCATGGTGACCCGAAAATCATAGCTTCATCTTTTGAAAATGATGAAGGCTTTAAGCTGAAATTTTGTGCTGAAAATCATGAAAATCTTGATTTCTAGCGAATTTCAGCATCTCGGTGATTTTCAGCGCAAAATTTCGCTTAAAAGAAAATTGTGCCGAAAATTCCGAAAAAATGGATCAACCGGATTACTGTAGAAAAATAGTGTTCTAGACTGAAATTTTGTGCTGAAAATCATGAAAATAGTAATTTTCAGCGATTTCCAGCAGTTCAGTGATTTTCAGCGCAAAATTTGGCTTAAAAGAAAATTGTGCCGGAAATTCCGAAAAAATGGATCAACTGGAAAAAAAAGCGGAAAAGTAGGCTTCAGAAGGTCTTAAAAGGCCTGAGAAGGCTTCAGAAGGCTTTTTCAGATTTTAGAAGGCTTCCCAAGGCTTCCCAAGGCTTTAAAGGGCTTCCCAAAGCTTCCCAAGGCTTCCCAAGGCTTCCCAAGGCTTCCCGAGGCTTCCCAAGGCTTCCCAAGGCTTCTCAAGGCTTCCCAAGGCTTTCCAAGGCTTCCCGAGGCTTTAGAAAAAATTTTATTCAAAAATCAATACCAAAATCGGCAAAACCATCTCAGAAATCCAATTCAAAATCATCAAAACTGCCATAAAATTCGGGTAAGAAAATGGATTTTCAAAAAAATTCAACAAAATTTCGTAGAATCCACAAATCATCAAGTTAATTAAAATCGCAATTAGAATTGCGGCAATTTTCTGTTTTCTGCTGAAACCCAAAAAAATCAGCGATAATCCAAGGATACTGTAAAAAAATCGATTAATCCAATTTTTATAGCCTTTTTCAGAAAAATTGAAATTCAAAAATCCAATTTTTGAAAAATATTTTCGATTTATATTTGAAGTTTGGATACTGTAGAATGTAGCGAGAATTGAGATGATAGAAATTAGCAAGAAAATGGCTAATATGAGCAATGGCCTGAAAAAATTGATTAAAGGTGTAATTGCGGAGCATCGTACCTTTTCTGGAGTCCCTTATTTTTCTGCCTCAAAAATCGATCTGCAGACAAAATCAGAAAATAAAATTGCATGAAAAAACTTGCAAAAAAATCCAGATACAGCGAATATTCCAGAAAATCTTCATAGAATTTCGAGAAAATTTCTGAAAATCCAAAAACCCCTAAACTGAGCAATGCTCGAATCGCTAAAACAATCGATAATATTTTCAACAACATCTGTTCCTTGGATTTCCTTTGAAGAACAAGGAATATAATTTGGGTTAGGAGATTTAGGGCTAATATGAGCAATGGCAGAAAATAGTGGGGCTCATCAAGAATATCGATTTTTGGCGGGGCTGGAGTTGTGCATCGGAATTGATTTCGGTTGAGACATCTTACAGTAACCTCTGTAGTATCTGCGTAACCTTCATATTTGAAAGATGGTGCAACCATTTTTTTGCTGAAAATTCTGAAAATGCTGAAAATCTAGAAGTTTCTAGAAGTAAAAGTTCATGTAATTATAATAATTATATAGAATTTTCGTACAAGCCTATAATTATTTTCAGGCTATTTCAGGCCCAGCAAATTCAGAATTCTCGAAAAGGATTTCAATTGTTCAAGTGCCACCTCTTTCTCAAAATCCAGGAGATTTTTCTCAATGGCTTGGCGAGTTCCGATAAGTCTGACGTCATATTGCCACGTGGCGTTTTGTGGGGAGCATTTTGAGATGTCGAATGGGCCCAGGAATGGATTGTACCATTGATCGGTTTTCATTCGCGTGGGGCTGGAAAAAATTACGACACTCCGCAGTTACGGCATGTGAATTTTGTGAGAAAATAAGTTTCTAGGCTGAAATTTTGTGCTGAAAATCATAGAAACATTGATTTTCAGCGATTTTCAGCAATTTCACAAATTTCAGCACAAAATTTTGGTCTAGAAGATCAAAGAAAGTTGTGCCGAAAAAATGGATCAACCAGATTACTGTAGAAAATTGAGTTTCTAGGCTGAAATTTTGTGCTGAAAATCATGAAAACTTCAATTTCTAATGATTTTCAGCATTTTCACAATTTTCAGCACAAAATTTCAGCGCAGAAAGAAAATTGTGCCAAAAATTCCGAAAAAATGGATCAACCTAATTACTGTAGAAAATTGAGTTTCTAGAGTGAAATTTTGTGCTGGAAATTATAGAAACATCGATTTTCAGCGATTTTCAGCATTTTCACGGTTTTCAGCGCAAAATTTCAGTCTAGAAACATTTTTCTGACCTGAAATTAATTTTTTCATGAAAAATTCAAAATTTTCAGAAAAAATTTCAGCCAAAAAACTTTCCCAGCTGAAATTTTGCGCTGAAAATCGTGGAAATGCTGAAAATTACTGAAAATGAGCAATTCCATGAGTTTCAAAGCAACATTTGAGTCAAGAAACATACTTTTGACCTAAAATTAAATTCAAGTGAAAATTTTCAGATTTCTCTATCAAAAAAAAAACATTTTCCTGACTGAAATTTTGTGCTGAAAATCATAGAAACATTGATTTCTAGTGATTTTCAGCAGGTCAGTAATTTTCAGCACAAAATTTCAGTCTAGAAGATATTCAAAAGCTGAAAATAAGTTTCTAGGTTGAAATTTTGTGCTGAAAATCATGAACGTAATCGTGGAGCATCGTAGTTTTTTAAAAAAAATATTTCTAGAACTCACCTGATCTTCTCGCCCTCCGGAACTTCCACCAATTGATTCATTTTCCAACCATGCAACATAAAATCTCGCTCCTGATTCCAAATTCCTGAACTCAACCAATCATCCCGTGCCCATCCTGTTCCTTTTTTCAAAATTCGAACTTTTCCGAATTTTTCCGAGACTCCAAAAATGGATCTGATACAAGCTTCGTAGGTGAAAACATCCACAAAATCCACCGATTTTTTGTAGATTTTTTCGCAATTCTCGATTTCCACACTGGCATTGGGTAGAAGTTGTTTGGCGAGGAAAAGCTGGAGATTTAGGGGGCTCTAGGGGGCTTTAGGGGGCTTCAGAAGGCTTAAGAAGGCTTCAGGAGGCTTCAGAAGGCTCAAGGGGGCTCCAGAAGCCTGAAACTGATTTTTTTTTTCAATTTAGCGGCTCAAAATTCACTAAAAATCCTATTTTTTCCCAAATTTCCCTCCAAAATTCCATTTTTCCATCAATTTTCGCTCAAAAATCGATTTTTCTCAAAAAAAAAAACGCATTTTTCACAACGACACTCCGCTGAATGACGGCTTGCCTGTTGTTTAGCGCATTTTTCATTTTTCGGTTTTTTTTCGTTTTTCGGGTGAAATTTTGTGTTTTTTCAGGAAAATTTTGGAATTTTGGCTGAAAATTTCAGATTTTTGACCTGAAATTGCTCATTTTTGCTCAAATTTCCAAACAAAATTGCAATTTTTAGCTGAAAATGACTAGAAATTTGGTTTTTTGGGTTGAAAATTGATAGAAATAGCTGAAAAATCTAGTTTTTCATTGAAAATTGACTAAATTTAGCTGAAAATTTCGAATTTTTGACTGGAAGTTTGGGTTTTGAGGCTGAAAAATTCCTAGGCTTATCGAAACTCGAAAAATAGGCTTTAGAAGGCTTCCCAAGGCTTCCCAAGGCTTTTCCAGGCTTTTCCAGGCTTCAGGCCCCCCAAAAAACTCACATGAATTGCTCCATTATCAGTTCCATGAAAACTATTCGGTAATTGATATTCATAATCAGCGAAATCTGAAAAATCTCGAATTTCAGCTCAGATTTCAATTTCAGCTCGAACCTTTCAGCAATTTCACAGCATACGGTGTATTTCTAGCAATATAACTTCCAGCCATAATTTCCCAATTATAAAATCGGTCATAAAATGTGACATCAATATTGTCATCCATGTATTCCTCGATTCTTCTGGAAAAATCGGGCTTTAGGGGGCCTTTTAGGCCTAGAAAACCAACTTTTTCGGATTAACCACTCCAATATCAGCGTCTAGAAATAGAATCGCGTCATATTTTGGCAGGATTTTTGCGGCCACACAATGACGACGGAAAAATTTCTGAAATTTTTTTTTTTTTTTTTTGAAAAAAAAAATTTCGAACCAGAAAAAACCCACGTCTTTATGATTGCAGTTGAATTTGTCGTCCATGACGCGCAGAAAATCGTAGCCCTGGATTTTTGCGTAACATTGCACGGATTCTGGAATTTTCAGCGTTTTCAGCACAAAATTTTGGTCTAGAAAGATAATTGTGCCAAAAATTCCGAAAAAATGGATCAACCGGATTACTGTAGAAAATATAATGTTCTAGGCTGAAATTTTGTGCTGAAAATCATGAAATTCTTGATTTCTAGTGATTTTCAGCAATTTCACGATTTTCAGCGCAAAATTTTGGTCTAGAAGAAAATTGTGCCAAAAATTTCGAAGAAATGGATCAACTGGATTACTGTAGAAAAAAAATAGTGTTCTAGACTGAAATTTCGTGCTGAAACTTGTGGAATAACTGATTTTCAGCGATTTTCAGCATTTCCACGATTTTCAGCGCAAAATTTTGGCCTAGAAGAAAATTGTGCCGAAAATTCCGAAAAAATGGATCAACTTGTTAGATTACTGTAGAAAATAGTCTTCTAGGCTGAAATTTTGTGCTGAAAATCATAGAAAAATCGATTTTCAGTGATTTTCAGCAATTCCACGATTTTCAGCGCAAAATTTCAGCCTAGAAAATCTTCGAAGAAAATTGTGCCCGAAAATTCCGAAAAAATGGGTCAACTTGTTATATTACTGTAGAAAATATAATGTTTTAGGCTGAAATTTTGTGCTGAAAATCATGAAAATCTCAATTTCTAGTGATTTTCAGCAATTCCACGATTTTCAGCGCGAAATTTCAGTCTAGAAAGAAAATTGTGCCAAAAATTCCGAAAAAATGGATCAACTTGTTAGATTACTGTAGAAAAATAGTCTTCTAGGCTGAAATTTTGTGCTGAAAATCATGAAATTCTTGATTTCTAGAAATTTTCAGCGTTTCCATGATTTTCAGCGCAAAATTTTGGTCTAGAAAGAAAATTGTGCCAAAAATTCCGAAAAAATGGATCAACTTGTTAGATTACTGTAGAAAAATAGTCTTCTAGGCTGAAATTTTGTGCTGAAAATCATGAAATTCTTGATTTCTAGAAATTTTCAGCGTTTCCATGATTTTCAGCGCAAAATTTTGGTCTAGAAAGAAAATTGTGCCAAAAATTCCGAAAAAATGGATCAACTTGTTAGATTACTGTAGAAAAATAGTCTTCTAGGCTGAAATTTTGTGCTGAAAATCATGAAATTCTTGATTTCTAGAAATTTTCAGCGTTTCCATGATTTTCAGCGCAAAATTTTGGTCTAGAAAGAAAATTGTGCCAAAAATTCCGAAAAAATGGATCAACTTGTTAGATTACTGTAGAAAAATAGTCTTCTAGGCTGAAATTTTGTGCTGAAAATCATGAAATTCTTGATTTCTAGAAATTTTCAGCGTTTCCATGATTTTCAGCGCAAAATTTTGGTCTAGAAAGAAAATTGTGCCAAAAATTCCGAAAAAATGGATCAACTTGTTAGATTACTGTAGAAAAATAGTCTTCTAGGCTGAAATTTTGTGCTGAAAATCATGAAATTCTTGATTTCTAGAAATTTTCAGCGTTTCCATGATTTTCAGCGCAAAATTTTGGTCTAGAAAGAAAATTGTGCCAAAAATTCCGAAAAAATGGATCAACCGGAAATTTTTAGCTGAAAATAAGTTTCTAGGCTGAAATTTTGTGCTGAAAATCATGAAAACCTTGGTTTCCAGGGTTATTCAGCAATTCCATGATTTTCAGCGCAAAATTTCAGCATAGAAACTCTTCAAAGGGTACTGTAGAAAATTGTGCCAAAAATTCCGAAAAAATGGATCAACCGGAAATTTTTAGATGAAAATAAGTTTCTAGGCTGAAATTTCGTGCTGAAAATCATGGAAATCTCAATTTCTAGAAATTTTCAGCTTTCTCAGGATTTTCAGCGCGAAATTTCAGCCAGGAAAGAAAATTGTGCCAAAAATTCCGAAAAATTGGATCAACTGGGATTACTGTAGAAAATAATGTTCTAGGTTGAAATTTTGTGCTGAAAATCATGAAATTCTTGATTTCTAGTGATTTTCAGCGTTTTCATGATTTTCAGCGCAAAATTTCAGTCTAGAAACTCTTCAAACTAAATTGTGCACAAAAGTTCCGAAAAAATGGATCAACCGGAAATTTTTAGCTGAAAATAACTTTCCAGGCTGAAATTTTGTGCTGAAAATCATGAAAATCTTAATTTCTCGTGATTTTCAGCTTTTCCATGATTTTCAGCGTGAAATTTAGGTCTAGAAACTTATTTTCAGCTGAAATTTTGTGCTGAAAATCATAAAAATCTTCAAAAATCTCACCTTAAGTACCTTAAAGCCCCTAAAAAAAAACTCACTAATCGCAATTTCATAATTCTCCTGACTAGTTCCAGCCGTAATAACAACAACAATCGCAATTTTTCTCGATTTCGCGCCGAAATTGTAGGAATTTTCAGTGAATTTCAGAATTTTCGGATTTTCAGACGTGAAAATAAAATAGGCCAAAAAAATCAGAGTTAGACAAAATGCGAAAAATTTCCAAAAAATCCCATTTTTCTGGGGACCCACGTGGATTTTGGTGTATTTTGGTGGCATTTTTAATTTTGAAGGAAAATTTGGGAAAAATAAATTTTTGGGGGTCAGACTTAGGCTAAATTCGAGGAGGGGAAAAGCTGAATAAATATTGAAATTTTGAGAAATTTTCAAATATTTGTATTAAAAATCGTAATAATCCAATATTTTTGTAACAAAAAATAGAAAAAAATTTGAATTTTTAATTTTTCGTGGGAAATTTGAGCCAAAAACTATCAGAAAAAAAAAAGTTTTTTTTGATAAAAAAATTTTTTTTTATTTGAAAATGATTACTGTAGCTCCAGGTTTTCTGTAGCTCTCGAACTGCAAGGATTACTGTGGCTCTAGAACTGCAAAGGGTTACAGTAGCTTCAGAAGTAATTTACCCAGAACTGCAAAGGATTACGGTATTCAGACTGCTAAGATTACGGTAGCCCCAGGTTTACTGTAGCTCTCGAACTACAAGGATTACTGTAGCTCAAAAACCAGAAAAATGTTTGCCACGTGGATTTTTGATCCAAAATTGAATTTTTAACATTTTTTTTAGAAAAATATTTTCCACGTGGAATTTTTCCAAAAAAATATTTATCAAAAATTTTTTTAAAAATTTTAATTTTTAAAAAATTTAAAATTTTTTTTAAATCAAAAAAAATGTTTGCCACGTGGATTGTTCGCTACAGTAACCCAATTTTTTGCGGTTCAACAAAACAAGATTTCTCCGGAAAACAAAAACACACCTGCCAGCTGAGACCAGAGAACACAACCAAAAAAAAATTAATTTATTTTCGGCCGCCCCCCCCCAAATTTTCAGCGCACAAAATTCCAGATTTTTTCCAGATTTTCTGCGGCTGAAAATGTTGGACGTCGCAATTCTACCCGTCGCCATTTTCATGTCAATTTTCGTGTTATTCGGCATTTCCGGAAATCTAGTTATGATAACTTGTGTGATTTTGACGAAAAAATTTCGATCACCCTGTCATTTTTTAATCGGTTTCACGTGTTTCGCGGATGGTATGCATATTTGTGGACAAATTCCGTTTTTGGTCCATTTTTTTGGGAATTGTGAGTGAAAATTTGGGATTTTTTGACAGGGTACTGTAGAAAATTGTGCCAAAAATTCCGAAAAAATGGATCAACTGGGATTACTGTAGAAAAATAGTTTTCTTGGCTGAAATTTTCTGCTGAAACTCAAGGAAACACTGATTTTCAGCAATTTTCAGCAATTCCATGAGTTTCAGCGCAAAATTTCAGTCTTCAAAGAAAATTATGCCAAAAATTCCGAAAAAATGGATCAACCGGATTACTGTAGAAAAATATTCTTCTAGGCTGAAATTTTGTGCTGAAACTTGTGAAATTCTTGATTTCTAGTGATTTTCAGCAATTCCCTGATTTTCAGCGTGAAATTTTGATCTAGAAACTTCTCAAAAGCTACTGTAGAAAATTGTGCCAAAAATTCCAAAAAAAAGGATCAACTGGGATTACTGTAGAAAAATAGTTTTCTAGACTGAAATTTTGTGCTGAAAATCACAGAAACATTCATTTCCAGCGATTTTCAGCATTTCCATGATTTTCAGCGCAAAATTTCATTCTAGAACGAAAATTGTGCCAAAAGTTCCGAAAAAATGGATCAACCAGAAAAAATCTGAAAATAAGTTTCTAGGCTGAAATTTTGTGCTGGAAATCATGGAAATCACAATTTCTAGAAATTTTCAGCAATTCCATGTGTTTCAGCACAAAATTTCAGCCTACCAAGAAAATTGTGCCAAAAATTCCGAAAAAAATGGATCAACCGGAAAAAAAAGCTAAAAATAAGTTTCTAGACTGAAATTTTGTGCTGAAACTCGTGGAAATCTTGATTTCTAGTGATTTTCAGCATTTCCATGATTTTCAGCACAAAATTTCAGCCTAGAAAGAAAATTGTGCCAAAAATTCCAAAAAAAAATGGATCAACTGGGATTACTGTAGAAAATAAGTTTCTAGGCTGAAATTTTGTGCTGAAACTCATAGAATCATCTATTTTTCCAGTAACCTCCTCTCAATCCCAATGCTATTTCATGTGTTTCCTCCCCCTCCTCGGGGCCCTTTCGGGCGGCCCCCTCATCCTGGCTATGGGCCTGGATCGTCTGATCGCCGTCAAATTTCCCACAAAATATCGATTTTATCAGGAAAATCCGCAAATTTATATGATTTTCCAGCTAATTTTTCCAATTTCATATTCATTTTCAATTTTGGCCTACGGATTTTCATTGAGAGAAAATGAAAATCAGATAATTTGCTCAAATCCCATGGCGCTACGTGGAAAATCTTTCCAAATTTTCACCTACTCATCAGCTCTCATCTATTTCCTTGTAATTCTTATCTACCTTAAAGTCTACCTTATTTTAAAGACGCACACTAATCTGAGCAATCATCAAAATTCCTCTACAAATATTTTCCGAAGTCTCGCGGTTACTGTAGGTATCGTAGTCGGCGGTTGGACGTTGACTACGGTAGTGAATATTTTTTCGTATCAAATTTCGAAGGAAAATTCGGAGGTGGTTCAGGTTTATGCGGGATTGGCGGTGAATGCGGCGATGGCTAGTAATGTTTTCATTTTTTATGGGATCAAGTGAGTTTTAGGGGGCTTTGGGGGGCTTTAGGGGGCCCTTAAGGGCCTTTAGAGGGCTTTAGGGGTCTTTAGAAGGCTTCAGAGGGCTTTAGGGGTCTTTAGAGGGCTTCAGAGGGCTTTAGGGGCCCTTGGAGGGCTTCTAGAGGCTTTAGAGGGCTTTAAAGGGCTCCTATAGGCTTTTGAAGGCTTTTGGGGGCTTTGGAGGGCTTTAGGGGCCCTTAGGGGCCTGTAGAGGGCTTCAGGAGGCTTTATAGGGCTTTAGGGGCCGTTAGGGGCCGTTAGGGGCCCTTAGAGGGCTTTAGAGGTCCTTTAGAAAAAAAATTGTGCCACGTGGATTTTCAAAAAAAAAAAAAAAAATTTTCCCCCAAATTTTTCAGCTGCAAAGTTCAAACCACCTTTTCCCCCCGGGTTTTGAGCACAATTTTTTTGGCTCAAAAAAATCTGATTTTTCAATTTTTTCTGTTTCCAAAAGTCAAAATCACCCGAAAAACCACATGATTTTGAGTCATTGCAAATTTTCAGCCAATTTTTTTGCAGTTCTGAATATCGAAAAGTGATTCGTCAACTTTTATTTGGCTGCCACCAGAAATCATCAATTTCATCAACTTGTAATAAAATCGAGAATTCAGTTAGGATAACTCCACGCAAAATGACGTCATCGGTTTGAGAAAATTGAAATTTTTGATCTACCAATATTTTTGGAATCTTTTTTCGAATGATTCCTATTTCTTTCATCCCACCAGCCATATTTTTATTTTTTTGCGCAATTTTCGGAATTTTCGGAAATTCCACAATGCTAATTTGTATCGTCAAAACCAGGTTTGTATCCCAACAATTTTCAGCGAATCTGAAAATTTCAGAAAATTCCAAACACCTTGTCATTTTTTGATCGGTTTCACGTGTTTGGCAGATGGTTTACATGTCATTGGACAATTTGTGTTTTGTTGGCAGCTTTTCGGTGGATGTGAGCAAATTTTTTTTTCGTGGCAAAATTCCAAGTCTAAAAAAAATTTTCCAGACACTTCTACCCAAACCAATTGTTTTCTAATGCTTCTTCCAGCAATTCTAGGCTATACAATTAGCGGGCCTTTAATTCTCGGCCTAGGTTTGGACCGTTTAATCGCTGTTAAATATCCACAATTCTACAGTACCCTTCACAAACATCCAATTGCATATATTTTTATCCAATTAATTTGCCCACTCATCTACAGTACTCTTTTCTTGGCTTATGGTTATTGGAGTACTGTAGATGCTACAGTACTTTGTTCAAATCCAGTTGCATTAAATGCCCCAGTTTTTCAAATTTTTACCTATTCATCTGCTCTTATTTACCTTATCGTCATTATTATTTACCTTAAAGTCTACCTGATTTTAAAGGCGCACAAGAATTCATCTAGCAATATCTTCCGATCGATCGCGGTTACTGTAGGTATCGTAGTCGGTGGCTGGGCTGTGACTACGGTAGCCAATATCGTCTCCTACCTATTTCCCGGCGAAAATTTTGAGCTATTTCAAGTCTACGCGGGCGTCGCTGTAAATTTTGCAGTTTCGGCGAATATTCTGGTTTTCTACGCGATAAATTTGGATTATCGATTGGCGATTCGACAACTTCTGGGGCTCAAAATGCCGTGTGTGATAGATCAACAAAACGTGCCGTCGATCCGTACAATTTGAAGTTTGCCACGTCATAGCTCATAAATATATTCTTATATTTTCTCTCTCTCCCTTTAATTATACCCTGTTACTTGGAAAAAAGTCACATGTGCTCAGGGAAAAAAACAACAGAAAAAATATTTCTAGTTTTTGGTCTGGATCAAAGTTTATTTGTTGTCGGTGTGGGAAAATAGTTGGAATTTAGGCTAACTTGTGACTAGGAGTAGCAAAAATTGGATCACAAGCAGCCGCGCCTAGAGGAGATGTCTGACAAGGAGCCGCGCCTTGAGGAGATGTCTGACAAGCAACTGAGCCTTGAGGTGGTGTTTGTCAAGCATCGGAGTCTAGACAACATTGCTGACAAGCATCTGAGCCTTGAGGAGATGTCTGACAAGCAACCGAGCCTAGGCAAACAGCTTCGTAAGCAACCGCTCCTATACAGCATATGTTTCAAGCAGCCGCGCCTAGAGATTAGGGCTGTCAAGCAGCTGAGCCTTGAGAATCTGTTTGTCAAGAAGCCGAACCTAGACTAAATGTTTGACAAGCAGTAAACCCTATACAATATAGGTTTCAAGCAGCCAACACTATACAATATAGGGGTCAAGCAGCCGCACCTAGAGATTAGAGCTGTCAAGCATCTAAGCCTAGACGAAATTGCTGACTAGCTTCTCAAGCAACCGCTTCTATACAACATGTGTTTCAAGCAGCCGAGCCTTGAGAAGATGTCTGTCATGCAGCCGTGCCTTCAGGTAATGCCTGACAAGCAGCGAAGCCTAGAGATTAGGGCTGTCAAGCAGCCGCTCCTAGACTAAAAATCTCTCAAGCAACCACTCCTACACAATCTTCTATTTCATCAAAAAATTTTTCAGCCATCTGAAAAAAAATGCATAAATATTTACATAAATCACGCGGCTTTTTTTTTAGATTTTTTTTTCAGAATTTTTTTGAGTTCGGCTAACTAACTGACTGACTAATAGGCTATTTTAGTCAAAAAAAAAAATCAAAATCTCTTGGATTTTCCCACCACGCGACACAAACTCCAAAGAAACATTTTCTCACGGGCGGAGCCCTGAGAGCTCTGCAACATTTTCAGAATTTTTCAGAAGCTTCTGTATCTCCAGAAGCCAAAAAAATGCTCGACTACATCCCCAAAGAGCTGCTGCCTTTGGGAATTTTCCTATTTTTTTGCGCACTCATCGGAGTTATCGGAAATCTCATCATGCTCATTGTCGTCGTCAGAACCAAGTGATTTTTCAGAGATTTTCAGATTTTCAGCCAAAAAATCTGAAATTTTCAGACGTTTCCGCTCACCCTGTCATGTGTTAATTGCGATCACTTGTGTGGCCGATGCGATTCATATTTCGGGACAATTTCCGTTTTGTGTGCATCTTTTTGGGAATTGTGAGTCCGAAAATTGGCTGCGTACATTGATTAGATACTCAGCCAACCCAAAACATCGTATTTTTTATGTTCTTTAACTTAGATAGCTCAAATTGGCTGCGTACCTTGATTAGATACTCAGGCAACCCAAAATATGCCTTGTTTAGTATCAAAATATCGCATTTTTCATGTATTTTTAACTTATATAGCTCAATTTGGCTGCGTACCTTTTTTGGATACTCAGCCAACCCAAAAAATGTTCCCAAACTACATGCACTAAAAGTTTAACCCAATTATTTTTATTTTATTAACCCTAAGTTGCCCTAACGCCCTTAAGGAAATTTTTTTAAAGAAAAAAAGAAAAAAAAATTTGGGGGCCCAAAACTCCAATTTTTTTTTTACAGTAACCTCCACCCAAGCCCAATGCTATTTCATGTTAACCGGCCCGATTGTGGGCCTAACCACAGGCGGCCCCCTAATCTTAGCAATGGGTATAGATCGTCTGATCGCCGTCAAATTTCCCACGCGCTACAGATATTATCAGGAGGAGCCCAGGAGCTATATTATTGTCCAACTCATTTTCCCGATTTCCTATGCCGTCACATTTTTGATCTACGGTTTCTGGGTTCGCGATTCGAATGTGAAAAATCAAATAATCTGCTCGAATCCGCTGGCATTACGTGACACGGCATTTCAAATGTTCACCTATTCCAGTGGAATTATTTATGTTTTTGTGGGAGTTATATATTTGAGTGTTTATTGCTTGCTGAAAAGCAATAAAGCTAGTGAGTTTGGCTGAAAATTGTTTCTCTCATGATTTTCAGCACAAAATTTCAGCCTAGAAAACTATTTGATCCATTTTTTCGGAATTTTTGGCACAATTTTCTTTCTAGGCTGAAATTTTGCGCTGAAATTCATGGAATTGCTGAAAATCGCTGAAAATCACTATTTCCATGAGTTTCAGCACAAAATTTCAGCCTAGAAACTCATTTTTCTACAGTAATCTGGTTGATCCATTTTTTTGGAATTAGTGGCACAATTTTTCTACAGTATCCTTTGAAAAGTTTCTAGATCAAAATTTAGTGCTGAAATTCAATATTTTCATGATTTTCAGCACAAAATTTCAGTTTTACATAAAAAAAACACATATCTCATTCCAGGCGCCCGTTTCAAAAGTGTCTTTCGAAGTCTCGCGGTTACTGTAGGTATCGTAGTCTTCGGCTGGGTCACAACTACAGTAGCCAACACTTTGAGCTATAATATTACATCGGATACTTATACTGCACAATTGATACAAATGTATGCTGGAATTACAGTCAACTCGTCGGCTGCTGCTAATATTTTTGTTTTCTATTTTATCAAGTGAGTTTGGACTCGAAAAAATCAGAAAAATGCTGAAATTTTGATGAAAAATGAGATTTTCAGCGATTTTCAGCTAGTTCACGATTTTCAGCGCAAAATTTTAGTCTAGAAACTCTTCAAAAGGTACTGTAGAAAATTGTGCCGCAGATTCCAAAAAAATGGATCAACCGGGTTACTGTAGAAAAACAGTTTTCTAGGCTCAAATTTTGTGCTGAAACTCAGGAAAATAGTAATTTTCAGCGATTTCCAGCGATTTCATGAGTTTCAGCGCAAAATTTCAGCCTAGAAAGAACATTGTGTCGAAAATTCCGAAAAAATGGATCAACCGGGTTACTGTAGAAAAATGAGTTTCAAGGTTGAAATTTTGTGCTGAAACTCATAGAAACATTGATTTTCAGCGCTGAATATCGCGGAGCCATTCGTTTGCTCTTCGGAATCAAAGCTGGAACCGGTCCAATGTTCGAAGCTTCTAGCACAATGGTGACAAAAGTCAAAAAGGGAGCCGATCCGATTTCAGAATCTGGCAAGAAAAGTGTGATTCAGACGAGGAAAATGACAGTAATCTAGAATTTTTTGCTGAATTTCTTTGAATAAATTTTTTTCTGGTTTTTCTGATCTCAAAAAATCCAATCTTCGATTTTTTTTCGGGAAAATTAATTATTTTTTCCCATTTTTTTGGCAGTCAACAATTTTTGGTCACATTTTTCTTCCAACTTAAAATTCTAGATCACAAATTTGCGTCATAAGGACTAAAACCTGATTAAAGGACAATTTTTGGTCTCAAATTGGCTGCGTACCTTGATTAGATACTCAGGCAACCCAAAATATGACTGTTTAGTATCAAAATATCGCATTTCTCATGTTCTTCAACTTAGATAGCTCAAATTGGCTGCGTACATTGATTAGATACTCAGGCAACCCAATATATGCCTTGTTTAGTATCAAAATATCGCATTTTTCATGTTCTTTAACATTAGATACTCAGCCAACGCTCAAATTGGCTGCGTACTTTAGATTTTTTTTAAAATATTATGTATGTAGTCTAATTGCTCATGTTAGTCACATTTTTCAAAAAACAGAAAAAATACGTAGGCTGTGGGATTTTATGAAAAAAATGTATAAATAAGTTCATTTGTCATCATTTTCCATGTGATTTGATATATAATATGAGCAATACACATTGCTCATATTAACCAGAAAACATGAGTTATGTTTTTCTGATTAATATGAGCAATGCCCTTTTTCGCTTTTTCAAGTACACATTATATATGTGTACCTGAATTTAATTATAGTCTGAAAATTTGTGCGCACGCCGATTTTTTTCAGACAAAAAAAAATCTGAAAATTTCAGATTTTTTTTTGAAAATGTTGGACTACATTCCTTCACTAATTCTACCGATTGGCATATTTTTTTTCGTGAATTCGATTGTTGGAGTTACCGGAAATGCGATTATGGTTTTGTGCTTCTTTCAGAACAAGTTTGTGGGCTTTTAGGGGGCTTTTGGGGGCTTTTACGGGCATCTCTGGGCTTCTAGGGGCCTTTAGAAGCTTCCAAAGGCTTCTAAGGGCTTCTAAGGGCTTCTAGAAGCTTTTAGGGGCTTCTAGGGGCTTCTAAGGCTTCCTAAGGCTTTTAAGGGCTTCTAGGGGCTTCGAGAGGCTTCTAGAGGCTTCTAGGGGGTTCTAGAAGCTTTTAGCGGCTTCTAAGGGCTTCTAAGGGCTTCTAGAGGCTTTAGAGGGCTTCTAGAGGCTTCTAGAGGCTCCTGGGGGCTTTTAGGGGCTTCTAGGTGCTTCTGAAGGCTTCTAAGGGCTTCTAGGGGCTTTTAAAGGCTTTTAGAAGCTTCTAGGGGCTTCTAGGGGCTTCTAGAGGCTTCTATGGGCTTCTAGGGGCTTCTCAGGGCTTCTAGGGGCTTCTAAGGGCTTCTAGGGGCTTCTAGAAGCTTTTAGGGGCTTCCTAAGGCTATTAAAGGCTTCCTGAAGCTTCTAAGGGCTCCTGAGGGCTTTTAGGAGCTTCTAGGGGCTTCTAGAGGCTTCTAGAGCCCCCCAAAGCCCATATTTTCCAGAAGACTCCGCTCACCCTGTCATATTTTCATAACACTTTCATGTTTTGCCGATTTAATCCACCTGGCAGCACATTTCATCTATGCCTATTATCTTTTTTGGAAACAGTAGGTCAAACTTTTTTTTTCCCCAAAAAAATCCCACCTCAAAATTCCCAGGAACCAACACAGTCTCCAATTGCTACTTTCAACTCTTCATTCCACTTTTGGGTCTAACTGGAGCCGGTCCACTGATTCTTGCGATGGGTGTAGATCGACTGATTGCTGTCAAATTCCCCACTAAATATCGGCAATATACAGAGGAACCTCGGAAGTATGTGATGTTTCATCTGATCTTTCCAGTATTGTATATCGGAAGTTGTATGGGTTATGGTTATGAGACAAAGTTGACTGATCCAAAAGTGTGAGTTTCTAGCCTGAAAATCAATATTTCCATGAGTTTCAGCGCGAAATTTCAGCCTAGAAGACTATTTTTCTACAGTAATCCCAGTTGATCCATTTTTTCGGAATTTTTGGCACAATTTTCTACAGTAGTCAAAAATATTTCTAGACCAAAATTTTGTGCTGAAGCTCATGGAATTGCTGAAAATCGTTGAAAATTATTATTTCCATGAGTTTCAGCGCAAAATTTCAGCCTAGAAGACAATTTTTCTACAATAACCCGGTTGATCCAATTTTTCGGAATTTTTGGCACAATTTTCATTCTAGGCTGAAATTTTGCGCTGGAAATCATGAAATCGCTGAAAATAACCAAAAATCATTATTTCCACGAGTTTCAGTACAAAATTTCAGCCTAGAAAAGTGTTTTTCTACAGTAATCAAGTTGAGCCATTTTTTCGGAACTTTTGGCACAATTTTTCTACAGTAGCTTTTGAGAAGTTTCTAGACCAAAATTTTGCGCTGAAAATCATGGAATGGTTGAAAATCGCTGAAAATCATCCCCATTTCCAGCCAAATAACGTGCGCAGTACCTCTTGGCCTCTGGGGTGCCGCATTTCAATTCTTCACCTACACCTCCGCCCTGATCTACGCTCTAGTCGTCATAGTCTACCTAACCGTATATATTTTGCTCAAATCCTCCAGTGCCAGTGAGTTTTTCATTCCCACGCTCACCAGATTCTTAAGCTACAATTTCTCAAGGCGCAAGGTTCAAAAGTGTATTCAAATCAATCTCGATTACTGTAGGTCTGGTGGTTTTTGGTTGGGTTACAACTACAGTAGCCAATACATTGAGCTATGAGGTGACTTCAGATGAATTTTTGGCGATTGTGATTCAGATGTATGCGGGAGTTAGCGTAAATCTGGCGGCTACTTCGAATGTTTTTGTTTTTTATTGGATTAAGTGAGTGGGGAGGCCTTGGGAAGCCTTGGGAAGCCTTGGGAACCCAAAAATCCAATTAATTTTCAGCTCCGAATACCGTGAAGTCATCAAATCAATCCTGGGCCTGAAAAACAAGGCCAAAACGATCAATTTTGAGGCCTCTACCGTATCTGTGCACCCGAATCGCAAGCAAACTATGATAGCTTGAAAAATTTTTGAAAATAAATTTTTTTTGCGCAAAAAAAAGCTGGAAAATCGTGGATTCTGGAAGATCTGGAAGATCAGAAAGATGCCACGTCATCAGATTTTTGATCTCAAATTTTCAATTTTTTTTCTCAAAATTAAAATCATAGTCATCCCGAAAAGTTCAGTGAAACAAAAATTGAATCATTTTTTTTTTTGAATTTTCCAATCCAAATTGTGAGCTCAGAAGCTTAAAAATGGCCTAGAAATCCAAATTTTGAACTCAGAAGCTTAAAAATGGCCCAGAAATCGAAATTTTGAGCTCAGAAGCCTTAAAAATGGCCTAGAAATCCAAATTGTGAGCTCAGAAGCTTAAAAATGGCCTAGAAATCCAAATTTTGAACTCAGAAGCTTAAAAATGGCCTAGAAATCCAAATTTTGAGCTCAGAAGCTTAAAAATGGCCTAGAAATCCAAATTTTGAGCTTAGAAGCTTAAAAATGGCCTAGAAATCCAAATTTTGAGCAGGGAACTTGAGCTTGTTTGATTTAGAGCAAAGTTTAAAATTCAAAATTAATTAATTAAAAATCTGTGCCATGTGAGTTTAATCAACTTGAAATTGTATACAATTTAGCATAACTTGTGACATCAAAAAAAAAACAAAAATAATTTTTTTTTTCGTGTTTTGCACTTCCTGTTATTCGAAAAAAATACTGGGAATTATATCTACAGTACTCTCTCTGGCGTCAAAAAAAATATTTTTTTGAAAAATAAAAATAAATTAATTTTCCAAGAATTTCTTCAGACATCATTGTCATCAAGTTCAGAAAACATTTTTTAATTTCAGCAGCTCAGAAAAATTATTTTCAGATTTTCCAGAGCACAACTTAGCCTAACTTATGTAGAACGTGGTTTTTGATGTCATTTTTTTTCAAAAAAAAAATTTTTTTCTATTGAAAACAAGTCTAATTTTCTATAGAAAAATGAGTTTTCCTGGACTTTGCTCGATTTTTTTTTAGAAAAAAAAAATCTTGAATTTGAGCTTCTTAGATTTGGCTTAAATTTAAGAAAAAATTGGATTTTTAGTGATTTTTAAGCAAAATTCTAGAATTCCCTTAAAAACACAAAATTTTTAAGCTTCTGAGTTCAAAATTTGGATTTCTAGGCTATTTTTAAGCTTCTGAGTTCAGAATTTGGATTTCTAGGCCATTTTCAATGTTCTGAGGCCAAAATTTGGATTTCTAGGCCATTTTTAAGCTTTTGAGCTCACAATTTGGATTTCTAGGCCATTTTTAAGCTTCTGAGCTCAAAATTTGGATTTCTAGGCCAATTTTAAGCTTCTGAGCTCAAAATTTGGATTTCTAGGCCATTTTTAAGCTTCTGAGCTCACAATTTGGATTTCTAGGCCATTTTCAAGCTTCTGAGCTCACAATTTGGATTTCTAGGCCATTTTCAAGCTTCTGAGCTCAAAATTTGGATTTCTAGGCCATTTTTAAGCTTCTGAGCTCAAAATTTGGATTTCTAGGCCATTTTTAAGCTTCTGAGCTCACAATTTGGATTTCTAGGCCATTTTTCAAGCTTCTGAGCTCAAAATTTGGATTTCTAGGCCAATCTGAAGATCTTGAACCAAAGATCCAACCCACACAAAATACGATCTTTGAAAAAAATCCAGATTTTGTTTTGTATTTTCCAGAAAGTGCCATTGAGATGGCTAGACTTTCCCAAAGCTCCGCCCATTTTTTGAGCCCTATAAAAGAGCTTCGGAAATTTTCAGATCTGAAATTTTCAGCCAACATTTGACATTCCTCCAAAAAGCTCCAGCCCCATAAAACCTGTCTGAAATTTCTAGATTTTCAGATTTCCGAGTCTGAAAATGTCCGACGCTCATTGGCTATGGATCACGAATGTGTGCAGTTCGATTGGTGTCGTCACCACACTTATCGCCAATTGCACATTGCTCACAATGCTCTATTTGCGGCCCTCAAAAGCCATGGGAAGCTATCAGTATTTGATGGCGATTTTCAGCATTTTCAGCATGTTTTACACGGCGGTGGAGACTTTTTTGAGACCGGTAAGGGATTTGGAGAGCTTCAGAGGGCTTTAGAGGGCTTTAGAGGGCTTTGGGGGGCTCCTAGAGGCTTCCCAAGGCTTTTCAAGGCTTCCCAAGGCTTTTCAAGGCTTCCCAAGGCTTCCCTAGGCTTCCCAAGGCTTCCCAAGGCTTCAGAAGGCCTCAGAAGGCTTCTCAAGGCTTCCCAAGGCTTCCCAAGTGGATTTTCCTACAGTAACCCGAGGGTTTTGGGTTACTGTAGCTCAAATTTTTTTCGAGAGATTCTGGGTACTGTAAGAGGTCGGGTTACTGTGGCTGAATTGGAAAATTACAGTACTTAGAAATCTGAGCTACAGTAACCTAAGTTTCTGGTAGATCAAAATTTTTGCAGGGTACTGTAGCTCAAAAACTGCAAACTTTAATGGGAATAAAAGAACTACAGTACCCCCCCGGGTTACTGTAGCTCAAAAAAACACACAAATTAGAAGCTACAGTACCCCTCAAAAAATAGTGCCATGAAAGGATCCAAAAATTCTGGTAGCTCAAAAAACTGCAAATTTTCCCGGGTGAAAAACTACAGTACTCCGCGGGTTACTGTAGAAACTCCAAGTTACCCTAACTACCCTAATTCTTTGCAGATAATGCACATTTACGATAGCACGGTGTTTGTGATCCAAAGAAAACGCTTCGATTATTCTTCAACTGTGGCCCGAGCGATTTCTTGTGAGTTTTTAGGCCTTAGGCCCAAGCCTAAGGCCTAGGCTTGGGCTTAGGCCTAAGCCTTAGGCCCAAGCCTAAGCCTAGGCCTAGGCCTAAGCTTAAGGCCCTGAGTACCTTAACACCCCTAAAATCCAGCCACCTACTGCGGTTGCTACTCGATGAGTTTCGTTCTGTTCGCCGTCCACTTCATCTACCGCTTCTTCGTCTCATGCAAGTAAGCACCGCACAGAAATGTGGGCGTGGCCTGTGCTGCAACCCTGGCACACTTTCTAAATTTTTGCAGACCCCACCTTCTACAGTACTTTCAAGGCGCATATTTCATTATTTGGGTGTTTGGTGCGATGGTGGGAGCGGGAAGTTGGGGCGGAGCGGTTTTCCTACTGTACCCGGAGACCGAGCGGACCCGGGCTTCGCTTTTACACGTGTTGGAGACGTCGTATGGGCTGGACCCGGCGCATGTCGGATGCGTGCCTTATAATTATGTGAGTTTGCTGTCTAGTCGTCTAGATTCTCTGCGTCTCTAACCCTCTAGCTTCTCTGCACTCTCTCAAAAACCTATGTTCTCTAGCCGTCTAACCTTTACTGCGTCTCTGATAATCCGGTGCTCTCTAACCGTCTGGCATCTCTAACCCTCTAGCTCTAAATTTCAAGCGGCAAAACTTACAAATTCTATTTTTTCTGTAGAATTTTTTGAGCGCGAAAATTTGAAAATTCAAATTTTTTGAACCACGTAATTCAAAAATTCAAATTTCCCGCTCTCTAGCTTCTCTGCGTCTCTGATTCTTGCAGTGTTCCCTAGCCGTCTAGCATCTCTAACATCAAAGAAATCTCTCTGCGTCTTTAGCCTCTCTGCACTCTCCAAAAAACCCATGCTCTCTAGACGTCTAGTGTCTCTGCGTCTCTGATTCTATTCGTCTAACATCAATGCAATCCCTCTGCGTCTCTGATAATCCGGTGCTTTCTAGTCTCTGCGTCTCTAATAACCACATTTTCTCTAGGGTGTCTGCCTTCTCTGCACTCTCTGAAAACCCCGTGATCTCTAGCTGTCTAGCTTCTCTGCGTCTCTATAAATCTAGTGCTCTCTAGCTTCCTAACCTCTCTGCGTCTCTGATAATCCAGTGCTCTCTATCTAGCTTCTCTGCACTCTCTAAAACCCCATGCTCTCTAGCTGTCTGGCTTCCGCAAGCTTGCGCGAAGCGCTCCGGAATCTTCCGCGTAGCGGTTCGAGCGGAGCGAGTGTATTTCCCTCTGCGTCTCTAACCGTATACCTTCTCTGCATCCGACCTCTAGCTTCTCTAGCCGTCTAGCTTCTCTGCACTCTCCAAAAATCCTATGCTCTCTAGCTGTCTCGCGCGTCAGCGCCCCGGAATCTTCCGCGCAGCGGCTCGAGCGGAGCGAGTGTATTTCCCTCTGCGTCTCTAACCGCCTCCAAATATTCCTGTTACAGTTCGTGACTGGCCCCAACGGCCTCGACATTCCCAACTACAAAAACACGATCGGCGTAATTCAACACTACATCGTGATGGGTCTCTCATTCGGTTCCGTCTTCTACTGCGGCATCACAACCCATCTCAACATCAGGCGACACAAAAAGATCGGAGGAGTGTCCGACAGAACTCGTGATCTACAAACCCAACTTTTTCGCGCGCTGGTTTTGCAGACTGTGATTCCAATGATCTTCATGTATATTCCGATAACCCTTCTGTTTATTGTCCCATTTTTTAAATGGGATGTGGGAAGTTGGGCGAATGTTACCACTTCTTCAGTTCATCTTTACCCGGGAATCGATCCGATGGTTCTACTTTTTCTCATTAAAGATTATCGACGAACTATTTTCCGGTTTTTCAGCCGAAAAAAGCTTGGAAAAGTTGATGGAAGTACTTCGATGGTGAAATCGAGGTTGAGTATAACATGAGCAATGCTTGATCATTTTTTTGAATAAATTTTTCATATTGATTTACCTTCTGAAGCCTTCTAGAGCCTTTTGAAGCCCTCTAAAGCCCTTTTTCAGCCAAAAACCCAAAATTCCAGCCCAAAATTCAAATTTCCAGCTAAATTTAGTTAATTTTCAACGAAAAACTGGATTTTTCAGCTGTTTCTATCAATTTTCAGCCAAAAACTCAAACTTTCAGCCAAAGAACCAAACTTCCAGCTTTTTCTTCAATTTTCAGCCATAAATTCAAATTTTCAGCGTTTTCTTCTTTTCTAGGTCATTTTCAATAAATTTTCAATGAAAAATTCAAATTTTCAGTCAATTTTCAGCTTTTTTCTTCACTTCTAGGTCATTTTCAGTCAACTTTTGATGAAAAATTAAAATTTTCAGTCAAAAATTCAAATTTTCAGCTAAATTTAGTCAATTTCTAATGAAAAACTGGATTTTTCAGCTATTTGTATCAATTTTCAGCCCAAAAACCAAATTTCTAGACATTTTCAGCCATAAATTCAAATTTCCAGCTGAATTTAGTTAATTTTCAACGAAAAACTGGATTTTTCAGCTTTTTGTATCAATTTCAGCCAAAAATTCAAATTTTCAGTCATTTTCAGCTCAAAAACCAAATTTCTAGACATTTTCAGTCAAAAATTCAAATTTCCAGCTAAATTCAGTCAATTTTTGATAAAAATTCAAATTTTCAGCTATTTGTATCAATTTTCAGCCAAAAAACCAAATTTCTTGTCATTTTCAGCCCGAAAATTCAAATTTTCAGCTTTTCATTCAATTTCAGTCAATTTTTGATGAAAAATTCGAATTTTCAGTCAATTTTCAGCCCACAAAAGCCGCTCACCTTGCTGCATCAGCGAAGAACTCCAGAAGTTGTACAATTTCGATGGGCCGCAGGCAAATTGTAGGCGAATTCGCTGAAATATGAGCAATTTCAGGTCAAAAATCTGAAATTTTCAGCCAAAACTCACTCATCTACACAATAATTCCACCAAAAATCGATTTTTCCAAGAAAAATGCTGAAATTTTCCTGAAAAAACACAAAATTTCACCCGGAAACGAAAAAACCGCGAAAAATGAAAAAATGCCAACAATGCGCTAAACAACAGGCAAGCCGTCATTCAGCGGAGTGTCGTTGTGAAAAATGCGATTTTTTTTTTTTGAAAAATCGATTTTTGATGGAAAATCGATGGGAAAATGGAGTTTTGGAGGGAAATTTGTGAGTTTAATGGAAAATTTATGAAATTTTAGATTTTTCAGGGCTGAAATTTGAGAAAAAATATGATTTTTAGTGAATTTTGCAAAAAAAAAATAGAAAAATTCATTATAAAAATTTGTTAACACAAAACTCGTCGGAAAAATTGAAAAAATACAATCGATAGTGTCCACCGGCGAATTTTTGCTTCAGAATCGCATATTTTCGATCGGCCAAAATTTTGTGCACAAAATTTTTGAATTCCGATTTTTGCTCCACGGTGCCTTTGTGGACCTGGAAAAAAATGAGCCTTGGGAGGCCTTGGAAAGCCTTAGAAGCCTCGGGAAGCCTTGGGAAGCCTCGGGAAGCCTTCTGAAGCCCTCTAATGCCCTCTAAAGCCCTTTAAAGCCCCCTAAAGCCCCTTAAAGCCCCCTAAACCGTACCTCCATATTCATTTGACATACAGTAATCCCATTCTGGTCCAAAGTTCCAAATTCAAAAAAATATTCGAATAATTCGTATTCCGAATACTCATTATCCATCCACAAATGATCGATGTGCTGGATTTTCAGCACCATTTTCAGAAAATACAAAAATCGCATGTGAAACACCGCAATATTTTTGTACTTCTTTTGGAAAAGCACGCTGGCCTCGAAAAATCCATCGCTTCCGCTGATTGCCAACGGAAAAAATGTGCCGATTTTGGAGAAGAGCTCGGCGTTGTCGAGGAACATCGGATCGGCGCCGATGAATTTGAGAGGGACACCGATTTTTGAGGAGGCCTGGAAGTTTTGGGGATTTTTGGCAGGCTCAAAAATCCACGTGGCAAAATTTTTTCCAAAATTTTTTTGAGGGCTCTTGAGCTCTTCTTAACATGAGCAATCATGAATTTTAATGAGCGTGTTTAATATGAGCAATGGTTTTTTTTTCAAATTTTTTTCAGAAAATTCAAATTTTAATTTCAAAAATCCACGTGGCTGAAATTTCTCCGAAATTTCGAAAAATTGAAATTTTAAATCCTAAATTAAAAATTTCAAAAATCCAATTTTTTTCTAGAAAATTCAAATTTTAATTTTAAAAAAATTTGATACCAAACAAGCCTAGGGTTACTGTAGAAAAATCCACGTGGCAAAATTTCTTTTAAAAATTTCTGAACTATTTTTTTTTAACCTAAATTTAAAATTTGAAGAATCCACGTGGCAATTAAATTTTTCTAGAAAATTCAAAATTTCGCGCTGAAAATCCACGTGGCAACCAATTTTTTCCGAAATTTCTAAAAATTGAATTTTCAATCTTAAATTTTTCAAAAAAATTTCAAAAATCCACGTGGCAAAATTTTTTTTTTAGAAAATTATCCAAATTTACACCAAGTTTGAATTTAAATCCTAAATTTTTGAAAAAAAAACTTATTTTTGACGCCAAAAATCATGTCTAGGCTTAAAATTCATGAATTTTCACGATTTTCACATCAAAAATCATCATTTTTTGTCCCAAAATCTCCCAAAACTCACATTTTTCAACGCCATTTCCGCTCGAATATCCTTTCCAATTCCCAGCGTCAACACCAAATCCTCAAATTCGACCATTTGATGTCGCAAATTCGGCAAAATCGCCAGTTTCACCTCATCCGAATTGTTGAATTTCTCGATTTTCAGTTTTTGATCCACTTCTGTCAATTTCGAACATTCATCCAAGTGTTTTTTGGTCGTGTTCCAGAACTGCAAAAAAAATTTGAATTTTGGTGGAAAAATTGGGAAATTTGATGAAAATTTAGATTTTTCTGGCTGAAATTTGAAAAAAATACGATTTTCAGTGAATTTTGAGCTGAAAATCTGAAAATTTCCTTTAAAAACACGGAATTTCACCCGGAAAACGCGAAAAAAAAGCGGAAAATGAAAAAATGCCAACAATGCGCTAAACAACAGGCAAGCCGTCATTCAGCGGAGTGTCGTTGTGAAAAATGCGTTTTTTTTTTTGAAAAATCTATAATTTCTGGTTTTTTCGGTGAAAATTGATGAAAAAGTGGAATTTTGGAGGGAAATTTGTGAGTTTAATAAAAAATTTATGAAAATTCAGGTTTTTCTGGCTGAAATTTGTAGGTTAGGTCAAAAAAATGTGAAATTTTCGAATTTTTTCCCAAAAAAACTTAATTTCAGGTCGAAAATCTGTTTCTAGATCAGAATTTTGTGCTGAAAATCATGAAAATCCTTGTTTTCAGCGATTTTCAGCTTTTTTTCCAGTTTCAGCGCAAAATTCTGATATAGAAACACTTTTCAGCTCTGAAAATGTGAAATTTTCGAATTTTTTCGCAAGAAACTTAATTTCAGCTCGAAAATCGATTTCTAGGCTGAAATTTTTTGCTGAAAATCATGAAAATCCTTGTTTTCAGCGATTTTCAGCTATTTTTCCAGTTTCAGCGCAAAATTCTGGTCTAGAAACACTTTTCAGCTCTGAAAATATGAAATTTTCGAATTTTTTTCCGAAAAACTTAATTTCATGTCGAAAATCTCTTTTTAGATCACAATTTTTTGCTGAAACTGGAAAAATAGCTGAAAATCGCAGAAAACAAGGATTTTCATGATTTTCAGCGCAAAATTCTGATCTAGAAACACTTTTCAGCTCTGAAAATGTGAAATTTTCGAATTTTTTCCCGAAAAACTTAATTTCAGGTCGAAAATCTGTTTCTAGATCAGAATTTTGTGCTGAAAATCATGGAAATCCTTGTTTTCAGCGATTTTCAGCTATTTTTCCAGTTTCAGCACAAAATTCTGGTCTAGAAACACTTTTCACCTCTGAAAATTTGAAATTTTCCAGGTTTTCCAGGCTGAAAACTTAATTTCAGGTCGAAAATCTGTTTCTAGATCAGAATTTTGTGCTGAAACTGGAAAAATAGCTGAAAATCGCTGAAAACTAAGATTTTCAGGATTTTCAGCGCAAAATTCTGATCTAGAAACACTTTTCAGCTCTGAAATTGTGAAATTTTCCAGGTTTTCCCGGCTGAAAATTTCAAATTTCGCGCCATTTTCCACTCACCTTCTCTGAATCCTCCTCAAAATCAAACTCTCTCATCGCACACTTGTGCCATTGCTCAAAAATTGGTGCTCTTTTTGATTTTGGCGCCAAATTCTGCCCAATTTTCGCGCCAAAACCTTCAGCTCCCCCAAAATTCATGGCAATATTTAAAATGAGCAATATGGTGACGAAAAACAGGAGAATTAGTGTGAAATGCGTTCGAGCCATGAGATTTTAGATCAAAAATTCTTTTTGAACAAAAAAATTTTTGACTATTTGGACTTTTTTGTTCAAAATCTCATTTTTTGCGAATATTTGAGCAGCTTTTTCTTTTTCTTTTTTTTTTTTTTTGAAAAAAAAATCCATTTTCTCTTTGTTTTTCCTCAAAAAATGTTTGTTTTGGACAAAAATTTCACACCGTATTTGTAAATTCCAAAATTAGTGCTACAAAAATGGATCAACCATTTTTAGGCGAAAATTTTGAATCTAAACATGCCACGTGGCATTTTTCGGACAAAAAAAATCGATTTTATGATTTTTCGGGCCCATAAAAAAATTTGAACCAAAAAATTTTAATGAATTTTTTTCTCGTGGAATGCGATTTTTACTAAATTTTTTGGTTTTGGTGATTTTTGCGGGGATGAATTTTGTGTAGGTTTAGAAAAAATACTGGAATTAATTTCAGATTGGAATTTGTAGCGAAAAATTGAAGATTTTTGGTGGAAAAATTCTGAAATTTGATGAATTCAGAAGCTCAAAATTCTCAACCCGAATTTCAAAATTTAAAATTCAGGATTCTGAAATTTTGAATTTCAGGATTCTGGATTTCTAAAATCAAATTTCAGAATCTCAAATTTCAGATTAAAATTTCAAAATTGTATCTAAAAATTCTGAAATTTCAAAATTCTAACTGAAAATTCTGAATCTCAAATTTTCCAAGCTGAATTTCAAAATTGTATCTAAAAATTCTGAATTTCAGAATTCAGAATTTAGGATCTCAAGTTTCAGGTTAAAATTTCAAAATCCAATTTCAGGATTCTGAAATTCAGAATTCAGAATCTCAAATTTCTCAACCTGAATTTCAAAATTCAATTTCAGGATTTCGAATTTCCCAGCCTGAACTTCAGGGCTCCAAAATCCCATTTTCAAAATCTAAAAATATAATTTCAGGATTCTGAATTTCTGAATTCAGGATCTCAAATTTCAGATTGAAATTACAGAATTGGAGCTGAAAATTCTGAGTTTTAGAATACAGAATCTCAAAAATCCCAATCTGAATTTCAAAATTTAATTTCAGGATTCTGGATTTCAGAATTGGAGCTGAAAATTCTGAGTTTCAGAAGTCAGAATCTCAAAAATCCCAATCTGAATTTGAGGGCTCCAACTTCTGAAATTTAATTTCAGGATTCTGAAATTTTGAATTCAGGATCTCAATTTTCAATTTCAAAATTCTACCTGAAAATTCTGAATTTCAGAATTCAGGATCTCAAATTTTCAACCTGAATTTTAAAATTCAATTTCAGAATTTCAAAATTTAATTTCCCAGGATTCTGAACTTCTGAATTCAGGATCTCAAATTTCTCAACCTGAACTTCAGGATTCCTAATTTCAAATTCCAATTCCAGAATTCTGAAGCGCCACGTGGATTCTCCCAAAACCCCCCTGGAAATCCGCAAGCTCCAATTCAACCCCAAACTTTTGCTCCGCCAAAAATTCAAAACCTATTCGGGCACCGAACTTCTATCCGATATAAAAGATCTAGTTCTGGATCAATTCGGATTCGACCTCAAAAAAGCCACGTCACCATTTCTAACCCTCCGAAAGTCGCAAAAATGGGATTGCTCAGATTATACTACGGTGGATTTCAGGGAACTGGTCCAGGCGGCCCGAAAGCCCGTGAAATATCTACCGGATAACAAGTGGGCCCATCAATTTTTGTTGGGCAAATTTGTTGGCGTCACTTATGTGGTAGGTCTAATTGCCACGTGGCATTTTTTGTGTGCTCAGCCAAGTTTGCTCAGCTTTTTTTTCTGCAGAACTACACGGACTCTCGAAAAATGCTCGGGGAAATTGAGGAAAGTTGGCATCATTTGAACGAAATGCTCCATGAATGGAGCCCAAGGGAGATTGTGAAAATTGGCCGGAATCCAGAAATTTGTAGGTTCCGCAGGCAGTGGGGATCGATCCCGCGACCTTTTTCTTGGAAATTTAGAGTCTTGTGGACTTCTAGAGCCTCCTGAAGCCTCCTGAAGCCCTCTGAAGCCTTCTGAAGCCTTCTGAAGCCCTCTGAAGCCTCCTGAAGCCTTTTAGAGCCTTCTGAAGTCCTTAAAAGCCTTCTGAAGCCTCCGGAAGCCTTCTGAAGCCTCCTGAAGCCCTCAGAAGCCCCCTAAAGCCTTTTTTTTGAGTTTAGATAAGCCCCACCCCAAAAAACTCACAAATCCACCAAAATCCATCAATTTTCCACCAAAAACTCGATTTTGCACCCAAAATTCCATCATTTTTCCTGAAAAAACACGAAATTTCACCTGGAAAACGAAAAAAAAAGCGAAAAAATGGAAAAATGCCAACAATGCGCTAAACAACAGGCAAGCCGTCATTTAGCGGAGTGTCGTTGTGAAAAATGCGTTTTTTTTTTTTTGAGAAAATCGATTTTTTAGTGAAAATTGATGGAAAAGTGGGATTTTGGAGGGAAAAAATACATTTTAATAGAAAATTTATGAAAATTCAGGTTTTTCTGGCTGAAATTGGAGAAAAAAAATTGGATTTTTAGTGAATTTTGAGCTGAAAATTAGTTTTTTTCTCAGAAAATTCTGAAAAATGCCAACAATGCGCTAAACAACAGGCAAGCCGTCATTCAGCGGAGTGTCGTTGTGAAAAATGCGTCCCCTGACCCTTTGAGCCAGAAATTTCGAGAAAAAAATTGGAAAAAAAATTCCGCAGGCAACGGGGATCGATCCCCTGACCTTTTGAGTCAGAAATTTCGAGAAAACAGCAAAAGCCCAGCCTGAAGCTCAGCCTAAAGCTTAGCCTAAAGCCCAGCCTAAAGCCCAGTCCGGCCCGGCCTAAACCCCACCCTAATTCCAGTATCCCTCCATCACGCCCTGCTCAAATACCCAATCGCCAATCAAAACGGCCTAATCCTCTCACACATCGATCCAGTCGCCGAACTCCTGGCCCTAAAAGCCCAGGCCGCCAGCTTATTCTCAACGGGCCTCACCCGGCGGGCCTCCAAAAATTATAGGCTTCAAGTAGGCCACCAGATTGCTCATGTTAACAACACCCAAAATTATGATTTTGTGATAACTTCTGGAGTGCTCGAAAAACTTGGGCTCGGAAGTTTCGGCGAAGAATTGGACGCGTGGGCCGATCTGGACCTGCTCAATATTTTTCACTGCGTTTTGCGGCCCGGCGGCCTTTTATACCTCGAATTACCGGTCGGAAAGGATAACATCATTTTCAATGGCCTTCGGATTTATGGAATTCTACGGATTCCGATGCTCATCTCGGACTTCGAATTGATCGCCACCTTCGACTCCGAACATCTAGAACCCTCGGAAATTTCAGCCAAATTCCTGTGGGATATCGAGAATTTTCGGGCGGCCCGTAGAACTTTGGTTTTGCGAAAAACTGGATTTTTATAATCCGATTTGATTTTTCATACATTTTATTTTTGGTTACCTGTTTTTGTCCAATAAATTTATTGTTTTTGTACAATTTTTCAAAGGAACATCCTAAATTTAGCTTAAAATGCCTGTGTTCCTTTAAAATCGCTGCGAGACCCAAAGGTTTTTAAAGGAACATACAGTTTTTCAATAAATTTATTGTTTTTGTACAATTTTTGTTAGAGGGTTTTAAAGGAACATCCCAAATTTAGCTTAAAATTCCTGTGTTCCTTTAAAATCGCTGCGAGACCCAAAGGTTTTTAAAGGAACATACAGTTTTTCAATAAATTTATTGTTTTTGTACAATTTTTGTTAGAGGGTTTTAAAAAGGAACATCCCAAATTTAGATTAAAATGCCCATGTTCCTTTAAAATCGCTGTAAGACCCGGAGGTTTTTAAAGGAACATACAGTTTTTCAATAAATTTGTTGTTTTTGTACAATTTTTGTACAATTTTTTAAAGGAACATCCTAAATTTATGTTAGAATATGCCCATGTTCCTTTAAAATCGTTGCGAGACCCAGGGGTTGTTAAAGGAACATACAGTTTTTCAATAAATTCATTGTTTTTGTACAATTTTTGTTAGAGGTTTTTAAAGGAACATTCTAAATTTAGCTTAAAATGCCCATGTTCCTTTAAAACCGTGCCAAGACCCATAGGCTTTTAAAGGAACATACAGTTTTTCAATAAATTTATTGTTTTTGTTCAATTTTTGTTAGGTTTTTTTAAAGGAACATCCTAAATCTAAATAAAAAAATGTATATGTTCCTTTAAAATCGTTGCGAGACCCAGGGGTTGTTAAAGGAACATACAGTTTTTCAATAAATTTGTTGTTTTTGTACAATTTTTTCACATTTTTTTAAAGGTATATCCTAAATTTAGCTTAAAATGTCCATGTTCCTTTAAAAAAATCGCTGCGAGACCCAGAGGTTTTTAAAGGAACATACAGTAGATATCCTAAAGTTTTGGAGTTTTTCAATAAATTTATTGTTTTTGTACAATTTTTTCACAATTTTAAAGGAACATGAAATAATAATCCTAGAATTTTTAGGTTTTTAAAGGAACATCCTGAATTTAATTAAAAATATGCCTATGTTCTTTTAAAATCGCTGTGAGAGCCAGAGGTTTTTAAAGGAACATACAGTAGATATCCTAAGGTTTTCAAGATTTTGAATTAATTTATTGTTTTTGTACAATTTTTGTTTTTTTTTAAAGGAACATGAAATAAATATCCTAGAATTTTTAGGGTTTTTAAAGGAACATCCTTAATTTAATTAAAAATATGGCTATGTTCCTTTAAAATTCGTAATTTTTAAAGGAACACGAAGTAGATTTCCAATTTTAAAATCTAAAAATTTAAATTCAAGATTCTGAATTTCAGAATTCTGAATCTAAAAATTCCCAGCCTGAACTTCAGGATTCCGAATCCCATTTTCAAAATCTAAAAATTTAATCTCAGGATTCTGAGTTTCAGAATTTCGGAGCTCAAAATTGCCAAGCTGAATTTCAAAATTTAATTTCAGGATTCTGGTTTTCTCAACCTGAACTTCAGGGCTCCAAAATCCAAATTCCAATTTCGAAAATTTGATTCCAGGATTCTGAATTTCTGAATTCTGAATCTTAAAGTTCAGTATAAAATTTCAATCCTTAATTTAATTAAAAATATGGCTATGTTCCTTTAAAATTCGTAATTTTTAAAGGAACACGAAGTAGATTGCTGTACCTTTAAATTCGACTCGAGACCCATAGGCTTTTAAAGGAACATCCCCAAAACCCACCCACAATATGGCTATGTCCCTTTAAATTCTTCTCGAGACCCAGGGGTTTTTGAAGGGACATATTTAACATAGTTAAAAACATCTCTATGTCCCTTTAAATCCAATTTTAAAGGAACATGAAGTAGATTACTGTACCATTAAATTCTTCTCGAGACCTATAGGCTTTTAAAGGAACATACCTTCTCCAGCCTCATTTAGAAGATTCCAGATGTTCTACCTGATCTTCTCACTGCTCCTGATCTCCATTATCGACAAATCCGAACAAGTTCAATGCTACGGTGGCGATCAAGAAGTTGGCGGAACTCAAAACGAGGATTTCGTGGATTATAATTGTCCATCTCTGTGGTCCTGTTTCATCTTGATTCAGCAGCGAAAATTAGCGGGGTCCGGTGAAAATGGGACCATGTTGGTGATGAGAAAAGGGTGTGTGGAGAAGGCGGTGGAGGTGGATTTTGATGGAGCGGTAAGCCACGTGGCAGAGCTGAAATTCATTTGAAAATTGCGATTTTTTCAGCCCTCCTGCTTCAATTTTGATTTCACCAACTCTTCCTCCGAAATTTTCAGCAATGATTTCAGATGTACTTGCAGCAAGGTCGGTTTTTTGCTCTGAAAATGATATCTGAAATTATATTTTGTAGGATTTCTGCAATGGTGGAGATGAGCCGAGTTCGGCTAACTCGATTTTTGGATTTTTTGGGTGTTTATTGATTAGTGTTGTCATAAATTTTTAATTAATTAATTAATTAATTAAAAAATTAAATCAGGTTACATGAATACCAAATCGTCTTCATCCGCATCGTCATCGATGAAGCAGGCACTTCCGGCGAAGGATTTTCGGTCGAATCCAAAGCCGTACAGATATCGGGATGAGCCTGGAAGATTTGAGGGCTTTTCTGGGCTTTTCTGGGCTTTTCTGGGCTTCCCAAGGCTTCTTAAGGCTTTCCAAGGGCTTCAGAGGGCTTCAGGGGCTTCAGGAGGCTTTTTTTTCTATTTTTAAGGTTCTAAGCTCAAAAATGAGGAGTTTGGGTGATTTTCAAGCTTATTAACTTAAAAATACCAAATTTCTATCAAAAATTTCGAATTTTCAGTAATTTTTAGCTGAAAATTCCAGCCGGAGCTTTCAAAAAATCATCAGAAGGTTTTAGAAAAATCCAGAAGGCTTCAGAAGGCTTCAGAAGGCTTCAGGAGGCTTCAGAAGGCTCTATAAGGGCTCTGGAAGGCTTCAGAAGGCTTCAGAAGGCTCTGGAAGGCTTCAGAAGGCTCTGGAAGGCTTCAGAAGGCTTCAGTGGGCTTCCCAAGTGTATTTTACTACAGTAACCCTAGGCTTATTCGATGTCAAGTTTTCTGAAATTCAAATTTCTCTAAAATTTCGGAAAAAAATTGATTGCCACGTGGATTTTCCTACAGTAACCTTAAGCTCAATTTTCTGAGAGTCAAATTCAAATTTTCTAGGAAAAAATGTTTTGCCACGTGGATTTCTCAAAAATTCAAGATTGAAAATTCAAAATTCTGGATTTTTTCCAAATTTCTTTAAAAAAAAGGATTGAAAACTGAATTTTTCAAAATTTCGGAAAAAATTTTGGATTTTTTAGCGCGAAAATTTGAATTTTCTCAAAAAAATTACATGAAAAAAATACCATTGCTCATATTAAACACCGTGTTTCTCATATAAGATTGTAAAGCTTCCCAGGGCTTCCCGAGGCTTCCCGAGGCTCCCAAAAGCTCCCCAAGGCTTCCCAGGGCTTCCCGAGGCTTCCCGAGGCTTCCCAAAAGCTCCCCAAGGCTTCCCAAGGCTTCCCAAGGCTTCCCTAGGCTTCCCAAGGCTTCCCAAGGCTTCCCGGCCCAAAAAACACTCATCTTCCTGCGTCACAACCCAGACGCGATAAAAAAGTGCACAAAAACACAAAAACAAAAATGTGTGCCACGTCATAACTCCTCAAAAATTTACCTAGCTGCTTGTAGTCAATCATGTCAACATCAATATTGGGCTCAAAAGCGGTGCTCAAATTTCTGGCCTTCTCCGATTCGATTTGAACTTCAGGAAGCCCCTCGGGGGCCTCTCCAGGGCCCGCTGCTCCTGGGCCCGTCGGGCCCATCATCATTCCCATCCTCGCAAAAGCCCCCAACTGGGCCATACCGAGGCCCAATCCACGATTGATGCTCAGCTTTTGGGCCATCTGCAAAAAAATATTTAAAAAAAATTTTTTTTTTGTTGACTGAGCTGTTATTTTTCAACAAAAGTGCAACAAATTGATATAAAAATGCTCCAAATTTTCAGATTTTTTCAAAAAAAAATGTATAAAATTATTTTGTGTGTGCTCTTTTTAATGGTCCCTGGGAGCATTGCTCAGGATAACATTGCTCAGGCTAACGCCACCGCTTCAAGTTCGAATATCATTTGTGAATTGTGCCAGGATGCTCTTGAACTTCTCGCAACTCAGATCAATGTGCTCGATCATTTGACGGCTAATGATTTGGGAGGTTTGACTGATGTGAGTTAACCTGAGCAATCTAGGGCTTTAATATGAGCAATGAAGGTTACAGAATATTTCTATTAACCTGAGCAATCGAATAGCTAAAATAGGTGATCTTGCAGTTAATCTGAGCAATCCTATAGAAGCCAAAAAAACCGCAAAAATGAAAAATGCGCTAAACAACAGGCAAGCCGTCATTTAGCGGAGTGTCGTTGTGAAAAATGCTTTTTTTTTTTGGAAAATCGATTTTTTAGTGAAAATTGATGGAAAATTGGAATTTTGGAGGGAAATTTAAGAGTTTAAAAGAAAATTGATGAAAATTCAGGTTTTTCTGTCTGAAATTTGAAAAAAATACGATTTTTAGTGAATTTTAAGCTGAAAATTCCTTTTTTTCCCTAAAAAACACGAAATTTCACTCGGAAAACGCGAAAAAAGAAAAATGCGCTAAACAACAGGCAAGCCTTCAGCGGAGTGTCGTTGTGAAAAATGCGCGTTTTTTTTTTTTTGAAAAATCGATTTTTGAGTGAAAATTGATGGAAAAAATGGAATTTTGGAGGGAAATTTGTGAAAATTCAGGTTTTTCTGGCTGAAATTTGAGGAAAAATACGATTTTTAGTGAATTTCAAGCTGAAAATTCCTTCGGAAGCCTAGGGAAGCCTTGGGAAGCCTTGGGAAGCCTTCTGAATCCCAATTTTTCAGCGCCTCTGCTCTCTGGCTCCGCGTAAAATCCCAATCGTCGACACGTTGTGCACAGTTCTACGTGATGATCTGGTCGACGCCCTGATTCGACTTGTGCGCGGTCTACAAAAACAGACGAGCCCCCAAGTGCTCTGCGGATATTTGAGCCAGTTTCGGGCCTGGCATGTGACCAAAGCTCTGAAAGCTTCCAGGCATTGCAACATTCTAAATGCTCCGGAAAAAAATCTGGAGCATCGTTATTGATTTTTTTTCAAAATTTCTTCTCTCTGTGATAAAAAGTTCTATTTTTTTGTGATTGTTATTGTAATTGATTGTATCTTGACCTGAGCAATGTAAAAAGCTAGGCAAGCTACTAATCTGAGCAATGGTGCTCTTTAGAAGCACTAATCTGAGCAATGTTTTGAATACAAGGATATTTGAGAAGCTACTAATATGAGCAATGCTTTCAAAACTAAAAAATTGTTCTTCAGAAGCTTTAATCTGAGCAATGGTGCTCTTTAGAAGCTCTAATCTGAGCAATGTTTTGAATTTCTTCAAAAAATGCTTAAAATGAGCCTTCTAATCTGAGCAATGTTCTGAATTTCAAAAAAAAACCACAAAACTATTTGAGAAGCTAACATGAGCAATGGTTTTGAATTTCAGACCTTCTAACCTGAGCAATGTATCAGAATTTCATCAAAACTGTCTAAAATGAGCCTTCTAACCTGAGCAATGTTCTGAATTTTAATGAGGGGGGAGATTGACGTGTTTTTTGTAGGTTGGAAATTTGCTGGCGCTTTTCCAGTAGCCTAGAGTTTTGCTGACGCTTTTTCAGTAGCCTAGTATTTCACTGACGCATTTCTAGAAGCTCAAAACTTCGCTGACGCTTTTCCAGTAGCCTACAATTTTGCTGACGCTTTTCCAGTAGCTTAGAACGTTGCTGACGTCTTTTTAGTAAAAAATATTCATTTTTCAGAAGCTAACATGAGCAATCTATCAGAATTTCATCAAAAAATCGCTTAACATGAGCAATGGTCTGGAAAATGCTATAAATTCATTTTCAGACGTGGAAAAATTCTGAAAATCAGATTTCTAACTGCCACGTCATTTAAATTTTCAAAAAAAAAATTTTTCCACGTCACTTCCTTATTTTCATGACCTAAAAGAGCTCCACATGTGCACTTTTTTGTGTCAAAAACATTTTTTCAAATTTTTTAATGCGTCATCAAAAAAAAATGATAAGATTGTGTTGTTGTGTGCCTTTAAAAGGGGTCCAAAAAATCACATTTTTTTGAATTTGGAAGTGAAAATGAAATCAATTCTTTGCTTTTTCCTTGTCCTCCTGGTTTCCGGCTCATTTGGAGCAATTTTGCTACAAAATGCTCCAGGAAAACACGCGAATCTTCAAATTTTGTGCAATTTGTGCCAGGAGGGATTCGGATTGGTTCAGAAGAATTTGAAAACGCTGGAGGCGTTGACAAATGATGATTTGGTTGGATTGATTAATGTGAGTTCTACTGAAGTTCTAGCTGGAATTCTGGATCTAGAAGATCTAGATCTTCTGGAAGATCTAGCTGGAATTCAAGATCTTCTAGAAGATCCAGACCTCCCAGAACTTCCAGCTAAATTCCCTGATCTTCCAGAACATCTGCCAACTCGCCCCAGATCTCGACATAGTTCACACAGTTTGCGATGTGGTTCGAGATGATCTCGTCGATTCGCTCAACAAATTTTTGCAATTTTTGGAAAGATCCGCGCAACCTTCGGCAGTTTGTAAACAACTTTTTGTTTGTCAGTGAATAAATTTGATTAATATGAGCAATCTATATACATTTTAGAAATTTCAAGGCTTCCCAAGGCTTCCCAAGGCTTCCCAAGGCTTCCCAAGGCTTCCCAAGGCTTCCCGAGGCTTCCCAAGGCTTCCCAAGGCTTCCCAAGGCTTCTCAAGGCTTCCCAAGGCTTCCCAAGGCTTCCCAAGGCTTCCCAAGGCTTCCCAAAGGCTTCCCAAGGCTTCCCAAGGCTTCCCAAGGCTTCTCAAGGCTTCCCAAGGCTTCAGAAGGCTTCAAGCTGAACCTATAAACTGAGCAATCTCAGAGCTCTAATCTGAGCAATCCTTCTGCAGTATCCGCTTAGAATTTGAGATTAATCTGAGCAATCTTTACAGTAAGATTATCAAGCTTAAATTCTGATCTGAGCAATTTCTCTACAGTAACCCAGATTACTGTAGACACCACAGATCAAAAAAAAAGTGCACACGTTGTTTTTATCAGCTCACAACATTTTCATATTTTGTAGCAATAACAACACCTCTGACGTCATCGGTTATCTACAGTAACCCAGAGAAATCTACAGTAACCCGTAGAGTACTGTAGTTGTTTTAATATGACGTAGAAGATCTAATACTTGCGAAATTTGAAAAAAAAATTCCAAAAATTTGCACTTTTTCCTGGCTGATAAGAGAAGTTTTGGTATAAAAAGAGCAGATTTTCAGCTGGGAAAATCAGTCTGAAAATGCTGAAATTTTTGATTTTCCTATTTCTCGTCGTAAATTGCGAATCGCAATTGGGAAATCAGCGAAATCGCGAGATTTTGTGCAATTTGTGCCAAGCGAAATTGGAGCACATTTCCAGAAAAATCGAAGCGATCGGACACGTTTTGAATGCCACGTTGGCACCGTTGGTTGAGGTATTTAGGGCCCTAAAGCCCTTAGAAGCCTTGGGAAGCCCTCTAAAGCCCCCCTAAAGCCCTCTAAAGCCCTCTGGAGCCTTCTAAAGCCTTCTAAAGCCCCCTAAAGCCCCCTAAAGCCCCCAAACCCCATTTTCAGCCAAATATCACTTTCAGCTCGGCTGTCAAGATCCGCCAGAACTTGAAATTCTCCAACTCCCATGTCTGGTGGCTCAAAACATCGTGCTGAAGCAGATCCCGGAATTTCTGAGCAATTTGACCCAGAATTTCGAGCCCTCGAAAATTTGCAATTCTTTATTGGGCTGCTCCGAGGAGCCAGATGCAAAGTCGTAAAATTTTTAATTTCAAAAAAAATTTTTTTTATTGTGGAAATAAATTATTTATATGTTTGCGTGTTTTTTGATGAGCTGGGGGGAGATTGACGCATTTTTTGTAGGTTGGAATTTTGCTGACGTCTTTTCGGTAGCTTAGAATTCTGCTGACGCATTTCTAGTAGCTTGGAATTTTGCTGACGCTTTTCTACCAGCCTAGAATTTTACTGGTGCATTTCTAGCAGCCTAGAATCTCGCTGACGCTTTTCTAGAAGCCTAGAATTTCGCTGACGCATTTCTAGCAGCCTGGAATTATGCTGACGCATTTCTAGAAGCTTAGAATTTCACTGACGCATTTCTAGAAGGCTAGAACTTTGCTGACGCATTTCTAGAAGCTCAGAATTTCGCTGACGCATTTCCAGTAGCCTAGAATTTTGCTGACGCTTTTCTAGTAGCCTGGAATTATGCTGACGCTTTTCTAGTAGCTTGGAATTTTGCTGACGCATTTCTAGTAGCCTAGAATTTTGCTGACGCATTTCCAGTGGCTCAGAATTTCGCTGACGCTTTTCTAGTAGCCTAGAATTTCACTGACGCATCTCTGGTAGTTAAAAAAAACAGTTTTTAGTTCCTTGTGACGTCAAAAAAAGTACAAAAACAAAAAACATACCAATTTTTTTTTGTTTTTTTTTTTTCAAATTTTTTTTTTCAAGTTGATAACAATTTTTGAGTGATATAAATCTTCTTGTTTTTCGAATTTTGTTGCTCAAAAATTTTTTTTTGAAATTTTAAAATTTCAAAAAAAATGTACAGTACTACTGTTCCGCTAGTCATTCTACTGGCCCATTTTTCGTTGGTCGGAGGTTACGGTGTGATTTGGAAGGTGCGTTGGGCCTAGAGCCTTTTTAGGGCCCTCAGAAGCCTTGGAAAGCCCCTAAAGCCCCCTAAAGCCCCCTAAAGCCCTTTAAAGCCGAAAATCCACGTGGCAAATAGTATTTGAAAAATTTCTGAAACACTTTTTTTGAACCTAAATTTCAAAAATTTCAAAAATCCACGTGGCAAATTTTTTTCCGAAATTCTCAAATTTTAATTTCAAAAAATTTGATACCAAACAAGCCTAGGGTTACTGTAGAAAAATTCACGTGGCAAATTTAATTTGGAAATTTCAGAAAATTTTCAGTAAAAAAAAATCCACGTGGCAAACAATTTTTGGCAAATTTTAGAGAAATTTGAATTTTCACAATCTTGAATTTTTGAAAAATTTGAAAAATCCACGTGGCAGGGGTACTGTAGGAAAATCCACTTTTTCCTAAGCTTTTTAAGGCCTTCTGAAGCTTTCTGGAAGCTTCTGGAGCCTTCTGAAGGCCTTCTGGAAGCCTTCTGAAGCCTTCTAAGACCTTCTGAAGCCTTCTAAAGCCTTCTAAGAGCCCCCTGAAGCCCCCTGAAGCCCTCCAAAGCCTCAAAAATCAATTCCAGGACGATACAAATCCCATGTGTGGCCCATGTCAACTCGGCGTCGGTTTCGTCGAATCGCAGCTCAAAAAATTTGAGGGTGCCACCAAAAAAGATCTGAGCGATTTCGCCAAATCCGTATGCGCCAAGGCCCCAAAAATCGATATTTTTACCGTACTCTGCACTACGGTTCGTGATGATTTGATTGATGTTGTGATCAAAATCATCGAAGGAGTCGAGACACAAATTGATGCAAATCATACTTGTCGAGCTATTGGGGTTTGTTAGGTGGTTTTGTGGTTTGTGCTCATAAATTTTAATTTTCGATGTGAAATTTGATCTTGTTTGGTTTTTTTAGGCTTTTGGGCTTGGGCTTAGGCTTCAGAATCCGGTGAAAATTGGAATTCTGAACTTCAGAAGGTTTCAGAAGTCTTCAGAAAGCTTAATTCAGATTTTTCTAGAAAAAAATTGTTTGCCACGTGGATTTTTAAAATTTAATTTTCTCTGAAATTTGGCACAAATTGTGCGACGTGGATTTTGTTTTGCTCAAAATTTTCTGAAAATTCGAACAAAAAAATTTTTTCAAAAATTTCCGAATATAATTGTGCCACGTGGATTTTCCTACAGTAACACTGGGCTTGTTTGGTAGCAAATTTTCTGGAAATTAAAATTTGAAAATTTCGGAAACAGTTTTGCCACGTGGATTTTTGAAATTTCAAATTTGAGCTCAGTGGAGGGCTTTAGAGGGCTTTAGGGGGCTTCCCAAGGCTTCCCGAGGCTTCCCAGGGCTTCTAAAGGCTTCTCAAGGCTTCCCAAGGCTTCCGGAAGCTTCCTAAGGCTTCAGAAGGCTTCAATGAAATTCAGAAAGCTAAACTTTTGATAGAAATGCTGAAAAATCCATTTTTTCATTGAAAATTGACCAAATTTAGCTGAAAGTTTGAATTTTTCATCAAAAATTGACTGAAAATTATCTAAAATTGAATAAAAAGCTGGAAATTTGAATTTATGGCTGATATTTTGGGTTTTTTGGCTGAAAATTGCTTTAGAAGGCTTCAGAAGGCTCTAGAAGGCTTCAGAAGGCTCTAGAAGGCTTCAGAAGGCTCTGGGAGCCTTCAGAAGGCTTCCCAAGGCTTCTCAAATCTCTAGAAGGCTTCAGAAGGCTCTAGAAGGCTTCAGAAGGCTTCAGAAGGCTTCCCAAGGCTTCCCAAGGCTTCCCAAGGCTTCCCAGGGCTTCCCAAGGCTTCCCAGGGCTTCCCAAGGCTTCCCAAGGCTTCCCAAGGCTTCAGAAGGCTCCAGAACCCCACAAAATTCCAATTTTCCACCCCTGAACCTCACAAAAATCCCCTGATCTTATTATTTTTTGGAAATCAATCGAACTTGCCATCAACATTTTGTCGGCAATGATTCGAGCTTTGCCAACTTGTCGACCCATGTAATGAATATTGTGAATTATATTGGCTGCCACCACATCAACTGAAAAAATCAAATTTCAGATTTTCAGAAAATTTCCAGATTTTTCCAGCACCTACCTGCAATTGTCACCAAACTCACACCGAACACTATGAAGGCGATGATGTAGTAGACGGAAATTGAGGGACTGGAATGATTTTCAGCATTTTTTGGTGGATTTTCAGACTTCTGAAGCCTTCTGAAGCCTTGGGAAGCCCTCTAACGCCTTGAGAAGCCTTGGGAAGCCCTGGGAAGCCCCCTGAAGCCTCAGGTAGCCTTCTGAAGCCTTTAGAAGCCCTGAGAAGCCTTCAGAACAGACCTGGGAATTTTTTACGAGGCACCGTAAAACGTAAAACATACTTTTTACGGTTTTGAAAAACCGTAAAATTACGAGAAAAACGTAAAATTTTGTTACTCAATCTTTTCACTGAAAAATAGAAAACATTTCTTCAGAAATAGCGAGTTGGTAACTTATCGTAACTCCAACACATTTTTAACAATATTATTCTTCATATTCGTCAAAAAATTAATCAGTTAGGATTAAATCAAAATTTTCTTTGAAAAATGTTGTGTTTTTTTTGAAGTTTCTATTTGATTCTGTCAAAATTCACTATAATTAAACTATATTTAGTGATTTTTTTAAACGAATTATTTTACGATTTTTTGAGCGGTAAAACCGTAAAATGGATTTTACGGTGAAATCCCGTAAAAACCGTAAAACGATAAAAACGAAAACGTAAAAATTCCCAGGTCTGCTTCAGAAGATCAGCAAGACCTTCCGAAGTTCAGTAAAACCTTCTGAACTCCAGCAAAACCTACTGAACTTCTGAAAAGCCTTCTGAACTCCAGCAAGACCTTCTGAACTTCAGTGAATCTTTCCGAAGTTCAGGAAAAGCCTTCCGAACTTCTGAAAAGCCTTCCGAACTTCAGCAATACCTTCTGAAGTTCAGAAAGATCTTCTGAAGATCGGTAAAGCCTTCCGAAGTTCAGCAAGACCTCCTGAAGTTCAGAAATACTTTCCGAAGTTCAGGAAAACCTTCTGAACTCCAGCAAGACCTTCTGAAGATCGGTAAAGCCTTACGAAGATCAGTGAAGCCTTCTGAACTCCAGCAACACCTTCTGGAGTTCAGAAATACTTTCTGAATATCAGAAAAGCTTTCCGAAGTTCAGTGAAGGCTTCTGAACTCCAGCAAGACCTTCTGAACTTCAGAAATACCTTCCGATCTTCAGAAAAACCTTCTGAACTACAGCAAGACCTTCTGAACTCCAGCAAGACCTACTGAACTTCTGAAAAGCCTTCCGAACTCCAGAAAGATCTTCTGAACTCCAGCAAGACCTACTGAACTTCTGAAAAGCCTTCTGAACTCCAGCAAGACCTTCCGAAGCCCACCAACCTAACATCCCCATATCCAATCGTAAAAATCGTGATCGTACTGAAATAAATCCCATCAATCATCGAAACCCCAATCGCTTTCGCCATCGCAATTCCACCCAAAATCGAATAAGCCACCAAAAGTGACACCAGAACCACCATAAATGCTGTGATATTTTCATTGAAGAGTTTGGCGGAGAGATCAGCCAGGAACTTGCCAACATCTGACATCATAACTAGAGCCAGAGGGATTCCGAAGCCGGCGTAGATGCAGAGAATCAGACGGCCATGGGTGGTGAGTGGAGCTATGTAGCCGTAACCTGGAATTTAGATTTTTGGTGGGGGCTTTAGAAGGCCTTAGAGGGCTTTAGAGGGCCGTAGAAGGCTTTAAAATGCTTGAGAAGGCTTCAGAAGAACATTTTCAGCCAGAAAAATCTAAATTTTCATCAAATTTTCAATTAAACTCACAAATTTCCCTCCAAAATTCCACTTTTCCATCAATTTTCCCTCAAAAATCAGAAATTATCGATTTTTCAACGAAATTCAAGAAATTTCAGATTTTTCTGGCTGAAATTTGCGAAAAATATGATTTTTCATTGAATTTCAAGCCGAAAATTCCTTTTTTCCTCCGAAAATTCTAAAATTTTCCTGAAAAACCACAAAATTTCACCCGGAAAACGCAAAAAATGGAAAATGCCAACAATGCGCTAAACAACAGGCAAACCGTCATTCAGCGGAGTGTCGTTGTAAAAAACGCTGGTTTTTTTTTGAAAAATCGATAATTTCTGGTTTTTGAGTGAAAATTGATGGAAAAGTGAGATTTTTGAGCTGAAAATGTTGAAAATATGAATTTTTACCTGAAACTACTCTGAAAAATTCAAATTTTCAAAATTTTACTGCTTAAAAACCTTCAAATTTTCGGTGAAAATGCAAAATAAAAATTTTCAGCTAAATTTAAGCTCAGAATTCTTGAAATTCAACGAAAATTGAAGAATTGCTCATGTTAACCGTAAGAAAATCATAACATTTCAGAAATATAGCTGAAATTTTCAGGTTCCCTCGAAAAATGGGAATTTTTGAGTATAAACATGAAAATCTGCCAATTTTTATGCAAAATTTTGAATTTTCAGCTAAATTTAAGTTCAGAATTCTTGAAATTTCATTAAAATTGAAGAATTGCTCATATTAACCGAAAGAAAATCATAAAATTTCAGAAAAAATAGCAAAAATTTTTGAAATAAAAAAAAATCGCATTTTTCACAACGACACTCCGCTAAATGACGGCTTACCTGTTGTTTAGCGCATTTTTCATTTTTTTTTCTCGTTTTCTGGGTGAAATTTCGTGTTTTTAAAGGAAAATGATGGAATTTTTGTGGAAAATTGATGGATTTTGGGTCCTAGGCTTATTTGGGCTCAAAAAATAGGCTTTTTCGGGCTTCCCCAAGGCCTAAAAACTGACCAACTGGCACAATTGTAGTAGCTGTAAATAGCAGTGAACTGTCAGTGTTCCAAAGTGGCTGATAACTCGAATTTTCGCCCCGCCCAAAAAACATATTCTCAAACATATTCGCAGCCACCGGATGCGGAAACATTTTCATCAAATCGTGTGAAAAATTGTCCAGAAGACGATTTAGGCTCGCTTCCAAATGTGAACCGTTTTTCTTCGGGCCATTTTGATGCGCAATTTTCAGATTTTCCACGTTTTCCAGGAAATTTTGGCGAATCGCGGTGAGGTTTCGGGTGAAATTAGCCAGGAGGGCGAGCTGCAAAAATTTTCCGGTTAATATGAGCAATGCTCGAATTTTTTGCTGAAAATTCAAAATTTTGCATGAAATTTGGAAGATTTTCATATTTATACTCAAAAAATCTGAAAATTTCAGCTATTTTTCTGGTTAACATGAGCAATGTGTCATTTTCTGTGGAATTTTGGAATTTTAGACTGAAGAGACAGATTTTAAGCTTCCAAGCTGAAATTTTGCAGAAAATCCCAAATTTCTAGTCAAATCTTGAAAATTTCAGCTTTTTTTCTGGTTAACATGAGCAATGCTTAAAATTTTGTGAATTTTAGACCAAAAATTGCAGATTTTAAGCTTCTAAGCTGAAATTTTGCTAAAAATCTCAAAATTTCAGCTATTTTTCCCGTTTAACATGAGCAATGCTTCATTTTCCATGGAATTTTAGCCCAAAAATCACTGATTTGAAGCTTCCAAGCTGAAATTTAGCTAAAAATCCTAAATTTCCAATCAAATCTGAAAATTTCAGCCATTTTTCCCGGTTAACATGAGCAATGATTCAAATTTCGAGAATTTTAGGCTGAAAATTTCAGATTATAAGCTTCCAGGCTGAAATTTGGCCTAAAATCTGTAAATTTCAGCCATTTTTCCCGGTTAACATGAGCAATGCGTCTATTTTTGTTGAATTTCGTGAATTTTAGGATCTAAAGCTCAAAATTAGCTAAAAATTTCATATTTACACTCAAAAAACCGCAAATTTTCAGTCAAATCCAAAAATTCCAGCCAATTTTCAGCCATTTTCCCCCAAACTCACCTCTTCCGGCGCCTCAATCCACATAAACAACATGGCTCCGCCGTAAACATACAAAACGCACACCAAAATCAAGCCAACGTGTAGTCCACCCTGTCTGGTGAGCAATTTCAGTCGCCAAAACACTGTGCGCCGTTTTTTGACAACCACCGGTTGTCCGGACATTAAAGCGGCTAAACCGCCCGTTTTCCGCGCCATTTTTGAATCCACGTGGATTTTTTTGGCGCCAAAAATAGAGGCTAGATATGTTATGTATTAGAATCATACATTTTTAATCACACACACAAACCATAAAAAAGTGGGCGGAGCCTGGCGAGAGAAACGAGCGTCTCTTATGTTGACAATTTTGAACGCGAGAGACACAGTGATCAGGTGGCCGAGTGGTTAAGGCGATGGACTGCTAATCCATTGGGATTTTCCCGCGTGAGTTCGAATCTCATCCTGATCGGACTTTTTTATTTTTTTCGAAAAATTACAAATCTTCATTAATCAAGTCAATAATTGGTCTATAAACATCAAGATACGCCTTAGTTCCCCAAACAAAATGTAAATGATTATAATTCGACACTCTAAAATTGCCCCTAACAACCTTAGCCAATTTAGGAACCAAAAATCCCTCTACATCCTCCTTAGTGCTCAGCCAATCATCCTCACTCCAAAATAAATATACTTCCACGTCAGCAATCTTACTGTAGTCATAAGCGGGTGGCAGATAGGTACCGTATACCTCGAGATTCCTTTCGGGACCCATATCGTAGTACGGTACCCCGCCATACGATACCATTTGATTGAAGTGCTCCAGAACGTTGCTCGACGAGCCAGCTGGACTGTGAGCCATGTAGATTGGCACGCGGGTTTGATTCCAGGTCCCGTCCGATGTTGGGCCCACAAACATCATGACTATATCCGAACAGAGTTCTTCTACCGATGTATATAGGCCGCAAGTGTACTTGACGATTAACTTGAGGCCCTTTGAGGCCCCGAAAAACTGGGCCGGCCCATATTTCCTATTCAAATCCTGAATCTCCTGGCCAAAATACCGTGAAGCGTAGGAAAACGCGCCGCGCATATGGTGCAACGCGCCGACTGGTGCCAACGCGAAAATCTTCGCGATTTTCGCGCCGAATTTTTGATCTACACTCAGTTTTTGGAAGATTGCCAGGGTGCCGAGACTGTGGCCGACGTAGTAGAGATTTTCTCGATTGGTGTGGGTGAGGGTGTGGTTGATCATGGCGGGGAGGTCGAATTTTGAGTGATGGTCGATGCTGGAAAGATTCAGGGGGCTTTGGGGGGCTTCAGTAGGCTCTCCAAGGCTTCTGGAGGCTTCAGAGGGCTTTAGAAGGCTTCCTACAGTAACCCTAGGTCAAATTTTCTGAAGCTCAAATTTCACCAAAATTTGAAGAAAATTGTTTGCCACGTGGATTTTTGAATTTTTTTTTTGAAAATTCAGAATTTAAATGCAAATTCGGTTTTTTTCCACGTGGATTTTTGAAATTTCTCAAAAATTTAAGGATTGAAAATTCAAATTTCACCAAAATTTGAAAAAAATTATTTTTTCCACGTGGATTTCTGAAATTTCTCAAAAATTCAGGATTGAAAATTCAAATTTCACCAAAAAATTTGAGGAAAATTGTTTGCCACGTGGATTTATCTACAGTAATCCTAGTAGCCTTATTTGGTGTCAAATTTTCCGAAATTTCATTTTAAAAAATGTTGCCACGTGGATTTTTCAAATTTTTTTCCAGAAGGCTTCCCAAAGTGTCCCAAAGAAAATTTCAGAAATTTCTGAAAAAAATACAAATTTTCAGCTTGAAATTCACTAAAAATCGTAATTTCCTCAAATTTCAGCCAGAAAAATGTAAATTTTCATCAATTTTCTATTAAACTCACAAATTTCCCTACAAAATTCCATTTTTCCATCAATTTTCACTCAAAAATCGATTTTTCAACAAAAAAAACGCATTTTTCACAACGACACTCCGCTGAATGACGGCTTGCCTGTTGTTTAGCGCTTTTTTTCAATTTTCGCGTTTTCCGAGTGAAATCTCGTGTTTTTTCAGGAAAATGTTGAAATTTAGGCACAAAATCGATTTTTTGGTGGAAAATTGAGCTTCCCAAGGCTTCCCAAGGCTTCAGGCTCACCTCCAGTCCCAAAATTCCTTATCCTCATCCGGATCCAAGCTGGCATGTCTTCGACTATACGTATTTCCCCTCCAATTTCCCATCCAAACATCAAAACCGGCGTCGAAAAACACAAAACCCGCCGATTGTCCGGGAGAATTACACACCCAATCGAAACTCGACGACAGAAATGCGTGTTGGAGAAAGATGACGGGGCGATTGGGGTTGGGAATACGGTGGAGTTGGAGGATGAAACCATCCTGGGTGGTGACGTCGTGGGTTTCGTCGGGATAACCCCATGAGCGAATTACTTCGGGCTGGAATGAGTTTTGAGAGGTTCCGGAGGGCTCTGGGGGGGGGGCTCAAGTGGGCTTTAAAGGGCTCTGGAGGGCCCTAGAGGCTTCCGGAGAGCTCCGGACGGCTCTGGGGGCTCCGGGGGGCTCTGGAGGGCTCTAGAGGGCCGTGGAGGCTTCCGAGAGCTATAGAAGGCTCTAGGGGCTCTAGGGGGCTTCAGGGGGCTTTAAGAATCTTTAGGAACTTTTCTGAACCTTCCCAGACTCTCAAAAACCCACTAGGAGGCAAAATTTCAAAGAAAATATACACATTGCTCATGTTAACCAGAAAAATAGCTGAAATTTTCAGATTTGACTGAAAATTTGGGATTTTCAGCTAAATTTCAGCTTGGAAGCTTAAAATCTGAAATTTCTGATCTAAAATGCTCGAAATTTGAAGCATTGCTCATGTTAACCGGAAAAAATGGCTGAAATTTTAAGATTTGACTGGAAATTTGGGATTTTCAACAAAATTTCAGCTTGGAAGCTTTTAAAAAATCTGTAAAACCCACCGTATCCAAATAGAATTCCCAATCTACCGTAGTCACCAGCTCCAAATTCACAAAAATCACCAGAAATATCAAAACGCTGTTCATTTTTTTGTTTTTTTTTATCATCCGATAAAAAATTCTTCATTTTTATCATACAAACCCCCATAAATCAACAAAAATTTTTTTTTGGAGCACAAAAAATTTGGGCTCAAAATTACGTAGCCAAAAATTTTTTTTTGTAGTTTCACACACCTCTTCTGAAGGAAAGGAACTGGAAGATCTAGGATTACTGTAGACCGGAAGAACAAGGGGTACTGTAGAAAGGAGTACTGTAGTTTGATCTACATAGAAAAGATACTGTAGAAAACTACTATCTGTAGGATTACTGTAGATTTTTGAATTCGCAAGATTTTCATATGTATTTATTTATAGTCAAAAAATCCCATTTTTCAGACAAATCTGAAAATTTCAGCTATTTTTTTTTCAGAAAAATTCCCAGCATTGCTCAGATTATACCAAATTGCTTCACATGACTCCTTTTTTTGCAGCTAGTGATTAGAAATTTTTGGAAAAATGAGATTTTTCCCACGGTGTCATAGGATTTTTCAGATTTTTTCAGGTTCAGGTTCAGACTACAAAGTAACACTTGGAAGAAAAAAGTGCTCATTGGTGGCTCAAAAAACATTTTTGGCTCAACCTTTTAAGCTAAAAATTAAGGGCTTTAAATATTAGGCTTGAAATCTTAGGCTTGAAATTCTAGGCTTGGAATTTTAGGCTTGAAATCTTAGGCTTGAAATCTTAGGCTTGAAATTCTAGGCTTGGAATTTTAGGCTTGAAATCTTAGGCTTGAAATCTTAGGCTTGAAATTCTAGGCTTGGAATTTTAGGCTTGAAATCTTAGGCTTGAAATCTTAGGCTTGAAATTCTAGGCTTGGAATTTTAGGCTTGAAATCTTAGGCTTGAAATCTTAGGCTTAAACATTTCAGACTTGAAATTCTAGGCTTCAAAGTTTAGGCTTGGAATCTTAGGCCTATAATTTCAGGCTTAAACATTTCAGGCTTAAAAATTTCAGGCTAAAAAATTTCAGGCCTATAATTTCAGGCTTCAAATCTCAGGCTTGGAATCTTAGGCCCATAATTTCAGACTTTAAATTCTGGGAATGAAATTCTAGGCTTAAAATCCTAGGCTTCAAAGTTTAGGCTTCAAATTCTAGGCTTGAAGTTTCAGGCTTGAAATCCTAGGCTTCAAACTCCAGGCTTCAAATTCTAGGCTTCAAATTCTAGGCTTTAAAATTTCAGGCTTGAAATTCTAGGCTCAAACATTTCAGGCTATCTTAATACTTAGACTTGAATTTCTAGGCTTCAAATTCTAGGCTCCAAACTTTTGGGCCAATAATTCCAAGCCTAAACATTTAGGCCTATAATTTCAGGCTTCAAATTCCTGGCTTCAAATTTTCTAGTTTCCCAGCTATTTTTAAAAATTTCCCAGGTTTTTTCGGAACGTGCAAATTCCCCAAATTTTTCTTTTTTTTTCCAGAAAAAAATCTAAAAAATTCCAGATTTTTCAGATTCCCAAAAATGCTCTCCCCCCAAATCGCTCCACTCGGCTTCTTTTTCGCCATTTGCTCGCTGATCGGAGTTATCGGAAATCTCACAATGGTGCTATGCACGTTGCGTTCGAAAAAGTTACGATCACCTTGCCACGTCATGATATCTGCCACGTGTTTTGTGGACGGTCTACACATTTCGGGACAGTTTCCGTTTGTCTACATGTTGTTTATGGAAGGTGAGTCTGGGGGGAGGGAGGGGGGCTCCTTGGGGGGCCTTAGGCTTAGGCTTAAACTAGCTTAGACTTAGGATACCTTGAGTTTAGGCTATCTTAGGCTTAGGCTTAAGCTATTTGAAATTTGGGATAACTCAGGCTTAGGCTTAGGATACCTTGAGCTTAGGCTTAGGATACCTTGACCTTAGGCTTAGGATACCTTGACCTTAGGCTTAGGATACCTTGACCTTAGGCTTAGGATACCTCAAGCTTAGGCTTAGGATACCTCAAGCTTAGGCTTAGGATACCTCAAGCCTAGGCTTAGGATACCTCAAGCTTAGGCTTAGGATACCTCAAGCTTAGGCTTAGGATACCTTGACCTTAGGCTTAGGATACCTTGACCTTAGGCTAAGGATACCTCAAGCTTAGGCTTAAGCTCTTAAACATTAAGAAAGCCTAATCCTAAGAAGATATCTCAAAGCTTCAAAAAGCCTAAAGCCCAAGATATCCGGCCTAAACCTCCAGACCCCCCTGACCATTGTATCCTTCCAGTAACCTCCCCCCAATCCTCCTGCTTCTTCATCCTAATCCCAGGAGTCATCGGATATCTGGCCGGTGGGCCCCTTATCCTGGCCATGGGCCTGGACCGTCTGATCGCCGTGAGGTTCCCAACTTCCTATCGATATTATTTGAGCGTCCCTGGGCCCTATTTATTCGTGCAATTTGTGTTTCCCGTGGTGTACACCACGTTTTTTCTGGCCTTTGGATTTGTGGAGAGGGATTTTGAGAGGTTGGTTTTGAGCCTGGGCTCGGACCGCAGGCCCGAGCTATCTCAAAGTTTCCAGCAAAATGGTGTGCGCAAATCCTCTGGCCCTAAATTCCGCCAGTTTTCAATGGTACTCCTACACCAACGCCCTAATCTACATTCTAGTCTTCTTGATCTACCTCTCCGTCTGGATCTTGCTGAAAAAATCCGAAAAATCCAACTCAAACACCAAACTCCGAATGGTGTTCCGAAGTATATCGGTGACCGTCGGATTTGTGTTGATGGGTTGGGCTATCACCACCACAGCCAACAGCCTATCATACACAATCAGCGCCGATGTGGCAACGATTCAGCTGATTCAGGAATATTCGGGAATCGCTGTGAATATTGCCGCGGCCTCGAATGTCTTTGTGTTCTACGCGATTAATCAGGAGTATCGAGAGGCTATTCGTGCGATCTTCGGGTTTTCTGGGAGCAATCCGAAGATTTTGGCTCAGGAACCTTCTACAACACATCAACATCAACATCTACAGAGAAGAATGATGTGTCGGCTAATTTGTGAACATTTTTTGCGTGAAAAAAAGTGATTTTGATAAAGTTTCTTTGTAGAATTCTTTTTAGAAATTTTTAATTTAGAAGTGGAACTTTAGAATTTGGAGTTCCATAGCTTCTGGAGCTTTCTAGAACTTCTCCAGATCTTTTCAGGATCTTCTAGAACTTCTCCAAAGCTTTCTGAACCTTCTAGAACTTCTCCAGATCTTTCTGAACCTTCTCGAAGTTTCAGAGATTTTTCCGAACTTTCTAGAACTCTTCTAAAGCTTCCTGGAAACTTCTGAAAAATTTTCCAAGTCTTCCCAAACCTTCTCGAAGTTTCAGAGATTTTTCCGAACTTTCTAGAACTCTTCTAAAGCTTCCTGGAAACTTCTGAAAAATTTTCCAAGTCTTCCCAAACCTTCTAGAATTCTTTCAGATCTTCCTGGAAGCTTCTAGAGCTTCTTGGAGCCTTCAAGAGCTTCATGGCAACTTCTACAGCCTTCTAGAATTTCCCCAATTCTTTCTGAACCTTCTAGAGGTTTCAGAGATTTTTGCCGAACTTTCTATAACTTCCCCAGATCTTCACGAATATTCTAAAACTCTTCCAGAGCTTTCTGAACCTTCTAGAGTTTCCTCGAAACTTCTACAGCTTCCTGGAAAGTTCCAAAACCTTCTAAAACTCTTCCAGATCTTCTCGAACCTTCCAGAATTTCAACTTCTACAGCCTTCTAGAATTTCCCCAGATCTTTCTGAACCTTCTAGAACTTCTCCAGAGCTTTCTGGAAGCTTCTAGAGTTTCCTCGAAACTTCTACAGCTTCCTGGAAACTTCCAAACCCTTCTAAAACTCTTCCAGATCTTCTCGAACCTTCCAGAACTTCTCCAGATCTTTCTGAACTTTCTAGAAGTTTCATAAATTTTTCCGAACCTTCTAGATCTTCCCCAGATCTTCCCAAACCCTCCCAATTCACATTCTGACAAAAAACAATGATAAAATTTTTTTTTGCACGAGACCCTAATTATAGGCCTTGTAGTAAGCTTTTCTGAGTTCTGGTAAGTTCAACGTCAAAAAATTGTTTTGTGCACTTTCTCTGCGTCTCTAACCCAACTCTAGAAGTCTAGGATAAGATTTCCAGAGACCACGGGTTCAAACTATAAATTATATATATATATATATATATATATATATATATATATATTCTCAATTCCCTTGACCAAAGTTACAATTATTATTTTTCATTTTTCGCTCACCCGAAAAAAATTTGTTTTATGTGACAAATAAATCAAATTTTGGCTAGAGATTATTAATTTACATTTGTTTTCTAATCAAAAAGTAATTTTTTTGAGCCTCAAAAAAATTCCGGCTCCGCTCCAAACTCCAACAACATCTGAACTCTCCCACAACAACAAAAAAAGTTTTGGCGTGGGAAAATCTTCCAACTCTCCTCTTAGTGGCTATATATAAATATAAAGTTAGGCTAAGTCTCCATTTCCCCCATCAAAAAAAGCATGTTTGATTGGATAAACCCATGGATGTTACCTTTGGGCTTCTTCTTCTTCATTTGCTCCACAATCGGAGTTATCGGAAATACGATTATGATTTATTGTACGGTGAAGACGAAGAGATTTCGATCACCCTGTCATATTTTGATTTGTGCCACGTGCCTGGCTGATTTACTGCATGTTTTGGGGCAATTTCCGTTTTGTGTGCATCTTTTTGGGAATCGTGAGTTATTTTGACTGCGTACCTTGATTAGATACTCAGCCAACCCAAAATATGACTTGTTTAGTATCAAAATATCGCATTTTCCGATTTCCAGTCACCTCCACCCAAGCCCAATGCTACTACATGCTCATCATTCCGATCATCGGCTTCACCACCGGCGGTCCCCTGATCCTTTCGATGGGCATAGATCGTATCATCGCCGTCAAATTTCCCACGCGCTACAGATATTATCAGGAGGAGCCCAAGAGCTATATTATTGCACAATTGTCGTTTCCGGTGCTCTACGCGATTTTTTTCATTGGTTATGGATTTGTTTTGAGGGATACTAGTGTGAAGAAGTGAGTTTGGGGTTAGGTTTAGGCTTAGGCCAGGTTAAGGTTGGGCTTAGGCTTTGGGCTCAGCCTCAAGCTTATGTTAGGCTGTCTCAGGCTTAGCCTCAGGCTCAGGCTTAAAATACCTTGAGCTCAGGCTTAGGCTACCTTAGGCTTAGGATACCTTGAGCTTAGGCTTCAGCTATTTTGAACTTGGGATACCGTAGGCTTAGGATACCTTATAGGCTAAACCTTCGGCTATCTTTTAGGCTTAGGCTCAAGCTTAAGCTAACTTAGGCTTAGGTTATCTTAGGCTAAGGCTAACTTAGGCTCAGGCTATTTTAGGCTTAAGCTATTTTAAGCTTAGGCTAAGGATACCTTGAGCTTAGGCTTAGGATACCTTGTTGAGCTTAGGCTTAGGCTATTTTAAACTTGGGACACCCCAGGCTTAGGAGAAGTTAGGCTTAGGGAAAAGCTTAGGCTTAAGCCTAGGCTATCTTAGGCTTAGGTTTAGGATACCTCGAGCTTAGGCTATCTTAGGCTTAGGCTTAGGCTTAGGCTACCTTAGGCTTAGGCTAAACCTTAGGCTACCATAGGCTTAGGTTTAGGATACCTCGAGCTTAGGCTATCTTAGGCTTAGGCTAAATCTTAGGCTACCTTAGGCTTAGGCTAAACTTGGCTACCATAGGCTTAGGCCCAACCTTCGGCCATCCAAACTCCAACATTCCAGTCAAATCACCTGCTCGAACCCACTCAGCCTAAACGGCACCTCCTTCCAAGTCTACACCTACACCGGAGCCCTCATCTACATTTTGGTATTCTTCATCTACCTCTCCGTCTACCTGATGCTCAAATCCAACAAAGCCAGCGCTCGCTTCAAAAACGTGTTTCGCTCCATAATGGTCACCGTGGGTTTTGTACTCTTCGGTTGGGTCTCGACCACCGTGGCTAATACGTTGAGCTACGCGGTGACGGATAATGAGCTCACAGCGGTGCTCATTCAAATGTACGCGGGGATTACGGTGAATATTGCGGCGGCGTCGAATGTTTTCGTGTTTTTCGCCATCAACACGGAGTATCGCGAGGTGATTAGTGTGATCGTCGGGCTGAAAGCCAGGGTGAACAGTCAAGTTATGGAGGCGTCGAGTACGACGGGAGGAGCGTTGAGTAAGAAAGGATCGATTCCGAATAATAATACCGTATCTACTAATACTAATGCCAGGAGAATGACTTTGGTTACTGTTTAATGAAGATTTTTCTGGCTCTCAAGGCGCGGTTACTTGAGAGAGATGTTCCCAAGGCGCGTTTTCTTGACAGTTGTTGTATTAAGGCACGTCTCTTTAACAAACTTTTTCACAAGTCGCGGCTCCTTGAGAGACATGTTTCCAAGGCGCTGATCCTTGAAATATACATTTTCTAGGCGCTGCTGCTTGACAGACTTTTTTTCTAAGGCTCGGATGCTTGAGAGACGCTTCCCAAGGCGCTGATTCTTAACAGACTTTTTTCCAATGCGCTGATCTTTGAGAGACATGTTTCCAAGGCGCTGCTGCTTGACAGATGTCTTTTCAAGACGCTGATTCTTTACAGACTGTTCTACAAGGCGCTGTTGCTTGACAGATGTCTTTTCAAGACGCGACTCCTTGAGAGACGCTTCCCAAGGCGCTGATCCTTTACAGACTGTTTCACAAGGCGGGGATCCTTGAGAGACGAGTTCTCAAGGAGCGGCTGCTGGACAAACTTAGGCTTATGAATTTTTGCTCTTCAAAATCCACGTGGCAAATTTTCGAGCCGCAATTTTTTTTCCTTTCGAAAAACCCTAATGTAATCATAGGCCCCGCTCAATTCAATTTTCTATGTGATTTTTGAAGATTTTTAGAGTTTAGAGTATATTTTCAGCTTTTTCGCCACGTGGAAAATGCTTCTTGAGAATTCTGAAACACAAATTCCACGTGGCAAAAAAATTATGCTCAAAAATGGCTTTAAAATGTTCCATAGGGCTTTAAAAGGCCTCAAAAGGCTTCAGGAGGCTTCAAAAGGCTTCAGAAGGCCTCAGAAGGCTAATTTTGCCACGTGGCTTTTCTCAAAATTCAAATTCAGCTCAAAAAACCAGTTTATTTTTGCCGCCCTCCAAAAAAATGCTCACTCTTTCCAATAGCTCCATCTGGCCAATTTTTCGACTTCCGTCAACTTTTTCGGTTTTTTGCTCGGCTTCGGCTCCACTTTTTTCGATTTTTTCGGCGGCGGTGCTGGAAATTCCACCTGTTCCACTATCACTTCCGGATTTTCGGGCTCCAAAATCGCTGGATTTTCCGGCTGCACCAATTCTTCGATCCGAAGTTGATTGCGATTCTGGAGCGATGTCTCCAGATCTTGCAGCTTGGATTTCAGATTCTGGATCTCTAGATCTTTCTGGGAATCGCGGAGCAGCAAAAACTCCAAAACTGTCAGGTTTTCCACGTTTTTCGGGGGCTCTGCAATTTTTTTTTGAAATTTTGGAAAAATTTTTTGATTTAAAAAATCACCTGGATCTGTTTGAATTGCCACGTCGATTGTGATTTTTGGAGTTTCAGAAGGTCTGGGATTTTCAGAAGTTCCAGGATTTTCAGTCAAATTTTCAGCCGGTCTTCTGGAATTTTCAGCCAATTCTCGAGTTCCAGAAGTTTCAGCTTCAACTATTCGTGTCTCATCTTCATCCTGAAATTAATTTAAATTTTTTTACTGATTTTCAAGCGCCAGAATTTGATCTACTCACAATATATAAAGTGGCTTCTGAGCAATTGCTCATGCTAGAAATTGCACATTCTTCATTCTCCATTTTTTTTCGGGGAGCGAAATTCGAATTAAAAATGACCAAAAAATTTTTTGGGAAATTTTTTGCCAACCCGCGAATTTAAAAAATGTCACGTGAGAATTTTAAAAATTGGCTTTTTTCAGTTTTAGCTAGATTTGGAGCCAAAAATGCTGAAAATCTGAAATTTTCAGCTTTTTCTCATCCAAATAGCTTGCAATATGAGAATTCCTGCTTTTGAGTTGAGAAAAAAGCTGGATTTTCAGCCAAAATCTGAAATTTTCAGCTTTTCTTCAACCCAATAGCTTGAAATATGAGAATTCTTGCTTTTGGGTTGAGGAAAAGCTGAAAATTTCAGATTTTGGCTGAAAATCTAGCTTTTTCTCAACCAAATAGCTTGAAATATGAGAATACTTGCTTTTGGGTTGAGGAAAAGCTAGATTTTCAATAAAAATCTGAAATTTTCAGCTTTTTCTCAACCAAATAGCTTGAAATATGAGAATTCTTGCTTTTGAGTTGAGGAAAAGCTGGATTTTCAGCCAAAATCTGAAATTTTCAGCTTTTTCTCAACCCAATAGCTTGAAATATGAGAATTCTTGCTTTTAGGTTGAGGAAAAGCTAGATTTTCAACCAAAAATGCTGAAAATCTGAAATTTTTAGCTTTTCCTCAACCCAAAAGCAAGAATTGTCATATTTCAAGCTATTGGTTTAAGGAAAAGCTGAAAATTTCAGATTTTGGCTGAAAATCCAGCTTTTCCTAGCCCCAAAAGCAAGAATTCTCATATTTCAAGCTATTTGTTTAAGGAAAAGCTGAAAATTTCAGATTTTGGCTGAAAATCCAGCTTTTTCTCAACCAAATAGCTTGAAATATGAGAATTCTTGCTTTTGAGTTGAGGAAAAGCTGGATTTTCAGCCAAAATCTGAAATTTTCAGCTTTTTCTCAACCAAATAGCTTGAAATATGAGAATACTTGCTTTTGGGTTGAGGAAAAGCTAGATTTTCAATAAAAATCTGAAATTTTCAGCTTTTTTCTCAACCAAATAGCTTGAAATATGAGAATTCTTGCTTTTGAGTTGAGGAAAAGCTGGATTTTCAGCCAAAATCTGAAATTTTCAGCTTTTTCTCAACCCAATAGCTTGAAATATGAGAATTCTTGCTTTTAGGTTGAGGAAAAGCTAGATTTTCAACCAAAAATGCTGAAAATCTGAAATTTTTAGCTTTTCCTCAACCCAAAAGCAAGAATTGTCATATTTCAAGCTATTGGTTTAAGGAAAAGCTGAAAATTTCAGATTTTGGCTGAAAATCCAGCTTTTTCTCAACCAAATAGCTTGAAATATGAGAATTCTTGCTTTTGAGTTGAGGAAAAGCTGGATTTTCAGCCAAAATCTGAAATTTTCAGCTTTTTCTCAACCAAATAGCTTGAAATATGAGAATACTTGCTTTTGGGTTGAGGAAAAGCTAGATTTTCAATAAAAATCTGAAATTTTCAGCTTTTTTCTCAACCAAATAGCTTGAAATATGAGAATTCTTGCTTTTGAGTTGAGGAAAAGCTGGATTTTCAGCCAAAATCTGAAATTTTCAGCTTTTTCTCAACCCAATAGCTTGAAATATGAGAATTCTTGCTTTTAGGTTGAGGAAAAGCTAGATTTTCAACCAAAAATGCTGAAAATCTGAAATTTTTAGCTTTTCCTCAACCCAAAAGCAAGAATTGTCATATTTCAAGCTATTGGTTTAAGGAAAAGCTGAAAATTTCAGATTTTGGCTGAAAATCCAGCTTTTCCTAGCCCCAAAAGCAAGAATTCTCATATTTCAAGCTATTTGTTTAAGGAAAAGCTGAAAATTTCAGATTTTGGCTGAAAATCCAGCTTTTTCTCAACCCAAAAGCAAGAATTCACATATTTCAAGCTATTTGGTTGAGGGAAAGCTGAAAATTTCAGATTTTGGCTGAAAATCCAGCTTTTCCTTAACCCAAAAGCAAGAATTCTTATATTTCAAGCTATTGACTTGAGAAAAAGCTGAAATTTTCAGATTTTGGTTGAAAATCTAGCTTTTCCTCAACCAAAAAGCAAGAATTCATATATTTCAAGCTATTTGGTTGAAAAAAAGCTGAAAATTTCAGATTTTCAGCATTTTTGGCTGAAAATACAGCTTTTCCTTAACCCAAAAGCAAGAATTCACATATTTCAAGCTATTTGGTTGAGAAAAAGCTGAAAATTTCAGATTTTCATAATATTATTTGATTTTCCACCCCAAAATACTTACATTTCCTCAAAAAAATCGATTTTTGGTGGAGAAACCTGTAAAAATCGATAATTTCAGTTAAAATTTGGCCAATTTTCATGAAAATTCAAAAAACTCACCGGATTTCAGCGAAATCGCCACAATTTGACGTCATTTTTCGAGTTGCAAAAAAAAATAAAAATGAAAAAATTATTTTTGGCCGCCAGGCGAGACACCAGAAATGACGCACAATTGCGGACTTGAAAAACGTGCGATTTTTAAAATTTATTTATTTTTTTGCATTTTTTTGCATTTTCTCAAAGGTTTTTCTAGTGAAAAACGGTTCTTGAACTTTTTTTTCTTCCAAAATTTGAAAAAAAAGATGTGTTTAGAAAAATGAATAAAAAATCAGCTCCCATTGTTTTTCGCCACTTTTTGTTTCACAACATTTTTTTTTCCTCACAATTTTCCCAAACAAAAATGCTCTTTCTCCTAATTTTCCTCACAATTCCCCGGATTTCCGCAACAATCATCGAAAACATTGCAAATCCGCCGCACGGTTGTCCGAATTACGGACTGTGCACTGATGTGACCTACAGTTTGTATAGCACTTTGGATGACGTGCCAATTTATGAGTATGAGTGTGCGGCGACGACGGATTGTGTTTGTGTGAATGGAACGACGAATGGGACGAGCACTTGTGATGTTGGTGGGTTTTTGGGGGGGGGCTCAAAATTGGGCCGGGCTTGTAGGCCTGGTTCGGGGCTTCAAAATGAGCCTTAACTCGACTAGACTCTCCCGGGCCTTAGGCCAAGCTAGCCCCAAATTTTCGGCCCTGTACTTTTTCACATTCAAAATTTTAGGAAAACTGGTTGCTAGGCAAGCCTTAATCCACGTGGCAACCAACTATGGGTTCTTTTTGAGGCCTGAGTCTAGCCTAGCCTTAATCAGGCCTTGAACCTAGCTCAAATAGGCCCAGAAGCCTGAATATAGGCTGTAAGGTTAACTTGACTCTTCAGAAAGCCCTCTTAGGCCTAAAAATGTCCAACCTAAATGCCCAAACCTCAATTAGGCTCATTTGAAAACTTAAACGGCTTAAACATGAGAAAAGCCCTGAAGCCCAAAATAACCTCTAAGCCTAGAGCCTTGAGCCTAAAGCCCTACCTAGGTTCATTTTGTAAGCTCTTTCACAGACCTCCTCCGGGCTTGTAGGTCTGGTTCAAGGCTCCCCCCTGTAGGCCTGGTTCTAGATTTCCCCCTGTAGAAGGGGCTTCAAAATGAGCCTAAACTTGAATAGGTTGGGCCGGACTCTAGTCTAAGCTAGACGGCCCTGAGAACTTTTAGGAATCAGGCTAAATACAGGCTCCCCAGGCCCAAAACCCAAGCAATTTTCCAGTCACCAACCTCTGCACCTCCACCACCTGCCCCAACTCCAACTACACCTGCTCCATGACCGGCATCAACGCCTACAACTGCTCGTGCTCCACCGGCTATTCGGGCTCGAGTTGTGAATTCGACTCCGCCTCCGCATGCGCCGCGTCGCCCTGTCAAAACGGCGGAACGTGCGCGGAATCCGCGTCCGCGTCGTCTTATACCTGCACATGTTCCAGCGGGTATAGCGGGACGAATTGTGAGATCAAGAATGCCTGTGCCAGTATGTGGTGTGCAAATGGTGCGACCTGCGTGGCACTCTTCAACCAGTCCACCGCATTTTGTGATTGTGCTGACACGTGGCAGGGTATACATTGCGATCTGACTACGGTAACTATCTCTACCCCGAGTTATGATAAGTGTTGGCACTTCGACAACACGTTGCTAACCGATTACCCGCTGAAATTCAGCGATAGTCAAATGACTGTGGAGAAATGTCAAACCTACGCAAGAAGTTTCACACCACAGTACACCGTGCTCACACTCTGCGGCACCTGGTGCGCAGTCTCCATGGAGGACACCGATGTGTTCAACAACACGGCGTGGAATAGCGATGGCGGGTGTAGCGCGACATGCGCGGGGAATAGCTCGGAGAAGTGTGGGGCGTATTGGAATCGCGGAGTGACGTACGATGTGGCGGCGGATGTAATAGATCCGGATGGGTGTACGAATACATCGAGATGTAGTGCGAATCTTAACCAGGGTGCCTGTATCGATGGGAGATCGTCGAAACCGCCGGGATACCTATGCGCATGTTCACCCTGGTTTATTGGCACGGATTGCGCGACGCCGAAAGCTTCCGCTTGCGATTCCGCGCCTTGTGGAGATTATGGAACTTGTGTTTTGAACACGCAGATGAATACCTATACCTGTAATTGTACCGATGGATATGTGGGCAATCAGTGTCAATGTGAGTTCTGCGTCTCTAACCTTCTCTAGCTGTCTAGCCTATGTTTCTAGTTGGTCCTCTGCGTCTCTAACCTCCCCTAGCCGCCTAGCTTATGTTTCTAACCTACCCAAGCTGTCCCTGAGTCCTCTGCGTCTCTAACATTCTCTAGCTTCTGGTTTCATTGGGAAAATTCAAATTTTCAGCTAAAAAAATAGCAAGTGCGCTCTTTTGAACACTAGGTTTTCAGGAGGAAAATTCAAATTTTTAGCTAAAAAATAGCAGGTGCGCTCTATTGAACACTAGGTTTTCAACGGGGAAAATTCAAATTTTTAGCTTGAAAAATAGCAAGTACGCTCTATTGAACACTAGGTTTTCAATGGGAAAATTTAAATTTTCAGCTAAAAAATTGCAAGTACGCTCTATTGAACAAGGGGAAAATTCAAATTTTTAGCTAAAAAATAGCAGGTGCGCTCTATTGAACACTAGGTTTTCAGGGGGAAAATTCAAATTTTTAGTTGAAAATAGCAAAAACTACCCAAGCTGTCCCTGAGTTCCCTGCGTCTCTAACATTCTCTAGCTGTCTGCCTTCTCATGTGTATAGGGCACTCTGACTGTCTAGCCTAATGTTCCCTGCGTCTCTAACCTTCTCTATCTGTCTCGCTTCTACTCTTGCTAGGATAGTCTAGCTTTCTAGCCTAAAGTTCTCTGCGTCTCTAACCTTCTCTAGCCGCCTAGCTCATCTGTGATCTACTCAAGCTGTCTGAGTTCCCTGCGTCTCTAACCTACCGCAGCTGTCCCTGAGTTTTCTGCGTCTCTAACCTTCTCTAGCTGTCTGGGCTCTTCTCTTTCTAGGATACTCTAGCTGTCTATGTCTCTAACCTACCCAAGCTATCCCTGAGTTCTCTGCGTCTCTAACCTCCTCTAGTTGTCTAGCTTATCCTGGTTTTCAAGGGGGGAAATTCAAATTTTCAGTTGAAAATGGCCTGAGTTCTCTGCGTCTCTAACCTTCTCTAGCTGTCTAGGCTCTTCTCTTTCTAGGATACTCTAGCTGTCTGCCTTTTCCCCCTGTAAAGGATACTCTAGCTGTCTAGCCTAGAGTTCCCTGCGTCTCTAACCCTCTCAAACTTTTTCCAGACGCCAACCCCTGCTCGCCCAACCCCTGCCTCCACGGCGGCACCTGCTCCACCAACTCCTCCGGAACCTTCACCTGCGCCTGCCTCGAATTCTACTACGGCACCACCTGCGACACCGTCAACCGTTGCGTCTACAACAACCCCTGCGTCCACGGCAACTGCTCAACCGATCCCGACCTGACTTCGCCCAACTACACGTGCACCTGCTCCTACGGTTGGAACAACACGAATTGCGACACGGAGATCAACTATTGCGATCCGGCGCCCTGTAAATACAACAGTACGTGTAATGCGTTCTTCGGCGGCTACAATTGCACGTGTCTGGCGGGCCTGGAGGGCGATAATTGCGAGACAATTATCGATCAGTGCAAGACGCATACTGTGAACGGCGTGGGACCGTGTAATACCAAGGATAGCTTGGCGAATTGTACGACCGGCATTAATTATTTCAATTGTTCGTGTATTATCAACGTCAAAATGGCTGGCACCAAAACGAGAAAATAAATTCAAAAACCCCTTTTCGCGGGGATACCGTACACACAAACACGCCCCTCTTTTCGCTGCGAGATATCGCTATTTGTAAAATCGGTGCGCCTTTATTTTAATCGATTTTTTTTTGTTTTTCGCGCAAAACCGACGTTTTTCTCGAAGAACTATAGTATTTCTAGTCATACATCGATGATTTTTGACACAAACGACATCTGGAGATAGTTGGTGAGTCTTTTTTTGTAGAATTTCCCATGAAAAATCATGATTTTCAGGAATTCCGCCAAAATCAACCGGATTTGCGCAAATTTCGATGAATCTTCGCCGAATCCGTTCAATATGATTGACAACAGCTTCAACTGGTCCAACTTCGTCACAAGGAGCAACTCTTCATGATCTTGGTGTGAATTTTGATTTGAATTTTCAAGAAAAAATGAAGATTTTCAGATTTACCGGCAACAATTTTGGGAATTTCGCCGCTAGTTCGCCCAAACTTTGCATTTTCGTTATTTGGCTGTTAATCAACATGAATAAACATTTAATAACACATTTGAATAATAAAAACTTCAAATACTCTAATTATTAACACAAAAATTACATTTATTTCAAATTAAATGTTGTTTTCCTCGATTTTTCGCTGAGAATTTGACAAAGTTGGACCAGTTGAAGCTGTTGTCAATCATATTGAACGGATTCGGCGAAGATTCATCGAAATTTGCGCAAATCCGGTTGATTTTGGCGGAATTCCTAAAAATCATGATTTTTCATGGGGAAATTCTACAAAAAAAGACTCACCAACTATCTCCAGATGTCGTTTGTGTCAAAAATCATCGATGTATGACTAGAAATACTATAGTTCTTCGAGAAAAACGTCGGTTTTGCGCGAAAATCAAAAAAAAATCGATTAAAATAAAGGCGCACCGATTTTACAAATAGCGATATCTCGCAGCGAAAAGAGGGGCGTGTTTGTGTGTACGGTATCCCCGCGAAAAGGGGTTTTTGAATTTATTTTCTCGTTTTGGTGCCAGCCATTTTGACGTTGATAATAGCGAGAAATGGACCAATACCTATTGTGATCTGAGTGAGTTTGGGAGGTTTGGGAGGGTTGGGAAGCCTCGGGAAGCCTTGGGAAGCCTCGGGAAGCCTTGGGAAGCCTTGGGAAGCCTTGGGAGCCCTTGGGAAGCCTTGGGAAGCCTTGGGAAGCCTTGGGAAGCCTTGGGAAGCCTTGGGAGCCCTTGGGAAGCCTTGGGAAGCCTTGGGAAGCCTTGGTAAGCCTTGGGAAGCCTTGAGAAGGGTTGGGAAGCCTTGGGAAGCCTTGGGAAGCCTTGGGAAGCCTTGGGAAGCCTCGGTAAGCCTCGGGAAGCCTTGGGAAGCCTTGGGAACCCTCGGGAAGCCTTCAAAAAGTGAATTTTCCGAATTTTTCACAGAAAATTTAAAACCTTTGAAAATTTTCCGAATCTCATGGGGTGATTCAAGTTGAAAAAAAACATTTTAAAAATTTTTTTTGAAAAAAATTTCAATTCGGCAAATTTCAAAAAAAAAGTTTTTTTTTTCCTATTTTTTGACATTTTTTTGCACACAAAAATGAAAAAAAAAATTTTAAAAAATTTGAAAAATTTTTTATTTTTTTTTTCGGCACAGGCCTGTTCTAAAGCCCTCTGAAGCCCTCTGAAGCCCTCTGAAGCCCTCTGAAGCCCTCTAAAGCCCTCTAAAGCCCTCTGAAGCCCTCTGAAGCCCTCTAAAGCCCTTTGAAGCCTTTTAAAGCCCTCTAAAGCCCTCTAAAGCCCTCGAAAGCCCTCGAAAGCCTCCAGAATCCCCCAAACCCCGTGCCCAACCCCAACCAACTTCCAGACATCATAATCGAGCAAGTTCTCATCGCCATCTACGGCTACATGGACACCGACATGATATCCCTCCTCAACGACCTCATGTCCAACCCATCCGAAATCAAAGACATGGTCCCCTTCATCACCGGCCTCCTCAACACATCCGAACGAGAAGATCTCAGTTGGGACGTGACTGATCTCTTCTACTGGATCGCTTTCGAAGATCAGCGACTTGATCTAACTCGAGATATCTATAAGTGGAACGATGTTGTATTAGGGAATTGCTTCACTTTTAATCACTATTACAATAATATCACATATTTGATGCGGGATTCTGGACAACACGGCGGGATTTTGGCGAATATGCGATGTCGACAGGATGAGTATGCGCCCTGGTATGATACGGCGGCGATTAATGTTTTCATTCATTCGAGGGATGAATATGTGTTTTCGGAATCGGTTCGGTATAATGCACCGCCTAATGCCAAGAGTAATATTAATATTTATGATGTGAGTTTGACCTGGCAGCCTTGGCCTAGGCTTAACTAGGCTTAGTTAGCACTTGGGCTAGTCCTGAACCTCAATTAGGGTAGCTTAAGAAAGCGTAGGTGGACCTAACCCTAAGAAAAAAATAAAATCAATATTTATCAGTTTGACGTGACAGCCTAGGCCTAAGCTTAACTAGACTTAGGCTTACCAAGGTTTAGGCTTACTAAGGCTTAGGCTTAACAAGGCATAGGCTTTGACTTAGTTAGTCACTTGGGCCACCTCTTAAACTAACCTTAAATTAAGGTTACTTAAGCAAGCTCTAGTGTGCCTAAGCCTGAGAAAAAAAAGGTCGAGCGCTCTGCGCGAGTGTACACTGAAGCGGCCCGGTTAGCGATTGGCTTAGTCACTTGGGCTACCCCTGAGCCTATGTTAAGGTAGCTTAAGCAGGCTTAGGTGGGCCTAAGCCTGAGTTTAACGTGTCAGCCTTGGCCTAGGCTTAGGCTTAGGCTTAGTTAGTCACTTAGGCTACCTTTAAACCTGAGCCTTGATTAAGGTAGCTTTTAAGAAGGTAGGCCTGAGTCCCCCCGGTACAGTTTTTCACGCTGAAAAAAATCCCGCTTCCAGTTTTTTCTCAGCGACCCTCTGAAGAGCCCGAAAATGAGACAAAAATTGAGAATTTTTGAAATTTTTTTTTTTTTTTTTGAGAGCCTGATTTACCCTGAAATTAATTTTTATTCAAAAAATTTTTTTGATTTTTTTATCCAAAAAAGTTTCCTGGCTGAAATTTTGTGCTGAAAATCATGGAAATCATCATTTTCAGCGATTTTCAGTCTTTCCACGAGATTCAGCGCAAAATTCTGATCTAGAAAGATGTTCTTGACCTGAAATTGATTGTAGGTCAAAGTTGTTCATTTTTTCATCATTGTCAGATATAAAACATGTTTCTAGATCAGAATTTTGTGCTGAAAATCATGGAAATCATCATATTCAGCGATTTTCAGATTTTCCACAAGATTCAGCATAAAATTCTGATCTAGAAATATGTTTTTGACCTTAGGTCGAGCGCTCTGCGCGAGTGTAGACCGCAAGATACCGCGAAGCGGCCGGGTATCTTCCGCGCAGCGGTACCCCTAATGAGTGGTGGGCCCAAGGTCCCCCCCCCCATCTCACCACAAACCCCCCATCTTCCAGACCTACTACACTCGACTCGGCGGTAAATACGGTGTCTGTATCAAAGAAGCCTCCGAAGTCAAAGCCTACTACTACCCGCTCGCCTACACCACCGACGGATGTCTCCGAACCTGCTACCAAGACATGATCTACGCCGCTTGTGATTGTATGGACCCCCGTTATCCGGCCGCCGCCAACGTCACCACATGTCAACTCGCCAATCGAACATGCGTCACCGAGGCTTCGGACGACGCCGGCGATCCATCCACGTGGTCATCGTGCGTGTGTCCGTTGCCGTGCTCGAATCAACAGTACTCAGTGACGTGGAGCGCGGCGAATTTTGCGGCCGCACCGCAGTCTTGCGTCGGCGCGGCGAATCAGACCGCATGTTTGGAGACGTATGCGGATAGCTTGTTGGTGGCGATTGTGTTGCCGCGATTGGATTATCAGATTTATGCGGAGACCGCGAATATGGATGTGGGTTTGGGGAGTCTGAAAAGCCCTGTGGCCATCTGTGAAGCCCTCTGAGCTATCTGAAAAGCCCCCTCGGTTATCTCAAAAGCCCTCTGAGCTATCTGGCAAGCCCTCTGAGCTATCTGAAAAGCCCTCTGAGCTATCTCAAAAGCACTCTGGGTCATCTAAAAGCCCTGTAGTTATCTCAAAAGCCCTCTGAGCTATCTGAAAAGCCCTCTGAGCTATCTCAAAAGCCCTCTGAGATATCTGAAAGCCCTGTAGCTATCTCAAAAGCCCTGTAGGCTATCTCAAAAGCCTTCTGAATGTGAGCTATCTGAAAAGCCCTCTAGCTATCTCAAAAGCCCCCTGGATCATTAAACGCCCTGTTGTTATCTCAAAAGCCCTCTGGGTCATTAAAGAGCCCTGTAGCTATCCCAAAACCCCTCTGAGCTATCTTAAAAGCCCTCTGAGCTATCTGAAAAGCCCCGCAGTTGTCCCAAAAGCCCTGTAGGTATCTGAAAAGCCCTCTGAGCTATCTGAAAAGCACCCTGGGTTATCTCAAAAGCCCTGTAGCCCTCTGAAAAGCCCTCTGGGTTTTTCATACGCTCTGCAGTTATCTCAAAAGCCCTGTAGTTATCTGAAAAGCCCTCTGAGATATCTGAAAAGCCCTCTGGATCATTTTGAGCCCATATTTTTCCAGTTCAACAAATTCCTCTCACAACTCGGCGGCCAACTCGGCGTTCTCATGGGCATCAACCTCGTCTCGTTCATCGAGCTCGTTTTTCTGGTTTTCGGCCTGTTTGCGGTGTGTTGCAGGAAATATTGAAAATGAAACATTTTTATTGTTAAGAAATATTACAGGGTGGTTTTTACTTTTCAGCACCAGAATTCCGAATTCAGGTGCAAGTTCCACATGTGCAAGTAAACCAGCCGTCTTCTTGGGGCTCCGAAATTTCACAGCCCTGAAAAATGTGGGCTTGGGAGGGTCTGGGAAGCCTTGGGAAGCCTTGGGAAGCCTTGGGAAGCCTTGGGAAGCCTCCTGGAACCTACCCGACACTCCCATAATTCACAAAATTGTCTTTTACACCAATCGCAAGGCGCGACTTGCAAAATAACGGCAAAAACCAGGAAAATCAACAAAATTCTGGACATTTTTGAAAAATTTCCGCAAAATAAAATTTTAATTTCGATTTTTAAGCAAAATTTTTTTGTTTTTGGACACAAATATGAATAATTTCCGGAAAATTTTTGATTTTCCCCGATTTTTGAACTGAACAAAAAACGTGCAAAACATTATTTTTCGTTTTGAATAACACAACAATACAACTTGATTGCTCATGTTAAGTATTGCTGAGATTAAAGACCAAAAATCAACTAGATAAAGGTAGTTAGGCTAACTCGAGAAGGGATTAATTAGGGATTAGAGTATTTTTTGGCAGGTGCAAATAATACCAGTACGTTTTTTATTGAACTTAGGGTTCAGGGGGATCTGGAAAGCCTTATGAAGCCTTGGGAAGCCTTTTCCTAGACCCAAAAGCAAGAATTCTCATATTTCAAGCTATTGGGTTGAGAAAAAGCTGAAAATTTCAGATTTCGGCTGAAAATCTAGCTTTTCCTCAACCCAAAAGCAAGAATTCACATATTTCAAGCTATTTGGTTGAGAAAAAGCTGAAAATTTCAGATTTTCGGTAATATTTTTGATTTTCCACCCCAAAATACTTACATTTCCTCGAAAAAAAAACGAATAAACAAAAGTAAAACAACGAGACTCCGCGTTGCCCGTTGTTTAGCTTAAATCGCTGCAAGAGACAAAAAAAAATCATTTCGAATTGTTTTTTCTCGTCTTGCCTCATTTTTTGGCGGAAAATACAAGATTTTGGTGCGAACTTTCGCGAGAAAAATACTTTTTCCTACAAATTTCAATAAAGAAAAAGCTCGGATTCAAAATTTGAACGCAGTTCATTCAAGTAAAAAAAAACAATTGAAAGCGGAAAAGAAAGATGAGTTTTTACAATCGCATGAGTAGATCTGAAAATTGACGCGAGGTCATTTTGCAGAGTGTATCGCGATCCGTATTCCTGAAAAATATTGAGTAGGTGAGATAAAGCATATGTATTCAAAGTTTTACTCACTCTACAAAGTTCTTTAATTGGCGCAGTTTTTTCATTTCCGCCGCCTCGACAACCGCGATCGCCGCTACTTGCACTTTTACTCTTTTATCGCAACATCTTTTGATCAAAGGATTCTTTTCTTCTGGTGCCATTCTTCTTTTTTTGCCGTTCCAATCATTAACTTGATCCAATTTTATCAATTTTCGAACATTTTTCACAAGTTTTTCCGAATCAATATTGTACCAACTCGGAAATAATTCAATAAACTCTTGTAAAATATTTGGGTGTTTTGTGCTCAACTCTTCTGACAAATTTCCAAGAACCGGCAGCACTGCACTTTGGAAAAGTTTGTAGTTTAAGCCCTGAAAAAATGTGATAAGATTAAAGGTGAACTTTCTTTCCCCTCCCCCCTCCCCCTTCTGAGTTTTGATATAGTATAAAATAACTCACATTGAAAGTTGGCTTGATATCATCAGACTCAAAACTTTTATTTGTCATTCCAACAACAGTATCTGCGGACATTTGAGATTTTTCGAAAATAAATTTGGCCAAACAGATCTGGTAAAATCTCGTTGGAGATCTCGAAGAATCATTCGTTCTTCATCAGTAAGATTTTCTAAAAAATTCATCATCTTACAATATAAATATAAAGTGATTGATCCTTGATGCATTTTATATCGATTTTTATCTTATTTTTTGATCAAAATTTAAAAAAAAGGTCACGTACGAAATGCAAAAAATACGAATTTTTGAAAAAAACTCGGGCCGATTTATTTTTTAACGGCAAAAACCAGGAAAATCAACAAAATTCTGGACATTTTTGAAAAATTTCTGCAAAATGAAATTTTAATTTCGATTTTTATGCAAAATTTTTTTGTTTTTGGACACAAATATGACTAATTCCCGGAAAATTTTGAATTTTCCCCGATTTTTGAACTGAACAAAAAACGTGCAAAACATCATATATGTTTTGAATAACACAACAATACAACTTGATTGCTCATGTTAAGTATTGCTGAGATTAAAGACCAAAAATCAACTAGATAAAGGTAGTTAGGCTAACTTAAGACGGGATTAATTAGGGATTAGAGTATTTTTTGGCAGGTGCAAATAATACGAGTACGTTTTTTATTGAACTTAGGGTTCAGGGGGATCTGGAAAGCCTTATGAAGCTTTGGGAAGCCTCGAGAAGCCTCGGGAAACCTTGAAAAGCCTTGGAAAGCCCTGGGAAGCCTTGGGAAGCCTTGGGAAGCCTTGAGAAGCCTTGGGAAGCCTTGGGAAGCCTTGAGAAGCCTTGAGAAGCCTTGGGAAGCCTCGAGAAGCCCTGGGAAGCTCTGGCAGGGCCTGAATAGCACCAATTTAATTTTTTTTTCAAAATCTTCATTCTCCCAATCACACAAAAATTAAGTATTCCACGTGTTGCTCGAATGCGCAGTGGTCTGGAACACCGAAACATCCCGTGTAGTTTCATTGGTGCCACGTGGCGCAGTCCGTTTCTTCCTATTCACTCTGAACAGGTCCAAAATAGCATTGTGATAGGGTTTGACGAAGATGAAGCTGGAGATCGGCGATAGCACCGGAATAAAAACCATGCACACAAAAATGAACGACTCCACGGCCGGATGATGATAGATGTCGAACTGTCCCAAGATGTAACTGGCTATACCGAACCAGAAAAAGCAGGGTAAGCATGCCTGGTAGGTCAGCGCTCGCAGCAATTGGGTGTGCATCGCTTTGGTCTCCTTGGCCATCGCATTTCCCTGACAGGTCAGCGTGTTGATGATCTTCTTGCGCAAGATCAAGATGGCTATGTAGACGGGGGTGACGGGGAGAACCATGTGGAGGATGGTGAACATTGCCGAGAAGCAGAAGGTGTCGATGGTGCCCGTGATGGTTTTGTTGTCGAGATCGTAGTCGGGGAATTTGACGCGAAGGATTTGCTCGATGATTGCTGGATCGTCTTGCGCCCACAGGAAGGAGATCTGGAATTTTTTGGGTTGGGCTAGTTAGAGACGCAGAGGGAAGGCTTGTGGTCTACATCCTAGCCAGAGGCGCTCGGGTTAGTCATAGGCTTAGGTGTCGACATAGACTTAGGGGTCGACTTAGGCTTAGGTTAGTCATAGGCTTAGGTTAGGCTTACGCTTAGATTAGTCATAGGCTAAGGTGTTGACTCAGGCTTAGGTTAGACTTAGGTTAGTCATAGGTTTAGGCTTGGCCTAGTTAGAGACGGGTTAGGCTTAGGATCGGCTCCAGTTAGGTTAGGCTTAGGCTAGGCTTGGGGTAGGCTCAGGTTAGGCTTTGGTTGGTCGTAGGCTTAGGTTAGTCATAGGCTTAGACGTTGACTTAGGTTTAGGCCTAGGTTAGGCTTAGGTTAGGCTTAGGCGTTGACATAGGCTTAGGTCAGGCTTGGACTAGTTAGAGACGTTTAGGTTAGGCTTGGGTTAGCCTTTGTTAGGTTAGTTATAGGCTTAGGTGTCGACTTAGGCTTAGCTGAGCTTGGGTTTGGCTTAGGATAATCTCGGGTTAGGTTAGGCCTAGGTTATGTCATAGGCTTAGACGTTGACTTAGGCTTAGATCAGGCTTAGGTGTCGACTTAGGCTTAGCTGAGCTTGGGTTTGGCTTAGGATAATCTCGGGTTAGGTTAGGCCTAGGTTAGGCTGGGGTTAGGCTTGGTCTAGTTAGAGACGCAGAGGGAAGTGCTTGTGGTCTACACCCTCGCCAGAGGCGCTCAGGTTAGTCATAGGCTCAGGTGTCGACATAGACTTAGGGTTCGACTTAGGCTTAGGCTAGCTCAGGCTTAGGTCAGGCTTGGGTCAGGCTTAGGTTAGTCATAGGCTTAGGTTAGGCTTGGACTAGTTAGAGACGTTTAAGTTAGGCTTTGGGTTAGCCTTTGTTAGGTTAGTTATAGGCTTAGGTGTCGACTTAGGCTTAGGTTAGTCATAGGCTTAGGATAGTCATAGGCTTAGGTCAGGCTTAGCTTAGGCCTAGGTTAGTCATAGGCTTAGGCTTAGGTTAGTCAGAGACGGGTTAGGCTTGGGTTTAATCTAGATTGGTCATGGGCTTAGGCTTAGGTCAGGCTTGGGTTAGGGTTAGGATAGGCTCCAGTTAGGTTAGGCTTACGTTAGTCATCATAAGCTTAGGCGTCGACTTGGGCTTAGGTTAGGCTTAGGCTTAGCTTGGGCTTAGGTCAGGCTATGTTAGGCTTAGGTAAGGCTTAAGATAGGCTTAGGTCAGGCTTGGGTTAGTCATAGGCTTAGGCTTAGCTCAAGCTCAGGCTCAGAACCCTAATCCTAAAGACCAAAAACCGGTTAATATCATTTTGTGATCCAGCTAAGCTAGTGATTACCTAAAGAGATTAATAAGGATTAGTAAGGGTAAAGAGCAAAAAATTAGGTCAGCTTAGGGATTAGGGAATACGTATTTAAAGGGCAATTTCTGAATGGGATTCCCTGAATGGGGCTAATTTTCAAAAACAGGGCTAAAATAGTAAAACTGAATGGGGTCCAAAAAATGTGTCTGAATGGGACCCGCCTGAATGGGGCTAATTCTCGAAAGTAAAAAGATAAACTGAATGGGACCCGACTGAAAGGGGCTAATTTTCAAAAATAAATAGTTTTCTGAATGGGACCCGACTGAATGGGGCTAAAAATCAAATAAATATTAGAAAAACTGAATGGGACCCCGTTTAGTCAGTCGTTTTCCGGATTTCCGGATTCTTCAAAATTTTGCATTGCGTTTGAAATTTAGTTTTCAAGTTTGATTACTACTTTCGTTTGTTTATCAATAGCGCATATAGATTGAAAGCCTATTTTTTTTTTAATTCTGAAGAACCTTTAAATTTTATCTTAAAACCGGAGAACACGATTTGAAATAGCTAATTTTTCATAAATTTAAGGATATCTGGAAATGTATTTTTTCCAGTTTCTAATGTAAAAGTAATGTAATGTTTCCTTCCAAACCTGCTTACAATACTTCTAGTTTGCCGTTTTTCCTAGTAAAATTCAAATTCTTCGCACCTATGTGTCAAAATGTGGTTTTTGGGAAGCCACCTTGCCAAAATACAACTTTTTTCCAAAATTGAGTTGAGAGACACATCTTTTAAGGGCTGAATTGAGTGAGACACAGAGAAAATGACGAATTTTAGATCTTAATTGGAAATTCGGACTTAATTTTTTAGTTCCATGCTCCATGAAGCTGCAAGTTTTAAAATTCTGAAATTCTAGTTTGGCTAATGAGAAGCAAAAACCTATTGATAATGCAAAAACACCGCACCAGAAACTGAAACCCACGTACCGAATACTACATGTACATTCGACATGCATGTCGAAATCGAGAAAATGAAATTTCCCATGAAAAATATATTCTCAATGTAGGTTACCTACTTCCTTTCAAAATTCCTCCGGAGTTTTATTCTTCAAAACCAAACATTTTGAGAATACTTTAAGGAAGAAATATTGTGATAAATACATGAAAAAACAAACTAGTATTTCAGATATAAAAAAGTTATGCGCTATTGATAAACAAACGAAAGTAGTAATCAAACTTGAAAACTAAATTTCAAACGCAATGCAAAATTTTGAAGAATCCGGAAATCCGGAAAACGACTGACTAAACGGGGTCCCATTCAGTTTTTCTAATATTTATTTGATTTTTAGCCCCATTCAGTCGGGTCCCATTCAGAAAACTATTTATTTTTGAAAATTAGCCCCTTTCAGTCGGGTCCCATTCAGTTTATCTTTTTACTTTCGAGAATTAGCCCCATTCAGGCGGGTCCCATTCAGACACATTTTTTGGACCCCATTCAGTTTTACTATTTTAGCCCTGTTTTTGAAAATTAGCCCCATTCAGGGAATCCCATTCAGAAATTGCCTATTTAAAGTGAACTTTGCCGCGAGATTCCGCGAAGCGGCCGGGAATCTTCCGCGCAGCGGTACCCCTAAGCTTTTGGTCGAGCGCTCTGCGCGAGTGTAGACCGCAAGATTCCGCGAAGCGGCTGGGAATCTTCCGCGCAGCGGTACCCCTAAGCTTTTGGTCGAGCGCTGTGCGCGAGTGTAGCCCGGTAGATTCCGCGAAGCGGCCGGGAATCTTCCGCGAAGCGGTTTATGGTCGAGCGCTGTGCGCGAGTGTAGACCGCGAGATTCCGCAGGGCCCAGGCTTAGCCTAAGCCCCCCCCCCCTTAGGCTTAGGCTAAACTAACCCATTGAACAGTCGACGGGATATACAACAAGATCAATATGACAACAATAGTTCGTCGACTCGGCGATGGATGAAACAAAATATAATATCGATAACTGAATGACATCAACAGGCTCCACAAGCTATGCGCAAAAAAATGGAGCATCAAACTGTAGGCCGTGTAACAGGTGCGCGGCCCGAATTGCGAGCAAAGCCCACTTGAAATATAGGCCAAAGTTCGGCCATTCGGGATAACTCGTTGTTGGACGAAGAACTCGAAGAAGCAGGCGAAGAAGTCGGTGATTGCAAAATTGAGGACCAAAGTTACGTAGACTTTTATGACGCTTGGGGTTTTGTAGAAGGCTAGGTAGATCAGATAGGCGTTGAAGATGACGCCGGAAATGGCGAGAATTGAGTGGATTGAGTGGTAGACGTGGAGAATTATGTCGGAGAGCATTTTGAGCGCTGAAAATGCTGGAAATTTTGGGATTTTGAGAGGGATTTTGAGCTCTGGGAGCTCTAGAATTGAAATTTCGGATTTGTTGAGCTCCAGAAACTCCGAGAGCTAGAAAACCCTAAAAATTTCAGATTTTTCAGAGTCTGAACTCAAAAAGTGCAAAAAAGTGACAAAAATTACAGAAAAACGTGATTTTTCAGCATTTTCAAGCTCCAGCTCAAAATAGCAAAAATCACGCTCTGAAAATTTTGTTTTCGCCTGGAAATCTAGCAAAAATGGGTTATTTTTGAGGTCCAAAGCTCCAGGGATTTTCTCAAAAAAAAATATTATTTTGGCTGAAAATTTTCAGATTCCAGACAAAAAAATTGTCATAAAAGTGCTAAAAATTGTAGGTCTAGCAAATTTTGGACTGAAAATTAAGAGTCTAGAAAAAAAGTGTTCTCTGAAATTTTATTTTCAAAAAAAAAAATGCTGAAAATCTAGAGAATTTTAGAACTTAAATAGGGCCTTAGGTAGGGATTAAGTAAAATAAAAGAAAAAAGGGCGGAGCTTGAGAAAATGATGAGTTAGCCTAAGTTTCATAGAGCAAAAATAAAATTTGAATATTCAAATTTCCCGCTGAATTTTTCGTGGCGCGAAATTTGAAAATTCAAATTTCCCGGGTTATTTTCAAAGGCGGGAGATTTGAAAATTCAAATTTCCCGCTGAATTTTCAAAGGCGGGAATTTTGAAAATTCAAATTTTCCAAAAATAATTTTTTTGTCTTCAAAAATCCTCCTTTTATACTATTTTCCAACCTGAAAACAACCGAAAAAATGTGTTTTTTGTCCAAATTTTTCTCGAAAAACAGGATTTATTCTATTTTCACACAAAAATGACAAATTTTTCCTGGAAAACGTGGCTGAAAATCTGAAAATCACAAAATTTTCAGCCAGCTCAAAAATCAGGTAGATCAAATTAAAAACGGCCGTTGCAAATCTCATAGAATTTCTCGTCCACCGAATACACGTTGAACACGTGGCTGATCTCGACGTCTTCTTGGAAACGACGTGTTGCACGCTGTAAACAAAATTGGGGGAGTTGACTGAGTATCTAATGGTACGCAGCCAAATTGATCATAAAAAATGGAGTTGACTGAGTATCCAATGTCTCTCAGGTACGCAGCCAAATGAAAAACATTACATTTGGCTGCGTACTTAACTGAGTATCAAATGTTCAAACTATAAGAAATGTTAAAAATTTAGGTAGATCACAAATTTGGCTGCGTATCTTGTACCTGTTTTTTTACAATTTTTCTTAACTGAGTATCTAATGCTTCTCAGATACGCAGCCAAATGAAAAACATTACATTTGGCTGCGTACTTAACTGAGTATCAAATGGTAACATGTTGAAGTATAGAAATTTTGAAAATTTAGGTAGATCACAAATTTGGCTGCGTATCTTGTACCTGTTTTTTTACAATTTTTCTTAACTGAGTATCTAATGCTTCTCAGATACGCAGCCAAATGAAAAACATTACATTTGGCTGCGTACTTAACTGAGTATCAAATGGTAACATGTTGAAGTATAGAAATTTTGAAAATTTAGGTACATCGCAAATTTGGCTGCGTATCTTGTACCTGTTTTTTTTCCAATTTTTCTTGACTGAGTATCTAATGTCTCTCAGGTACGCAGCCAAATTAGCTAGACGTTTTCTTGCACTTTTTCTTTAGCTTAGTTAGGCTTAGGCTTAAGCTTAGGCTTAAATCGGATTTGGCTGCGTACTTTGGGAAAAAAAATGATGAAAGTTCATTTTTTGGCGGGAAAACTAGAGCTACAGTAACCACAAGAAATCCACGTGTCATTATTTTTAATCTACAGTACCCCTAGGCATGTTTGGTATCAAAATGCATAATTTTTTGGCGGGAAAACTAGAGCTACAGTAATCCTAGGCATGTTTGGTATCAAAATGCATCATTTTCAGCCCCGAAAAATCTACAGTACCCCCTACAGTACCTGCAAAGCCGGTAGCAAAGACAACAAGTTAGCCAATCTCATCGATGGATCTTGAACACACCGTACACTGCGATAATAATACAAAATTTCCTTCTGCACAATCTCCCGAATTTTGCGTGCCAAATTAATACATTGCTCCGATTGTCCTTCGAGCCCGGTGTCGAAGAGCACCAGACTGCACAGCGCAAAAAATTCGTGCTCATCGACAGCGTCGCGCAACATCGGATCCGTCACATTTCGGCGGTAATTCGAGAAACTCGAGGCGAACATTCGGACGGCATCTTCGGATGACATTAGTTGAGAACCTTCGGGATCGTAGTAGAAGGTTTCGGGACGATTGCAGTCGATGTAGTCGCCGGAGGCTAGGATTATGATGTCGTTTCGGTCTGCAAAATGGAGGTTTTGGGCGTTTGGGCCGTGAAATTTGGAGCATTTTGAGCCCGGATAAGGCTAGGGTAGACCTTAGGCTTGGGGGTAAGCCTGGGATTTATACTCGCAGAGATGCTAAAGGGTTAGGGACGCAGAGGGAACTACACTCGCTCCGCTCGAGCCGCTTGCGCGGAAGATTCCGGGGCGCTTCGCGCAAGCTTGCGGAAGCTAGACACCTAGAGAGAATGGGGTTTCAGAGAGTGCAGAGAAATTAGAAGGTTAGAGACGCAGAGGGATTGCAGGGATGTTAGAGATGCTAGAGGGCTAGAGAACACTGAAGAATCAGAGACGCAGAGAAGCTAGGCGGCTAGAGACGCAGAGGAATTGCACAGATCTTAGAGATGCTAGAGGGCTAGAGAGCATAGATTTTTTAGAGAGTGCAGAGAAGCTAGAGGGTTAGAGACGCAGAGGGATTTACACTCGCTTCGCTCGAGCCGCTACGCGGAAGATCCCGGGGCGCTTCGCGCAAGCTAGACATCTAGAGATCATGTGGTTTTATAGAGAGTGCAGAGAAGCTAGAGAGTTAGAGACGCAGAGGGATATACACGTGGATTCCGGAGGGTACTGTAGATCACATTTTCATTTTTTTCCGAAAATCTTTTTTTTTTGGACTTGTGAAAATTTACTGCAATTTTTAGCGCGAAAACTTTGATTTCAAATTTTTTTCTGAATTTCAATTCTGCCACGTGGAATTTCAGAAATGAAAATTTAAAATTTCCCTCTTTGCCACGTGGCAAAGAAGTACTGTTTCTCTGCGTCTCTAGCCCTCTAGCTTCTCTGCACTCTCTAAAAACGCATGCTCTCTAGCTGCCTAGCGCGAAGCGCCCCGGAATCTTCCGCGTAAGCGGCTCGAGCGAAGCGAGTGTATTTCCCTCTGCGTCTCTAGCCCTCTAGCTTCTCTGCACTCTCCAAAAACCCTATATTCCCTATGCAGAGAAGCTAGCAGGTTAGAGACGCAGAGGGAACTACACTCGCTCCGCTCGTGCCGCTGCGCGGAAGATTCCGCGGCGCTTCGCGCAAGCTTCCGCACTCAAAAAATCAAAAACTCACTGTGAATACACGCAAAATGTCCGCCCTCCAAAATCACAAACGGCAGAAAAAAATTGCGAAACAAAATCTTCTTCTGATCGCGCGGCAAATCATTGAATCCCGGATAGGAGTTGATGATCCAATCGGCCACCAAATCGCACTCTTTCGAATTTACACGATTCGCCTCTTTGTAGGTGACGGGTTTGGCTTGACGAGTCTGCAAAATTCCAGATTTTTTGAGCCTAAATAGGCCTGGGCTTGGGGCTAGACACCTAGAGAACATGGGGTTTTCAGAGAGTGGAGAAAAGCTAGAGACGCAGAGGGATTGCAGAAATGTTAGAGATGCTAGAGGGCTAGTGAGCATAGATTTTTTAGAGAGTGCAGAGAAGCTAGGCGGGGTTAGAGACACAGAGGGATGACCTAATTGTAAGGTGAAAAATCCGATTTTGGGCTATTTTCAAGCTCCTAAGTTTAAAATGCAAATTTTAGATCATTTTTATAGCTCCTGAGCTCAAAAATACGGTCTTTAAGTCATTTTTAGAGCTCCTAAGGTCAAAAATCCAATTCTAAGGCTATTTTTAAGCTGCTAAGGTCAAAAAAACCGATTTTAAGGCTCCTAAGGTTAAAAATCCAATTTTAAGGCTATTTTCAAGTTCCTAACCTTAAAAATACGGAATTTGGGTCATTTTTAAGCTCTTAAGGTCAAAAATGCGATTTTAAGGTCATTTTTAAGCTCCTAGGCTCAAAAATATGATCTTTAGCAGAGTTCCGAGTTTCGAAACCCAGGTTTCGAAACCTATAGAAACCGAAACAATGTTTCGCGAAACTTTGGGTTTCATACGGTTTCGGTTTCGTTTGCAAGGGTTTCGAAACCCTTGGCAAAGGGTTTCGGTTTCATACCTCTAGGCTCGAAACCCTTGAACGAAACCTTTCGAAACCTTTTGAAACCTTATGAAACCCATTTTTGAAATTGAATCAGTGAAGCTGAACTTGATGTAAATTGTCTGAAAATCGGTTTTTGAGTAGGGTAAAGCTTGAATTTCAGCGTCTGCTAACATTTTAAGCTTAAGCTTCATCCCAGAAGCTGTTATCAGTGATTATCAGTGAAATTTCAAAATTATCAGATTCAGCTGGGATTTGGAGGAAATGATGTTTGGTGATAGTAGATGACATTTTTGATAAGTTTAGAGCTCCAGCTTCATCTCAGAAGCTCTTATCACTCCTTATCACTAAATTATCAATATGCTCAGATTGAGCTCAAACTTGCAGAAAATGATGTCTGGAGTTAGTAGAGAATATTTTTGATAAGTTTATACATCAAGCTTCATCTCAAAAGCTCTTATCACCTGTTATCACTAAATTATCAATATCATCTGATAAGGCCGAAAATCGGCATTTTTGGGTTTTCGAGTATGGGGAATCGTGTGCTGATAATCATTTTGTCTGAAAACCACTTTTAAAGGACCCCATCACTCAAAAAAAAAATTTTTGGAAAAATTATGTTTTGGGGTTTTTCGGTACGGGGAGTCATGTGGGGTTGATCAATCGACTCAAAACTCGTTTTTAAAGGCAGTAATCATGAAAAAATTATTTTTTTTGAAATTTGAAGATTAGTGGTTTTTCGATACGAGGAACATCGTGGTGAGACCCGTTTGGCCTAAAAATGACTTTTAAAGGCACATTCTGACCAAAAAATATTTTTTTATGGAAACTAGGTTTTTTGATATGCTGGACATTGTGCCGACATTGATTTAGCTCAAAAACGATTTTTAAAGGCATATATCAGGTTATAATTTTTTTTTTGAGTTTTTTCTTATAAACGGTCACAAATCAATTATTTTTCAATATTGTCTGATAATTTCGAAACCGTTTGTTTTTATTTCAACTTCTTTAGTGAAAAACTCAAAAAAAAATTATAACCTGATATATGCCTTTAAAAATCGTTTTTGAGCTAAATCAATGTCGGCACAATGTCCAGCATATCAAAAAACCTAGTTTCCATAAAAAAATATTTTTTGGTCAGAATGTGCCTTTAAAAGTCATTTTTAGGCCAAACGGGTCTCACCACGATGTTCCTCGTATCGAAAAACCACTAATCTTCAAATTTCAAAAAAAATAATTTTTTCATGATTACTGCCTTTAAAAACGAGTTTTGAGTCGATTGATCAACCCCACATGACTCCCCGTACCGAAAAACCCCAAAACATAATTTTTCCAAAAAATTTTTTTTGAGTGATGGGGTCCTTTAAAAGTGGTTTTCAGACAAAATGATTATCAGCACACGATTCCCCATACTCGAAAACCCAAAAATGCCGATTTTCGGCCTTATCAGATGATATTGATAATTTAGTGATAACAGGTGATAAGAGCTTTTGAGATGAAGCTTGATGTATAAACTTATCAAAAATATTCTCTACTAACTCCAGACATCATTTTCTGCAAGTTTGAGCTCAATCTGAGCATATTGATAATTTAGTGATAAGGAGTGATAAGAGCTTCTGAGATGAAGCTGGAGCTCTAAACTTATCAAAAATGTCATCTACTATCACCAAACATCATTTCCTCCAAATCCCAGCTGAATCTGATAATTTTGAAATTTCACTGATAATCACTGATAACAGCTTCTGGGATGAAGCTTAAGCTTAAAATGTTAGCAGACGCTGAAATTCAAGCTTTACCCTACTCAAAAACCGATTTTCAGACAATTTACATCAAGTTCAGCTTCACTGATTCAATTTCAAAAATGGGTTTCATAAGGTTTCAAAAGGTTTCGAAAGGTTTCGTTCAAGGGTTTCGAGCCTAGAGGTATGAAACCGAAACCCTTTGCCAAGGGTTTCGAAACCCTTGCAAACGAAACCGAAACCGTATGAAACCGAAACCTACAAAGGTTTCAGTTTCTATGGGTTTCAAAGCTCGATAAATTCGGAACTCTGATCTTTAGGTCATTTTTATAGCTCCTGAGCTCAAAAATACGGTCTTCAGGTAATTTTTAAGCTCCTAATGTAAAAAATATGATTTTTAGGCCATTATTGAAGTTCCCAACCTCAAAAAATCGATTTTAAGGTCATTTTTAAGCAGCTAACCTCGAAAATACGGTCTTTAGGTCATTTTAAGGCTCCTAGGGTCAAAAATGCAATCTTAGGTGATTTCCAAGCTCCTAGATTCATAAAATACGATTTTTAGGCTGTATTCAAGTTTCTAAGGTCAAAAATACGGTTTTAAGGCTATTTTTAAGCTACTAATGTCAAACATAAGATTTTAAGGTCGTATGCAAGATTCTGACCTCAAAAATATGATTTTAAGGCTATTCTTAAGCTCCTAAGCTCAAAAACACGGTCTTTAGGTCATTTTTGAGCTTCTAAGGTCAAACATAAGGTCTTTAAGTCATTTTTGAGCTGCTAAGCTCGAAAATTCGATTTTGAGGCAATTTGCAAGCTCCTAAGCTCAAAAATCCGATTTTAAGGCTATTTTCAAAGCTCATAAGGTCAAAAATATGGTCTTTAGGTCATTTTTAAGCTCCTAAGGCCAAAAATCCAATTTTAAGGCAATTTTTAAGCTCCTAAGGTTAAAAAGGTGTGTTTTTTTCAAATTTTGGCACGGTGCCCAAAAAAAACAAATCAATAATTCGTCATTTTTTATGACTAGCGACGCCGCATGACTCATATTATACAACACACACACAATTTTTTGTTGGGCCCAAAAAAAATCATTTTTTTTCTCTACTACTAAACTACACTGTATTAAAAATTCCACGTGGCATGTGAAAAAAAAAGTTCTGCTAACTGGCGGCTCCGAGCATGGATACGGTAGGGCGGGAAAAAATTTGAATTCAAATTTTTTTTCCCGCCCCAAAAATTGTATGTACCCCTGCCTGGGTCACCAGTTGACAGAACAATTTTTGGCGCCCGCAAAAAATTCTACAGTACTCCCAGGCTACAGTAACCCACCGTAAACACGCTATCGTCGGTTTCCGTGTGATGCACAATTCGCCGCACGCTTTGAAGGCGTGCGTAGTTATTCTGGAGGATTGTCAGGACCGGCATACCGCCCGTGTCTTCGGAAACACTTCCGCATGGTGAGGATTGCGATTGGGTGACTTGCTGGAAGATTTAGGGGGCTTGGGGGGCTTTAGGGGGCTTTAGAGGGCCTGGGAAGCCTCGGGAAGCCTCTCGAACCCTCCAGAAGCTTCCGGAAGCCTCCGGAAAGCTTCCGCACCCTAACTCACCACCGAAGTGCTCGGCGATTCCACATCCGATCCGCGTTTCCCATACGCATCCCTGAACTTCTGCACCGCCTCCTTCCGCATCCCGACCTTCTGGCATTTCGCGAATCGACAACTTCGACACATACATCGGACAGCTGAAAGAAAATCGGAGGTTATTTTCCGGAGGCGGAAGCTTCCGGAAGCCCCAACTCACTCGACACAATCTCACACGCATTGTTTCCGCGACACCGATACGTTTTGCTGAGCGCTACGGAGCGGCGGAAGAAGGCGGCGCACGCGCGGCAAGCTTCCGCGCCGAAATGTATGCCGTTCCCCACCTCTCCGCACACACTACACGGCGCTTTGTCGATTTTCATTTCTGGAAAATAAAAATTTCAGATGGGATTTAGGTTGCGCGGAAGAGAGCTAGAGACGCTAGACAGCTAGAGTGTCAGAGACGCAGAGGGCTAGAGAACACAGCTTTTTTGGAGAGTGCAGAGAAGCTAGAGTGTCAGAGACGCAGAGGGATTTACACTCGCTGCGCTCGAGCCGCTTGCGCGGAAGATCCCGGGGCGCTTCGCGCAAAACAGCTAGAGATAACAGGATGTTGAGAGAGTGCAGAGAAACTAGACGGTTAGAGACGCAGAGGGATTGCAAAAATGTTAGAGATACTAGACACCTAGAGAGCATAGGGTTTTTAGAGATTGCAGAGAAGCTAGAGAGTTAGAGACGCAGAGGGATATACACTCGCTCCGCTCGAGCCGCTTGCGCGGAAGATCCCGGGGCGCTTCGCGCAAGCTAGCTAGAGATAATACGAATCTGAGAGAGTGCAGAGAAACCAGGCAGCTAGAGAGCATAAGTCTTTAGAGAGTGCAGAGAAGCTAGAGTATCAGAGACGCAGAGGGATATACACTCGCTCCGCTCGAGCCGCTTACGCGGAAGAACCCGTGGCGCTTCGCGCAAAACAGCTAGAGATAACAGGATGTTGAGAGAGTGCAGAGAAACTAGACGGTTAGAGACGCAGAGGGATTGCAAAAATGTTAGAGATACTAGACACCTAGAGAGCATAGGGTTTTTAGAGATTGCAGAGAAGCTAGAGAGTTAGAGACGCAGAGGGATATACACTCGCTCCGCTCGAGCCGCTCACGCGGAATATTCCGGGGCGCTTCGCGCAAGACAGCTAGAGATAACAGGATGTTGAGAGAGTGCAGAGAAACTAGAGGGGTAGAGACGCAGAGGAATTGCAGAGATGTTAGAGAGTGCGCAGACGGCTAGAGAACACTGAAGAATCAGAGACGTAGAGAAGCTAGGCGGCTAGAGACGCAGAGGAATTGCACAGATCTTAGAGATGCTAGAGGGCTAGAGAGCATGGGATTTTTAGAGAGGGCAGAGAAGCTAGAGAGTTAGAGACGCAGAGGGGTGGCCTTGCGGTAAACATATTCATTTCCAAAAAAAAAATTAGTTATGACGTGGCAAAAAAAATTTCGAAAATAAAATTTTGGCCTCAAAAAATACACCTGCCGTTTGAAAATAAAAATTGTATTTTTTTTTTTGAAAATTTTGAAATCCACCCTGGCTAATTTAGACTCAAAATGAAGCTCTCTTTTGCAAAATTCAAAAAAAAATTCCACAGCGCACAGAAAAATGGGCGGGGCTTAAACTTTCAAAAAAATCATATGATGTCTTTTTATCAAAAATAGAGAAAAAAATCAATCGATCAATGAATGCAACAATGAAAAAAAGGGGGGAGAAACAATGAGGCGAGAGAGTATGACAAATGGAGAGTGCAGAGATGCAGAGAAAACGAGATTAAAGTACACACTGTGTGTGTGTGTTGTTTGTTAACACACTGTTACATAGAAAACTGGACTTTGAAACAAAAATGCGGCAAAAATCGAAAAATCATCGGGAATTTTGTGGTAAAGATGTTTGTGTTTTTAAAAATCGTTGAAAAAATGTTTTTTGTGATATCAAAAAAAAACGAAAAAAGTACAACTTTTAATTATTTACGGCTAGTGGCAAGTTTTTTTTGTTTGTGTGAAAATCGAATTTTTTCGGAGGGTGGGAAAAAAACATATTGCCACGTCATAGCAACCAAGAAATCGGGCTGTGGACTCTAGAGCCTAGAGTCTAGTCTTGAATCTAGATACAAGTTTTCAGAGACGCAGAGGGATTTACACTCGCTCCGGCTGGAGCCGCTTACGCGGAAGATTCCGGGGCGCTTCGCGCAAGCTTGCGGAAGCTAGACACCTAGAGAGCATGAGATTTTTAGAGAGTGCAGAGAAGCTAGAGGGTTAGAGACGTAGAGGGATATACACTCGCTCCGCTCGAGCCGCTGCGCGGAAGATTCCCGGCCGCTACGCGGAAGCTCGCGGTTTACACTCGCGCAGAGCGCTCGACACCCTTCTCAAGTTAGCCTAACTTAACTATATCTAGTTGATTTTTGGTCTTTAACCTGAGCAATACTTAAAATGAGCAATCAAGTTGTATTGTTTGTTATTCAAAGAGAAAAAATGATGTGATTGCACTTTTTTTTGCTCAAAAATTCAAAAACCAGTGAATTTTTAGGGATTTTTCTCAAATTTCAGCCAGAAAATCTGAAATTTTCATAAATTTCCCTCCAAAATTCCATTTTTCCATCAATTTTCACTCAAAAATCGAATTTTTGCCAAAAAAAACGCATTTTTTACAACGACACTCCGCTGAATGACGGCTTGCCTGTTGTTTAGCGCATTTTTCATTTCTGGGTGAAATTTTGTGTTTTTTTCAGGCAAATTGTTGGGAATTTGGTGCAAAATCGAATTTTTGGTGGAAAATTGATGGATTTTGGGTCCTAGGCTCAATTAGACTCAAAAAATAGGCTTTTTCGGGCCCTAGACTTATCCAAACTCAGAAAATAGGCTTTTCCGCAAGCTTGCGCGAAGCGCCCCGGAATCTTCCGCGTAAGCGGCTCGAGCGGAGCGAGTGTATATCCCTCTGCGTCTCTAACTGTCTAGTTCCTCTGCGTCTCTGATTTTACAGTGTTCTCTAGCCGTCTAGCATCTCTAACATTAGTGTAATCCCTCTACGTCTCTAACTGTCTAGCTTCTCTGCACTCTCTAGCACAAAAATTCTGAATTTTCAGCTCTAGAAGTTTCTAAATCTTTAAAATTGTGAAATTTCCGAGGCTTTCGAGGTCCGGAGCCAAAAAATGCTCATTTTCAAGGGTTTTGAGCTCCCGGCGTTTCTGGAGCTCAAAAAATGCTCATTTTCAAGGTTTTTGAGCTCCCGGAGTTTCTGGAGCTCAAAAAAATGCTCAATTTGAGCCCCGGACCTCGAAAAACCTAAATTTCGAAGCTTCCGAAACTTCCAGCGTCAAAAAATGCTCAAGAATTTCAGATTTTCAAATCTTAGAATCTGAAAATCCCTAAAATTGTTAAGCCCCGCCCACAAAACCATGCGGCAACTCAAAATCGCTCAATTTTGACCAAAAAACATGGAAAAAGTGTCATTTTTCGCGGGTTTTCCTAAGCCACGCCCACAAAACCATGCGGCACCCAAAAATTCTCTTTATCTATACCAAATCATCGGCTCCGCCCTCTCCATTTTGATCCTCCTCATTCTCATCCGTCGGCAAATCATTCGTCTCAAAAACCACACATTTTTCCTCGCAAAATTTGACGCGTCCCGCCTGCTGCGGCGGTTTTTTGCCGCTTGCGGCAGCCATTGCGGAATTTTCCGTCGCCGCCGCCGGTTTTTCGAGCTCTTTTTCGAAATCCGAAATTTTTTGATTGCGCGCACGATCTGAGATGTCGTCAATGTTGCCGGCGTATTTCGAGAACTTCGGATCGATGATCAGCTTGTCGGTGGCGATTTTTTGAGCGCGGTGATGCACGGCGGCTGGAAAATTTGCGATTTTTTGAGCCCAAATAAGCCTATGGCCCAAAAAATCCGGTTTTTTTTGAGTCTAGATAAGCCTAGGCCCGAAAAAACCTGTTTTTTGAGCCCAAATAAGCCTATGGCCCAAAAAATCCGGTTTTTTTTGAGTCTAGATAAGCCTAGGCCCGAAAAAACCTGTTTTTTTGAGTCTAGATAAGCCTAGGGCCCGAAAAATCCTGTTTTTTGAGCCCAAACAAGCCTAGGGCCCGAAAAATCCTATTTTTTGAGCCCAAATAAGCCTAGGGCCCGAAAAATCCTATTTTTTGAGCCCAAATAAGCCTAGGGCCCGAAAAATCCTGTTTTTTGAGTCTAGACAAGCCTAGGGGCCGAAAAATCCGATTTTTTTGAGTCTAGATAAGCCTTTGGGGCCTTTTGGGCCTAGAAAATCTAAAAATTAAGAAAAATCGATATTTCGATAGAGCACACTTGCAAAAATTGAATTTTTTCGAAATTTTTGAAAATTTTCACGTGACCTAGAATTTTAAATTTTAAAAAATTCATTTTTCAAAATTTTTCGGCCTAAATTTGGGCCCGGGATTATCTAGATTCAAAAAACAGGATTTTTTGGGCCCCAGGCTCATCTAGACTCAAAAAACCGGATTTTTCGGGCCCTAGGCTTATCTAGACTCAAAAAAACAGGATTTTTTGGGCCCTAGGCTTATCTAGACTCAAAAAACCGGATTTTTCGGGCCGCTAGGCTTATCTAGACTCAAAAAACCGGATTTTTTGGGCCCTAGGCTTATCTAGACTCAAAAAACAGGATTTTTCGGGCCTAGGCTTGCCTAGACTCAAAAAAACCGGATTTTCCAGGCCCGAGGCTTATCTAGACTCAAAAAAAACGGGATTTTTCGGGCCCTAGGCTTATCTAGACTCAAAAAACCGGATTTTTCGAGGCCCAAAAACCCACGTGTATGAATATTCTCAACAATTGTCGCGTCCAATTTCGGCAATTTTGCGGCCTCCAAAATTTCCACGTTCATATCAGTTTTTGGGGCGATTTCGCCGGGATTTTCGCGATTTTGCGCATCTTCTTCAGGTTTTTGAGCCAATTTTTGGGATTTCGCATTTTTTTTGGATAATTGTTCGATTTTCGCAGCCATCGGGTCTTCTGGCGTTTTCGCCGCGGCGGTCGCGGCCGCCGCAGGCGGCAAATTTGCGGGCGGCGACATGGTTTTTTTGGCGCCATTTCGTGACGGTAAATTGCGACGCGATTTCGCCTCCGCTTTTCGCGAATTTCCACTTTCTGTCGATTTTTTCGGGCCGCGGCAACAGAATGTGAGCAAAATTGTGAGGAGGAGCATTTCGAAAATACTTTTTGCTGGAAAAAAATACGATTTGGGTTACTGTAGGTCAAATTTTCGCGCGAAAACACGATTTTTGATACCAAATATGCCTAGGGTTACTGTAGCTACAGTAGTCCAAAGATGAGAGTACTGTAGATCAGAAAAATTGTGCCATTTTCAGAAAATGTAGATCATATTTTCCCGCTAAAACTTGGGTTACTGTAGATCAAAAAATTATGCCAAAAATCTAGTGATTTTGAGATTACTGTAGATCAAATTTGGACACCCAAAACCGATCTACAGTAATCCAAAATCAAAGTACTGTAGCTCTGAAAATTGGTGCCAAGAAACTTATCTACAGTACCCAAAATGTTCCCGGATTACTGTAGATCAAATTTTCGCATTACAAACTCGATCTACAGTAACCCTAGGCATATTTTGTGTCAAAAATATCGAAATTTCCAGAAAAACCCGATTTTTCAAGGTCAAACAAGCCTAGGATTACTGTAGATCAAAAAATTGTGTTAAAACTCGATCTACAGTAACCCTAGGCATTTTTGGTATCAAAATCATCGAAATTTCGAGAAAAACCCAATTTTCAAGGTCAAATAAGCCTAGGATTACTGTAGATCAAATATTTTGGTCCCGGATTACTGTAGCTGGCCAAACTCACCGAACATTGTTTTTGCTATAAATCTGGAGAATTGTGAAAATCAGAAATGACGTGGCGGGAAAATTTTCGGGGGCCAAAAAAATCGGTTTTTTTTTGGGGAGGCTGAAAAGGTCACGTGAAAAATAGAATTTTTTCTGAAAATTTTTTGGGCTAGGCTTTCAGGCCTAAAAACTCGGCCCCCTAGTCGTGTTTGGTGTCAAAAATCTGCAAATTTTCTGGGAAAACCTCAAAAATCATTTATTTTCGCGCCAAATTCTCAATATCCTCAACAATTCCCTCGGCTCGATCCAGGAGTTCGCGTAAATTCTCCGCCCTCTTCTCAGCTTTTCCCAAACTTCCATCCGAATACATTTTATGATACAATCCGATGCCGAAAAGTGTGAAATTCGACGAAATCGCAAAAGTTTCCCAATATTGCTCTTTCAATTCGTTGAAGCTCAAAACATTGCTCATTTTATCGGATTTGGTGAGTTCGTCTAACTTTTGCCAATAGTATTTGAGGTATCGATCGGTGTGCTCTTTTCGATGGGCTCTGCAAGAAATTTGGAGCATTTTGGGACTAGACAAGCCTAGGAGGGGCCTGAAAAGGGCCTAGAATTTCAGGCTTGACAATTTGGAGCATTTTGAGCCCAAATAAGGCTACTGTAGATCAAAAACCCTCTGCGTCTCTAACCCTCTAGCTTCCCTGCACTCTCTCAGAATCCTATGATCTCTAGCCGTCTGGTTCCTCTGCGTCTCTGCTTCTGCAGTGTTCTCTAGCCGCCTAGCTTCCGGAAGCTTGCGCGAAGCGCCCCGGAATCTTCCGCGTAAGCGGCTCGAGCGGAGCGAGTGTAAATTCCTCCGCGTCTCTAACCCTCTAGTTTCTCTGCACTCTCCAAAAACCTGTGTTCTCTAGCCGTCTAGCTCTCTAGCTTCTCTGATCTCTAGCCGTCTAGCATCTCTACCATTTGTGCAATCCCTCTGCGTCTCTGACCCTCTAACTTCTCTGCACTCTCTCAGAATCCTATGATCTCTGCTCTCAAATAAACATAGGCTTATTTAGGCTCAAAAAATCGCAAATTTTCGGGCCCGGGCTTGTCTGAGCTTGAAAAATCTCACCTCGAGACGCCCAAAGTCAGAACTCTCACAATATCCGCGGCAATCGATCCAACATGCACAAATTGATAGTCAATTATGGCCGCAATTTCATTCGGCGCGGCATTTCGCCACAAAATATTCGACACATTCAAATCACCGTGCACCAAGATTTTTCGGCCCAATTTCTGGACCAATTTTTGGATTTGGGCCGTTTTGTAGTCGTAGTCGAAGGACCAGGCGAGATTTTGAATTCGGGAATTTCCGAATTTTTCCGGACAGATTTGCTCGAGGAGCACCGCTTCGTCGTACTGAAAATTAAACATTTAACATGAGCAATGCTTCAAATTTTCATGAAATATCGATTTTTAGTTCAAAAATTGCAGATTTTCATGATTTCTAGCTTAATTTTAGTCAAAAATTCCAGATTTTGAAGTTTAACATGAGCAATCCTTTAAATTTTCATGAAAACATCGAGTTTTGGGTTAAAATTCAGCATTTTTCATGGTGTTCTTGGTTAATATGAGCAATACTGCAATGAAAATCGATATTTAGCTCAAAAAATCCAGATTTTAAGGTTTAACATGAGAAATGCTTCAAATTTTCATGAAAACATCGAGTTTTAGCACAAAAATCTTAGATTTCCATCACTTCTAGCTCCAAATTCATCAAAAATAGTGATTTTTTGAAATTTAACATGAGCAATCCTTCAAAATTTCATGAAAAATCAATTTTTAGCTCAAAATTCATCATTTTTCAAGATGTTCTTGGTTAATATGAGCAATACTGCAATGAAAATCGATTTTTAGCTCAAAAATTCCAGATTTTAAGGTTTAACATGAGCAATCCTTCAAAAATTCATGAAAAAAACGAGTTTTGGCTTAAAATTCATCATTTTTCATGGTTTTCTTGTTTTTTAGCTCAAAAATTCCAGATTTTGAAGTATAACATGAGCAATGCTTCAAATTTTCATGAAAAAATCGAGTTTTGGCTCAAAATTCAGCATTTTTCATTTTGTTCTTGGTTAATATGAGCAATATTTCATGAAAATCGATTTTTAGCTCAAAAATTCCAGATTTTAGGGTTTAACATGAGCAATTCTTCAAAATTTCATGAAAACATCGAGTTTTGGCTTAAAATTCAGCATTTTTCGTGGCTTTCTTGTTTTTTAGCTCAAAAATTCCAGATTTTGAAGTTTAACATGAGCAATGCTCTATTCGCTTACCATAGATCTCTGAGCATCTCGGGTAAACAAAACTTTCTCATCAAAATTTGCCACGTCATTACTCTGCTCATTTTTCCAAGCGTACACATGAAATGCGGCCAAGGCCCGCATCAGGGCCAAAATCTGTGGGTCCGAAAAGCCCGGCAGAAAATCGAGGCTATACGTAGTGTCGGCCAGATTCTCGGCCAACATACCGTGCACGGGAGACACGTGGAAAATGCGGGCCGTCGGGAAATGGGCCATTTTTTGGGGTCCGAGAAATTTGAGGTAGAAGTTGGCCTCACGGACGGTGTAAATGCGGAGTAACGTTTGCAAATTGATTTGGGATTGGGAAGTGGACTCGATTTACAGCACATTTTTGGAGATTTTTGGAATCTAGAAATTTTTTGGTGGGCCTAAATGAGCCTAGGCCTGAAAATCCGGATTTTTTGAGCCTAAATAAGCCTAGGCTTGGGTGAAAAATATAGGCTTATCTAAGCCTAAAACATAGGCCTTTTAGGCCTGAAAAATAGGCTTATCTAGGCTTGGAAAATCAAGAATTTCAAGCCTAAAAATTGGAAATTTTTGAGCCCAAATAAGCCTAGATTTTAGGCCCGAAATTAGGCTCATTGGGGCTCAAAATATCAGGCTTTTGAGCCCAGAAATTTGCCTGAATAGGCCTAGATTTCCAGGCTTGCTTAGGCTCAAAAAATCCAGATTTTCAGGCCTGAAACTAGGCTTATTTAGGCTTGGAATTTGCAATTTTTGAGCCTAAATAAGCCCAGATTTCCAGGCCCACTCACTTTCATGAAAAAATCCCCAACCACAAAAATGTCGGACCAAAAACTTTTGGAATTCTCCAGAATTCTAGGCTGAATTTCAGCCAACTCATTTTCAGACAAGTCTGGAAATGCGATTTTCAGCAAGAAATTCATTTCAGACGACATTTTCAGCCTTGAGAAAAATAAAATATATAGTCTAGACTGGAAAAAAATGGCGGTTCCACTTAAAAATGATTTTTTGATCGAACAAAAAATATTTTTGTGTAAAAATCGAAAACAAAAATAATTTTTTAGGAAGTTTTTTGAAGCATTGCTCATGTTAAACTTTAAAATCTGGAATTTTCGAGCTAGAAATCGATTTTTATGAAATATTGCTCATATTAACCAAGAACACCATGAAAAATGCTGAATTTTAAGCCAAAACTCGATTTTTTCATGAATTTTCGAATAATTGCTCATTTTAAACTTTAAAATCTGGAATTTTCGAGCCAGAAATCGATTTTTATGAAATATTGCTCATATTAACCAAGAACACCATGAAAAATGCTGAATTTTAAGCCAAAACTCGATTTTTTCATGAAAATTTGCAGCATTGCTCATGTTATACTTTGAAATCTGGAATTTTTGATGGATTTTGAGCTAAAAATCATGAAATTTTGGGTATTGCTCATATTATACTCACCATAGCAACCTGCAATCTATCCGTAAAAATCGATTGCTCAGGAAAATCCGCAAAATCCGATTCCCTCTCCAAATCCCTCAAAGTAATCCAGTGAAGCCCGGCTAGGGCCTCCATCAGGGCCAAAACTTGGGCCTCATTCAGGCCGGGCAAAAAATCGATGGCATGCACTTGTCCCACCAGATCTTCCGCTACCATTCCGCCACTTTCCGCATCGGTTTCCGCGCCGCAAACCTCTTCGATGTAATAAATGTGGGCGGTGGGAAAGTGGGGAACGGGGCGATTTTTGAGCAAATTGTAGAAGTTGGTCTCGTGACGCGAGTATTTTTTGAGCAAATTGTGCATGTTGTCGGCGTCGATGGTCTCGCAACGATTCGCATTTTCGGAAATTCGCGGAATCTGTGAAAAAAACGGGATTTTTTGAGTCTAAATAAGCCTAGTTTCTAGAGTTTTCAGTCAAAAATGAGAAATTTCAGCCTCAAAAATCTAAATTTCCATAAATTTTTCATTAAACTCACCAAATTTCCCTCCAAAATCTCATTTTTCCATCAATTCTCACTCAAAAATCGATTTTCCCAAAAAAACGCGCATTTTTCACAACGACACTCCGCTAAATGACGGCTCGCCTGTTGTTTAGCGCATTGTTGGAATTTTTTCATTTTTCACTTTTTTTCGCGTTTTTTTTGGGTTTCAGGTGAAATTTTGTGGATTATAAAGGAAATTTCAGAATTTTCAGACAAGGGAAGTGCAATTAGCGGAGTGTCGTTGTAAAAATGCGGTTTTGTTTTGGAAAAATCGATTTTTGAGTGAAAATTGATGGAAAAGTGAGATTTTGAAGGGAAAAATAGAAAATTGATAAAATTTCAGATTTTCAGGGCTGAAATTTGAGAAAAATATGATTTTTAGTGAATTCAAAGCTGAAAATTTGTATTTTTCTCGCAGGAGGAGTTAATGAGGTAAGGTTCTAATGAAATATGTCGAAATATACCAAATCAACCATGCTGATCACGATTCCGAAGTCAAAATTGCTTTTCTGGATCTCCAAAGTTGGTTTTCGTCCACTTTCATCATTTCCTGGGTTCCTGGGTGGTGAAAATGGACGAAAACCAACTTTGGAGCTACAGAAAAGCAATTTTTGACTTCGGAATCGTGATCAGCATGGTCGATTTGGTATATTTCGATATGTTTCATCAGAACCTAACCTCATTCACTCCTCTTGTGAGAAAAACACTAATTTTCAGCTTGAAATTCACTAAAAACATATTTTTTTCAAATTTCAGCCTGAAAATCTGAAATGTTATCAATTTTTTCATTAAACTCACCAAATTTCCCGCTAAAATCACACTTTTCCATCAATTTTCAATGAAAAATCGATTTTCCCCAAAAAAAACAGCGTTTTCACAGCCTCCACACCTGCGTGAAGTCTGCGTCTCACTCTCTCGTCGTTCGCTGAGTGAGATGGGGCGCGTTTGCTGCACTCACTTTTTTCCATTGAAAAACACTTTTTCTTTATTTTTTCGTGTTTTTTGGTCGCCACGAATTTTTCCTGCGCTAATACGAAGCTAAACTTGAAAATAGAAGAGATTTGGAAGACAGAGATATATAAAACATCTCAGTTCGAGTTAAAATTCAAGGAGAACATTCGAGCGGAAACTAGGATCTTTTTTGTTCAAAATCTCAGGAATTTTTTTGTACGAGTTCAGCACGTTTTGTGCATTTGTACGCGTTCAGTCCTATTAAGTACGCTTTCAAACTTATGCGTGTACACGATCAGTCTTTTTAGCTGTCTTATATCAGGAACTGAACGCGTACAAATGCAAAAAAGTGCTGAACGGGTACAAAAAAGGTGCAGAACTCGTACAAAAAATTCCTGAGGACTTCATGAGTATTTCGATATTTTTGTGTAGTTTGAAGCTATTTCGATATATTTCTCATGATTTAGCGATTGCGGCGTAGAAAATTAGTTGAAGTGAGCATGGAATTCAGGAGGGTATTCGCGCAGGTGATTTTGCCGCACAGTTCTTTGAGAAACTAATTAGTTCGTACAAATTCCGAGAACATTGTTGAAAATGTTGTTATTTTTAATTTTGACAACACTTTGCTTATTTGTAAACGTTTCTTCTGCTTTTTAAAGATAACTATCTTCTGAAAAATTTATTATTTGCAGAAGCTACAACCTTCGTGTTATCATCACCACGGCGCCATTTTGGCCAATCCTTTTTATTGGTAAGTAATTTTGATGCAAATTTTGGTACAATTATCGATTTTCAATCAAACATATTTTTAGGATCAATGATGGTTGTTGGAAAAAGATTGCGATCAAGTCGAGAAAATGCTGGACAAAGTGCTTTGTCCAGAGAAAATATCAAATTGAAAGAGGAAATAAAGGAGAAAACATCAATAATCGAGGTGATAGAAAATGACAACAAAACCTGCAAATACGAAATAACCGTGAAGGACAGAGAAATATCATCAGAAAAAAAGCAGACAAGAAAATTAAAAGATGAATTACTTGGCAAAGATTTAGAAATCGAAAGAATATGTGTGAAGTTAGAAAAAGAACGAATATTACTGGTTAACATGGATATGGATCAATTTTTCGCATGAGAAAAACATCACCGCGAAAACCTTTCTCCACCTTGTCACACCAAACGCAAATGTTGCGATCAATTGAAATTATGGAAATGTCGAGAAATGTCACCGGCGGAGAAGATTTTTATACCGTTTGGAAGTTTATGGGACAAAATTTCGAACACGAAAATGGTGTGAGATGGTGTAAAATGTCGGATGTAGATACTCTTCTTTAATGTCAAAGTTCAATTTTGGAGATGGGCTGGTTAAAGCAATGAATCATTACTACAATGCGAAAGTTGGGTTTTCCATTTTAGCATCTCGAAGAGCTATTGCTAAATTAATGAAACTTCTCGATATTTCTGATTTATACGAATTCGAAGTTGTTACTTGTGTGATCAATAAAAAAGAGGTTCAACGAGTGGTTATTAGATGTCGAAGTGTTGAGCATTTATTATCAATCAGAGCCACGAATCTCGCCAACGCTGGAAGATTGCAATTGAAAAACGGAAAAATTATTCCTGTATTAAGTGGTGATCGAGGTGATGAAGAAGCTAAAGCTGTCATTGGTCTGGAATGTTCACCTACTCCTAATTCTCCATATTCCTTGTCGTTTATCTGTAGTTTTTGTGGCGAGGATAATTATGCGAATATGCTGAAATTTATGGGAAGAACCCTTTCAACTTTAGACAACATCAAATTTATTGATTATAAATATGGAGATGTTGTTTTGCGAGCAGAGGTTGATTGGAAAAAGACCGGTAAATTTTTATTTTCAAAAATCAACAATTTGATTTGTTTTTAGGTGATTTCAAATTTTTATCTTCGTTATCCGCCCACACCGGCCAATCTTCAACTAATCCTTGCATTGGCTGTATCATCCCATTGTGCACTCACGGAGATCATCGAGATACAATCGGATTGTTCAATTTCGAACTAAAATTTGATGATCGGACCGAAGCAAACATTTTGGAACATTGCCAACAAGGAACTCATTCTATGAAAGAAGGTGCAACACCGCTAGTCCAAATCCCACCTAAAAAACAGTTCCTCCAACTGTACACATTGTTGCTGGAGTTCATGAAAAATACGTTGACGATCAGATGAAAGCGAAGACAAATAAAATGGATTGTGCACTTTTTGAAAATGCTCGAACCGTTCCTCATCAAAAATCAATGCTGAAAAAGAAAAAAGAAGAGGAGTTGGTTTTGAAATCAGCTATTAATTTTTTGGAAGCGGATATTGCAATGGGTAAAAATATGATGTCAGCCTTCAGCAACTACACCGTGAATCCCGAAGATTCCTGCGACTCTCAATATTGTATTATCGATGGATGTTCTTCAAACACTTTGGATTGGGTTAAATGTGATTTGTGTCAACGGAATTATCACATTTTTTGTATGTGTATTATGTCGGCGAAGATTGTTCACAAGATGAAAAATAGTAGTTCACCATTTTATTGTTGGAGTTGCCGTGAATTTTCGCATGAAGAAATGATATATAATGTTGAATTCGAATTGAAACAATATATTGATGAGGCTGAAACATTGAAAACTAAGTTATCTTCGGTCACCAGAGATAAGAAATCAATGGAAGCTGTTCTTTCGGGAGAAGGTGGACCATCGAGAAAGAAATTGGATTCGGTTTTGAAGAAGATTGGGTGTCTTGGATCTGCTTGGTTTGGTAATCCTGTTGGTAATCAAATTCGAAAGCTATTACGCCCAAAATACATTGAAATTGTTTTGGAGGTATTTCCAGATGATGAATTCAAATCGAATCTTCGAAAAGTTATGATTTTGCTAGGAGAGATTATGACAGCTTCAGGAAAACAAACATTCAACGATTTCGAAAAACTTGAATTTAAAGATACAATAAGCCGCTTCGTCAACGCTCTTCGAGAGTTTTGCCCTGAGGAGAATGTTATTCCGAAGCTTCATTATTTGGTCAAGCATGTCCCGGAATATATTGATATTTATGACACCTGGGGTGGCGCATGCTCCGAACAATCCACCGAACACTTTCATGTCGTTTATCGAAAAGTAAAAAAGCTTTTTCATCTATCAAGGATCTCATTTTTCAAGCCAAACTTATGGTGCGCCGATTTGGATTTTTGAATTATTTGAACGACATTGGCGAAAATTGTAATGATCCTATGATCGAAATCCCGGTTAGTTAAAAAAAAAAAGAAATTTTTTAAGTGAATTTTCAATTTTTCAGGACGAATATCGAAGTTAAAAATGTTCCCTATACTCTCCAACTTTCAACGTTTTATATATCATCATCCAACTCTTCCATATGTCATAAAAATCTGTAAATATACTTGGAAGTGCTTTTGGCTATTCACGGGTTTCGTCGATTTCAATTAATAATTTATGAGTGAGTTATTTGAACTGTTCTCTATTAAAAAATTATTCAATGTTTTAATTTTCCAGGGTATTTTCAATTGTCTATAATATCTTTTGCATATTCTTCTCGCGGGTTATCACTTGCCATCCAAAATGCTTCTCGATGATGTACAATTTGTTTAATTTTAATTATTTTTGTTGATAACTTTAAATAATAACATTTTCATGCACTACTTTTTGAAGTCTTTAACTTATTTTCATTTTCTAAAGTTTGTTTGTTTCTTACTGATTTTTTATTACGCAAAAAGTATTTCTCTGCTCTCGTGAGATTCTCCTCTTTCCCCTCGTATACAATTCCTTTGATGAAACCCACGATTTTTAGAGTATTCAATGAAAAAATGCTGAAATTTTTTTCAAAAGAAAAAAACGAGAAAAAACGGGAGAGCGCCTTCCACTGAAGAGACCGAGAGAAAAAAGATGACGAGAGAGTGTTGCATCGAAGAGAGCAAACAGACACACACAGTTTTGTATGTGGTGTGTTAGAGTGCAGACAAGGCAGCGTTTTTTCATTTGTGGACAGCGTGCGTTTTTCACAACGACACTCCGCTGAATGACGGCTTGCCTGTTGTTTAGCGCATTGTTGGCATTTTTTCATTTTTCACTTTTTTTCGGGTTTTTTTCTGGGTTTTAGGTGAAAATAGGTGTTTTTCAGGAAAATTTCAGAAATTTCTTGGGAAAACACAAATTTTCAGCCTGAAATTCACTTGAAATCGTATTTTTCTCAAATTTCAGCCGGAAAAATCTAAATTTTGCGTTTTTTCAGGCAAAATTTGGAATTTTGATGGAAAACTGATGGATTTTGGTGAATTGGTGAGTTTTTTGGGGGAAATTTTTGGTCCTAGGCTTGTCTAGACTCAAAAAATAGGCCTCTTCGGGCCCTAGGCTTATTTAGACTCAAAAAAAGGCTTTTTCGGGCCCTGGTCTTATCTAGGCTCAAAAAATAGGCTTTTTCGGGCGGCCCTAAGCCCTACCTTAATAAAAACCGACGCGGGAACTTGCACCAAATCCGAGCTCATTTTCGCCAAGTAAGTTTCGGACCAAAAACTTTTCGCATTTTCCAAATGCTCAAATTCCACGTGGACTTTTTCGAAGAAATCCGGAATTTCCGGAAATCCCTTTTCCAGCAAGTTTTGGAGATGTTTTAGGCGGAGATTCATATTGATTTTTGGCTGAAAATTTTGAAGTTTTTGGCTGAAAATTTTGAGATTTTTGATAAAAAATCACATTTTTCCCGAAAAAAAACAAAAAATTGTACGAAAAATTATTTTTTTTTCGGCTGATAATGATAAGACAAAAATCGGGGTCTTTGATTCGATCAAAAAATTAACCAGAAAATTTTTTTTTTTTGCTGTTCTCCCCAAAAAAAAACACGTTTTTGGTCCAAAACACAGTGTTTTATAAGCGCCGAAAAAAAAGTTCCGGAAAAAAAGTTTTTTTCTGAAAATCCGATTATTTTTTGAATAAATTGTAGGAAAATGTTCGCAAATCAAAAATCACTAGAAAATTTGGGGGAGTACTGTAGCTACAGTAACCCTACAGTAATCCTCAGAAAAGTTCCAAAATTCCAAAAATTTTGGATAAAAACTACAGTACCCTTCCTGAATTGTTCAGGTTTTTAAATTTTTTTTGAGGAGTACTGTAACTACTGTGGGTTACTGTAGATAAAAAATTGTGAAAAAATTGTTCCAAATTTCTACAGTACTTTGGACCTACAGTAATCCTCAGAAGAGTTCCCCAAATTTTGGATTAAATCTACAGTACTCTTAAAAACCCCTGTAGTTCTAGAAAATTCCAAATTTGTTTTCTACAGTACCCTACAGTACCCATAGAAAAGTGCAAAAAAAATCGAAAATTTGTTCGATGTCACTACTAAATTGTACTGTGACACCTTATCAACTCAATATAAATTTTTTTCGCGAAAAAAAAATAAAAAATAAATTTTTTCGCCCCGAAAAAAAGTTTCTGATAAGTTTTTTGGGCTGTAAAATTGGCCAGAATCAGAAATTTTTCAGGAAAATCTGAAAAAAAAATTTTCCGAAAAAACCCCCTTGGAAAATTGTGTTTTGGAACAGGAAAATTTGGAAAAAAGAACACAGTATTTTACACGGCATTTCATTTTGTTGACTTTTGGGATTTTTGATGACACAGGAAGAGAAAAACGGGAAGAAAACAATGGGACACTTTTGCGTGGGTGGACTAGAAAAGCCTAGATTCTAGGCCTGAAATTGGGCCTTTTTTGAGCCTAAGAAGCCTGGATTTGAAGCCTGAAAAGGTGAGATTCTAGGCCTGAAAATTAGGCTTTTTCTGAATCTAAATAGGTCTAGTTTCCAGGCTCATAAAGCCTACATTTGAAGCCTGAAAACTAGGCTTTCTAGGCCCCAAAAAAGCCCAGTTTTCCCCCAAAATTCCCCGGAAAATCAAGTTTCCCTCCAACCAATTCACACCCATTTTTTCTGCCGGCCAAGTTTCGCGCAACTGTTTTTTTTTGGCCGAAAATTATTATGTACATACATACATGTACGTTGTATTTCATTCATTTATTGTTCCTTTTTGTATAGATTTTTTGGGGGAAATCTAGAGTTTCAGGCTTTATCGGGCCCGAAAAAGCCTAGTTTCAGAGCCCGAATAGGCCTGGACTTTTTGTGTAGTTCTCGTGGACAGAAAAACTTTTTTTTTTCTGCGAAAAAAAAACGATTTTTGATGTATGAAATTTCCATGGAAAATTTGAATTTTTAAAATTGGCGCCAAAATTTTGAGCTACAGTAATTTTGAGAATTAGAGCTCAGGTTCGATTCCTGCTGCCTGCGGAAATTTTTTTTTCGGAAAGCCACATGGGAAAAACTTTAGTAAGTTCCTCTGCGTCTCTAACCGTCTAGCTTCTCTGGACTCTCTGAAAGCCTAATGTTCTCTAGCCGTCTGGTTTCTCTGCGTCTCTGCTTCTGCAGTGTTCTCTAGCCGTCTAGCTTCCGGAATCTTCCGCGTAAGCGGCTCGAGCGGAGCGAGTGTATATCACTCTACGTCTCTAACCCTCTAGCTTCTCTGGACTCTCTAAAAGACCTATTCTCTCTAGCCTCCTGGTTCCCCTGCGTCTCTGATTCTGCAGTGTTCTCTAATCGTCTAGCTTCCGGAATCTTCCGCGCAAGCGGCTCGAGCGGAGCGAGTGTGAACTCCTCTGCGTCTCTAACCCTCTAGCTTCTCTGCACTCTCTGTTCTCTAGCTGTCTGGTTTCTCTAATTCAAGCCCCCTGCAAAAAATGCAATTTTTTTGCATTCACCCATGAAATTTGTTGACACAAAATTCTTTTTGTAACTCAATACAGGTCACATACACACACACAACTTAGCCTAACTCACATATTTTTTTGTTGCTCCGCATCATGTTTGTCAAAAAGCTCTGAGAGCATGAGCATGAGCACATTTTTTCCCTTTGTATTGTTTTTTTCTTGCTCCAGGAGCACCAACTTTTTCCGGTATTTTTTGGACTTTTTGTGCTCGGCGGCAGGTGGAAATTTGACACTTTTTGGTGTAAATAACTCGTGATTTTTGGAGGCCCTAAGCCTGGATTTTGGGCCTGAAAAGCCTAGATTTTGGGCCCAAAAAGCCCAGGATTTTTCTGTAGAACAAAGTTCCAAAAACTTTGATCTAGATAAAAAATCTGGAATTTTCAAGTTACGTCATCTCAAAAAATCCACTTGAAATCGAATTTTTTTGAAACACGGTGTTTTATTTGATGTACCACACCCTAATTTTGGCCTGTAGGCTTATATAAAATGCGATTGCGCAACCCCGCATTTTTAGTGTGATTTTCTACCAAGTAGGAGTTTTCCGGTGTGATTTTTGACAGCCTTTTCGGCTTAAAAAGTAGGAGTTTTCCGGTGTAATTTTCTACCAGTTTCTGTTAGAAGGTAGGAGTTTTCTGGTGTGATTTTCGACCAATTTTTGTTGGAAAGTAGGAGATTTCCGGTGTGATTTTCTACCAAGTTTTGTTTGAAAGTAGGGTTCCTCTGGTGTGATTTTGAACGATTTCACCTTTTTTTAGAGGCTGCTAGAAATCCTGACATATTTCTCCTACTTTTGAAAATTTTGAGGCTTCTAGAAATCCTGACATATTTTCCCTACTTCAGGAAAATTTGAGGCTTTCAGAAATCTTGACATATTTTTCCTACTCTTGAAAATTTTGAGGCTGTCTAAAATCCTGATATATTTTTCCTACTCTAAAGAAATTCTAGGCTGCTAGAAATCCTGACATATTTTCCCTACCCAGCAATTTTTTTCCTGATTCAAAATCTCGAAAAAAAAGATTATTTAGGTCAACTTTTTAGGTATTCATGAGATTTACATGAGAACTTTGACATTTCTGTGTTTTTTTGGCCAATTATTATTACTAATTTATTTCTTGCCCGAACATTTTCTCAAGGATAAACTTCTTTTTCGATTGATTTTATTTTATGTTAGTTAGTTTTCTTGTGTTCTTGTTTTTGGCCAAAATTTGGAGTACTGTAGATCAGAATTTTTTTATTTAACAAAAAAATGAAAAAAAAAACTCTTTTTATGCCCATTTTTTATGTCGCTGCTTTTTTTTTGTGAGAAAAAAATTTTGCGAAAATTTATAGATTTTTTTTCGTTGATATTAGAATTTGTATACTTTTCATAGTGGTTTTTGGACCTTTTTTGGCGCGAAATTTTGATCTACTGAGGTTTTTGGGCTGTCAAAAATCCTGACATATTTTCACTACTCTGATGAATTTCTAGGCTGTCAAAAATCCTAGCATATTTTCACTACCCTGAAGAAATTCCAAGGCTGTCAAAAATCGCACCATATTTTGCCTACCCCCTCCAAAAGTGCTCCCAAAGGTCATAATTAGCCGAAATTCACCGAATTTTCTCGTATTTTCTCATTTTCGTATAATAATACTCATAATCTACACCCAAAAAGGGCCTTTTTCCCTTTTTCTTGCAGCTGAGGAAGAAAAGTGCTTGCCTTATTTTTTTCTGTGTAGAACACCTGCTCATTTTTGAGAGGGGAACGCGCTTTTTTTTTTGGTTGTTCATTTTATTTTAGTTTTGGACACGTGTTTTGGACAAAATCTAGACGAAAATTTGAATTTTTTGGCCAGAAACACTTGATTTTTGGCCAGAAAATCATGATTTTTAGCTTTTTTTTGGCCAGAAAACACTTGTTTAGGTCAATTTTAACTGGAAAACAGTTTCCTAGGCTGTTTTTGGCCAGAAAACTTGATTTTTGGCCAGAAAACTTGATTTTTGGCCAGAAAAACTTGATTTCAGGCTGTTTTTGGCCAAAAAACTTGATTTTAGGCTGTTTTTCACCAGAAAACATCATTTTTGTCCAGAAAACATGATTTTTTCCCAGAAACACTTACTTAGGTTATTTTTAACTGGAAAACAGTATCTTAGGCTGTTTTTGTCCAGAAAACAGTTGCTTAGTCTGTTTTCAGCCAGAAAATTTGATTTCAGGCTGTTTTTGTCCAGAAAACATGTTTTTGACCAGAAAACATCATTTTTGGCCAGAAATACTTGATTTCAACGCATTTTTGACCAGAAAACTTGATTTTTGTACAGAAAACATGATTTTTTACCAGTTTCCATCAAAAATTCCAAATTCCAGGTTCATGTTTCCTTCCAAGATTTTTCCACCATCAAACACCTGTCCATTTTAATTATTACACGGTGTTTCATAAATTATAATTAGAAATTATAATTACAGTTGGAGATTTTCCCGTTTTACCGACCTCTTTAATTAAAAAATGCAAAGAACTAAGGATTTTGGGTGTTTTTAAGGTCTCTAAGGCAATTTTTTAGGTATTTTTTCCCTCTGTGACCTTTAAAATATGAGTTAGGCTAACTGTGAATAATAATTAGCCTTGTCCTGTCTATTTTTCATTCCCAAAAGGTTTTCACAAATCCCCAAGGTCAACTTAGGTTTTGCGGCAAATTTTTTAGTAGCTAGGCTTGTTTAGGCTCGGGTTTGAGGCCTAAAATTGGGCCTAAAGCCTAATTTTAAACTAAGCCTAAGCCTAATTCCTATTTGATATCAAAAAATGGCGATTTTCTCACATTTGATAATACATTTATCACCTGACACAATTTTATTTATGACTTTTTTGAATTCCGAAAAAATGTGCGCCTTCTCGAATTTCTTTCCCATCAATCTTGTTTAACATATGTGTGTGTTGTAGTTCGTGTAGTAATGTTATTTATTATTTTTATTTTGAAAATTTGATGAAGTTTTGGTGAATTTTGGCCAGAAAACGTTGATTTTCAGGCTGTTTTTGGCCAGAAAACGTGATTTTTGGCTAATTTTAATATAAAAAATTGATCTTAGGCTGTTTTTGTACAGGAAACCAATTTTCTAGGCTGATTTTGTCCAGAAAACTTGATTTCTGGCCACAAAACAATTTTTCTGGCCAATTTTTTACTGAAAAATTGATTTCAGGCTGTTTTTGTACAGAAACCATTTTTCTAGGCCGTTTTTGTCCAGAAAACATGATTCCTGGCCAATTTTAACTGAAAAACATGATTTCGGGCTGTTTTTTCCCAGAATTCTTGATTTTTGGCCAATTTCAACCAAAAAAATTGATCTTAGGCTGTTTTTAGCCAGAAAACATGATTCCTGGCCAATTTTAGCTCGAAAACAGTTTCACAGGCTGTTTTCGTCGAGAAAACAGTTTCCTATGCTGTTTTTGGCCAGAAAACATAATTTCTGGCCAATTTTAACTAGAAAATAATTTTCTAGGCTGATTCTGGCCAGAAAACATGATTTTTGGCCAATTTCAACTGTAAAAACTGATTTCAGGCTGTTTTTGTACAGGAAACCATTTTTCTAGGCCGTTTTTAGCCAGAAATCAAGATTTCTGGCCAATTTTAACCAGAAAAATTGATTTTTGGCCAGAAAACAAGATTTCTGGCCAGTTTTAACTTAAAAACATGATTTCGGGCTGTTTTTGGCCAGAAAACAAGATTCCTGGACAATTTTAACCCGGAAAACAGTTTCCTAGGCTGTTTTTGTCCAGAAAACATGATTTCTGGCTGTTTTTTCCCAGAATTCTTGATTTCTGGCCAATTTTTTACTGAAAAATTGATTTCAGGCTGTTTTTGTACAGAAACCATTTTTCTAGGCCGTTTTTGTCCAGAAATCATGATTTCTGGCTAATTTTGGCCAGAAACAATGATTTCTGGACAATTTTTACCAGGAAAACAGTTTCCTAGGCTATTTTTGTCCAGAAACATGATTTTTGGCCAGAAAATCAAGTTTTCTGCCCAATTTTTCCCCTAAATGTCTCTATAATTTCCCTAATCACCTTAAGCAATTTAAAATCCAATTCAAATTCCAATTTAAAATTGGAATTTCAATTTCAGCCAAAAAATCTCATCTCACGCTCAATTTGTCCCTTTTAACTACTTTATTCTATTTATTTATTCTTGCAACACACAAAAAAAACATTAACTGGTTTTTGTTGTTGAAAACAACAAAAACATGAGTTCCTATAAGTCGGGTTCATTCAGTTTTTGTACGATTTTTTGAATTTTTGAGGTCTCCCTTTGAGGTCTACTGTAGATTTTTGGCGCGAAAAATGCGCGTTTTTTGAGACCAAATTTGAAAATTCAAATTTCCCGCTTTGAAAATTTGAGCGGGAACTTTGAAATTTCAAATGTTTAAATATTTTTTGAATTTTCAAATTTCCCGCATCAGAAATTTGAGCGCGAAATTCAAAAATTCTAATTTTTAAATTTTTTTTGAAAATTCAAATTTCCCGCCTTGAAAATTTGAGCGGGAAATTCAAAAATGAATTTTTGTTTTTAATTTTTTTTTGAAAATTCAAATTTTCCGCCTCGAAAATTTGAGCGGGGAACTTTGAATATTCAAAAATTAAAATTTCCCGCGCAATTTTTCAATAATAAAATTACTGTAGATCAAATTTATTTTGAGGGCGGGAACTTTGAAAACTTGAATTTTTGAAATTATTTTTGAAAATTCAGATTTCCAGCCTCGAAAAGTTGAGCGCGAAATTCAAAAATTCGACTTTTTGAATTTTTCGAAAATTTAAATTTTCAAATTTTTTGAAAGTTTCAATTTTCCCGCCCAATTTTTCAAGCCCAAAATTACTGTAGATCAAATTTTCTGCTAAATTTTTTGTTTCCCAGCCAATTAGCTTCCAATAATTATTGGATTGCGCAATTCAAAAGTTCCACTAACTTTTTTTGTTTTTTGCAAATTTCTGTCCTAAAATGACCTTGAAAAATCTGATTTTCAGGTTATTTTTTGGCCAGGAAAACATGATTTTTGGCCAGAAAATCATGATTTTTGGTCCCGAGTTACAGTATATTTTAGGTCCTCCCAAAAAAGTGACCTTGAAATTTTTGTTTTGTCTTTTTTTCGCCCCCAAAAAAAGTCGAAAAGGTAGCAATTTCTATTCAATTTGCCGTGTTTTTGTTCAAAAAACGAAAATATTTACATTTTTCTTTAGAAAAATGGGAAAAGCTTGTGTTTGCCAGGGTCAATCTAATCACATTTCATTTTATTAGTTTATTTTTTTTGTCTAACTTTTACACGCCCTTTTGATTTACCGTAACTCCCAAAAAAATCGCATTTTTTCTGCAGAAAACGCGATGCGATGTTAGACCGAAACGAAGAAGAAAATCTGAAAATGGCTGAAAATCCAGAATTTCACGAGGAGGATGAGATTTGGTGGCGACATCCGCTGGCACATTGGTTACGGTAGGTTTTTTTGGCTGGAAAATTTGGACAATTTTGATACCAAATATGACTAGGGTTACTGTAGATCAAAGTTTTGGGCGAAAATTCCACGTTTTTTGACTCCAATTATGACTAGGGCTACTGTAGCTCTGGGTTACTGTAGGCTCCAAATTTTAAGATTTGAACAATTTCATTTTTCAATTTTTTGGTCAAAATTTGTCTAGGCTACTGTAGCTCAGGATTACTGTAGTCTTCAGAGTGTCAAGATGATCTACAGTAGTCCTAGAGTACTGTAGTTATAATAAATTGTAGGATTTTTCTAGATTTGAACATTTTGAAGGGGGTACTGTAGTCCGAGAGTACTGTAGGTAGAATATCTTCCAGATTTTTTGTATCTGAAAATTTGACTAGGATTACTGTAGGTTACTGTAGCCCTCTAAAAAAAATTAAAAAAAGAAATTCCAAACGTGACCCAATTTTTGCCGCGTTGCAAAAAAAAATTCGAGCTTGCAAAAATCCTCAGTTTTAAAATTTTGCAAATTTAAAAATGGTGAGCATTTTTAGCGGCAGTTTTTGGGTTACTGTAGATCAAAATTTTGTTCTACAGTACCTACCTAAGCCTAACCTTATTTGGTGTCAAAAAACTGGCATTTTTCGCGCCGAAATTTTCAAAATTCAAATTTTTGCAGAGATTGTGCGTGTGGCGATCCACCTCTGATCCACGAATCCGAATGGCGTCAAATTTCGCGCCAAAAATCCGATCTACCTGTGCAGTTTCGAGAGATTTTTGATGGATTTTTGATGATGAGCGTACTACGGTATATGTGAGTTGGTTTCTCGCGTCTCTAACTCGTCAAGCTTCTCTGCACTCTCCCAAAAAGCGCATACTCTCTAGCTTGCGCCAAGCGCCCCGGAATCTTCCGCGTAAGCGGCTCGAGCGGAGCGAGTGTATTTCCCTCTGCGTCTCTAGCCGTTTAGCTGCTCTGCGTCTCTGATTCTACAGTGTTCTCTAGCCGTCTATCATCTCTAACAGCTCTGCAATTCCTCTGCGTCTCTAACCCTCTAGCTTTAATTTTCCATAGCGGGAAATTTTGAAAATTCAAATTTTGTAGATCAAATTTACGTGGCGCAAAATTTTAGAATTCAAATTTTTGTTCAATTTTTCAAGCCGCGAAATTTGAAAATTTAAATTATTTCTGTAGATTTTTTTGAGCGCGAAATTTGAAAATTCAAATTTTTTGTAGATCAATTTTCCATGGCGGGAAATTCAAAAATTCAAATTTCCCGCTCAAATTTTTACCTATGTTCTCTAGATCTCTAGTTTCTCTGCGTCTCTGATTCTACAGTGTTCTCTAGTTGTCTGGTATCTCTAACATCAGTGTAATCCCTCTGCGTCTCTAGCTTCTCTGCACTCTCTCTCATTTCCCCATACTCTCTAGCTTGCGCGAAGCTCTCCGGAATCTTCCGCGTAAGCGGTTCGAGCGGAGCGAGTGTATTTCCCTCTGCGTCTCCAACCCTCTAGCATCTCTGCGTCTCTGACCTAGGCTTATTTGGGCTCAAAAAATTCCAAATTTTTTCCTCTTCAGAGATCCCACAACTCCTCGAGCTCCAAATTCGATCGCAAATTCGAATTCGGACCCGGATTTTCTCCAGTGCCACCAAAATTATTCTGTTCTCAAACAGAAGCAACTTCGAACACTATTTGATTCTATGGCCAGATTCTACAAACAACGCCTACAACAATTGATTGTTGGAATTTCGACGCCGAATTTGGCGATTTTGGCGAGGAATCAGGATTTTGGTGAGTGTTTTGGGTGGGAAATTTGAAAAATTGGTGAAATTTGACCCCGGGAGAGTTTTTTCCCGCGAAAAATTGATTAAAATTGGCCTAGAGCTTATTTGGTGTCAAAAAAGTCCGAATTTCCGCGCCAAAAATATGGGTTACTGTATTTTCCAATATTCTCACTGACCCTGAGAAAAACCTGAATTTCTTGTCATCCAAAAAATATTTTCTCATCATTTTTTAATTATTCCGTTAACCGTTTTACGACACCGAAATTAATGGGTTCTAAACACGACATTTCGAATTTCATATAATAATTTTCCTATTTTTATATATTTTCTTCATGAGAACGAGATTTTATGTGAATTTTCTGCCTTTTTTCTCTCCAAACATCAGTTTCCGGTCATTTTCAAGCCACGGGACCTTGAAAATCGTGTTCTACGTGAAAAATTAGGCTAGAAACATGTTTCCAAATCTTTCTAGCTCATTTTCCTCAAAATACGCCTAGGAGATGGCTCAGCTGGTTAGAGGTTTGAATGTGGAGTTAAGGGTCAGGGGTTCGATTCCCAGTGGGAGCGAAAATTTTTATTTTTTCACTTCGGAGTGTCAAAACACTTCTAAATTATTTTTCAAAAAACTTCCGCGCCCACCAGGAATCGAACCCCCGACCCTTAACTCCATATTCAAACCTCTAACCGGCTGAGCCACCTCCTGGCCGTATTTTGCGAAAAATGAGCTGGAAAGATTCTGAAACATGTTTCTAGCCTCATTTTTCACGTAGATCACGATTTTCAAGGTCCCGGAGCTTGAAAATGACGGGAAAATTGTTTTTGGACAGAAAAATGATGATTTCCAAGCTAATTCCTTATGTAAATTGATCCATAAGCCAAAAAAACATGGCAAAACCAACTGTTTTTCTCTGCGCTCTCTCATTTTCCCATAATCTCTAGTGTCTCACTGAATTACTAATTATTTGTTATATTATGCGTAAAAAGGTCAGGTGTTCCCTTTTTTCCACTTTTAGTCATCCATGCATACCTTTTTTTTTCTTTTTCTCCTATTTACTTGTAGATTTTTATCTATATCTTCTTTATTATTGTTGTTTTGTTGTTTTGACACCTTTTATGACTATTTTTGGCCTGGAAATTGGGCCTTTTTAGGCCTAGAAAAGCCTAGTTTTCAGGCCTGGGAATTGGGCATTTTTGGAGCCTAAATAAGCCTGAAAATCAAGCTTAAATTAAGGGGCCTTTCCGAGCCCTGAAAAGCCTGGTTTTCGGCCTGAAATTGGGCCTTTTTAAGCCTATTTTCTAGTCTTCTAAACAAAAACCCCTCAAAATTCGGTAATTTTATCCATTTGACCCGAAACTTTTGAAATTTGATCCATTTTTGCGGACATTGTTGATAAATGGATCATTTATTTGATTTTAGCTCAAATTTTCTGCATTTTTGACTGAAAATTGCAGATTTTCAGCCAAAAAAACTTCAAAACCAGTTTAAGTGAAATCCAATTTATTTGAAAGTTTGAAAACTTTCAGTTTCCAAATTGGAACTTTTTTTTTGTCTCAATTTTCAGGCTTAAAAACTAGGTTCATTTAGCCTCAAAAAGGCCCGGATTTCAGGCCCATTCAGGCCTAAATCTAGGCTTTTCTAGGCCGAATTCTATGCCATATTTACTCTCAAAATGTTCCTGTTTTTGTTCTGACCTTGAAAATGTTTGTTTATCCGAAAAATCCCCCCGGAAAAATGTTTATTATAACTTGATAATAATAATTATTATTCGATTTTTATTTTTGTTTTGACCCCGAAATATTTTCGTTGTGTAGTTCTTTTGGAGAATTTTCCACAGGGAATTTTCAAAAAAAAAATTATGCTAATTTTGGTGTGAAAAATGAGAAGGAACATTTATCTTGTTCCCCTTTCCCTTTTGGCGCCAAAAAATTATTGATTTTTGTAAATTTCTCATTTTCTAGTCGTTTTCAAACCCCAGGACCTTCAAAATCGTGATCTACGTGGAAAATTAGGCCGGAAACATGTTTCCACATCTTTCTAGCTCATTTTCCTCAAATTACGCCTAGGAAATGGCTCAGCTGGTTAGAGATATGATTATCGAGTGCAGGGTCAGGAGTTCGAACCCGGGTCAGAGCAAATTTTTTGTTTTTTGTCTCTAACTTCTACAGTAGCTATGGTAAAACCTATCCATCATGTTTTTGCACATAAGTACTGTACTTGAGTGGCCCAAGTAGATCAAATGTATGTTTATTTATTTTTACATAGAAATTCTAATGGTCCCTTCCACCCCATTAACTTAATGGACCACTTCCTTTTTTCTGAGAGCATTTTTCGAAGAGAAATTGGATTAATTCCATATGTTTTGGAATTTTGTGCTGTTTTCCTGGCCAAAAATTGGTGTTTTTGGCCAATTTTGCACCATTTCTTATCAAATTCCCAACAATGTCCAATAATTGGATTATTCTATCGTGTTGTTTGTTTTTCTTATCATAACACACATTTGTTTTGGCCAGTTTTGTTGTTTTTCGTTATTTATGGGGTCAAAAACGCCGTTTTGCACTATTTTTATGCAAAAATGTTGTAAAAATGATGAATTTTCAGTCAAAAACACTCCAAGAAAAGAATTAAAAAATTTCCGCTCCCACCCGGAATCGAACCCCTGACCCTTAACTCCATATTCAAACCTCTAACCCTCTGAGCCATCTCCCGGGCGTATTTTGAGGAAAATGAGCTAGAAAGATTCTGAAACATGTTTCCAGCCTAATTTTCCACGTAGATCAAGATTTTCAAGGTCCCAGGGCTTGAAAATGAGCAGAAAATGATTTTTCGGCTCAAAAAGAGTCGGAAACTTGTGTTTTGTGTGCAAAAAGTATTAGAAATTGTTGTATTTTCTCACCTTTTTCTTTCTATTCATATAAATAAATAAATTTATATTCATATGCATATAACAAGCATAAAATACAATAAGATGACAATATTTGCCTAACCATTCACATTTTCTTCCTTCTGACGAGCACAAATTTTTGATATTTGCATACGCTTCCTCTTATTTTTTTTTGGACTTCTTCCAATTTTTTTTGGACATGCCGGCACTTTTTTTTGATCTACACAAATTTTTTTGTTTGATTTTGGATTAGTCAGAGGTTTGCTAGGCTTGTTAGACGCTTTTTTGGGGGTTTTTTTGGAATTTAGGCTAAATTTTGAACCTGAGAGCTCTTTTAGACCAAAAAATGCACAAAAATTCGAATTTTTGGCTCCGTGACCTTGAAAATTGAAATTCAGGTTGAAATTTAGAGCTGGGTAGCTGAATTTTTAATTTTCTGAGGAAAAAATGGTCTAGAAATCGAATTTTTGAGTCCGGGACCTTGAAAATTGGAATTTAGGCTAAATTTTGAGCTGGGTACCTGAATTTGAATATTTTCATGGAAAGTTATGCCTGGGAGCTTATTTAGACCTAAAAAAGGCTCAAAAATTTGAATTTTTGGCTCCGGGACCTCGAAAATTGGAATTTATTCTGAATTTTGAGCTGGGTACCGGAATTTGAGTATTTTTTATGGGAAATTGAGCCTGGGAGCTTATTTAGACCTAAAAAAGGCTCAAAAATTTGAATTTTTGGCTCCGGGACCTCGAAAATTGGAATTTATTCTGAATTTTGAGCTGGGTACCGGAATTTGAGTATTTTTTATGGGAAATTGAGCCTGGGAGCTTATTTAGACCTAAAAATGGCCTAGAAATCGATTTTTTTGGTCCGGGACCTTGAAAATTGGAATTTAGGCTAAATTTGAGATCGGAAAAAGCCCTTCCTATTTTTTCTTCACTTTCTTAACTATTTTTTCTGACTTTTCATTTAATTTTCATTTTCCCATTCAATTTCAAAACGAAATTGAAATTTGTGGAAATTGAATAAATAAACAGTGTTTTGTGTGTTGTAAAAACGAATTTATTTGGTTTTTCTCACTATTTTCCTTTAGAATTTACTTTGGGTGTGGTTTTTAAGGACATTTTTTTGATTCTATGCAATTTTAACTGAAAAAAAGCGGTTGACAAAATTTTCCGCACCGACCCGGAATCGAACCCCTTACCCTTAACTCCATATTCAAACCTCTAACCAGCTGAGCCATCTCCAAGGCGTATTTTGAGGAAAATGAGCTAGAAAGATGTAGAAACATGTTTCTAGGCTAATTTTTCACGTAGATCACGATTTTAGAAGTCCCAGGGCTTAAAAATGGCTGGAAAATGAAATTTTAGACCAGAAAATGTGGTTTTTTCACAGCTAATTGTGATTGCTCATATTAAAATAATAATAATTTGTTGTTGATGTCCTCTATCTAGTTTTAGTGTAACTCTAGACACCCAATTGTAAATTCTTTGGGAGAAGGAACACCTGTTCTTTTTATTTTTATTCCAAAATGTTTCTCTTCTCAATTTTTCTCATTATTATTTGATATTCCTGTTGAAATTTTACACTTTTACATTTTAAAAATTTTATTTTTGAGTAAAAATTTTGAAAGTTAGGCTAACTTCAATATTTTCTGGGTTTTTTGCCACGAAAATTGGGATTTTTTGAAAGAAGTTAGGCTAAATTTTTGAATTTTCCGACTTTTTTGTAAAAAAAAAATAAATTTTCGAGAATTTTCTCCAGATGTTCCAAATTTTCTCCCAAATTTTTTTGGTACAAATTTTTTTTTGCTGGAATTTTTTCCAGATGTTTTTGGACTTTCAGATTTTTTTTTTAATTTCAAAAGTCCACGTGGCTATTTTTCTTTAAAAAATTTAGATTTTTTGATATTTCAAAGTCTGGAAATCCACGTGGCATTGATTTTTTTGAGCTGAAATTGTCTGAATTTCTAGAAATTTGAATTTTCTTCAAAAAATTCGGAAAATTGAAAATTCCTAATTTTTTGAACTTAGGTTCGATCTCCCGTGCCTGCGGATTTTTTTCGAATTTTTGGAAGCTTGCGCGAAGCGCCCCGGAATCTTCCGCGCAGCGGCTCGAGCGGAGCGAGTGTAAGCCACTCTGCGTCTCTAACCCTCTAGCTTCGAGTCTAGGGCCTAGATTTCCAGGCCTGGAAATCTAGGCCCCCTGTATTTTTCCCACGCATATCACTTACCTCTCCGTTTTTTTCCGCGCGCCACTCACACTTTTTTTTCCTGAGCGCCGTGATATTATGCAAATATTGACTTATTTGATTAACAAAACATTTTTTCTGGAGAGAAAATGCGCGAAAATCCAGAAAAACCACTTTTTCATGATCAGAAATTTTTTTTGATGATCAGGCAGAATTTTTTGATTTCGGTTTACTTACTTTTTTGATTTGGACAGTTTTTGGCGCCAAAAATCTACAGTAATCTGGAGGTTTTTGGCCCGAAATTCTCAGAATTTTGCTAATTTCCTAGCTCAGGTTCGATCCCCAGTGCCTGCAGAATTTTTTAACATTTTTTTTTTGAAATTTTTTTTGACCACACCCAAAAAACTACTATTTTCTTTCTTTCCAAAAAAAAATTTCCATATTTTTTTTTTTTTTTTTGCAAAAAATATAGTATTGTTGTATTATTTTCGTACTTTTTTCCCACGAAAACCGGATTTTTACGCTCGAATTTCGGAAATTTTCAAGATTTTCGGAAAGTTTTCCCATGGCTCTTGAGCCAAGAGCACATTTTAGGAACTTTTTTCCCAGGGAAAATTTGAATTTTTGGTCATTTTTTATTGAAAATTTTGAATTTTTGGTCATTTTTCACCTTAAAACCCGAATTTTTGGTCATTTTTTAACAAAAAACTTGAATTTTTGGTGATTTTTCATTAAAATTTGTGAATTTTTAGTCATTTTTTATCAAAAAACTTGAATTTTTGGTCATTTTTCACCTTAAAACCCGAAATTTTGCAGTTTCCGATGAATCAATCGAGGAAATCAATAAATTAATTCTATTATTGCTTGGTTGTGCTATTCAAAGTGACAAGAAACGTGAATTTATTGATCGAATTCAGAAATTCGATCCCAGCATACAAATTGGACTTGCCAACTATATACAACAGGTTGGTTACTGTAGTTTTTGAATTCGCCGCGAAATTTGGAGCATTTTGAGCCCAAACATGATTACTGTAGGTCGAGTACTGTAGTTTTTGAATTCGCCGCGAAATTTGGAGCATTTTGAGCCCAAACATGATTACTGTAGGTCGAGTACTGTAGTTTTTGAATTGGCCGCGAAATTTGGAGCATTTTGAGCCCAAACATGATTACTGTAGGTCGAGTACTGTAGTTTTTGAATTCGCCGCGAAATTTGGAGCATTTTGAGCCCAAACATGATTACTGTAGGTCGAGTACTGTAGTTTTTGAATTGGCCGCGAAATTTGGAGCATTTTGAGCCCAAACATGATTACTGTAGGTCGAGTACTGTAGTTTTTGAATTCGCCGCGAAATTTGGAGCATTTTGAGCCCAAACATGATTACTGTAGGTCGAGTACTGTAATTTTTGAATTCGCCGCGAAATTTGGAGCATTTTGAGCCTAAACATGAGTACTGTAGGTCGAGTACTGTAGTTTTTGAATTGGCCGCGAAATTTGGAGCATTTTGAGCCCAAACATGAGTACTGTAGGTTTTTTGTCAACAAAAATCTAAAAAAAAATTTTCGCGGGTACCGGGGATCGAACCTGAGCTAGGGGAATATGGGTTTGACTCGTGGATTTTGTAGATTTTTCTAGTTTCAAATGTAATTTCCCAAAAATTTGATCTAAATCATTTTTTTTCAGAAAAATCTACAGTAATCCTAGAAAATTACCTAGGTTACTGTAATTTTCGAACATTTTTTTTTTCAAGTTTGAAAAAAAATTGCCAAAAATTTGATCTACATAATTTTTTTTCTGAAAAATCTACAGTACCCCTCAGAAACTACAGTAACCCAGCTCAATTCTCTAGCTCAGGTTCGATCCCCGGTGCCTGCGAACATTTTTTTTTCAATTTAAAATTTTGAATTTTCGCGCGCTACAGTAACCCTGAGCATGTCTAGACTCAAAATGCTCCAAATTTCGCCTCCAAAAAATGCCACGTGGCAAATTTTTCAATTTCAGCTAACTCAAACCTCACAAATCGTCGTCTCCGCCTTGGAATCTGATCGCCACGAAGTTTTTCGCCACCTGGAACGAGTTATGAAGGAGCGCGATATGCTGGCTGAAATTTCAGCAATTTCAGAACATGTGAGTGCATTTTTCGGCTGGAAATTTGAGATTTTCAGCATTTTTAACCTCAAAATTGTGAATTTTCACAAATTTTCACCCAAAATTGATGATTTTGACCTGAAAATAATTTTTTTTTCAGGATTCTGATGAGGCGAGCTCCACAACTACAAGTTCCTCATTGAACGGTGAAACACATAAGGAATCGTTTTATGGTAAGTCAAAAAAACATGTTTTTCTCGTTAAGCTGGTGAAAAATGAGCATTTTTGAGCAAAAATTTGGGATTTTTGAGCTAGAAAATTGAATTTTTGGTTATTTTTCATCCAAAAAATTTGAAATGTTGGAGATTTTTAACCTAAAAATTTGAATTTTTGGTAATTTTTCATCAAAAAAATCAAATTTTGTACCCTTTTTCACCTAAAAATTTGAAATGTTGGAGATTTTTAACCTAAAAATTTGAATTTTTGGTAATTTTTCATCAAAAAAATCAAATTTTGTACCCTTTTTCACCTAAAAATTTGAATTTTTGGTAATTTTTCACCCAAAAATCCCCTTTTCCTTTCAGAAAATCGCTCAACTTCGCCTAACTCCCAAATGCGACAATTGGTTTTGGAATTGGCTCACGCAAAACAGGAGATGAGAAAATGGATGAATGATGCGTGAGTTACAGTAACCCATTTTTTTGGGCCGAAAATTTGCGTCGTTTTGAGACCAAACATGATTACTGTAGGTTTTGGCGCCAAAAATCCACTAATTTTTTTCAAAAAAAAAATTCCGCAAGCACCAGGGATCGAACCTGAGCTAGGAAACTTGGGGATTGACTTGAGAGAAATTGGAGAATGTTCAAGGGTTACTGTAGCTACAGTAATCTGGAGATTTTTGGGAGATACTGTAGATTTTTTCTCAAATCTTGTGGATCAATTTTTTGGAAAACTTTTTTCTAGCTTGAAATTTTTTTTTGCAAAAACTACAGTAACCTTGGCTAGGAGTACTGTAGATTCTCATATTTTTTTGCATTTTGATCTACAGTATTCATTTCTTGGGGTACTGTAGTTTCAGAGCATAATCTTTTGATCTACAGTATTTTGTAACGTTTTTTGAAAAAAAATGTTCTAAAACTACAGTAACCTAGGGTTACTGTAGATTTTTGTGATTACTAGAAAATTCCGGATCTACCGTAGTTTTTGAGTGGGGTACTGTAGATTTCAAACAAAAATTTTTTCCCGAATTTTTTCGACCTACAGTAACCCATGGCATGTTTATATTCAAAATGAAGCGAATTTCAGCCAAAAAAAAATGCCACGTGGCAAATTTTCAGCCAAAAACACGAGGAAGAATCAAATCAATTTGCATCGCAACTCGAAGAATGCAAAGATCGACTTCATCAATTGGAAAATGAGCGGCCAAAATTGAAGGCCGAATCGAAAAAATGCAAACTTTTGGAGGATTATTTGCAGGCGGCAAATCAGCGAATTGAAAAATTGCAAAATTTGGAAAATGTCGAAAAACGCTTGCGAGAAACTCAAGAAGAAAAGGAATCCATTGAGAGCAAATATAAGGTACGGTAGATTTTGAGCGGGATTTTTTGAGTCTAGACTCGAAAATTCTGGATTTTTTGAGCCCGAATAAGCCTAGGCTTGAAAATTTGGGATTTTTTGAGTCCGGATAAGCCTTGGACTCAAATTTCTGGATTTTTTTGAGCCCGAATAAGCCTAGACTCGAAATTTCTGGATTTTTTGAGACTAGATAAGCCTAGGCTTGAAAATTTGGGATTTTTTGAGTCCGGATAAGCCTAGGCTTGAAATTTCTGGATTTTCTGAGCCCGGATAAGCCTAGGATCGAAATTTGGAATTTTTTGAGCCCGAATAAGCATAAGCTCAGAATTTCTGGATTTTTTGAGCCCGAATAAGCCTAGGCTTGAAATTTCTGGATTTTTTGAGCCCGAATAAGCCTAGGATCGAAATTTGGGATTTTTTGAGCCCGAATAAGCCTAGACTCGAAATTTCTGGATTTTTTGAGACTAGATAAGCCTAGGCTTGAAAATTTGGGATTTTTTGAGTCCGGATAAGCCTAGGCTTGAAATTTCTGGATTTTCTGAGCCCGAATAAGCCTAGGCTTGAAATTTTTGGATTTTTTGAGCCCGAATAAGCCTAGGATCGAAATTTGGGATTTTTAGAGTCTAGATAAGCCTAGGCCTATTTTCAGGCCTAAAAATCCTAATTTTTCTCTGCGTCTCTCACCACTTTTTATCTCTAACATTAGCAATAAAAAAACTTGAACAATAAATTATCAGGGCGGATTTTATGGGATTTTTTCGCGGTTTCACCTGACTATATATTTTTCAGGCTGAAAATTGCAGATTTTAGGCTTTTCTAGGCCTAAAAAAAGCCTGAAAGGCCCTTTCCAGCCCCAAAAAAGTCCACATTTTCAGTCGCTTTCCGAGCACTATCGAATTCAAGAGGAGACAATTGAAAATATGGAATTGAATTTGAAAACGCTCAAAAATCAGACGAAAGATCGGAGTGATATGGAAAAGGAGTTCAATCGGTCGAAATCGACGGTCCGAGATTTGGAGGAGGAAATTTCGAAGGTGAGTACGGTAGATCAGTTTTGGCGCCAAAAAATTTGACGCGTTTTGAGACCCAATATGACTAGGGTTACTGTAGATCAGTTTTGGCCCGAAAATTCAAAAAAAATGTTCCGCAGGCACCGGGGATCGAACCTGAGCTAGAGAATTTAGGGATTGACCTGAAATAAAATCTGGGAAGATGGGTTACTGTAGATCTTGAGGAGTACTGTAGTTTTTCTGGTGGGGGGGGGGTACTGTAGATTTTTCGCAATCTAGAAAAAAGTGCCCAAATTTTGATCTACGAGATTTTTTTGTTGTTGAAAATCTACAGTACCCACTCAAAAACTACTACGGTAGATTTGGAATTTTCTAGTTTTTAAAAAATCTACAGTAATCCTAGGGTTACTGTAGTGCCCAGGTTACTGTAGTTTTCCCACATATTTTTCAAGCAAAATTTTGATCTACAAGATTTTTTATAAAAAACCTACAGTACTCCCTCAAAAAACTACGGTAGATCAAATTTCCCAAATTTTTTCGGATATTCAAAAAAATTTCGAAAATCTACAGTAATCCTAGAAAATTTCCCAGGTTACTGTAGTTTTGAACATATTATTCTTTGAAACTACAGTACCCCAAAGCTACAGTAACCCCCCTAGCTCAGGTTCGATTTCGATTGGTTCGAAATTTCCAAGTCAAACCCCAAGTTCCTCCAGCTCGGGTTCGATCCCCGGTGCGTGCGAAACATTTTTTCAATTTAAAATTTTGAATTTTAGCGCGCAAAAAATCTACAGTAACCCTGGGCGTGTCTAGACTCAAAATGCTCCAAATTTTCACGTGAAAAATGTGCCACGTGGCGAATTTCAGCCCAATTTTTTCCAGAAAAATTGGCAAATCGAAAATCATCTCGTTGAGCAAGTCCGGCTGGAGCATGAGCTAAAAGAACGTGAAGAGCGAATTGCGATGCTCGAATCGAGTTCGCCTAACTTTACCCCACGATTTTCGGGCTCACTCGCGGAGCAACTAGAAGATGTGGAAAAAGAGGAGATTGCGAATTTGCGCGCCGAAAATCGAAAGTTGCGGGCTCAAACTGAGGGAGCCACGCGGAATCCGGAAATTTTGGCTGAAAAATCTGAAAATCTGAATCAGGAGCTCCAAAATGAGCTCAAACAAGCCCTGGAGCAAGCGAAACTCGAAAATTCGCGGCTCAAATTTGAGCACGAGAAAATCGACGGAACCCTGGATCGTGTGAGCATTGAGCTCGAGCAAGCCACGTGTCAAATTCAGGAGATGAGAGATGAGAGAGACGAGGCGGTTAGAGATTTACAATCAGCTCGCCGCAAGTTCGCGCAATTTCAGATGGATTTTGGGGAGGAAAAGGAGGCCCGAATCAGATCGCTGAATTTTGAGATTCAGGAGAATCTGAGAAATATTGAAGAACTACAGTATGCTGTGAAGATTGCGCAGGAAAATTCGAGAAAAATTCGATTTGAATTGGATGAAGTTCAGGAAGAAAAATCGGGCCTTCAAATCCAGATGGACTCTTTGGAACGGGCCAAAAAGGCCCAGGAAAATCACCTAGAAGCGCTGAAATCCAAAAATTCTGAACTTGAAGATCTTGCCGAAGATCTACGCCTCAAAATTCTGAACTCGGAGAACTTCTCAAAACGGCTCGAAGATCGCGAAGCGCTGATCTCACAGATCCAGGAGAAGCTTGGAATTCAGGAAAATCAGCGGAAAACTGTGGAGCAACAATTGGACTTGGAGCTCAAGAAGTCGCAGAAGCTCCGCGAGGATTTGGTGGCGGAAAAAAGCCGCGCGGCAGAAATTGTTGGGAAATTGCGGAGTGTTTGCAAGGCGGTGTTGGTGAATGGCGGGAAGATTGAGGAGCGGGAGATGGGCGATGATGAGGTGGGTTTTGGGAGTGGGAAATTTGGATTCCCCGTGAAATTTGGGACCTGGAGGTGGTTTTTCTGGAGTTCTAGAGATAGTTTTGAGCATTTTGGGTACCCCCTGGAAGATTTCACGACAGGGGGGTCACCTTTTTTCTTGGGAGCTGGTTTTGGGAACTGGGAGCGGGAAATTAGGATTCCCCGTGAAATTTGGGGCCTGGGGGTGGTTTTCTGGAGCTCCTGAGATAGTTTTGAGCATTTTGGGTACCCCCTGGAAGATTTCAACACAGGGGGGTCACCTTTTTTCTTAGGAGTGAGTTTTGGGAGGTGGGAGCGGGAAATTAGGATTCCCCGTAAATTTTTGGGCCTGGGGAGGTTTTTTGGAGCTCCTGAGATAGTTTTGAGCATTTTTGGTTCAGAAATACTGTAGGAGTACTGTAGATCAACCGGGTTACTGTAGAAAAGTTCCAAAAATCTTGTAGATCAGAAAATTGTATGGGTTTTGAGGAGTACTGTAGATTACTGTAGCTTAAAATTTAACTAAAAATACTTTAGGTAGGCTGTGTTACTGTAGGAGTACTGTAGAAAATTATAGCAATTTTTAAAGCCTCTAGAAGTACGGTAGTTTAAAAGTTCCCAAAAAATTTTGTATGTAGGATTACTGTAGCTCGAAAATTACCAAAGAATACTGTAGGTAGGCTGGGTTACTGTAGGAGTACTGTAGCTCAAAATTAAGCTCCGGAGCTCATTTTTCACCTGAAAATTCCAGATTTTCAGCCAAAAATCCCAAATTTCTTCCAGCTAATATCCTGTATCGATAACATAATGATGAATGTTCTAACCAATGCCAAACGAGAATCCGATGCTCTCAGAATCCAGCAAAACAAGCAAATTGCCGAGTTATCCGATCTCAAAAAGGATATCGAAAAATTACGGTAGGATTTTTGGATTTTTCAGCAAATTTTGGGCCTAAATTCGAAATTTTCTAATTAATTAGCACTAATTAGTCTCAAAAAACTTTTTTTTTTCAAATTTTTCGCAAAAAAAAGTTTCTTTTGATTAATTAGGATCTATTCAATTGATTAATTGGCGCGCTTTGAAGTTTCCAAATTTTTTTTTGAATTAGTCTAACTTATTTTCTAAAATGTGGTGTTGTGCTCCAAAAATTCGAGAAGAGCCCTCGAAAAATGTATCGATTATCAGGATTAATTATAATCCCAATTTTACTATGTAGGTTTTGAAGGAGGCCTGAAATGGGCCTGAAAATGGGCCTGAACGGGCCTAGGCCTTTTTCAGGCCCTTAAGGCCTTTTTAGGCCCCAAAAAATCCCCAATTTTTTCCAGGCGATCTGAAAATGTATCGTTGAGCGAGAGTGATGATCGTGTCAAAGAATTGAGCCAAGAAAATATCAATCAAAAAGAGCAGGTGAGCCATTTTCAGCCAGAAATCTTGATTTTCAGCATTTCTAGGCTGAAAATTTGAGATTTTCAGCATTTTTCACCCCCAAAACCCACAATTTTCAGATATTTTTGCTGCAAGAAAAAGTTCGTGAACTTGGCGTTGAAATCGCGGCGAAATGCAACGAAATTTCGTTGGCCAAAAATTGTATTGAGGAGTTGAATCGGAATTCGGTGAGGATTACTGTAGGCGGGGGTACTGTAGCTCGAAAATTTGGAAAATTTGATGAATTTTGAGCCAAAATTCAGGTTTTTTGATGAATTTTGAGCTAAAATTCGAAAAATTTGATGAAAAATGAGTACTGTAGGGGGTACTGTAGCTAGAATTTTTATTAAAGGTACTGTAGGAGTACTGTAGGTCAACTGGGATACTGTAGAAAATTTTCCAGAGTTTTCAGAAGTCTCTAGGAGTACTGTAGAAAAGTTCCAAAAATTTGGTGAATCCAAAAATTGTATGGGTTTCTTGAGGATTACTGTAGGTTTACTGTAGATAAAAAATTAATTAGAAGTACTGTAGATCAACTGGGTTACTGTAGGAAAAATTCCAGAATTTTCAGAAGCCTCTAGAATTACTGTACTTTAAAAGTTAAAATTCCAAAAAATTTTGTAGGTCAAAAAAATTGTGCCTCGGGTACTGTAGCTCATAATTTTCTGGATACTGTAGGCCTTAGAAGAAGTACTGTAGCTCTAAATGATTATTATATGAGCAATTTTTTTGATTTTTAGGTTACTGTAGCTCAAAAATTTTCAAATTTTGGGTTATTTTTCATCAGAAATTTTCAAATTTTCCGAATTTTTCATGAAAAAATCGATTTTCCTCAAATTTTCCATCGTAATATTCATTTTTAGTGTAAAAATCCCAGGAAAAGAAGATAGAACAAGTTTTATTATGTTCAAACACTCAAAAAAATGTGTAAAAATGATGAATGAGCCTCAATTTTGAGCTGAAATTCGGGATTTTTGACCTGACATTGATCTGAAAATCTGGATTTTCAGGTTTTTTTTGGTCCAGAAGGCTTGATTTTGGCCTAATGAATAAATTATACAATTTTTTCTCTAAATCTCTCACAAATTTTGATCTCTCGACACATTTTGAACATTTTTTGATTGATTGATTGCCAGATGTCAGAAAATTTGAGCCATGAACACATTTTTCGCCGAAAATTTTTGAATTTTACGAATTTTCGACAGAAAATTTGAATTTTGGGTTATTTTTGATAGAAACATTTGAATTTCAAGTCATTTTTTATCAAAAAATTGAATTTTGGGTAATTTTTAATTAAAAAATTGAATTTTAGGTTATTTTTTGTCAAAAATTTGAATTTTTTGTTATTTTTTATCGAATATTTGAATTTTAGGTTATTTTTCAGTGAAAATTTGAATTTCGCGTATTTTTTAATGAAAAATTTGAATTTTGGGTAATTTTTGAGTGAAAATTTGAATTTCAGGTCATTTTTCATCGAAAATTTGAATTTCAGGTTATTTTTGATGAAAAATTTGAATTTCAGCTCATTTTTCAGTAAAAATTTGAATTTTAGGTGATTTTTTATCAAAAATTTGAATTTCAGCTCGTTTTTCATCAAAAATTTGAATTTTGGGTTATTTTTGATAGAAAAATTGAATTTTAGGTTATTTTTGATTAAAAAATGAATTTCGTGTCATTTTTCATTAAAAATTTGAATTTTAGGTTATTTTTAATGAAAAATTTGAATTTTAGGTTATTTTTCAGTAAAAATTTGAATTTCATGTCGAAAAAAAAATAATTTTTAAAATTTTCAGACTTCCGCCAGTGCAAATAACACCGAACTCGCTCGCCTTCAAGTTTCGTTGAGAAACGCCGAATTACAGGTTGGTTTTTGGCGCCAAAAAATTTGAATCCAAATTTTTCCCGCCACATTTTCTCTCTGCGTCTCTCACTATTTTTTTTAATTGTTTTTTTTGCAGGAAGAACTTCGAAAACAGGAGAATTCGGAGCTCAGAAAACAGCTGGAAGCCGCAGAAAAAGCTGGCAATAAAATCAGACACGAATTGGTGAGTTTTTGGGCTCATTTTTGAGCTCTCGAGCTTCTGGAGCTCAAAATTTGGCTCCAGGGCTCATTTTCGACCTTAAATTCAGCTCCGGGGCTCATTTTTGAGCTCTGGAGCTTCTGAAGCTCAAAATTTGGCTCCAGAGCTCATTTTCGACCTAAAATTCCGAATTTCGGCTCATTTTCATCCGATTTTTCAGGACGAACTCGAATCAATGCACAAAACGTTGCTCGGCGATCATTCCCGTCTTCAACATCTTCACAACTCGCTGACCAAAGATTATGAGCAGACTAGAAATGAATCGGTGGAAATGAGGAATAAATTGAGAACGGTTGGTGTTTTTTGGGTCTAGATAAGCCCGGGCTTTTAGGGCCTGAAATTTGGGATTTTTTTGAGTCTAGATAAGCCTGGATTTCGGGCTTGAAATTCCAGATTTTTTGAGCCTAGATAAGCCTGGATTCTTCGGGCTTTTGAGGCCTGAAATTTGGGATTTTTTGAGCCTAGATAAGCCTGGATTCACCGGGCTTTTGAGGCCTGAATTTCCATATTTTTTGAGTCTAGATAAGCCTAGATTCCTGGGGCTTTTTGGGCTTCCAGCCCGTCCCAAAACCTCATAAAAATTCCTCAAATCATATAACTTCTTTTTCTTCTTCTTCACATTATGTTATGCTATAATAACATGAGAAGAAAAAAGAAAAACACCTCAATAAAATTTTTACACAAAACTGCATTTTTATTATTATTCTCATTTTTATTACTACTACTTTTCCCCGGCTTCCGAAACGCTTTATTTTCCGGATTTTTGTGGATTTTTTGGCTGAATTTGGGCCTAAAAGCCTGGAGTTTCAGGCTTGAAAGCCCGGATTTCTAGGCTTAATTTGGGCCTAAAAGCCTGGGTTTTCAGACCAGATTTATTCTTAAAAAAGCCTGAATTTTCAGACCAAGTTTAGACTCAAAAAAGCCTGAAGTTTTGGGCTTTAAAGCCCGGATTTTTAGGTTTTATTTGGACCTTTCAAAGTCTAGACTTAAGATTTAAGAAGCCTGAATCTTTGGGCTGAATTTAGGCCTAAGAAAGCCTTAATTTAAGGTCTGAAAATCCTGGAGTTTTAGTCTAAATTGAGGCCTCAAAAAAGCCCGAAGTTTCAGGCTTCAAACTGGGATTTTCAGGCTTCGTTTAAGCTATGGAAAAGCCTAAATTTAAGCTTTAAAAAGCCTGGATTTTAAGGCTTGAGAATTCTGGATTTTTAGGCTTTAGGTGGGCCCTGAAAAAGCCTGAATTTTTAGGCTGAATTTAGGCCTTAAAAAGCCTTGATTTTTAGCTTCATTTGGGCCTAAGAAAACCTGAATTTAAGGTCTGAAAATCCTGAGTTAGGCTTTGAAGCCTGAATTTTTAGGTTTATTTGAGGCCTTGAAAAGCCTGGATTTAAGGTCCGAAAAGCCCGGGATTTTCAGACCAAATTTAGGCTTAAACACCGAAGATTTTCAGGCTTCATTTAGGTCTCAAAAAGCCTGGAAATCCCGAAGTTTTAGGCTCAAAAGCCCGGATTTTCAGGCTGAATTTGGGCTTATCTAGGCTCAAAAAATCCAGATTTTTAGGATGAATCTAAGCCTCAAAAGCCCGGGAAATGTAGGCTTATCTAGGCTTCAAATATCCCAAATTTCAGGCTTATCTGGAGCCCTCAAAAGCCTAGATTCTCAGGCTCTGAATCCAGGCTTATCCTGGCCTCAAAAGGCCCCCAAATAACCCAAAATCTTTTCCAGCACACCCCAATGGTTCACGCAAATCTTCGCGACTTGGAAGAACTCCGCTTCCAATTGGCTCACGAAAAATCAGCCAAAGAAAAACAGCTTCGAGCCTACGCCGATCTTCAAAATGAGCACGGACAAACCCGTCGACAACTCGATAATTTGCGAGCTGAAAATGAGCATCTGATTCGAAATCGCGAAGCTCTGACTTCAGAATTGCGAAGATCCAGAGCTCAGGATAATGCTCTTGAATGGTCGAATTTGGCGGATGATTTGAATAAGCAAATTCAGTCGAAAGATTTGGAAATTGCTAAATTACATCATAAAATCGAGGCGCTTCAACAATTAAATGCAACTTATAATGAGGAAAACAAGAATTTGTCGAGGCAATTGGAAATTCTGCTAACTCAAAATAAGGAGCTCTTGAATCGCGCACTTTATGATAAGGATCAATATCATTTGGAGATGAAGGATTTTCAGGTGAGCCCACGAAATTTGGAGCATTTTGATATCTTATAAGCCTAGATACACTAAAATTTACCTTAGGGACCTTAAGGAGTATTGTAGCCTTTTAGCCCAGGAACTTTGGAGCATTTTGATACCTCATAAGCCTTAGAGACCTTAAGGTTAGGTTTAAGAAGCTTAGGAGCCTTAAGATTAGAGTTGAGAGGCTTAGGAGCCTTAAAGTCAGGGTGAGGTACCTTAAAGGTCTTAAGGAGTACTGTATCTTTCGAGCTCAAGAAATTTGGAGCATTTTGATATCTTATAAGCCTTAGGGGTCTTAAGGTTAGGGTTAAGAGGCTTAGGGGTCTTAAGGTTAATGGTAGAAACCTTAAGGACCTTAAGCAGTACTGTAGATTTCAAGATCAACACATTTTGAGCATTATTGGCCTTATGAGCCTTAAGGTTAGGGTTAAGAGGCTTGAAGAGCTCAAGGTCAAATTTCAGAGCCTTAGGTACCTTAAAGTTAGGGTGAGGAACCTGGAAGGTCTTAAGAAGTACTGTAGAATTCTAGCTCAAGCATTTTGGAGCATTTTGATACCTTTCAAGCTTTGGGAGCCTTAAGGTTGAGTTCAGGAACCTTAGAGGTCTTAAGGTTAAGGGTAAGAGCCTTAAGGACCTTAAGAAGCACTGTAGACTTGTAGCCCAGAAAATTTGGAGCAGTTTGATATCTCATAAGCCTAGGCACAATGAAATTCACCTTAGAGACCTTAACTACCTTAAAATAACCCTAATTCACTTTAGGAACAACTCAGTTCTCTACGCCGCCACAAGGAAAAACTCGAAGATAAAATCATGGATCAATATCGGAGCATGGAGAGTAAAAAATCGTCGACCGATCGAAAACAGCCGCTGGTTAAGAGAGCTGCTAAGGCCCTAATTAGGGTGAGTTAAGGGTTTTCGCTTAAAATGAGCAATCTCATGATTTTCAGCATGAAAAATTGATCTAAAAATGGGAAATTTTCAAAAAAGTTCCCATGGGGATTCGATCCGGGACCTTCTGATCGATAATTTTTCAGCGTCGCGCCAGCTCCAACACCGGCTCAACCACTGAAGATTCGAGTGCTTATTCAGCCGATGAATCCACCCAACACCAAAATCAAAACGGTAAAATCCACGTCAGCACCGTCCGTCCGCGTCCGGAAATTTCCGCACCCATCGCACTCGCCGCCATTCCGGAAACGTGTCCGCTTCACGGCAAACTGCGCGACATAACTCCGCAATTTGCCGCCGAGCAGCGCGTCAAATTCGCATCAATGCGCGTCGCGTCTTCCGCGACGCGACGCGCCACGATTTTCCGCGATGATTCCGCAACGCGTGGCGCCTACAGTAATCCCAATGTCCGGAAGATGATTGATATGCATGTGACGTCATCGTCGGATTGATTTGGGGTTACTTTAGGTGCCACGTGGCAGGGTACTGTAGAGTTTTGGATTTCACTGCGTACGTTTGATACTCAGCTTAGGATTTGGCTGCGTACCCGGGTGGCATTAGATACTCAGGCTGACTAGAATTACTGTAGATGAGCAATGACTTCTTAGATTTAGCTTCGTACGTTTGATACTCAGCCTTGATTTGGCTGCGTACCTAGAAATTTTGAACGTTTGATACTCAGTTAAGGAATGTACGCAGCCAATTCAAAATTATATAATTTAGCTGCGTACCTAGAAATGTTTAACATTAGATACTCAGTTAATGAATGTACGCAGCCAATTCAAAATTCTCTAATTTAGCTGCTTACCTGAAATTTGTACGTTTGATACTCAGTCAAGTACGCAGCCAATTTTCAAAATCCTATAAATTAGCTGCGTATCTGTAATTCTTACATTAGATACTCAGTCAAGTACGCAGCCAATTCAAAATCCTATAATTTAGCTGCGTACCTATAATTTCTAACATTAGATACTCAGTCAAGGTGAAAGTACGCAGCCAATTCAAATAACATTAGATACTCAGTTAAGGTTTTCAATTAGCTGCGTATCTGAATTTTGAACGTTTGATACTCAGTATACCCCTCCAGCCGCTCGCTTAGCCGCTCAAACCGAGGCGCTCGCTCGAGCTTCTGAGCGCCTAAGCCGCTCGAGCCAACGAGCGGCTTGAATGGCTTGAGCCGCTGAGCGGCTAGAGCCATTTGAGCCGCTCGCTCGCTAAGCCGCTCGAGCATGGAGCCGCTCGAGCGCCTCAGCGGCTTAGGCGCTCGAGCCACCAAGCCGCTCAAGCCGCTGAGGCGCTCGAGCGAGCGAGCCGCTCGAGCGGCTCGAGCGGCTCGCTCCATTTTCAAAAAAATTTTTTTCTATACGAAAATTGTGAAACAGTGGTTTTTTTCATAATTTTTGGGTACTTCGAAAATGAAATATTTGTATTGGGACATGGTCCTTGGGTCATGAAAAATTTTTTTTATTTGAAAAAAGTGGGCGGGGCTTATTTTTCAGTTTAAAGCTGAAAACACTAAAAAATCAAAAAATTCAAAATTTACTAAAAACTTTCTGGTTTTTTTTCAGATGACTTCTAGTTTATTTTTGAATGTTTTTGACGATAAAAAACACACAAAATTCTCAGATAACTGACGATTTTCAGCTATTTTTTATCGAAAATCTGCAATTATGTGTTTATTTTTTTGATATTTCAAGCCGGAAAAAAGCTGAAAATTGTCAGCTATTTGAAAATTTGAAGTGTTTTTCATCATCAAAAGCATTAAAAAATCATCTAGAAAAAACCAGAAAGTTTTTGGTAAATTTTGAATTTTTTAGTGTTTTCAGCTTTAAACTGAAAAATAAGCCCCGCCCACTTTTTTTTCAAATTAAAAAAATTTTTCATGACCCAAGGACCATGTCCCAATACAAATATTTCATTTTCGAAGTACCCAAAAATTATGAAAAAAACCACTGTTTCACAATTTTCGTATAGAAAAAAATTTTTTTTTGAAAATGGAGCGAGCCGCTCGAGCCGCTCGAGCGGCTCGCTCGCTCGAGCGCCTCAGCGGCTTGAGCGGCTTGGTGGCTCGAGCGCCTAAGCCGCTGAGGCGCTCGAGCGGCTCCATGCTCGAGCGGCTTAGCGAGCGAGCGGCTCAAATGGCTCTAGCCGCTCAGCGGCTCAAGCCATTCAAGCCGCTCGTTGGCTCGAGCGGCTTAGGCGCTCGAGCGAGCGGCTCGCTCAGCTCGTGAGCCGCTTCAAGCCGCTCAATGACGAGCGGCTGGAGGGGTATAATACTCAGTGAAGTTGAAAGTACGCAGCCAATTCAAATAACATGAATAACATTAGATACTCAGTCAAGTACGCAGTCAATTCTCTACAGTACCCTTTTTCTCGCACTTGTCCTTGTCCAATTTTTGTCTGTAAATATTTGTGTCCAAAAAAAATTGCTTATAGATTTTTATCGATTTTTCTTCTGCATGACCGGTTATTTTTTGAATTTTTAAATTTTTTTTTGAATTTTTGAATTTTCGCGGGTTTTTTTTCTATGTGCTTTTTTGTCCGTCCTTAATAAATGTTGCATGTTTTGAAAAAAAAGCTGAAAATTTGTCTGAAAATCTGAAAAAAAAATTTAGATGATCTGGTGCCGACTTGTTCCTCATCGGATGATCATGATCGAGGCCATTCGCCGGCGAAAAATTGGGCCGAGGGGCCCGGAAATTGGGCCGGGGCCGGGCCCGAAGAGCCCAGATTTTTGCGGCAACGTGGAGATTTGATGGGTGGATCGGTTAGGCTGAGCAATGGAATTGGAGGAACTGCAAGACGGCCCGTTTTGCACGCGTCACAGACTTATGAGCAGATTTTGATGAGAGGTAGGCTTTGGAGGCCCGGTCTAGAATTACAGGCCTTGAACAATGGAGCATTTTGAGACCGAACATGACTAGGGTTACTGTAGGTCTTGCCACGTGGAATTTTTTGATCTACCTACAGTAACCACAAAAAAAATGATTTGCCACGTGGCATTTTTTTCTGAATTTCAAATTTTCGCGCCAAAACGTTTTTCTACAGTACTCCCAATAGAAATTTTGACACGTGGCATCTACAGTAATCTGATATTTTTGGAGATTTGAAAAATTCTGGCCCCAAAAGAGTACTGTAGATATTTTGCCACGTGGATTCTTTTCTGAAAATTTGAATTTTTTTCTGAAAATTTTTTGAGCTCTACAGTAATCCTTAGAAAAATCAATGCCACGTGGAATTTCGAATTCTGGAAATCTACAGTAATCCAAACACAAAAAGTACTGTAGATCAAAAATTCAAAATCCACGTGGCAAACTCTTTGATCTACAGTAACCCTAGTAAAATTTTCGCGCCAAAAAAACAAAATTCAAATTTTTTTCCAGATTCCCCCGCCACAATCTCTCCGCTCACCAATCTTCCGCCACGCGCACCAATCCGCAACGCATCCGCCACGTCATCACTCCGCGCACGTCCGCCACCGTACACCAAACCGAAGGGGGTTTCCGCGCCGCTTCCGCCTCCCGAATCCCCGCCGCTCTTCCAACCGCGTTCCGCGTCGACGCCCAAGAAATCCGAGATGGAATCTGGAGAAATAGTGGGCGAGGGTGAGAGACGTAGAGTGGTCAGAGAAAAAGAGGAGCGATTCGACAAGGCGTTGAGCTACTATGAGAATGTGGCAAATCCGGATTTGGCACCGGCCCAAAAAAATTGTGAAGTTCTCCAGGAGGACGAGGAACTTAGCCAGAATGACACGAAAAATGAATCGACAGTTTGGTATGAGTATGGATGTGTTTAGGCCTAAAATTCGGGCCTAGAAGCCTAGGCCCGGCCTAAAATTAGCCCCTTTTTATATTTTCTAGAGCCCCCGGTTTTTACTCTGTATTTATTTCATTTTTTAACCCTCAAACTACGAAAAGTGACCTTTTATTGCATTTTTTTGTGAAATTTATAAATTTTTTTTTGCCACGTGGAATTTTTTTTTCAGGAATTTCAGACAAACTCTCCAAAAACATGGAAAAAACAAAAAAAAACAGTGAAAAACAAAAAAAATGTGTGGCCGTGGCCTAGAAAACCAACGGGAAACTAGGCCGCGTCTCTTGTGTGTCGATTTACGCACATAGAAAAAAATATTTTTTTTCGCAGAAAAAAACGTGGAAATTTGAGAAAATGAAGGATTAGGCTTGAAAGTGAGCAAATTTTTTTTATTCAAAACTCGGTAGCAATTGTAAGATCAGGCAATTCAATGTGATTATTAATTCTATTCGAAGATCCAACTCCACAAAAAATATTCCACCAAGTTTTCGATTTTCTTAAATCCAGATTTGATTTATTAAAATATATGAATGTAGCTTGAAAAACGATTTGAGTTGTCAAAACATCGATGGAAAATATGGGATAGAAAACCTGCAAAAAACAATTTGCTACGTCATAACTTTATGATTTACCGTATTTATGTAGTCATTTGTTGTTTCGGGTTGTTTAAGAATAAAATTGGAGAAATAAAAATACATGAATGGAAAACATAATATTTTCACAAAAATCAGGAGCAATGTTTGATATAGAAATATTTTCTCAGGATGAGATCTGATGATTATAATTGATGAATTTCTCTCGATTTTTCGAATACTTTTCATAATTAAAATATAAAAAATGGCCGAAAATATGACTAAAATATCAAAACTTATATAAAACAAATTGGTGAAAATTGCCCATTGATCTTGATTGTCACATTTAGAACACAAGAAAACATATAAAATATGAATTGATTCGCCAAAAAATGAAATATAATACATACATCCAATAATACATTTGAATCTGGTTTCAGAAGGGATTATATGATTTTGTGATTTTGGAATAAAATAAATTAGGAATCTTTGAAAAGCCAATAAAAATATTAGGAAATTTTGAACTGGAATTACGATTTGATTGAAAAAATTTAAAATTATTAATAAAATAAAAGGAATTAATGAATCTGTATTTGAAATTACAATATTCTTAACAATTAGTGAAATAGCCACAATTAAAATCATTAATTGGGAGATAATTGTAATTTTATAAACGTGATTTGTAATTAAATATAGTTTCGAAGATTCCTGATTGATTTTTGTTAAATATTTAAATATTGGGCAAATTATGAGAATAATTATGCAATAAATAATTATGAATATAAAGTGATAGGAAATGGAAGATTGGGAGAAGAATAGATCTTGAAATTCGATGTTTGAGTCCATTTTTTTTTAATGTTTTTGAAGTTAGGGCTCGAATCGAGCCATTTTATTTGAAAAAAATCAGCTGCTTTCTTAAAAGCAGGTGGAAAAGATTCTTGCAAAACATTTGAACATTGATGTGTTCTCAATTCCCTGATCTTACAATTGCTACCGAGTTTTGAATTAAAAAATTGCTCAATTTCAAGCCTAATATCCTTCAATTTCGTAAATTTCCACGTTTTTTTTCTGCGAAAAAAAATATTTTTTTTCTAAGTGCGTAAATCGACACACAAGAGACGCGGCCTAGTTTCCCGTTGGTTTTCTAGGCCACCCGGCCATCCACACATTTTTTTGCTGAAAAATGCTGGAAATGGAATTTTTGGTAACTAAATCGAATATGGAGAAGACGGAGGAAGAAAAATTGAATAGAATTAAATGAGTATCAAACGTACGCAGTCAATTGCAAGATTCTTTATGTCAAACATAACAAAAATAATTAGTGTTACAAAATAAATATCAAAATACGGGTTTAAGGCTCTTTTAGTGCCTAAATAGGCCGGTTTAGGCCGATTTTAGGGCCTTTCCAGGCCCAAAAAGCCCCCTAATCGTGCTCATAGAAAAATCGGCCCGCTTCGGCGTGCTGGAAGAATCGCGCAATGCGATTTTCGGTGACGACAGTCTTGTTGGAGCCGAAAGACGGCTCGACGGCTGGCATCAAAGTTTCCCAGTTGATAAGTGAGATGAGGCGATTTCTGCAAGAAGCGGGAGTACTGTAGGCGTTTTGGCGGGAAAATTTGGAGCATTTTGAGACCAAACATGCCAGGGGTCGCGGAAAATGCGCAATTTTTTTCCGCAAGCTTGCGCGAAGCGCTCCGGAAGCTTCCGCGAAGCGGATCGAGTGCGGAAAATGCGGAAAATCGCTCACCTCATATTCTCCATAGTAATTCTATCGCGAAAATCGCCTTCGACCTCAATTCGCCGCTGCAAATCCGCAGCCAACTCGCCGAAAATCTCCACGTGTCGCGGAATGATGAGCGTCAATTTTGCGCGTGTTTCCGCGTTCAACGTGGCAAAATTGGCGAAAAGTTGAAGAGCCAACTCGATTTTGGGGAAATTCGGTTCCGGAAGCGCGGAACGTTGTTGCGGAAGGCTTCGCTTGAGAAAATCGATGAGCGGCTCGATTCGCTCCTGATTCACCGACAAATATTCGTAGTTGGGGCTGAAGCCGACTTGTGCCAGGGTCTGAAATTCAAAAAAACTGATTTTTATAATTTTTCAGCTCAGAATTCACCAAAAAATCGTATTTTTCTCAAAATTTCAGCCTGAAAAATCTAAAATTTCATCAATTTTCAATTAAACTCACCAAATTTCCCTCCAAAATTCCACTTTTCCATCAATTTTCACTCAAAAACCAGATTTTCAAAAAAAAAATCGCATTTTTCGCAACAACACTCCGCTGAATGACGGCTTGCCTGTTGTTTAGCGCATTGTTGGCATTTTTTCATTTTTCCGCTTTTTTCGCGGTTTTTTCGTTTTCCGGGTGAAATTTTTGTGTTTTTTCAGGAAAATTTGAGAAATTTCACTGAAAATACAAATTTTCAGCTCAAAATTCACTGAAAAATCGTATTTTTCTCAAAATTTCATCACTAAAAACCTGAAATTTCATAAATTTTCTATTAAACTCACAAATTTCCCTCCGAAAATCTCACTTTTCCATCAATTTTCACTCAAAAATCGAATTTTCAAGAAAAAAACGCGCATTTTTTACAACGACACTCCGCTGAATGACGGCTTGCCTGTTGTTTAGCGCATTGTTGGCATTTCTTTCATTTTTCGCGTTTTTTTCGTTTTCCGGGTGAAATTTAGTGTTTTTTTCAGGAAAATTTGAGCAATTTCGTGGCAAAATCGATTTTTTGGTGGAAAATTGATAGATTTTGGTGGATTTGTGAGTTTTTTGGGGTGGGTTTTGTTGAAAAATTGGAAAATTTGTTACCTAGGCTTATTTAGACTCAAAAAATAGGCTTTTTCGGGTCCTAGGCTTATCTAAACTCGAAAAATAGGCTTTTTCCGCAAGCCTGCGCGAAGCGCCCCGGAATCTTCCGCGTAAGCGGCACGAGCGGAGCGAGTGTATTTCCCTCTGCGTCTCTAACCCTCTGTTTTCTCTGCGTCTCTAATTCTTGTAGTGTTCTCTAGTCGTCTGGTATCTCTAACATTAGTGTAATCCCTCTGCGTCTTTAGCTCTCTAGTTCCTCTTCGTCTCTGCTTGTACAGTGTTCTCTAGCCGTCTAGCTTCCGCGAGCCTGCGCGAAGCGCCCCGGAATCTTCCGCAAAGCGATTCGAGCGGAGCGAGTGTATATCCCTCTGCGTCTCTAACCCTCTAGCTTCTCTGCGTCTCTCTCAGATAGCGAAACGAATGCGGAAGTGCCTCTAAACATTATTGGGGTCAAAAAATGCGCAATTTTCGCGCGAAAGCCGTGTTTGGTGTCAAAAAACCCGGAAAATCCTCACCATCGCATATCTCCACCCAAAATCCGGTGGCATCAACAAAATATACGGTGTCCTCGCCATCAAAATCCACAAAAATCGTTCGCGCGTCAAAAACCAGCTGGCATTTTCGCAAGTCACAAAAATCTTGTTGCGATTTTCGGTGGTGTCGAGTTTCGCTAACTCGAATTCGATGCGAAATTTATTTAGGACGAGATCGATGAATTTCGGCATTTGCCCGTGCCCCAAAAAATCACCGTACTCTTGTAGTTTACGGCCAAAAGTACTGTAGAGACTGGCTGGCATTATCTTCCAGACCTGTAACAAAAATCCGGCATGTTTGGTGTCAAAAAATCGGCAAACTCACACATTCCAACATGTGTCCCCTGGCTAACGGATCATCCTTATGAAATCGCCGAATTATCTCGAAAACCGCTCCAACATCTGCTGTCCTCTCATTTATATATTCTGCATACATTTGACAAATTACCAAAACCGGCTTCGGCGCTTGATTCGTCCCAAGACATCCCAATTGTCCCTGCAAACGAAATAGTCACACACACACCTAGGCTACGTATACCTTAGGTATACGTTAGGGATAGTTTATCCATAACGTATACTTATTTTTGTCCATAACGTATACGTGTTTTCAACGGATACAAAACGTGTAAAATTTCATGGAAGATTTTGACTGTTTTTTTGGACTAAATCTGTCCCTTATGAGCTTGGGAGTTAGTTTAACAACTTTTCGCGAGGTTTCGAGACCATTTCGAATAAATTTATGGTGAAAGTTGAAATTTTGGAAAAGTGGACGTAACGTGTATATTATTCATCCGTAAAGTAGACTTGGCAAAAATTGATAAATCATTGGAGGTTTTTCGAAAAACTTAAAGGGGGTACGGGCTAATCAAAATTTTATGGAAATAAATATACCATCTGAAAGAGGAGGTTTCGTTTAGTATGTTCCCAAATTTTCATAATTATTTTTCACGTTTGAATACCATTTTTTCACGCGCAAACACGAAAAAGTTGCGCTCGACCTCAGAGAAATAGCGCACAAGAAAGAGAGACACAGCGCATAGAAGGGGCGGGGCTTAAATACGCTGTGTCTCTCGTGTCTGCATGCTATTTCTCTGAAGTCGAGCGCAACTTTTTCGTGTTTGCGCGTGAAAAAATAGTATTAAAACGTGAAAAATAATTATAAAAATTTGAGTACATACTAAACGAAACCTCCTCTTTCAGATGGTATATTTTTTTCCATAAAATTTTGATTAGCTCGTACCCCCTTTAATTTTCGTTGTTTTCTCAATGTTTGTGATGTCAAAGAATGAATCAAAAACTCAATTCGATAATCGGAAATGCATCTATTCATTTGCGAAAAAAACCGAAAAAAATTTATTTTTTTACAATATTTTTCTATTCACCAAAATGCACGAAATAAATGTCAATCGTGACGAGACCCACACACATTTCAAGGAGAAAAACATGCGAGAAAAAAAAACAAGAAATGAAATTTTCGAAAGCATGCATTTTTCACACTCGTTGCCTTGAAATGAGTGTGGGTCTCGTCACGATTGCATGTATTTCGCGACAATTTGTGATTTTGGTGAATAGAAAAATATTGTAAAAAAATACATTTTTTTCGTGCGTTTTCGCAAATGAATAGATGCAAAAGACTTTTTGAAAAGTACACGTAACGGAGATGTATTATTTCCATAACGTACACTTTTTCATCTCCATAAAGTATACGTTAAGTACATTTTTTGTAACCTATAAAAAATACATTTTCATTTTTATAAATTTTCCATCCTACGTCTTATAGATAAGTTCTTTCATAATTTCAGTACTTTTTCTTTCCTACACGCTATGCCAGCCGATACAAAAATTAAATTTCTGGGAGACGCAGACTTTTAACACAGGCAGAACCATCTCTCGCCTTTCCTTCCCCCTCGGGCGATACAGTGTGCTGTTGGCAGACACAGCAGACAAGCAGACACACACACAAAACATAGCGCATGGCCGCGCCGCTTTTTCGTCTGTCGCTGCGTTTATAGACCACATCGGCGTCGCCCTTTGATGTGTTGAGGTCTCGCAGCGACTTTCTAACCGAAAATGAATGTCTGCGTCTCCTCGAATTTGTGTGGTGGCACGACGTGCCTAGTTAATTGTTTCTATACAAATTTGGCCATTTTTGTCTTCATTTTCCACTCAAAAAGAAAAATTTGCTCGACATTAGGTCTAAGTTTCATTCCTGGACTGATATCCCATCTATTTTCAGTCATTTTCATATTTTATCACGTTTTTATTTGCAAATAAAACTCAAAAATTGCAAGAAAAACGCGAAATCCAGAAAAAAAAAAGATAAGCCCCGCCCACTTCACACGGAAAACATAGCGCAGCGCGCAGCACGCGAGGTGTCGGTCGCTTGAATTATATAAGTAGACAGAGCGCTCCCATTTCCCAAAGCGTGTTTCGCTAAAAAACGCCAGGGAATGGAAGTTTTTTTGAAGCAATATTGAATTGCAGTCAATTTTGAACTTATCTATAATTGAAATAGATTCACATTATCAATCTTAAAAATAAATTCTGAAATTTCAAAAGTACACTTTTTATGTCCGTAATTTTATCCGTTACGTACACGTGAGAGTCTCCATATGGACATCTCAGGTGTACTTAACGTACAAGTGTGCGAGAATCAAAATACGTACCCGAGGTGTGTGTGCAAGGCGAAAAAAGCCAGGGGAAACAAACAGGCGCGATGGCGCAGTGGTAGAGCGCCGAGCCGGCGAGCTAGAGGTCGTGGGTTCGATGCCGGGTGCGGGCTACTCAAAAAATTTTTTTTTTGTTTTTTCTCACCCACCTCATTGATAAAATCGCCAATTTCAGCGCGATGCTCTGAATTCTCTTCGGAAGCCAGCAAACATCGAATAACCACCGCGTTGATTCGCGGGTGCATCTCATCCAAATTCCGATTTCCCTGAGTTCGAATAAACTCGCGAAGTGCATTGAATTGCTCGGCCGGATTTTCGATTCGCTCGACACCCTCGAAAATTTCAGAGACGGCTGAAAAAATTCCAGATTTTTTGGAGCATTTTGAGCCAAAATTTGTCTAACCTCTTCTTCTACCATTAGTTTTCACAACCATTCATTTAGGCTAACTCCAAAATTTAGGAAAAATGAAAAATTGGAGAAAAAAAAAGAGATTAGGTGGAAAATCCGGGGATTTGGGGAGAAAAATCGATGGATTTTTAATGCGGCTTAGGAAAAAGGCCACGTGGCAGGTGACAAATCCCGGCCCAAGTTTTAGGGCTTTTCTGGGCCCCCGAGGGGGCCCGGGCTTATTTGGGCTCGAAAAATTCCCGGATTTCGGGCCCCCTAGAATCTACAGTACCCCCGAAAATCTACAGTAAACTCACGTGTTAATCGACGATATTTACGTGGCATTTTGGAAACCAAATGGAAAAAATTGATTTTTTTTTTGAAAAAAAAATTTTTCAAAAAAAAAATAATGCGCGCTCGAGCGCATTTTTTTGATCTACTCGAAAAAATTTTCGAAAAAAAAATTTTTTTTTTTAAATTTTTTTTTTGAAAATAATCATATTTGGTCTACAGTACTCCAGGCCGGCCTTTTCGGCCCAAAAATCAGCCTAGCCCGGCCTTTTTAGGCCTAGAAGCCTTGTTTTGATATTTGAAATTGGCTGCGTATCTATCACGTTTGATACTCAGTCAAGAATCTTAGGTTCATTTTGGCTGCGTACCTCTAGATCTAAAGACATTAGATACTCAGTTAAGTACGCAGCCAAATTGACAAGGTCAATTTAAACTCAATTAAAAATGTTTTTTGCTTCAATTTAGCTGCGTACCTCTAGATGTATAGACGTTTGATACTCAGCCAAGAAGCTTAGCTTAACATGAGCAATATACATTGCTCATATTAAACTTTTCGGGGGGAATATCTTTATTTCGTTCAAAAAATCACAAAAAATACAGAAAAATCACAAAAAATCGGGGGAAATCGGAAAAAAATTCAAATTTTCAACGGGATTTCGAAATTTAGAGATACCCGTGAACACAGAGATCTCTAAAGGGACAGGGGCTGGGAAAAAGACTAGGCCCGGGCCCGGGCTTTTTTAGGCCGAAAAAATTGGGCCTAGTCATGTTTGGTGTCAAAATGCGTCAAATTTGACGCCGAAAAAAGTTTTAAGCACAAAAAAATCTGAAATTAAATTTAGTACAATCCACAGCCTTGTAGATTGGCTTGAATAATCATATCAATAACCGAATCCAGAATCATTTGAACTTGATTTGTGTCAGTCGCGCAGGTCTGATGCATATAGATGGTTTTTTCCGGGTTCGCGTTGAGACCATCGAATTTTTCCTCGATGAAATGGGTGGCTTCGTCGTAGGTTTGAGCGCCTGCAGAGAAAAATTAGGTTTTCGGGGTACTGTAGATCGGTTTTGGCGCGAAATTTGCAGTTTTTTTGATACCCAATAAGCCTAGGATTACTGTAGATCAATTTTTGGCCTCAAATTTGATCTACAGTAATCCGGACTGCAAAAAATTGTAGGATTACTGTAGATAAAAATTCCACGTGGAATAAGCTACAGTAATCCTAACCCTAGTGATATTTGATCTCAAAATGATCACAATTTTCCAAAGGCTACAAAACTACAGTAATCCGGACTGCAAAAAATACAGTAAGCTTAAACCTAAGCTTGTGTGATGTCAAAATGATCACAATTTTCTAAAGGCTACAAAACTACAGTAATCCGGACTGCAAAAAACATGCCACGTGGCAAAAATCTACAGTAATCCTAAAGCTAAGCTTGTGTGATGTCAAAATGATCATAATTTTCCAAAGGCTATATAACTACAGTAATCCAGACTGCAAAGATACTTCCACGTGGAAATTTCTACAGTAATCCGAAACCTAAGCTTGTGAGATGTCAAAATGAATGGCTATAAATCTACAGTAATCCAGACTGCAAAGAAAATTCCACGCGGCAAAAATTCTACAGTAATCCTAAACCTCATCATATTTGGTCTCAAAATGCTTCAAATTTTGAGGCGAGAAAATCTACAGTAATCCTACAGTAACCGGGCTCAAAATGCTCCAAATTTCAAGCCACAACTCACCTTTATACTCTGGAAAAGCGACTTTAATAGAAGTTCTCTTAATCTTCTCGGCAAACAAATCCTTCTTATTCAAAAACAAAATCATCGAAGTGTTAATAAACCATCTGGAATTACAGATCGATTCGAATAATCGCATCGATTCAATCATTCGATTCGTCGTCTCATCCTCAAACAAAACCTGATCATATTCCGAAATGGCGGCGATGAAAATAATGGCATTCACATCCTCGAAACAATGAATCCATTTTTTACGCTCCGATCTTTGACCACCCACGTCGAACACACGAAAATCCACGTTTTTCATCTGGAATTTGACTTCGACAATTCCGGTTGTTTTGATTCTGGAGAGCAGAATATCCTGCTCCGTGGGCTTGTAGTCATTTGAGGCAATTCGGTCGACTGACGAGAGGAAGCTGTAAGAAATTTGGGATTTTTTGAGCACAAACAAGCCTAGGGGGCTAGATTGGGCCATTTGGGGCCTTATGCTCAGGACTAAGCCTTATGCTAAGGCTTAGGCCTGGGGATATACACTCGCTCCGCTCGAGCCGCTTGCGCGGAAGATTCCGGGGCGCTTCGCGCAAGCTAGAGAGCAGAGAAGCGAGAGGGTTAGAGATGCAGAGGGATTACACTAATGTTAGAGATGCTAGATCGCTAGAGAACACTGTAGAATTAGAGACGCAGAGGGAAATACACTCGCTCCGCTCGAACCGCTTACGCGGAAGATTCCGGAGCGCTTCGCGCAAGCTTGCGGAAGCTAGACACCTAGAGAACACTTCAGAACCAGAGACGCAGAGAAGCTAGACGGCCAGAGAATATAGGTTTTTAGAGAGTGCAGAGAAGCTAGATGGTCAGAGACGCAGAGGGAAATACACTCGCTCCGCTCGAGCCGCTTACGCGGAAGCTTCCGGAGCGCTTCGCGCAATCTTGCACTAACATGAGCAATGATCAAAAATCCCATTTTGTACCTTTTCGGTGGCCACAAAAAATTAAAATTGCACTTTTTGTCTACCGGAAAAAGACAAAGTGCATCGTATTTTGTGATATTATTGGCTGACTGAGTATCTAATGTAGGTACGCAGCTAATTAATTTAGCTCGTTGGCTGAGTATCCAATGGCTTCCCAAGGCTTCCCAAGGCTTCCCAAGGCCTCCCAAGGCTTCCCAAGGCTTCCCAAGGCTTCCCAAGGCCTCCCAAGGCTTCCCAAGGCTTCCCAAGGCTTCCCAAGGCTTCCCAAGGCTTCCCAAGGCTTCCCAGGGCTTCCCAAGGCTTCCCAAGGCTTCCCAAGGCTTCCCAAGGCTTCCCAAGGCTTCCCAAGGCTTCCCAAGGCTTCCCAAGCCTTCCCAAGGCTTCCCAAGGCTTCCCAAGCCTTCCCAAGGCCCCAAACTCACTGCGGAGCACTTTCCGGCAACTGATATTCCGCACCCTTCACAATCATCTCCTCATGAATCGATTTATCATCCCACAAATTCTTCAGCGCCCGTGTCAACTCCTGCGAAAACGGTTCCGACTCCTTGCCCGCCTTCACCACATCCAAAACGACGCGCGCGTCCGCGTCGCGTGCCGCATTCTCAAACGACACTCCGCAAGTGCTCATCGCACGCAATATCACCGCCATTCCTTGGATTGTGTTGTTGTAGACGACGGATTTTTGCTGATCGGCCTCTTCTGTGGAGAAACCGTGGTCGTGGAGGATGCGCATTTGTTTGAGTACGGTGGATTTTCCGCATTCTCCGGCTCCTGGAAATTTGGGATTTTTTGAGTCTAAACATGGCTGGGTTTGGATAAAATTTAGGCTTATCTGGAGCTGTATCTAGGCCTGGCCGCTACGCGGAAGATTCCCGGCCGCTTCGCGGAAGCTTGTGGTCTACACTCGCACTAGAGGCGCTCGGGTTAGGTTTAGGCTTAGGCCCAGCCGCTACGCGGAAGATAGTGCCGCTACGCGGAAGCTTGCGGTCTACACTCGCGCCACAGGCGCTCGAGCCTTTGGGCTTCTAGGCTTCAAGGCCCAGCCGCTACGCGGGAGATAGTGCCGCTACGCGGATGCTTGCGATCTACACTCGCGCATAGCGCTCGAGCCTAGGCGCTCGGGTTAGGTTTAGGCTTAGGCCCAGCCGCTACGCGGGAGATAGTGCCGCTCCGCGGAAGCTCGCGGTCTACACTCGCGCCAAAGGCGCTCGAGAAATATGTACTTTGCTCATGAAAATCACCTGCTCATGGGAAAAAATATGTAGTTTGGCTCAACTCCAAAAAACACTTGTATTTTGCAGAACATAATATTATCTAGAGAATGTTAAGGTTCTTAAGTACTTTAAGGTAACTGAAAAAAAGCTTATTGAAAGCCCTAAAGCTCTTTAGAATCCTCTAAAGCCCGTTAGAGCCTTCTAAGGTTCTATAAAGCCCTCTAAGCCTTTAGGGATCTTGGAATTTGATTTTGAAAATTTCTGTGAGTTACAGGAAGTCTTAAGTAATTCCAAAAAAATTAGTTAGAAGATAATAAAGGTTTCTAAGGCTCTCTAAAGCCCTCTAAGGTTCTATTAGGGTTGCTAAGGCTCTTTGATGTTCTTAAAAGCTTTGTGAAACCCTCTAAAGCCCTCTAAAGCCTTCTCAGCTGTTTTAGAGCCCTCTAAAGCCCTCTAAAGCCCTCTGAAGCCTTCTGAAGCCCTCTAAAGCCCTCTGAAGCCTCCTAAAGCCTTCTGAAGTGCTCTAGAGCCCTTTAAAGCCCTTTGAAGATCTCTAAAGCCCTCTAAAGCCTTTTGAAGATCTCTAAAGCCCTCTAAAGCCTTTTGAAGCCCTCGAAAGCAATTTAACGTCCTCTAGAGCTCTCTGAAACCCTCAGAAGCCCTTTGAAGATCTCTAAAGCCCTCTGCTGTCCGATAAAGCCCTTGGCTACTCTCTAAAGCCCTCTGAAGATCTCTAAACCCCTTTAACGTCCTCTAGAGCTCTCAAAAACCCTCGGCTGCTCTCTAAAGCCCTTTGAAGCTCTCTAAAGCCCTCTAAGGTTCTACTAAGGTTATTGAGGCTTTTTAAGGTTCTTGAAAGCCATGTGATGCTCTCTAAAGCCCTCTGAAGCTCTCTAAAGCCCTCTAAAACCCTTTAAAGCCCTCTAAAGCCTTCTAAGGTGCTCTAGAGCCTTCTAAAGCCCTTTGAAGATCTCTGAATCTCTCTTAAGCCCTCGCAAGATCTCTAAAGCCCTTTAATGTTTTCTAGAATTCTCAAAAGCCCTGTTATGCTCTCTAAAGCCCTCTGAAGTCCTCTAAAGCCCTTTAAAGCCCTCTGAAGCCCTTTAAAGCCCTCTAAAGCCCTCTGAAGCCCTTTAAAGCCCTTTAAAGCCCTCTAAAGCCTTCTCAGGTGTTTTAGAGCCCTCTGAAGCCCTCTAAAGCCTTCTGATGCTCTCTAAAGCCCTTGGACACTCTCTAAAGCCCTCTAAAGCCCTCTAAAGCCCTAAGGCCTTATTAAGAACCCTTCAAATTTAAAACTTCCCCCCTTAACCTTCCACATCTTCAACCCCCACGCTTTTCTTTCTTTCTTTTTGTTATTCTCATTTTTTTTGCTCATTTTTTTTGCTTATTATTATTCTTATAACACACACACAATATATGGCTAATGATTAGGCAATTTTTCATTTTTCTGTGAATTGAGCACGCAAAAAAGAAAAAAACCATGGCAACTGATTATTATTATCACAATTATTATTATTATTGTGTGGTGGTTATTGAGTTATTTTTCTGCGTGGCTCAATGAGCAACACAAAAACACCAAAAGCTATGACGTGGCAAAAATGTGCTCCTGCGTGGGCTCAAAAATATGACACAATTAATTAATTAGCCAAGTGCAAAAAAGTTCAAAAATTTGGACCGCGACGCGTACGCGTCGCGGTTCGATGACAAGGGGAATTTGATTAGTTGAGCAAAGTGCATGGTCGTAAATTAAGCGGCTATTTTTGGAAGGGCTTTGGATTAAGCCTAAGCCTTGGGGGCCTAGGCCCAGCCGCTACGCGGAAGACAGTGCCGCTTCGCGGAAGCTTGCGGTCTACACTCGCGCCAGTGGCGCTCGAGCCTTTGGGCTTCTAGGCTTAGGCCCAGCCGCTACGCGGAAGATAGTGCCGCTTCGCGGAAGCTTGCGGTCTACACTCGCGCCAGTGGCGCTCGAGCCTTTGGGCTACTAGGCTTCTAGGCCTGGCCGCTACGCGGAAGCTTGCGGTCTACACTCGCGCAGAGCGCTCGAGCCTCTGGGCTCCTAGGCTTCTAAGCCCGGCCGCTACGCGGAAGCTTGCGGTCTATAGGCCTTATCTCAAGGCCTAGGCCTAAAGCCCAGCAAAAAAAGCAAAATTGACTTTTGAAGGTGATTTACGTCAGAAAAATTTCACCTGCAAACTTCAATTCCAAAAATTTTTTTGGCAAGAGAAATGTAGCCTTCAGGGGGCTTCTGGGGGCTTCTAGAGCCTTCAGAAGCCTCCAGAAGCCCCCTGAAGCCATCTGAAGCCCCCTGAAGCCTCCTAGAGCCCCCAGAAGCCTCCAGAAGCCCTCTGAAGCCTCCAGAAGCCCTCTGAAGCCCCCCAAAGCCCCCTGAAGCCTCCTAGAGCCCTCTGAAGCCTTCTAGACTCTCCTGGAGCCCTCAGAAGCCCCCAAAAGCCCCCTGAAGCCATTTTAGGCCTTCAGAAGCCACCTAAAGCCATTTTAGGCCTTCAGAAGCCTCCTGGAGCCCCCTGAAGCTTCCTAGAGCTCTCTGAAGCCCTCAGAAGCCTCCTAGAGCCATTTTAGGCATTCAGAAGCCTCCTAGAGCCTTCAGAAGCCCCCTGAAGCCTCCTAAAGCCATTTTGAGCTTTCAGAAGCCCCCTGAAGCCATTTTAGGCCCTCAGAAGCCCTCTGAAGCCCCCCGAAGCCTTCAAAAGCCCTCTGAAGCCTCTTGAAGCCCTCTGAAGCCCCCTAGAGCCCCCTGAAGCCTCCTAGAGCCATTTTGGCCTTCAGAAGCCCCCTGAAGCCTCCTAGAGCCTCCAGAAGCCCCCAGAAGCTTTCAGAAGCTATTTTCGGCCTTCAGAAGCCCCCAATAGCCCCCCTGAAGCCCCCCCAAAGCCCCCCGCTCAACTCACCCAACAACAACAATTTGACAACTTTCTGCTGAGCCAAATGTCCCTGCATCATCTCCTTATCGATCGCCTTCGACTTCTGATTCATCTCCTTATCCTCGCTCGATTGACACGTCCCCATTTTGACAATCTGAAACTAGACTCTAGTTTTAGAGATTAGATTTGGCTGAAACTAGACTCTAGTTTGCTCTTCGTTCAAAGAACATCCCCCAGAGAGAGACTTGGGCTAACTTGGTAAACAAAAAAAAATGAGTAAGCAAAAGATTTACGTAGGCAAAATATTGTAGTGTACTATATCCCCCCCCCCCCCCTACAAATTTCTGTTTTTCTAAGGCCTACGTAGCTCCGGGTTACTGTAGTTAAGCCTAGGCCTGGGCCTAAAAATGCATCGGATTTTAGGCCAGCCAAAAATTCTGTTACCGTAGTTTTTTGCGAGCGTGCGGAAAATTAAATTTTGGGGGGAAATTTGATTAATCAAAAAAAAATGTTTTTTTTTTCTCAGATTTAGATTATCTTTAATTGGGTTACGGTAGTTTTGAGCAGGCTATTTTAGAGGCTCAAAAAAAAGGCCTAAAATAGGCCTACAGTAGGAAAATGGGGAAATTTTTTAAAAAGCCTGAAGTTTGATCTACAGGGAAAAAATCAGGTTACGGTAACTTTGAACCATTTTTTCTGGGCCTAAAATGAGCCTGAATAAGCCTAGAGATGAGCCTCAAATGCACAAGCCTAAGCCTTAGAATAGGCCTTAAATGAGCCTAGAGAAGAGCCTGAATACAAGCCTTAACGAGCCTAAAAAGCACGAGCCTAAACCTTAAAATAGGCCTTAAATAAGCCTAGAGAAGAGCCTAAAAACAAGCCGTAACGAGCCTAAATGCAAGCCTTAAATGCACAAGCCTAAGCCTTAGAATAGGCCTTAAATGGGCCTTAAAAGGTTTCTAAAATAAGCCTAGAGATAAACCTAAAAATGGGCCTTAAAAGGTTTCTAAAAAAAGCCTAAAAATGAGCCCAAAAAATAGGCCTAATAAGCCTAGAAAAAAACTTAAATGCAAGCCTTAACGAGCCTAGAAATAAGCCTAGAAAAGAGCCTAAAGAAAAAGCCTAAAAATGAGCCTTAAATGCACAAGCCTAAACCTTAAATACCCAAAGATAAGCCTAAAGAGAGCCTTAAAAGGTACCTTAACAGAAGGGCCCAAAGAAAAAGCCTAAAAATGAGCCTTAATTGTTTAACCCTAAGTCTTAAAATAGGCCCTAAATGAGCCTAGATATAAGCCTAAAAATGGCCAGGGCCAACAATTTGATCTACAATAGAATCTGGTTACGGTAACTTTGATCTACGTTTTGAAAAAAGCCTAAAAGGGCCTAGAAGTCTAGAGAAGCCTGAAAAGGAAACAAAATTAATTCAAAACATCAAATGAAAACATCTGATTTTCTGAGAAAAATGTAACTCTAACTAACTCTATCTCGAACAAAAAAAAATGTTTTCTGAAAATGAAAATGAGCCGGTTGTCTTGGTAATATCGGTTAAGACCAAAAAAAAATAAGTAAGAGCTCTCTCAGAAATTTTTTCTAGAAGCCAAATTATTTTCGCCGGCGCTCACGCGCTCACAAATTAGTCAGAGTGATTTCAGACAAAATTTTCAGAATTTCAGAAGAATGATGACTTTTCGAAAGGGCAATTAGAGAGTGTGGTGATTTTGGAGACGTAGAGAAATCACCGAGTGCACTTTTATATAGTTCATATGGAATACAGTGTAGGGGGAAGAGAGAGAGAGTGCAGAGAAGCTAGAGGAGTTAGAGAGCAGAGAGGGTTCTAGAGATCACAGGAATTGAGAGACGTCAGAGAAGCTAGACATCTAGAGAGCACAATTGATTAGGAGGAAGTAGAGAAGCCAGAGAACACAGGGGCTTGAGAGAGTGCCAGAGAAACTAGAGAGGTTAGAGAGCGGAGAAGTCAGACAGCTAGAGATCACAGGAATTAAGAGAGGTCAGAGAAGCTAGAGATCTCTAGTGAGCATATGGTTTTGAAAGGCTACAGAGAAGCTAGAGAGCACGGGGGATTGAGAGAGTGCTAGAGAACACAGGGGATTGAGAGAGAGTGCTAGAGAAACTAAAGAGGCTAGAGAAACTAGAGAAACCAGGAAGTCGATTAGAGAGTGCCAGAGAAACTAGAGAGCTAGAGATTTTGAGAGAGCACAGGCAACTAGAGATGTTAGAGACGCAGAGAAATATTAAGGAAGCTAGAGAAACCAGAGGGTTAGAGAGCACAGAACAATTAGAGAAGCTAGAGAAACTAAAGAGCCAGAGATTTTAAGATAACACAGACGACTAGAGAGTGTTAGAGACGCAGAGAGAGCACAATTCCAAAACACATATGTCACAACTATAGAAATTTTCCCACGAAAATGTTGTTTTTTTTGTAGCCGGAAATTTTTTGCGGAGCAAAAAATGGCGATTTTTGAGCCAAAAAAAATTGTTAAGGTAAAAATAAATTTGAATAGGAACAAAAAAAAACAAAAAAATAATAGAGAGATTAGCGATTTGATCTACCCAAAAAAAATGGAAAAAAATAAATTATTCCTGGAAGAAAATTCCAGATTTTCAGCCCAACTTTCTGAAAATGAGACGAAAAGGGGGCGGAGCTTAGGCTAACTCACCAAAAAAAATGATACCATGGTTACCCCCAACCAAAAAAAACCGAGAAATCTAGAAAAATTAGAGAGCGAGAGAGTGAGAGACGCAGAGAGAACAGGTGAAAAACGGACAAAAATTTGGGCTCGATTTTGATGAAGTCATACATAATTTTGCGATTTTTTCGGTTGAATGATCAAAAATCGTTGACTAATGAAATTTGTGCAAAAGTTCACATCATGAGAAAATTTTTTCGGGTTTTTTTTTGGCAAAAAAATTCGGGTTACTGTAGATCAAAAAATTGTGCCAAAATTTGGTGAATTTTGGATTACTGTAGATCAAAAATCTCTGGGTACTGTAGATCAAAAATTGTGTCAAAATTATGGCCAAATCTGGATTACTGTAGGTCTAAAATATCCGGTTACTGTAGAAGAGAATTCACGTGGCAAAATCAATTTTTTCAATATTTTTGTAGATCAAAAATTTGTGCCAAAATTTGGGTTACTGTAGATCAAAAATATCTGGGTACTGTAGAAGAGAATTCACGTGGCAAAATTTGGAAAAATCCGGATTACTGTAGGTCTAAAATATCTGGATACTGTAGATCAAAAAATTATGGCAAAATTTGGAAAATTTTGGATTACTGTAGGTCTATAATATTTGGTTACTGTAGAAGAGAATTCACGTGGCAAAATTTGGAAAAATCCGGATTACTGTAGGTCTAAAATCTCTGGGTACTGTAGAAGAGAATTCACGTGGAAAAATTTGAAGAATTTTGGATTACTGTAGGTCTAAAATATCCGGTTACTGTAGATCAAATTCCAGAATTTTTTAAAAAGATTTTTGTAGATCAAAAAATTGTGTCAAAATCTGGATTACTGTAGCTGGTTCTTCTCGAAAAAAAAACCAGAAAAACAATAAAAATGTGACAAAATTATTGGGTTTTTTTTGTTGAGCGAGGCAAAAAACCCATAATTTTTCTTTTTTTCAGCGAAAAAAAAACCTATAATTAATTTCAGGTTTTTTTTTGAGATTCTGAAAAAATTGCGATTTTTTTTGGTTAACTAGAACTAGAGAAAGAACGGGATCATTGCTCATGTTAAAATGAGAAATTTGGAAAAAATTTGAATTTTTTTGAAATTTTATTTTTGGAAAATGAAAATTGTGCATTGCTCATATTAAACTTTGTTGAGCGAAAAATTTCGAATTCAAAAATTTAAATTTAAATTTTATTGCTAAAATTGCGCATTACTCATATTAAACTTTGTGAAAAAAAAATTCGAAAAAAAATTTTATTTTTTTTTTTGAAAATAAAATTTTGAAAATTAATTTTTTTTTTCAAAATACACGTGGAAAAATATAAGCATTGCTCATATTAAACTTTGAAGCGCGAAAATTCAAAAATTCAAAAATTTAAATTTTATTGCAAAAATTACGCATTGCTCATATTAAACTTAAACCGCCAAATTTAAAAATTTTGAAAATTTGAAAATTAAATTTTTATTGCTAAAATTACGCATTGCTCATATTAAACTTTCTTGGAACCAAACTTAAAAATTTCAAAAAAAATTTCGAAATTTTCAAAATTAAATTTTTATTCCTAAAATTGTGCATTGCTCATATTAAACATTCTGGCGGGAAAATTTCAAAATTCAAAAAAAAGTTCAAATTTAAATTTTTATTGCTAAAATTACGCATTGCTCATATTAAACTTTCTGACGAAAAAATTCGAAAATTTTTTTAAAAAATTTTAATTTTTTTAAATTTCAAATTAAAATTGGACATTGCTCATATTAAACTTTGTAGCGCGAAAATTCAAAAATTCAAAAAAAATTGAAAATAATTTTAAAAGTAAATTTTTATTCCTAAAATTGGGTATTGCTCATATTAAACTTTGACCGCCAAAATTAAAAAATTAAAAAATTTAAATTTTATTGCAAAAATTACGCATTGCTCATATTTAACTTTGACCGCCAAAATTAAAAATTTCAAAAAAAAATTTGAAAATTTTCAAAATTTCAAATTTTTTTTTGTCTAAAATTGTGCATTGCTCATATTAAACTTTGTAGCGCGAAAATTTCAAATTCAAAAATTTCAAAATTGAATTTTTATTGCAAAAACTGGGCATTGCTCATATTAAACTTTCTTGGAACCAAACTTAAAAATTTCAAAAAAAATTTCGAAATTTTCAAAATTAAATTTTTATTCCTAAAATTGTGCATTGCTCATATTAAACTTTGTAGCGCAAAAATTAAAAATTTAAATTCTTATTGCTAAAATTGCACATTGCTCATATTAAACTTTTTAGCGCAAAAATTTCAAATTCAAACTTTCAAAAAAAAATGTACCTGATGTTTGCTGCTGACTATTTTTGGAATTTTCTCATTTTTTTTCTTGAATACCCGCTAATTTTATTTAACATGAGCAATGATTAATTCAATTCAATTCAGAGAAGAAAAAGTTCTCCACGAGAAGTACACACGTAAAAAACATTGCTCATTTTAAAAAATTCGAAAAATTGGCCTGAAAAGCCTGAAAAAGCCCGAAAAAAGCCCAAAAAATTCGAAAAATTGGCCTGAAAAAGCCTGAAAAAGCCCGAAAACTTCATTTTCAAATAGCATTGCTCATATTAATGATTACAACTTCTCTCCGGAATCGTCTCATTTTTCTCCAAATTCAGAATTCCCACGTCATAGACTCTCGTGGCTTTTCCATGGTGAATGTAGGATTTCGGGATGACAAATGTCAGCTTTTTTTGGCACGGCTGAAAAAATGGGCGGTCCGGGAGTACTGTAGGGGTTTTTGGCACGAAAATTTGCGATTTTTTGAGACCGAATATGGTTGGGGTGGAATTCTAGGCCATTTTTAAGCTTCTGAGCTCCAAATTTGGATTTCTAGGCCATTTTTAAGCTTCTGAGCTCAAAATTTGGATTTCTAGGCCATTTCAAGGCTCCTGAGCTTAAAATTTGGATTTCTAGGCCATTTTTAAGCTTCTGAGCTCCAAATTTGGATTTCTAGGCCATTTTTAAGCTTCTGAGCTCAAAATTCGGATTTCTAGGCCATTTTTAAGCTTCTGAGTTCATTATTCGGATTTCTAGGCCATTTTAAGGGTTTCTAGACCAGAATTTGGATTTCTAGGCCATTTTTAAGCTTCTGAGCTCAAAATTCGGATTTCTAGGCCATTTTTAAGCTTCTGAGCTCAAAATTTGGATTTCTAGGCCATTTTAAGGCTCCCAGGCACATTTAGGCTCAAAAAATCGCAAATTTTCCCCAGAAAAAACCCCGACTTACCCTAATTCCATCATCACAATCATGATAAACATACAGCACCGGTTCAATGTCGGACAATTCGCGGGTTGTGCCATCCACCTGAAACCAGCCCTCCTTATCGCTATATTTCTCATCCAACAAATCGTCCTCGTCTCCCGGGTTACGGTCCAAATCGTAGAGTTTCAGCTTGGCATTCCGCCAAGGTTTTCCGTGGCAGCGGAGAGCTCCGCGGACTGCCGCACCTTGCAAGCGGAATGCGGAAGATTCCGCGAGGAATTGTACAAAAATTAGCAAAAATCCCGGGTTCATAGCTGAAAAATGACGAATTTCAGGCAAAAAATACAGTAACCCATGGGGTACTGTAGATTTTTCAGCCCCAAAATTAGTGAAATTTTGTAGCTCTTCAATTTCTCTACAAAATGAGATACAGTAACCCGGAGTACTGTAGATTTTTAACTCCAAAATCAGTGAAATTTTGTAGCTCTTGAAATTCTCTACAAAATGATCTACAGTAACCTGGGGTACTGTAGACTTTTTGCTTTTTTGTAGCCCTTGAAATTCCCTACAAAATGAGCTACAGTAATCCGCGGGTACTGTAGATCAAAAATATAAAAATCTTGAAATTCCAACAAGTTCTCCCAAAAAAATCGATAATTTCAACAAAAAAAATTTATTTACAAAAAAAGAGTACTGTAGCCGTGGGTTACTGTAGCCGGGGGTTACTGTAGTTACCATGGATCATATCGATCATCGGGTTCCGAGTCGAAGAGCGTTTTTTTGACCGTAGTCGGTTTTTTGGTGGTGGATTTGTGGTGGTGTTTTTTGGTGGTGACGTCATCGGTTTCCACGCTGCAAGAAATTTCATGACACGTGGATTTTTGGCGCGAAAATTTGCGGTTTTTTGAGCCCGAATAAGCCTAGACTCAAACTAGACTCTAGTTTTCGATTGAGATTTGAAATTTTCGATTTTTTGAGTGTAAATTTGCACATTGCTCATATTAAAGTTCAGAATTCCTGTTTCAAACTAGAGTCTAGTTTGAAAAAGTAATATAAACTAGAGTCTAGTTTCAGAATTTTAACGTGAAAACGTGTAAACCTGGAAAAACTGCCACGTCATTTTGAAAAAAAAAAACCCGAATTTTCAAAATTTTGATCATTTCGCAATTTCCAGATTACTGTAGGAGTACTGTAATTCAAGTGAGTTTGGGATGGGGTACTGTACTTGCCACGTGGAATCGAAAACTAGAGTCTAGTTTGGATCCCAGGCTTATTTAGACTCAAAAATCGCAAATTTCAAATCTTAATCGAAAACTAGAGTCTAGTTTGAGCCTAGGCTTATTTGGACTCAATAAATCCCAAATTTCAAGCCCCAATCTAAAACTAGAGTCTAGTTTGAGCCCAGGCTTATTTAGGCTCAAAAAATCTCAAATTTCACATTTCAATCGAAAACTAGAGTCTAGTTTGAGCCTAGGCTTGTCTAGACTCAAAATGCTCCATTTTTCACGGCCTACAATTCTACAGTACTCACATCTCAAAATCATCACTGCGTCTCGCTCTATGTCTTCTCAAATGCTCTCTCGTCGTCTGATTCTCGCCCTCTCTCGCCATTCTCTCCAAATTCTGACTTCTCGCACTCTTATGCATGTGTCTGCGATGTCTGCGTCTCTCCAAACTCTGTTGTCTCTCCTCGTTGTACTTCATCACAGTCTCCAAATTGAATTGGCCTAACTCAAAAATCTTCCTTGGAGCACTAACATGAGCAATGTAGTGACGTGGAATCTGGAATTTCAGCTTTCGCTGGCCCGGTTTGACGCCATCGTCACAATCGTGAAAAATCACGATGATCGGGTCGAAATTGGCGGTGGATAATTGGGCCGAAAGCCCGAAATGGCCCGATTTGTCGGCGAATGTTTGGTTGAGGATTGTGCCTGGAAAAATGGGGATTTTTTGAGTCTAGATAAGCCTAGGCCTGAAAATTTCTAATTTTTGGGTCTTGCAACGATTCGCAAAAGTATACTGTAGTTATTTTTGAATCCTAAAATTTTCCATGTCTACAGTAACCCTATAAGATTACTGTAGCGTCAAAAATGTGATTTTTTGAATTTTCTTATCAATTTTTGATTTCCATCTGATCGGTCAAAGTTTTGAATCAAAAATTTCGACGCCAAAACCTACAGTACACCTACAGTATCCCTAGAAAAAAAATTGGCGTTAAAAAATACTACTGTATGATCGTTGCAAGACCCAAAAAAGTTTAATTTTTTTCGAAAAAAATTTTTTTTTTCAAATTTTTTCTACAGTACCCCTAGGCATGTTTGGTATCAAAAAACGTGGAATTTTCGCGCCAAAATTGATCTACAGTACCCCTACAGTACCCCTAGAAAAATTGGCGTCAAAAATACTACAGTATGATCGTTGCAAGACCCAAAAAAGTTTAATTTTGTTTTCGAAAAAAAAATTTTTTTTCAAATTTTTTCTACAGTAACCCCAGGCATGTTTGGTATCAAAATACGTGGAATTTTCTACAGTACCCCTACAGTACCCAAAAAACTCACGTTCATTATCCTTCCACAATCTTACGAGCACCGAAGCCGCCGGATATTGACCGCACTTCAAACTGCCAGCCACGTGGATTTCATACTCGTATTTCGGCGCCGCAGCCAAAATTTGCGCGAAAAACGCGAAAAATAATAAAAAGAGCATTTTTGTGCTCTTTTTGTGATGAAAATCAACAAAAATGAGAGGAAATTGAATATTTTTGCCTTATCTTATCACCCAAAAATTTTATATTTTCGAAAATATGAAAATAATAATATGTTATTGTCGGAAAAAAAATAAGGAAACCCATAATTTTTATGTGAAAGTACTGTAGTTTTTGAGCACTTTTTGGGCTCTTTTTCACTAAAAATAAACAAAATTCATGCAAAAAACTCCGAAAAATCCCAAAAAATTACTCATCTTAGACTCGTCACACTGTTCATAATTGTGTTGCGGAAATCTTCGCGGCTGTCCGCGTCGCGGATTTTGATGAAACGTAAACTTGGCAGTAATCCAAGGGTGATGCGGTCCAATGGATCGTATTGTGGTTTGGACGGTGAAATTACGCGGAAATGTCTGAAATTTTGGGATTTTTAGTGAAATTTAAGCTAGAAATCATGTTTTTTTGAATTTCTAGGCGATTTTCAGGCTTTTGAGCTCAAAAATCCGGGTTCTATGCCATTTTGGAGCTAGAAATCACATTTTTAGTGAAATTTGAGCCAAAATTCGGCATTTTTACTGAAATTTGAGCTAGAAATCATGTTTTTTAATTTTCAGGCGATTTTCAGGCTTTTGAGCTCAAAATCCGAGTTCTATGCCATTTTTGAGCTATAAATCACAGTTTTCATGAATTTGAGCCAAAATTCGGAATTTTTGCTGAATTTTGAGCTAGAAATCATGTTTTTTAATTTTCAGGCGATTTTCAGGCTTTTGAGCTCAAAATCCGAGTTCTATGCCATTTTTGAGCTATAAATCACAGTTTTCATGAATTTGAGCCAAAATTCGGCATTTTTACTGAAATTTGAGCTAGAAATCATGTTTTTTAATTTTCAGGCGATTTTCAGGCTTTTGAGCTCAAAATCCGAGTTCTATGCCATTTTTGAGCTATAAATCACAGTTTTCATGAATTTGAGCCAAAATTCGGCATTTTTACTGAAATTTGAGCTAGAAATCATGTTTTTTAATTTTCAGGCGATTTTCAGGCTTTTGAGCTCAAAATCCGAGTTCTATGCCATTTTTGAGCTATAAATCACAGTTTTCATGAATTTGAGCCAAAATTCGGAATTTTTGCTGAATTTTGAGCTAGAAATCATGTTTTTTAATTTTCAGGCGATTTTCAGGCTTTTGAGCTCAAAATCCGAGTTCTATGCCATTTTTGAGCTATAAATCACAGTTTTCATGAATTTGAGCCAAAATTCGGCATTTTTACTGAAATTTGAGCTAGAAATCATGTTTTTTAATTTTCAGGCGATTTTCAGGCTTTTGAGCTCAAAATCCGAGTTCTATGCCATTTTTGAGCTATAAATCACAGTTTTCATGAATTTGAGCCAAAATTCGGAATTTTTACTGAAATTTGAGCTAGAAATCATGTTTTTTAATTTTCAGGCGATTTTCAGGCTTTTGAGCTCAAAATCCGAGTTCTATGCCATTTTTTGAGCTATAAATCACAGTTTTCATGAATTTGAGCCAAAATTCGGAATTTTTGCTGAATTTTGAGCTAGAAATCATGTTTTTTAATTTTCAGGCGATTTTCAGGCTTTTGAGCTCAAAATCCGAGTTCTATGCCATTTTTGAGCTATAAATCACAGTTTTCATGAATTTGAGCCAAAATTCGGCATTTTTACTGAAATTTGAGCTAGAAATCATGTTTTTTAATTTTCAGGCGATTTTCAGGCTTTTGAGCTCAAAATCCGAGTTCTATGCCATTTTTGAGCTATAAATCACAGTTTTCATGAATTTGAGCCAAAATTCGGAATTTTTGCTGAATTTTGAGCTAGAAATCATGTTTTTTTTGGATTTCTAGGTCATTTTCAGGCTTTTGAGCTCAAAAATCCGAGTTCTATGCTATTTTTGAGCTAGAAATCATGTTTTTTTTGGATTTCTAGGTCATTTTCAGGCTTTTTGAGCTCAAAAATCCGAGTTCTATGCTATTTTTGAGCTAGAAATCATGTTTTTTTTGGATTTCTAGGTCATTTTCAGGCTTTTGAGCTCAAAAATCCGAGTTCTATGCTATTTTTGAGCTAGAAATCATGTTTTTTTGGATTTCTAGGTCATTTTCAGGCTTTTGAGCTCAAAAATCCGAGTTCTATGCTATTTTTGAGCTAGAAATCATGTTTTTTTTGGATTTCTAGGTCATTTTCAGGCTTTTGAGCTCAAAAATCCGAGTTCTATGCTATTTTTGAGCTAGAAATCATGTTTTTTTTGGATTTCTAGGTCATTTTCAGGCTTTTGAGCTCAAAAATCCGAGTTCTATGCTATTTTTGAGCTAGAAATCATGTTTTTTTTGGATTTCTAGGTCATTTTCAGGCTTTTGAGCTCAAAAATCCGAGTTCTATGCTATTTTTGAGCTAGAAATCATGTTTTTTTTGGATTTCTAGGTCATTTTCAGGCTTTTTGAGCTCAAAAATCCGAGTTCTATGCTATTTTTGAGCTAGAAATCATGTTTTTTTTGGATTTCTAGGTCATTTTCAGGCTTTTGAGCTCAAAAATCCGAGTTCTATGCTATTTTTGAGCTAGAAATCATGTTTTTTTTGGATTTCTAGGTCATTTTCAGGCTTTTGAGCTCAAAAATCCGAGTTCTATGCTATTTTTGAGCTAGAAATCATGTTTTTTTTGGATTTCTAGGTCATTTTCAGGCTTTTGAGCTCAAAAATCCGAGTTCTATGCTATTTTTGAGCTAGAAATCATGTTTTTTTTGGATTTCTAGGTCATTTTCAGGCTTTTGAGCTCAAAAATCCGAGTTCTATGCTATTTTTGAGCTAGAAATCATGTTTTTTTTGGATTTCTAGGTCATTTTCAGGCTTTTGAGCTCAAAAATCCGAGTTCTATGCTATTTTTGAGCTAGAAATCATGTTTTTTTTGGATTTCTAGGTCATTTTCAGGCTTTTGAGCTCAAAAATCCGAGTTCTATGCTATTTTTGAGCTAGAAATCATGTTTTTTTTGGATTTCTAGGTCATTTTCAGGCTTTTGAGCTCAAAAATCCGAGTTCTATGCTATTTTTGAGCTAGAAATCATGTTTTTTTTGGATTTCTAGGTCATTTTCAGGCTTTTGAGCTCAAAAATCCGAGTTCTATGCCATTTTTGAGCTAGAAATCACATTTTTAGTGAAATTTGAGCCAAAATTCGGAATTTTTGTTGAATTTTGAGCTAGAAATCATGGTTTTTGGATTTCCAGGTCATTTTTTTCAATTTTAGGTCAAATTTCATGCTTCCTGACAAATTTCAGCTAAAAATTCCAGATTTCGAGCTCATTCTCAGCCAAAATTTCAAATTTCCCACCCAAAAAACAACACTCACCTAATATTACAATCTCTTCCGCCTTCATGATTCGCCAAAACTGTCAGCATCAAAAACATGCAGCGATTTGGACGACGAGTTTCTCGATTTGCCAGGTCCAGGCGCTGCAAAAAAAGTGTGTCAGGGTTGCATATTTCATGAAAAATAGTGGAAAAACTGTGCCAGGCTTGCAGAATTAAGCCCCGCCCCTTTTTTGAGCGGGAAAATTGGATAAATTCAAGGAAATCTGTGCCAGGCTTGCATTTTCCATGAAAATCGGTAGAAAAACCGTGCCAGGCTTGCAAAATTAAGCCACGCCCCTTTTAGAACAGAAAAACGCAACCCTGGCACGGTGTTCATTATGATTTCAATGAAAAATGCAAGTCTGGCATAGTTTATCCAATTTTCGCGCTCAAAAAGGGGCGTGGCTTGATTTTGCAAGTCTGGCACGGTTTTTCATGTGATTTTGATGGAAAATGCAAGCCTGGCACGGTTTTTCTGCAAACTTACAACCCAGCCTTGCGGTTTGATACAAGACTTGTGTTTGGTGTAGAAAATGTCGTTGCGAGACCATCCGAGCTCGATTTTCAGTCTGAAAATTGGATTTTTAGGGTTTCCGGGGTTAAAAATCGCGATTTGCAGCGGATTTTCAGCCAAAAACCGTGATTTCCAGCCAAAAAACTCACTCAGCCGGGCAAAACGATTCATCCTGTTTATAATCGACATACAACATCAAATATTTGACATCGACCTTCTTCTGAAACTCGACCCAAATTTGATGCGGCAGATTTTGATTCGTTTTCCACCATTTGTCGTGGCTGTCATTTAGTAGCTCGTGAACACCAAATCCCGGAGAACAACTTGAAAGTGTGAAAAAACCGTCGGAGGTGATGTCGCGGTATTTTTCCGGCTGAAAATTCGAGATTTTCAGCGGATTTTGAACGGGAAAAGTGGTTTTTTGGTGAAAAATCGATGATTTTGACTGAAAATCTCGCTTTTTCAGATGATTTCACGTCAGGCAGCCTTCTGGAGCCTTAAAAGCCTTCTAGAAAGCGTCCAGAAGCAAAATTAGCTGAAAATATCGATTTTTCAGAATATTTTACTTCAGAAAGCCTTCTGGAAGCTAAAAAATTAGAATTTTCTGATTTTCAGGCTTCCAGAAGTGAAATTAGCTGAAAAAATCGATTTTTCAGCCGATTTCACTTCTGAAAGCCTTCTGGAAGCTTAAAAGCATTCTTAACAGCTTCCAGCAGTGAAATTAGCTGAAAATTCCATATTTTCAGCGAATTTTACTTCTGAAAGCCTTCCGGAAGCTTCAAACCCTGATTTTCAGCTGAAAATCTAAGTTTAGAAAGGTTTCCAGACGAAAAAAGCCTTTCAGGAAGGTCGAGAGGTAAATTTTTCACATTTTTAAAGTTTCAGAAGGCTTCCAGAAGTGAAATTAGCTGAAAAAATCGATTTTTCAGCTGATTTCACTTCGGCAAGCCATCTGGAAGCTAAAAAACTGAAATTTTCTGATTTTCAGGCTTCCAGAAGTGAAAAGAGCTGAAAATATCGATTTTTCAGCTGATTTTACATCTAGAAAGCCTTCTGGAAGCTTAAAAGCATTCTAGACAGCTTCCAGTAGTGAAATTAGCTGAAAATTTCATATTTTCAGCGAATTTTACTTCTGAAAGCCTTCTGGAAGCTTCAAAACCTGATTTTCAGCTGAAAATCTAAGTTTAGAAGGTTTCCAGACGAAAAAAGCCTTCCAGATGTAAAACTAGCTGAAAATTCCATATTTTCAGCTAATTTTACGTCTGAAAGCCTTCTGGAAGGTCGAGAGGTAAATTTTTCACATTTTTAAAGTTTCAGAAGGCTTTCAGAAGTGAAAATAGCTGAAAATATCGATTTTTCAGATGATTTCACTTCAGAAAGCCTTCTGGAACATGATTCTCAGGTTTTTGTGGTTCCAGAAGGCGTCCCGGAGTGAAATTAGCTGAAAATATTGATTTTTCAGCAATTTTTTCTCTTGCAAGCTTCTGGAGGCTCAAAAATCAGAATTTTCTGGTTTTCAGGCTTCCAAGAGTAAAATTAGCTGAAAATTCCATATTTTCAGCTGGTTTTATCTCTGAAAGCCTTCTGGAGCCATAAAATCCTTCTAGAAGGCTTCCAGGAGTGAAATTAGCTGAAAATTTCGATTTTTCAGCCGATTTCACTTTAGAAAGCCTACTGGAAGCTTAAAAACTATAATTTTCTGATTTTCAGGCTTCCAGAAGTGAAAATAGCTGAAAATATCGATTGTTCAGCTAATTTCACGCTAGAAAGCCTTCCAGAGCTTCAAAATCATCATTTTTCATTTTTCATTTCAAAAAAGCTTATTCACATTAACCAAAGTCCTTTTCCATCCCGAAGCGAATCCAGTTTCATCACTTTCTTTTGCCGATGAATCGTGAAGTGGTGAACTTGGCGAATTTTGTCTTGTCACCAAATTCAACGTCTCCATTGCATCATCATCTTCATCATCGAACACACTTTCGATCAAAGTTGGCATTTGGCTGAAAATTATGCTGAAATTGTTGATTTTCACCCAAAACCCTTGAAAAACTGGAAAAATCGATTTTCCGCGAAATAATTTTCAAATGTGTGCAAACACTTTGCAATGCACACAACGCCAACTACAGTACTCCCATGCATTTTTTTATTGATTTTTGAGGCTTCTAGGGTTGGAAACCGCTGAAAACCTGAATTATGAGATGAAAATCGATAAAAATAATATGAGCAATGTTAAAAAATCAATAATTTATTCAGGTGGGAAAAATTGCGGTAAAAATCTTCAAAAATACACGTAAAATATGGGGGAGGGTCAAAAAGCTACAGTAGGCATATGGGGTCTCAAAACGACGCAAATTTTCGCGCGCCAAAACCTACAGTAACCTTGTGGGGTGTCAAAAAACGCGGATTTTCAAATAAAAAATCACAAAGTTTGTGGTGGTTGTGGCATCGGAAAAACGTGGCGAATATTGAAGGCCAATTGAAAATCGCGATTTTTCTGCAATTTCAGACGTCGCGACTGAAAATCGTCGTTGACTTGAAGTTCGAATCCCGACGAGAACATTAGAGATAGCAAAAGTTCGGAATTCGAGCCGGCCGGCTCTAATATGAGCAATCCGAAATCCCAGTCGATTTTTTGAGTTGGAATTGTCTGAAAATATTGATTTTTTTCGAGAGTACTGTAGGTTTTGGCGCGAAAAATCCACGTGTTTTGATACCAAATGAGACTAGGATTACTGTAGAGATGAAAAATTCCACGTGGATTTTCAGAGCTCAAATAAAATTCAAAAATTTCAGAGTTTCGACGAGAAAAGCTACAGTACCCCCGGGTACTGTACCTCATTTTGTAGAGAATTTCAAGAGCTTCAAAATGATCTAAAAATGGGTAACAAAATCTACAGTACCCTTAGGGTTACTGTACCTCATTTTGAAGCGAATTTCAAGGGCTTCAAAATAATCCCAAATTTGATAACAAAAATCTACAGTACCCCCGGGTTACTGTACCATGTTGGATATCAAAATGAGCCATTTTTCACGGCCCATTAAAATATTCCTATTTGGTGTCATTTTGAAGCAAATTTTCGCGCCAAAAATCTACAGTAACCCGGGTTACTGTACCATGTTTGGTCTCAAAATGATCGCAAAAAACTCACCTCCATCAAATTCCTGATTCCCTCAATCGATATCGACGTGGCACAATTGTATAATCCGATTTCTTTTGGCACAAATCCACGCGATTTCCATGAAGTTAGCGTAAAATCGGTGAATTTTTCGAAAAAACAATGAGATCTTGGCTGAATTTTGAGGATTTCCAGCATTTTCAGATTTTCGAAAAGTCGATCGCAAATCAAACTTGGCTCAAATGTGCAAAAATCGAAAACCAGACTTTTGAGCCGCATTTTTTCGAGCAAATTTGCGAATTTTTCCATAGGGATTTCGATTTTGCAAAAATTCAGCGAGAGATTTTCGATTTTCGATAAATCGTTCCATTTTGCGCAGAGGGTTTTGTGAAATTCTTCGTCGATTGTTAGACCTTCCAAATTCAGGGTTTCATTGATTACGATCTGGAAAAAATGGAATTTTTGGCTGAAAATCGAGCTGGAATTCAAATTTGGAGCATTTTGAGCACAAATCTCATTGGTTTAGCTCAAAAATGACCAGAAATTCACATTTGGAGCATTTTGAGCCTAAATAATCCTGGATTTAGGCATGAAATAGGCCCCGGTTTAAAAAAGCCTGATTTTTGGCTCCAAAAGGTCCGGCCTGCATTTTTCAAAAAAAAATTGAAAAACTGAAATTTTCGCGCGAAAATTTGATCTACAGTACCCCTACAGTACCCCAGGCATATTGGGTATCAAAATGCGTCAAATTTCGGCGCGAAAACGCCTACAGTACCCCTACAGTACTCACCTTTCTCAAATTCTCCTCAATAAACGCGGATTTGGAGCATGTCGGCTCGTTTTCCACAATCTTTTGGCCTTTCTCGCCGTGCTTCATTGTGAGCACCAGTTTTTTTGGCGGCGCTAAATTTTCCGGGGTTTTGGCGCCAAATCGAATTCGCCCGATTTTTGGAGGTTGTTCGGTGGAGCGCGTTTGAATTCTGGAAGAAAATGAGCATTTTTGGAGCATTTTGAGCCAAAATTCATGATTTTTGATGAATTTTGAGCTAGAAACCTGAATTTCAGGTCATTTTTGAGCCAAAAATCGGATTTTCGTCAAATTTCCACTCAAAGTCTTCAAAATTCTATGAAATTTTCAAATTTCCCGCCCAAAATCACCTACCGTAACTCTCTGACACGTGGCTTTCCCAAATTGTAACCCTCAACAACGCCATTAAACCGTCGATTCAATCGTTTGACACGTGTGACGTCACGTGGCGAAGTGATGTTGAAAAGTTTGATGAGCACATCGTCGGGCATATCGGATAAATTTGTCATTTTTTTGTGCTGAAAAAATGGGAGGTTTTGAGCTGAAAATCGCTGAAAATGAGTAAAAATGAGCAAAAATACGAAAAATTTGATGAAAAATGACGCTAAATTCATATTTTCATGAAAAATTACCTTAAAGTCATATTTTTAGTGAAAAATGACCTTAAATTCATATTTTTAAGGAAAAATGACCTTAAATTAAGCATTTTCAGTGAAAAAGAACCTTAAATTAAGAATTTCCATGAAAAATGACTTTAAGTTCATATTTTTGGGGAAAAATGACCTTAAATTAAGAATTTTCATGGAAAATAACCTTAAATTAGGCATTTTCAGTGAAAAAAGACCTTAAATTCATATTTTAAGGTTAAAAATTACCTAAAATTCATATTTTTCATGGAAAGTTACCCTAAATTCATATTTTAAGGTTAAAAACTACCTTAAATTAGGAATTTTCATGAAAAATTATCAAAAATACGAAAAATGTGAAGAAAAATTCACCTAAAATCAAAAAAATCCCAAAAAATTCGACCCTAAAACTCATAATCCCAATAAAAATGCAAAATTTTCCCCAAGTATCGGAAAAAAGTGGGCGGAGCCTATCAGGCTCCGCCCCTTTTTCGCGACTTATGGAAAATATGTGTGACCACGTGGATTTTGACACAAAACTGTCAAAAATCGCGCTAGCGCTTGTGACGTCATCATAGGGAATTTTTCAAATTTTTTGAAATTTTGCCACGTGGATTACTGTAGATAGATCAAATTGTGGCGCGAAAAATCGAAAAATTCGAAAATTTTCTAGATTTTTCCAAAGTTGACACATTTTCTTGCCTTTTTTGACACCCAGAAAATTTTCGGCGAAATTTTTTGCGCCGAAAAAATTCTGGTTGATGGTGTGAAGTATGGTGTCACATTTTTAGTATAAACAACACATTTTGGTGTCGAAAATCGATTGAAAATTGAATTTTCGGTGAAAAATTATGATTTTTCAGCAATATTAAGCCAAAAAATCCAAAATTCTGTATTAAAATTGAATTTTTGGTCGAAAAATTCATTGATAACATCTGACAAGTGTCAATTTCAGGTTAATTGCTCATGTCAATCAAAAAATGCACAATTTTTGGGGTAATTATCATTTTAGTTCCAGGAAATCCGGGGAATTATCACCTACCTAGAATTAATTTCAGGATTTTTGGGAAGCTAAGGAAATTAGGGTTTAAATCAATTAAATAACCCAAAATTAAGAAAATTTCATCAAAACAACCCTAAAATCCCAATTTTCAGACCAAAAATTCAATTTTAGTACAGTATTTTGAATTTTTGGCTAAAAATTGCTGAAAAATCATGATTTTTTACTCAAAATTCAATTTTCAGTACGGAATTTACCTAAAATCCCATTTTTCTGACCGAAAATTCAATTTTCAATCGATTTTCGACACCAAAATGTGTTGTTTATACTAAAAATGTGACACCATACTTCACACCATCACCCAGAAATTTTAGCGCAAAAAAATCGGCCGAAAATTTTATGGGTGTCAAAAAAAGCAAGAAAATGTGTCAACTTTGGAAAAAATTTGAATTTTTGATTTTTGGCGCCAAAAAACTAGTCTAGAAACTTCGAAAATCAACATTTCCCGGGAAACCATTCTTGCCACGTGGATTTTTGGCGCCAAAATGTTTCTGAACTTCTCTAGATTACTGTAGTTTTTTTGGCGCGAAAATTTGATCTACAGTAACGCTGTAATTTTTGGCGCCAAGAAAAACCCGGGAAAATTCAGAATTTTCCCACAGTATTTCAGGGTTGATACTAATTAATTTTAATTTCCAATTAAAAACAAATTAGTTAGAGGAAAAAACGAGTTTTTTTGGTTTTAAAACCTCTAGATAAAGTTTTATATATCTAATTATGCCATCTTTGAGATTTCCGAAATAGTTACCCTAAATCGGGTCATTTTTCACCAAAAAATCCGAATTTTTGGTCAATTTTAAGCCCGGAAACAAGATTTTTCTGCAAAAAAACAACAAAAACATATCAGGTGAAAAAATCTGCTCCTACTCAAGTTTCAAACGAAAAATGTTCATTTTGACATTTTGTGTGTGTGTCATTCAAAAAACTCAAAATTTGAATGATGTGAAAAGCTGTCAAGAAAAAGGTAGATCAAAAAAGATTTCCAGCTATTTGTTCTTTTGGCGCGCAAAAAATCCACGTGGATTTGAGGGTACTGTAGGAGAAATCCACGTTTTTCAAGGTAAAATGAGCCCAGTGTTGGAGTACTGTAGGTTTTGGAGGAAAACATGCAATTTCAAAAATTACTGTAGGTACTGTAGAGGGTTACTGTAGATTTTTGTGGTGAAAAATCGTATTTTTTGAGATCAAAAGAATGTTGGGGTTACTGTAGATGATTGGCGCGAAAAAATAAATTTGAAAATTTTTTGAAGGGTTACTGTAGCCTCTCCCAATTTTGCACACTCTCTAATGTCCCACTGCGTCTCTAACACTACCATACTCTCTCAAATGCCTATGCTCTCTAATTTCTCTAGTGTCTCTGCGTCTCTAACAATCTCCTCTCTCCCTACAGTCTCTAATTTCTCTAGTTTCTCTGAGTCTCTAGCTCTCTCTCTCTCTCCATACAGTCAAATAATCATTTTGACGTGCTCTCTAGCCTCTCTGCACTCTCTCCCCACCCCACACTCTCTAACCTCTACAATTTCTGCTACCTGTCAATCTCCGTCAACACTTCATCCATCTCCAAACTAATAAACTGTCCCAGTCAATCTTCTTCCCCTCTCTCACTCACTTTTCTCTGCCAACTCTCTCATTTCTGCACACTCTCTCGCCTTGTCAATGTTCATAATTTGTAGTGACAAAAGAAAGGTTATTTCAGAAGAGGAGGCGAAAAAAATTGAGTTTTTTTTTTGAAAAAAAATTCATAAGGGGGAAATGGGGAATTTTGAAAAAACGTGGATTTTCGAGCGGGAAAATTGGAAAAAATTTGAATTTCTAGAACATTTTTTGGCGGGAAAATTTGATCTACACGTGGATTTTGAAGCGAAAAATGAGAAATTAGAATTTTAAAATTTTTGGCGGGAAAATTTTCAAAAAATTCAAATTCTCTAACACAAAACTCCAATTAAAATGGTAATTTATCTTTTCAACAAAAAAATGAAAAAAAATTTTCTTTTGAGAAAAAATTTACATTTTCTATACACGCCTAATTGGACACAATTTGACAAGAAAAAATTTGAAAAATATTTTTTTTTTTCAAAAAAAAAATCAACGTGGCTTGGCCAAGTGGTAGAGCTGCAGATTATGAATCTAGAGGTCACAAGTTCGAGCCCCGGTGGGTGCGAAACTTTTTTTTCTCTAAAAAATCAACTTGGCCAAGTGGTAGAGCTGCAGATTTGGAATCTAAAGGTCACAAGTTCGAGCCCCGGTGGGTGCGAAACTTTTTTTTTTTGAAAAATAAATCAAATTTTCATCAAAAAAATGTTTTTCGCCTAATTAGACACCTAATTTGCGACAAATTTTTTGTTTTGTACAAAAATTGAATAAAAACGAAAAATGTGGTGACCGGAAAGATTTATTGCGATAAAAAGCAAATAATACAAAGAGGGGGAGGCGAAAAAAAGTGGGCGGAGCCAAAAAAAATTTTTTTTTTTTTTTTTTTTTTGGTGTACGATGGTGTGTCGGCCGGAAATTTGTCACACAAAAAAATCTCTATGCATACGGAAAAAAAAACTTTTTAGTTTTTGGGAGAAAAATGTTCCGCAAGCAGCGGGGATCGAACCCGGGACCTCTAGATTCAAAATCTGACGCTCTATGACTATGCTATATCAAAAAACGTAGATTTTCCTAACCTCTTACGCAACCCGCGCAAAAAAAGCTACTTGAAATAATATTTTCTGGTCACCACCACCATCTGCCTAATTAGTCTCAAGTACCAATTTTCCGCAACAAAGGTAATGAAAAAAAAAATGATGTGGTTAGATAAAATCAGAAAAAGTTCCCGATTTTTTACGACCAATTTTAAAGCACATCTGCCTCGATTCTTTTGAAAAATGCCGCCAAACAAAAAAAAATTTGAAAAAAAAAATAAAAAAGTTCGCTCGCACCTGGACTCGAACCCACGGTGTGCAGCATGCCACTTCAGCGCGCTACCACTAAGCCACGCGCGCTTTTTTGAAGCGCGCGTGAATATCTAATTTATAGTGCGCGCTTTTCGCGCCAAAATTAGATTTTTGGCGCCAAATTGGAAACTTTCAAAAATATGGTTATTGAAAACCGAAAAAAGGAATTGAAATTGGCTAATAAAATTTGAAATATGTGACCCGGTATGTCTCTTTCAACTAAAAAAATAACTAACCAAATAAAAATAGCCAATAAATCAGTTATTAGATTTTTTTGGCTGGCAGCCAGACACCAAAATGGCGCCAAAAAATGGATTTTGTTGAAAAAGAGGTTTTGGAGTTACTGTATCTTCCGAAAATCTTCAGAAAATCAGAAAATTCTGTTTTTTTAACATTGAAATTAGTTTTTCAAGGGTTTTCAGTCAAAAATGATGAGAAATCGAGGATTTTTGAAGCTTCTGGTGTGATTTCTGATGAAAATTTCAAAAAAACTCAGCCCCCACGTGGCTTGGTCAAGTGGTAGAGCTGCAGATTTGGAATCTGAAGGTTACAAGTTCGAGCCCCGGTGGGGGCGAAACTTTTTTCAATTTGATCTACACGTGGATTTTGGAGCGAAAACTAGAAATTCTGAAAATTTGAAATTTTTTTTTCAACAAATTCAAATTATCCAACACAAAACTCCAATTAAAATGGTAATTTATCTTTTCAACAAAAAAATGAAAAAAAATTTTCTTTGAAAAAAAAATTTACATTTTCTATACACGTCTAATTGGACACTTTGACGAAAAAATTTGAAAAAAAAAAATTAAAAAAAAAAAAATCCACGTGGCTTGGTCAAGTGGTAGAGCTGCAGATTTGGAATCTGAAGGTCACAAGTTCGAGCCCCGGTGGGTGCGAAACTTTTTTTCTCAAAATCAGCCCTATTAATCTGAAACTCACAAAATTCGGGCTCATCAAGAGTTACTGTATGTACTCCAGAGACCAAAAAAATAGTGCCAACATTTTTTTGAAAAATCACAAAATCAGGTGGAGAAAATTGTAATTTTGGCACCAAATTTTGATTTACAGCAACTCTTTTTTTCCGGAAAAATTTGGAAAATCAAAAAATCCCATAAAAACCAACAACATAACCCAATTAATTACACCATTACGCAATTCATCCCCAAAAATTTGGACAAAAAAACCTACAAATTATTATATTACCTACATAAATAGAGCTAACATTGAACACCTGCACCCCCAAAAATAGACACCAATATTTGTGCACCCTTCAAAAATCTAGCCTAATTTTGATAGGTGGAAAGGGGGCCTAGAATGAGCCTGGAAAGCCTGAAGAAGCCTGGAAAGAAGCCTAAAATGAGCTTGAAAACAGGCCTAGAAAGAGCCTAAAATAAGGCCTGAAAAAAAGCCTGAAATGAGCCTAGAAAGAGTCCAAAAATAAGGCCCAAAAAGCCTAAGCCTGAAAGAGCCCAAGTCTAAGCCTAAAAACCAGCCTAAAATAAGGCCCAAAAAAGGCCTAAAAAGCCTAAGCCTAAGCCCAAATTTGGGCCTAAAATGAGCAATATTTGTGCACCTTTCCAAAAATGGTGTATTTATTCAGTCCCACCACAAAATGCACAGCACTTCAAAAAATGCCACTTCAAAAATTTCTACTTGCCGCCAAAACAAAAATTAGGATGTGTGTGTGGATTTGACAGGTCTCAAGTGGAAAACGCGTCGAAAATTTTGATTGGATTGGGTACTGTAGTTAAAGGGAGCTACAAATTATGCGTCAACAGATTTTCTGATCTACTAGAAATGCGTCAGTGAGTATTCAAGGTCCTGGAATTGTCATGTAAAATGCCTTTGGTTCCTTCAATTTTCCAGAGCTACCAAAATTGCGTCAACAAATTTTAGGAGCTACGAGAAATGCGTCAGTGAACCTCCAGGCTGCTAGGAAAGCGTCAAGGCTACCAAAATTGCGTCAGCTAATCTTAGAGCTACCAAAATTGCGCCAGTTAACCTCCAAGCTACCAAAATCACGTCAGTAAACCTCTAGGCTTCCAGAAAAGCGTCAAGGCTGCCAGAAATGCGTCAGTAAGGCTCCAAGCTTCTAGAAAAGCTTAAAAGCTACAAAAATTGCGTCAACAAATTTCAGGAGCTACCAAAATTGCGTCAGTGAACCTCCCCGCTTCTAGAAAAGCGAACCCCTAAGCTCCTGGAAAAGCTTCAGAGCTACCAGAATTGCGTCAGCTAATCTTGGAGCTACCAAAATTGCGCCAGTTAACCTCAAGGCTACCAAAAAAGCGTCAGTGAACCTCTAGGCTCCTAGAACATCTTCAGAGCTACCAAAAACACGTCAATTAACCTCAAGGCTACCAAAAAGCGCCAGTTAACCTCCCAGCTTCTAGAAAAGCGTCAAGGCTACCAAAATTGCGTCAGTTAGCCTCCAAGCTTCTAGAAAAGCTCCAGGGCTACCAAAAACACGTCAGTAAACCTCTAGGCTTCCAGAAAAGCTTCAGAGCTAGCAGAAATGCGTCAGTGAGCCTCCAAGCTTCTAGAAAAACGCTAGAGCTTCAAAATTCACCTCAAGACACCAAAAAACCTCTCTCCTCTCAAAAAGCCCCAAGAAAAATTGTGGGCGGAGTTTTTCGGGAACTCTCAAAAAAAAGAAGATTGAAATACAATAAGTAGGTATCTGGTGGCACTGCGGATTAAAAAAACCTATAAAATTCCGACACATTTCATCTTTTTCTCCTCTTTTTAATGTCATCGGAATACCAGATGTTCAGAAAATATCAAATTTCGCGCAAAAAAACAAAAAAAATGTGTGAGGGGGACTAGAAAAATTTCTAGGCCACCACATCAAAATCTTCCCAGACATTCCCAAAAAAGGTCAGCCACTAATTGAATTCTAAATCTAATTAATAGAAAAAGAATCATAAAAAAAGTGAAGGTCGAGAAAATCATCGTGAAGGATTAGCATAAATTACGGCTTGGGTTTCCAGATTACGCAAAAAAAGGCCCAAAGAAGGGACCGAAAAAAATGAGTTAACAATAATAGATTTATTGCTTTTTGCAGGAATTTTTAGTACAATGAAAAACGCGAAGAAAATTGGGATAAAACTAGATAGAAAAATAATGGTAAAAGGAAAAAGAGTAAAATATTACAAAATTAACGATTTTTTGGGGGGAAGAAGTAAACGGTACTCGAGATCGAATAAAAACAAAGAAAACAACATTTCAAAAAAAAAAGATTTTCACAGAAAATCCATCACCATCTGGATCCACCATTGTGTGTGGCACCAAATCCACTATGATCATATCTTGGTCGTTTTGGTGCAAAATTGTCGCCACCTCCGCCATATCCACGTTTCGCTCCGCCTCCGTATCCACGGCCTCCGCCACGTCCGCCTCCACCGTAGCCTCCTCCACGTGCTGCCATATCGCGCAATTGTTGTGGAACTTGTTGCTTGGCCTCGTCGAGGATTTTCAAGAGATCGCGCGCTTTGGCGGCGTTTTGTGGTGTGAAGAATGTGTAGGCTGTTCCCTGCAAATATACATTTATTGATTTTTGGATGAGAAATTTGGAATTTTTCGAATTCTTGTTAATTTTAGAGGATTCTAGAGAAAATGTCGAAATTCCAAGTTATTTTAAATCCATCAGGCTCAAAAATACAGAATTTAAGCTATTTTTCAGATTTCTAGGCCATTTTCAAGCTCTCAAGCACAAAAATACAGATTTTAGGTAAATTTCAAGATTTCTAGGTGATTTTTAAGCTCTCAGGCTCAAAAATATAAATTTTGGGCTAATTTTCAGATTTCTAAGTTATTTTCGAGCTTGAAAGTACGGATTTCAGGTAGTTTTTTGAACTTCTAGAGCAATTTAAACATCTCAAGCTTGAAAGTACGGATTTTAGGCTGTTTCTGAGATTTCTAGGTCATTTTCAAGGTCTTAAACTCAAAAAGACGGAATTTAGGCTATTCTTCGGATTTTTAGGTCATATTCAAGCTCTAAAGCACAAAAAAATGCGGACTTTAGGCTATTTTTTAGATTTCTAGGTTATTTTCAAGGTCTTAACCTCAAAAATACCGATTTTAGGTAAATTTTAAGATTTCTAGGTCATTTCAGAGCTAACAAGCTCAAAAGTATGAGCTTTTGGCTATTTTTCAGATTTCTAGGTCATTTTTAAGCTCTCAAGCTCAAAAATACGGACTGTAGATTGTTTTTCAAATTTCTAGGTCCGTTTTTCAAGATTTTAAGATTCTTAATTTTTGAATGTGAAATTCAAGTTCAAAATTCACATTTTCAGCAAAATTTTCCAAATTTCCACCCCAAAATCCTCACCTTCTTATCACGTCTTCCAGTTCGTCCAATTCTGTGCACATAATCTTCGGAATTGTTTGGATAGTCATAATTGATAACATATTTAATGTCGTCAACATCTAAAAAACGAACAATTTTTCAAAGTCAACGAGAAAAGCAGGGGAAAACGCAAAAATCAATTTTTTTCCATCATCCCACGGCGAAAAATTGAACAAGTGAAGAAGAGTGGAATGAATGAAACATATTTGTTGTTGCACTTTTTCTCGCATTTTGCACTTTTTTCTAGTGCATTAGCACTTTCCGCAAAAAGGGCAAAATGTTCGTATAAAAGTGCATGTAAACTTCAAAAGAGTGCAATTTTCACCTCGAAAGTGAAACAACTTTTTTGCGGAGCAGCTGAGAAAATCAATAGAATTAATGAGCTCAAAAAGTTATTATTTTTGAACGAAAAAAATCCATTCTAACTCCGTTTAGCATAAAATGTTAGAGAAAAAGACCAAAAAATGCCTCAAAATTAATTGGGACTAAAATACGCCTAAATAATCAAAAATACTCCTTTCGAGTTCAAAAATTCGTTAATTTTCAGCACAGAATTCAATTTTCACATTCATTTCAATGAAAGAAAAATCAAAGGAATTATGTGCTGAAAATTAACGAATTTTTGAGCTCGAAAGGTCTATTTTCAGAAATTTAGGCATTTTCTTAGTTTTTTCTCTAAATTTAAGGCTAAACCGAGTAAAAATGGATTTTTTTCGTTCGAAAATAATAACTTTCTGAGCCTATTAATTCTATCGATGTTCTCAGCTGCTTCGGAAAAAAGTTATTGCACTTTGGAGGTGAAAATTGCACTCTTGTGAAGTTTACATGCACTTTTATACGAACATTTTGCCCTTTTTGTGAATGCTTTGAAAATTTAAAAATCAGGATTTCAAAAGTGGTCTTCACTTGTTCAATATCACCGTGGGAAACCAAAAGCCAAGGCAAAACCGCGAAAAAAATTAGCAAAGACCACTTACGCACCTGATATTTTTGGCCCGTTAAAACCCTTAGGGAGGGAAGAAGCCCAGAGCAAAATTGAACAGCTGACACCACAAAAAGAGATGGATATGAGTGGAGAGAATGCACGAATCGACGCGACATCAAACCGAAAAAGAGCCTCCGAGCCTCTTTCTCGTACGACGCGTCTTCAGATGGGTATTTCAAAGTGGGGCCGGTTTGGGCTTAACAAAGCCCCTCCTGGGCCCCATCATCCATCCATTTATCATGTGCGATTTCTTTCACAGTATTCCAACTTCTCACGGTCCAGGAGTTCAGCTCACTATTGCTGCTGCAAAGGGTCAAATATTAGTCATTGAAAAACATCATCACACACAATTTCCGGAGCATTTTACATTGAAAAAATGCTCCAAAAAATCTAATCTTCTCCTGAATTCTAATTCTCATTATTTTGCATGTGACAATCATTGGTATTCGACCCCTTTTCACAGTCTTTTCTCACAGTCTCCTTCTTTGAGCAAGAAGTTAGCCTAAACTCACCCAAACCACGAGCGGCGACATCTGTGGCGAGAAGAATCGGTGTTTTTCCTTGTTTGAACTCGCCGAGCACCCAATCACGTTCTCCTTGAGCTTTGTCTCCGTGAATGCAAAGAGTTGGCCAACCGTCGCGACGCATTGCGCGTGTCAATTCGTCGGCTTTGCGTTTGGTTTCGACGAAGATGATGGTTTTGCATTCAGGCTGAAAAATTAGAGATTTTCAGAGGATAAATAGATATTTGTCATGTTTTTTTTGGATAAAATTTCCTAATTTTGAGTACTTGGAGCCCAGTTTTACCCTTTGAACTTTCATTTTGCAATTACCCAACTCTGAAACCATTTAAAATGGTCCATTTTTCACACTCCAAGCTGGAAAACCCAACTTTCCCAATTCTCACAACTCAAAAATGCTCCAGAACTCTTCCAGCCTCAATTTTCCGGTTTTGAAACCGAAAAATTGCACAAGAGCTCAATTTTCCAGTCTAGACAGGATTTTCATAAGTTCTCAAGAAATTCCCAACTTCGGGGAGCTTATAAAAATCCAGTCTAGACTGAAAATTTGAGCTCTTGTGCAATTTTTCGGTTTCAGAACCGGAAAATTGAGGCTAGAGGAGGTCTGGAGCATTTTTGAGTTTTGAGAATTGGGAAAGTTGAATTTTTCAGCTGGGCATGTGAAAAATGGTCAAAAAGAGCTGGGAAACCGGAAAATCAAGATTTTTGAGTTAGAAAATCGAAAATTTAGCAGTTATTCATACTATTTTCAAAATTTCAAAGAAATTTTCCAATTTTTCAGCTTGACATGTGAAAAATAGTCAAAAAGAGCTTTGAAACCTTCAGTCGAGCAATTTTAGGAACAAAATAAAGGGAAATCTAGATTTTTGAGTGAAAAAATCGAAAATTCAGCTTATTTTCATAAATTTCTACCAACCTGATTCATAATATCATTCAACAATCCCATCATTCTCTGTTGTTTCGCTCCCTCATCAATAACATCAACAACTTGTGTAATATTGTGATTAGCAGCCAATTCAAGTGATCCAACATTCAAGAACGCCGCATCTTTTTGGAAATCTGCAGCCAAATTTCGAACTTCTTTTGGCCAAGTCGCAGAGAACATCAAAGTTTGTCGATCCGGTCGAATTTGTCCGATGATCTTACGAATTTGCGGTTCAAAACCCATGTCAAGCATACGATCGGCTTCATCGAGCACCAAATATGAGCAACGTTTCATTGTAGTGGTGCCGTTCTCCAAGAAATCCAAAAGTCTTCCAGGTGTCGCGACAACAATATCAACTCCCCGTTCCAAATCACGAGCTTGTGGTCCTTTTGAAGCTCCACCAAAGAGACAGGTCATTGAGAGACCGATTCCTTTGCAAAAATCGATCGATACTTCCTGAACTTGTTGGGCGAGTTCTCTAGTTGGCAACATCACCAAAACTGACGGTCCTTCACCGCGTTTGCGTGGTGTTTGTTTGGTGATATGAACCAAAGCTGGGAGCATGAAAGCCAATGTTTTTCCTGAACCAGTTTTGGCGATTGAGATGATATCTCGTCCACTCATCGCAATTGGCCATGAGATTCCTTGAATAACTGTTGGTTTTTGGAATTTGGCGTAGAGCAATTCATGAATTTGTCCTGGATATGGAGCTTCATTGAATTCAAAGACTGGTCTTGGAATTCCCGATCCTTCGAGAGTGACTTGATTCGACGCGATCCATTGATCGATCTCGTATTGATCTCGGCGCGAAACTGCCGCATTTTCGTGGTAGAAATCCTTTTGAATTGGCACCAAATTCTCTCTGCTCCAATCGATTGTGCGAAGTTTTCCACCGGCTGAACCGCTGCTTCCGCCACCGCGACCTCCTCCACGGCCACCGCCGAAACCTCCACCACGGCCTCCTCCGTAGCCACCGCCACCTCCTCCGTATCCGCCACCACCGTAGCCTCCGCCTCCGAATCCTCCGCGACTTCCACCTCCGTAGCCTCCGCCACCGCCGCCGCCATATCCACCGCCACGACCTCCTCCGTATGAACCGCCGTTTGAACTGGAAAAAAATCAGAATTAGTTGAAACTTGAACAAAAAAGGTGGAACAATTGAAGATCTACAGATTTGTGATACACAATTCCATAGAGGAAGTTAAATTAAATCAGAATACTATAGTTGGACATCGACTAAATGACATTTTCATGTTTTTTAAGCAAATGAGTTGAAATATTGGGTTGTAATGTTATTCATATGATAGAATGGTCTAAGACGAACAGAATGATATACATTTTGATGACTTTACGTTATCCTTAAGTGATTTAGCGACGTTTAGGCTATATTTGGTCGATAAGCTCGCTAAATCACTTATGGATAAGGTAAATTCATCAAAATTTATATCATTATGTTCGTCTTAGACCATTCTATCATATGCGTAACATTACAACCCAATATTTAAACTCATTTGCTTAAAAAACATGAAAATGTCATTTAGTCGATGTCCAAATATAGTATTCTGATTTAATTTAACTTCCTCTATCGAATAGTATATCACAAATCTTTCGATTTCCAATTCTTCTCCAAATTTTCCACTCACTATCCGTTATCTCTCATGTTTCCTGCTGGTTTTGTCTTGATATGTTGTTGAAAAGCAAACTTCTGATCGATCAACGGCTCCTTCTGTGAAAACAAACGTTTTTTACGATTTTCTTGAAATTCGTTGTCAGCGATGGCGACGCGCGCGAAAAGCCGACAAAAGTTTTTCGTCTGCGCCGCAGCTCCGCCGAAAACGCTACGAGCAAGAATGCGAGAAGTTGTGTCCAACAATAATCGCATGCAAATATATAGGATAGAATCACCTATAAGATGCACAGCGATTTTTGATGGTAAAAAACAGAGAAATGAATGGGACGTGTAAATAACTGTGGGAGAAACGTGAAAATCGATTTTTTATTTACCAAAACAACAACATCTGGCGTTGCTTAACAACAAAAAACAACTGGTTTGTTGTGTGATTTTTGGGAAACTAAAAGAACGCAAAGAAGAATCAATTTTATAGTGGAAATCAATAATTTCGCAATATTTCGAATTTAAACCCTAAAAACGGGCAGTTTTCCAATTATCTTGTAAATAACGACAGAATAGCCTGAATTTTTTACTTTTCGGAATTCCTGGATAGTTTTCTACACAAAAATTCTCGATTTTCTAGTCAAAAATCAATATTTGCACTTGATGCTTGAAAATTCGTAAAATACGGGCGGTTTTTAAGAAATTCTCGTAGAAAATGCACTAATAGCTAATTGATATCCTAGTTTACAATAAATCCAGTTATTTCTGAAGAAATCTTCTGATTTTCTAGAAAAACCAACAAATTTCAAGAAAAATCCCAAATTTTCGAAAATCTTCAAAATTTCAAAGCTCCCCGCCTTAATTTTCCTCTCAAATCTCACTAGAAACCTAAAAACACCCAAAAATCCACCAAAAACCCAGAAAACCCCAAGAAAAACCATCGAGAACCAGCAATTTTTTTGGGACGAAAAAAAGTGGCGTCGATATTTTTTTTTTTGAAATGCAAAAAACGCGAAAGTGGGCGTGGCCGTCTCATCGTGACAAGACCCAAGCGGCGAGAAAATGTGTGCGCCTTTCGATTTACGATCAGCTGATTTCTTTTTTTTTTTCGCCGTATTTCGTAATCGATCCTTCTAGAAGCAAATTGTCATCATTTTCTATATATATATTAGACAAAACATATCAGAATTTACTAAAAATGGCCGAATTTCCGCATTTTGGTTCGCATTGTGGAGTGGAATTCTGCAATCAACTCGATTTTTTGCCCATAAAATGTGATGCTTGCCGTGGTGAATATTGTACACAACACTTTGTTTATGACGCTCACAATTGTGAAAATGCCTATAGAAAAGTAAGATTTTACTTGGGAGAAAAATTTAAAACAACATTTTTCCCCGGAAAAGTGCGGTAGAGCGCAAAAGCATTTTCTAGACCAAAATTTCGCGAATTTTCAGAATATCCAGGTCCCGGTGTGCCCAATGTGCTCGCAACCGGTGCCTACACCAAAAAACGTGCCTGCCGATTATCAAGTCAACGAACATATCCAGAATAATTGTGAAAAATCGAAGAAACGGGAGATTTACAAGAATAAGTGTAGTGTAAAAGGATGTCGAAAGAAGGAATTGATACCTGTGACGTGTCCCACGTGTAAATTGAATTATTGTTTGACACATCGACATGAGCAAGATCATAAATGTGAGGGAAGTGTGGAGCAGAAGGCGGGTGGTGGATTTTTGAGCAGCGCGTGAGTTTTTTGGGGGAAAAATTATGAAAATGTCGTTCTAGAGCTCAAAATCCGGGTTTTGAGACGATTTTTGAACTAAAAATTGTGAAAATTCGGTCTTGGGGTGATTTTTAGCTTTAAATTCGTAAAATTTGAGCCCTGGAGCAAATTTTAGCTTAAAAAGTTGAGCTAGTCGCGAAAAATCTGATTTCTAGCTTGAAAAATGGGTCTTGACACGATTTTTAGCTTAAAAATGAAGAAAATTAGGTCCTGAAGCGATATTTGGCTTGAAAATTATGAAAATTGGGTCTCGAGACGATTTTTTCAGTTAAAAATCATGAAATTCGGCTCCAGAAGCAAGATTTCACGAAATTGGCTTAAAATTTGGGTCTTGACACGATTTCCAACCTAAAAACCTTGAAAATTCGCTCCTGGAGTGATTTTTAGCTAGAAAAATGGGTCCCGCAACGATTTCTCAACCGAAATCCCATGTCCCTTTAAAAATTCAAATTTTTCAGCGTTGCCGCCCTCTCACTAAACCGAAATTGCTCATCTCAAGCACGAAATGAGGTAAGTGCGCTCTACTGAACTTTTTTCAAATTTTTTTGGCGCCAAATCCAAAAAATTCAAATTTTTTGCAGCAAGTCACATCAGATGAGCAATTGGCCAGGGCTTTACAACAAGAAGAATATTCGTGAGTAGAGTTTTTTTGGCGGGAAAATTTTTGAATTCAAATTTTTTCAGGAATCCGGGCTCGTCACAAAATCGTCAGCAGCGAAATTCGCAAAATAATTGTACAGTATCCTGAGAATTTATTGATTGAAAATCCAATAAAATCTGTAAATTTTGAATTTTCCCGCCACAAAAAAAAATAAGAAAAAAATTGAATGACAAGTTTGTCACAGAAAATCGACAACTGACACACCGTGATTTATTTTTCCACCCCGATTCCACACTTTTTTCCCCAAGAATACTATTTTTTTGCATCATATTACTTTTAGAAAAAGTTTAGCATGAGCAATGCTCGAAAAATATGGAAATTTTCAGTTAAACATGAGCAATGCTCTAAAAATTTAGAATTTTTCAGTTTAACATGAGCAATGATCTGAAAATTCAGAATTTTTCAGTTTAACATGAGCAATGCTCTGAAAATTCAGAATTTTTCAGTTTACAGGAGAGTTTAACATGAGCAATGCTTGAAAAATTTAGAATTTTTCAGTTTAAAAGAGAGTTTAACATGAGCAATGCTCGAAAAATTTAGAATTTTTTCAAATTTTGAATCAAGTTCCGCTAACTTCCTTCCTTTCTGCTTTCAAAATTTTCAAATTTCTTTTGAACAAAACAAAGTTAGCCTAAATCGCAACAGGTGTCCTTTTGGCAACAACAATAAAATGTCATTTTTATTGGCCGATTTTACACAATTGCTCATGCTACTCTTTTTTATCGATTTTTTATAGTATTTTTCATTGGAATTTTATAGCATTGCTCAGATTAAACTGAAAAATTGGCGTTTTTAAAGCATTGCTCATGTTAGAGGTTTTTTTTAATTTGAAAAATTCTAAATTTTCAGAGCATTGCTCATGTTAAACTCTCTTGTATACTGAAAAATTCTAAATCTTTAGAGTATTGCTCATGTTAAACATTTTTTTTCCAAAATTTTTACCTAAAATATCACATTTTTGAGCATTGCTCATGTTAAACCAATTTTTCTAGCATTGCTCATGTTAAAAAAATGCCCAGAAAACTTCGACATCGACCTTCGGATGAACTAATCGATATAAGAGAAAGGTAGGATTTTTTTTTTTTGAATTTTTCAAAAAATATCATATTTGGTGTCAAAAATTTGCAAATTTCATGGGATTTTCGAAATTTCGAGCGAAAATTTTCCAAAATCTTGATTTTCAGAGGTCTACCCTGGCTAATTTCCGTATTTTTGGTTCTATTTTTCCTTCTCTCACTTTTGCTGGTTTTTTTCATTCTGACAACTCGTGAAATTTATTTGACGCAAAGCGGAAAAATTTTGGATTCTGGAGAGAATTCGAATTCCGAGGAGGAAGAAGATCTGAAAATCCACGTGGATGTTGTGCCGATTGTTGATAGGAAGACCGGGAGTACGGTATGTTCCTTTAAGCCCAGAAATTTGCGATTTTTTGATACCCCACAAGCCTAGGGTTACTGTAGGAGTACGGTAGATGAAGAAAAAGGGCCTAGGCTTATCTGAGCTCAAAAAATCCGGGAATTTTCGAGCCAAGGCTCATTTGGGCTCAAAAAATCTGAAATTTTCAGACCGAACCCTCCTTGGCGATTCAAAATCGCAAAAATCTGGAATACGAAACGATTTCGGAGCCGAAAAGAGGATATTGGAATTATCCGCATGAAAATCAGGAGAATTTCGATCCGGCTCGCAAAATTTCCGATGGTTTTGTAGAAGGTCAAGCTGGAAGATCAGTAGAACTTGATCGTCAAGGTTTCAGAGATCTACAGAATCGCAAATCTGATCCTAAAAGTTCTACAGAAGTTCCAGCGATATCTTCAGAAGCTAGAAATCCAGAATCTGACCCTAGAAGTTCTACAGAAGCTCCAGTAACATCTTCAGAAGCTAGCAATCCAGATTCTGATTCTAGAACATCTACAGAAGCTCCAGCGATAACTTCAGAAGCTAGAAATCCAGATTCTGATTCTATAACTTTTACAGAAGCTCCAGTAAAAACTTCAGAAGCTAGGAATCAAGATTCTGATTCTAGAAGTTCTACAGAAGCTTCTGATCATGCTTCAGATGTTCAAGATCAAGATTCTGACGCTAGAAGTTCCACAGAAGCTTCAGATGTTCAAGATCAAGATTCTGCTCAGAAAAATCATCTAGAAGTTCCAGTAACATCTTCAGAAATCCCCAGAATTTCTTCAGAAGATTCCAGAAGTTCTACAGATATTCAAGCCCCAGCGCAACCTTCTACAGAATTCCAAAATCCTGAAGTTCCAGCTCAGCCTAATCTAGAAGTCACCAGAATCTCGGCAGATCTTCGGAACTCAAATTCCGAAGTTTCCAACATCCACGTCAAACTATCCGATCTAACCTATCTGGATCCACATCAGCAGAATTCAGTGGATCAGGAAAATCCACGTGGCAACCAAGATTCAGCTAGACCTTCGGAAGATCTCAGACAACATCAGGAAAATGCTAGAATTCCAGAAAATCCACGTGGCAACCAAGATTCAGCTAGAGCTTCAGAAGCTTCAGAAAATCCACGTGGCAATCTGGATTCAGCAAGAACTTCAGAAGATCCTAGACAACATCAAGAGCATTCAGAACATCATGAAAATCCACGTGGCAATCCAGATTCAGCTAGAACTTCAGAAGATCCAAGACAACATCCGGAAAATGCTAGATTTCCAGAAAATCCACGTGGCAACCAAGATTCAGCTATAACAATAGAAGCTTCTGGATATCCACGTGGCAATCCAGATTCAGCCAGAACTTCAGAAGATCCCAAAACCCCAGAACCACGTGTAAAATGGCACCGCGAGCCGCGAACTCGCGCCGAAACCTTCCGCACATTCGCCGCCTCCACCCATCACCGCGAGTGCAGCGAAATCGCGCGGCGAATCGCTGCCGCCGGCGGAAACGCGGTCGACGCGGCGATCGCCGCGGAAATTTGCATCTCCGCGCTGCATCCGCACGCTAGCGGACCCGGATTTGGCAGTGTTATGGTGGTGCACTCGAGGTGAGTGCATTTTTCTCGATTTTTCACGTCAAAACCCAAATTTCCCGCCAAAAAAACTCATTTTTCCATCATTTTAGCAAATTTTCTTCCAGAAAACGCAACGGAACCTTCATAATCGATGGTCGTGAAAGAGCTCCGCGCTCCGCAAATCAAAACACCTTCGTCATCAATCCATCCATTGCTCATATTGGATATTCGTCGATCGGAGTTCCCGGATGGATTTCTACACTTTGGATCGCTTTCAAACAGTTTGCGGGTGGAAAATTGACGTGGAAAAGTCTGGTGGAGCCGACAATTGAGCTCATGTTGAAGGTGAGTGGGTTTTTAAACCTTAAAAGGGGCAATTTGCTCTTGAAAACCTGAAAAAAAGGCGGAAAAATGCGAAAAAATAAAAGTAAAACAACGATGCTCCGCTTACCTGATGTTTATCGTAAATCAACACTCATCGTTTTTTTTTCGTTTTTCCCTCAAAACAGCCTGAAATCCCTCGGAATTATTGATTTTCAAGGATTTCTGACATTAATTTAACTGCGTAATCAGCTGAAAATTCGGTTTCAGCAGCTTTTTTGTATAGAAACCTGGAAAATTCGTGGAAATAAAAAAAACAACGATACTCCGCTAGCGGCGCGCTTGCCTGTTGTTTATCGTAAATCGATTTTCATTGATTTTTTCGGGAATTTCCTGTTTTCCCCCAGTTTCCCGCCAAAAATTGTTGATTTTTCAGGCTCCGCTAATCGATAGACACCTCGCGGCCGCTTTCGAATCGCGCAAAAACCACCTGCTCCACGAGAAATCCTTCGCCACCCTCTTCACCAAAACCACCAAAGAGTCGTCGAGTTTGGACAATTTTGAATACGTGGATTTTTTGCGCGAATTGGCGAACTCTTCGCACGCGGAACACGATTTTTATCGCGGAAAATGGGCACGCGTTTTGGTGGCGGAAATCAAAGCGAGGGGTGGATTGGTGACGCGCGCGGATTTGGAAGGATTTGCGAGTATTGTGACGAGAGCGGAGATGATTCGGGTGGGAAATCGAGGAATGTTTTTGGCCGGACCACATTTGCCTTATTATTTTCCGATTTTGAGGAGGATTTTTGAGGAAATGGAAGGTTTGTGTGGAAAGAAGAGGGAGGAGACGCAGAGGAGCTAGACGACGAGAGAATTTAGGAGACGGAGAAGAGTCAGACAGCTAGACAGTTAGAGACGCAGAGGAGCTAAGCAGCTGTTGACGACTAGACAGCTAGAGAAGGCTAGAAAGCTAGAGAACTTGGGAGACACAGAGAAGCTAGACAGCTAAAGAAAGCTAGACAAATAGACAACGAGATAGAAAAGGCTAGACAGTTAGAGAAGCAGAGGAGCTAGACGACGAAACAAATAGAACGTAGACAGTTAGAGACGCAGAGGGCGACTCTCTAAAATACTTATGCTCTAGCCTTTCTAGTTGCTCTGCGTCTCTAATAATGCTATGCTCTCTTGCTTCTCTGCGTCTCTTATTATCCAGTGATCTCTAGCTGTCTAGCTTCTCTGCGTCTCTAATTTCTCATTATCTCTAGCTTCTCTGCACTCTCTAAAAAGCTTATGCTCTCTAGCCCCTGGGTTCTCTGCGTCTCCAATAATCCCATGCTGTAGCCTCTCTAGCCGTCTAGCTTCTCTGCGTCTCTAACCAGCTAGACAGCTAGAGAAACACAGTGACTACCTTGTCTAGCAACCAGACAACCAGAGTTCCATTTAGCTCCTCTGCGTCTCTGATTATCCCATGCTCTCTAGCTATCTCGCGCGAAGCGCCCCGGAATCTTCCGCGCAGCGGCTCGAGCGAAGCGAGTGTATTTCCCTCTGCGTCTCTAACCTCCCCATTTTTCCAGCCAAATTCTCCAACACCACCCATCCCGAAGAACTTCTCTCCTACTTCTCAACCCTGATTCCTCTCCTCCAATCTGCAAATTCAATGAAACAATTCGTTGGCGATGATCATTTTGAGCCCGAGCTCAAATCAAAAATCGATAATTGGCAGATCCCCGGAGCCCAGGAGCCCCCAATTTCGAGCCCAAAAAAACCGGGCCCGCTGGCCTTTTCAAGGGTCCTAACCATGGACCAAGAAGGAAATACCGTGAATTATATGTCACTGAATACACAGCCTTTTGGCTCGGCCCGAAGATCGCCTAACTACGGTTTCACCTGGAATAACGCGATGGCGAATTTCGATGTTTATTGTAATCAAAAAACAACGCTGGGAATCGACGTGAATTGTGTGAAAAGCGGCAGCCGCGCGGCAGTCCGCCAAAGTTTTCCGGCGATTTTGTGGGATGCGCGCGGCGCGCGCGTCGCCGCCGCGATTTCGCCCACGAATTTTGGATTGGAGACGATGGCTCAAGTGGTTTTGCACACGAGTTTGGCTAACTTGGTAAGGGTTTTGGGGGGGGGGGGGGCTGAAATTTGGCTGAAAATATGGATTTTTGAGAGAAAATTAGTCTGAAATTCAAATTTTCATGAATTTTAACCTTTAAAAATCTGAAAATGGCCTAAAACCCTGTTTTTTGAGCTGAGAAGCTTGAAAAATGGCCTAGAAATCCAAATTTTGAGCTCAGAACCTTGAAAATGGCCTAGAAATCCAAATTTTGAACTCAGAACCTTGAAAATGGCCTAGAAATCCAAATTTTGAGCTCAGAATCTTGAAAATGGCCTAGAAATCCAAATTTTGAGCTGAGAAGCTTAAAAATGGCCTAGAAATCCAAATTTTGAGCTCAGAACCTTGAAAATGGCCTAGAAATCCAAATTTTGAGCTCAGAACCTTGAAAATGGCCTAGAAATCCAAATTTTGAGCTCAGAAGCTTAAAAATGGCCTAGAAATCCAAATTTTGAGCTCAGAAGCTTAAAAATGCCCTAGAAATCCAAATTCTGAGCTCAGGAAGCCTAAAAAGCCTAAAATTCAACAAATTTTGGCCTAAGAGCCTAAAAATGGCCTAGAAACCCAAATTTTACCCCCAAAATGACCCAAATTTAATTCTAGACCTTCTCCGATGCTCTGAATTCGGCCCGAATCTACACATCCACTCCAAACTCCGAAATCCACGTGGAAACCGGAATTCCCGACGAGATATTCCGCAATTTATGGTCCCAAAATCACGCCAAATTCACCCATCCCACCAATCCGGTTACTGTAATTGCTAGAGAATCTGAAAATGCTGAAAATTTCAGCGTTTTTTGCGATCATCGTGAGAATTTCCGGATTCGCAGCTGTAATCCGGCTGGATTTTGAAAGATTTTGATGATTTTTGTAGGAAAACGGGTGTTTACTGGTATAATGAAGATGTTTTTACCTAAAAATTCATGAAAATCGGGTCTGGAGCATGAAAATTGGCTCATTTTCGCTCCAGAACCTTAAAAATCGCGAAAAAATGCTCCTAGAGCTCAAAATCAGCCTAAATTTGCTTCTGAACCTTAAAATTCATGAAAATCAAGTCTGGAGCATGAAAATTGGCTCAATTTTGCTCCAGAACCTTAAAAATCAGCCAAAAAATGCTCCCGGAGCTCCAAATCAGTCTGAAAATGCTCTTGGACCTTGAAATTCATGAAATTTTGGTCTGGAGCATGAAAATTGGCTCAATTTTGCTCCAGAGCCTTAAAAATCGCGAAAAAATGCTCTTAGAGGGCTTCAGAAGGCTTCCCAAGGCTTCAGAGGGCTTCAGAAGGCTTTAGAGGGCTTCAGAAGGCTTTAGAGGGCTTCAGAAAGCTTCAGAAGACAAAATTTCATCAAAATGTTGAAATTCCCACTACAAAAACCACACATGATCTCTTTTTCCCCAAAAAAAAACCACAAAAACATTTTTGTGTAACAAATTTTTTTACAACCCATTTTTTTGAGGACATCAACAAAATTTGCGCGGAAAAAACAAGTTTATCATCCAGTTTTTCAGTTTTCCCATCATTTTCAGCTAGAAATCGGTGATTTTCAGCCAATTTTCCAACATTTTCAGCCAAAATGATCATATTTCTAAGCTTAATCTCAGGCTACATAATCTATCTGATAATTTTGAACCTCAAAAAGTTAGCGCAACTTTTGGCGCTGAATTTGAGGTGCGCGAAAAATCTCGCGAAAATTCCCGGACCACCCAGGCTGCCATTAATTGGCTCCGCCCACCTTTTCAAGTGGGATTCCTATGATTTTACGTGGCAAATGGAGAAGTGGGCACAGCAATTTTTATTTGCCAAAAAATCGCCGGAACCTGGAGAGATTGATGGGATGATGAAGGTGAGTTAGGCTAACTTGGGGCCGGAAATTTGCGAAATTTTGAGTCTAAATAAGCCTGGGTTACTGTAGAGGTACTGTAGATTTAAAAAATGCGAAATTTTCGATTTTTTGATACCCCACAAGCCTAGGGTTACTGTAGATCATTTTTTATGAGCTACAGTAACCCAAAAACACGTGGGGGAAAAATTGATCTACCAAAACAAATTGACACAATTTTTGACACGTGGGGTTTCATTACAGTAGCCTGGGTTAATTTGCACCAAATTTTGAGCTACAGTAACCTACAGTAACCCTAGCCTTATGTAGGCTCAAAAAATCCCAAATTTTGAGCTACAGTAACCTATAGTAACCCTAGGCTTGTGGGGTATCAACAAATCGCAAATTTCGCATTTTTTTTAAATCTACAGTAACCTACAGTAACCCTAGCCTTATGTAGTCTCAAAAAATCCCAAATTTTGAGCTACAGTAACCTACAGTAACCCTAGCCTTATGTGGTCTCAAAAAATCCCCATTTTTTGCAGCTCTACGTCGGCCCTGTCCCTTTAATCTTCCTGGGAATTCCGGAAGCTGTCAGGCCAGTTCTGGAGAGTACTGTAAACATTTCCAAACCTGAGCAATACAATAAACTTCGCGATTGGATTGGAACCGGCTTATTGACGTCGACTTTTGAAAAATGGTTTGGGCGCAGGAAAATTTTGACACCAACTTTTCATTTTTCGATAATTCGCGAATATTTTCCCATTTTTTCGCAACAGGGAGAGGTAAGCAATTTTTTTGAGCAAAATTTGGCTCAGTTTGATACCAAATATGCTTATATGAAAGTTAATATGAGCAATACCCCAAAATTCTGGATTTTCTGGTTAAAGGAAGCCTCCCAGTCATATTTTTAACATGAGCAATGCCTCAAAAAATCTTGGATTGCTCATGTTAACAATTTTCTTAAAGGAAGCTTATAAGACAGTTAATATGAGCAATATATTAAAATTTTGGGTTTTCTGGTTAAAGGAAGCCTCCCAGTTATATTTTTAACATGAGCAATGCCCTAATTTTTTGCAGATTCTCATAGATTTGCTAGAATCCCGTGCTGACTCGCCGGATTTTTTCGACATTTTCCCGTACCTCAAAAAATGCACACTCGACATAATTTGCGGTACGGTAGAGATCGAATTTTGGCGCCAAAAAAATTACTGTAGATCAAAAAAAATTTTTGTTTCAGAAACCGCAATGGGCTCACAAATCAATGCACAACTCGGGGAAAACAATCAATATGTGCAGGCCGTGAAGCGGATTTCGGAGCTGACTTGGGCCTATATCAAGTTCCCGTGGCTGTGGTGGAGGCCCGTTTGGTACCTATCGGGCCTGGGTGGAGAATTTGACCGGAATGTGAAGTTGACCAATGATTTCACAAGAAAGGTGGGATTTTTGGGAGCATTTTGAGCCTAGATAAGCCTGGGTTTGGGCTTAGGCTTAAGCTGATCAGGCCTGGTTTTTAGGCCTGAAAATTTGGAGCATTTTGAGCCTAAATAAGCCTGGGTTTAGGTTTAGGCCTAGCCTGATTAGGCCTGGTTTTTAGGCCTGAAAATTCGGAGCATTTTGAGCCCAAATAAGCCCGGGTTTAGGCCTGAAGGCTTTAAACTACAAAATTTTTTGGAACTTTTTTTGGCACCAAATACTACAGTAACCCTAGGCTTATTTGGTGTCAAAAAACGTCAAATTTTGCCGAATTTTCCAAAAATTTGAATTTCAGGTCATCCAGGAGCGAAAAGAGGCGCTGAAAAATGAGCAATGTTTCGAGGAGCCGCCACGTGGCAAAAAACGAGCATTTCTGGATTTGTTGCTCAGCTTACAGCAAAGCGGAGATGGTGGGCTAAGTGATGAGGATATTCGAGAGGAAGTTGACACTTTCATGTTTGAAGGTACTGTAGCTGGGGGTACTGTAGGGGAAATTTGCAGCATTTTGATACCCCACAAGCCTAGGGTTACTGTAGAGGTACTGTAGATCAAAAAAATGCGAAAATTTCGATTTTTTGATACCCCACAAGCCTAGGGTTACTGTAGAGGTACTGTAGATCAAAAAAATGCGAAAATTTCGATTTTTTGATACCCCACAAGCCTAGGGTTACTGTAGAGGTACTGTAGCTAAAATAATACAGTAACCCTAGGCATATTTGGTCTCAAAATGCGTCAAATTTTCCCGCCAAAAAATCTACAGTATCCCTCGTACAAGCTACAGTACTCCACTATTTTTGTTAGCACAAAAATTTGCCACGTTTTGATACCCCACAAGCCTAGGGTTACTGTAGACCAAAAAAGTTCCAGATCAATTTTCCCTACAGTAAACCTAGGCATATTTGCTCTCAAAATGCTCCAAATTTTCGCGCCCTACAGTACCCCTACAGTACTCCTTGTAGGTCACGACACAACAGCCAGCGGAATCGGATTCACCATGCTATTTCTGGGTTTTCACCCGGAAATCCAGCAAAAACTGCACAACGAGATGGATGAGATATTCGGTACAGTACTCTAGACCTACAGTACTCCAAAACTACAGTAATTTTTTTAAAGGAACATCCAACCGTAACCCAACTATGGAGGATATCAAAAAATGTGTGTATTTGGAAAAATGCATCAAAGAATCGTTGCGAATGTTCCCCTCAGTTCCTATAATTGCACGGCGTTTGGACCAAGATGTTACTGTAGGTGAGTTGATTTTGGGGCCAAAAAAAATGACGTCATCGTTTTCGCCGCAAAATTTGCAGCATTTTGACACCGCATACGGTAGAGAAAATTGAAAATTTGCGATTTTCTGGAAAAATTTTTGATCTACAGTAACCCTAGGCTTATTTGATATCAAAATGCTCCAAATTTTGCGCGCCAAAAGCTACAGTAGTCTACAGTAACCCAAAAACTTTATTTCGACGCTCAAACAAAATCCGAAGCATCGGCAAATTTGTCGACTTGAACGTGGGTTTTTGTGGAGCGTGTGTCCTCCACAGGCGCCTCGAATCCCGGATGTTTTGGTCGTTCGGCTTCCGGTGGTGGCTGAAAATTGTTTAACATGAGCAATGCCATGATTTTTGCCGAAAAATTTGACGCAGAAAGAGTCTAAACATGATGGGGGTGCTTAATATGAGCAATCCTATGATTTTTTGAGGTATTGCTCATGTTAAGAATATAACTAGGAGGCTTTCTTTAACCAGAAAATCCAAAATTTAGATATATTGCTCATATTAACTGTCTTATAGGCTTCCTTTGAGAAAATTGTTAATATGAGCAATGGTATGTTTTTTGAGACATTGCTCATGTTAAAAATATATCTAGGAGGCTTTCTTTAACCAAAAAATCCAAAATTTCAGGATATTGCTCATATTAACTGTCTCATAGGCTTCCTTTAAGAAAAATTCCTAATCTGAGCAATCCTAAGTACCCCCCATTGCTCATATTAGGGCTAAAAACCAAAAATTGGATGCATTGCTCATATTAAGATGTGTCCTAATAGCTTCCTTTAATGAAAATGCCTAACATTGCTCATGCTAAGCAACATTGCTCACCTTATACTCTTCACCTCCCTTCATCGATCCTCCATTTTGTTGTTGTTGTGACGCGGGTTCGCCGCCGGGCGGCGCCGCAGGCGGCGGATCTTGCGGCATTGCGGGAGGCGGAGCTTGCGGAGCAGGTTCTACTGGAGCAGCTGGAGGTGGTGGAGGAGCTTGCGGAGCCGGAAGAGCTGGTGAAGGCATCGGTGAGGGATCGGCGGCGACCGCAGGTGCCGCAGGCGGCGGACCTTCCGCTACCGCGTCCGGAAACGATGCTCCGGATGGTTTTTTGACTGGCGGTTGTTGGTCGGCTTCGCTTCCCTGCAAAAATTTGGATTTCTAGGCCAATTTTAAGCTCGTGAGCTCAAAATTTGGATTTCTAGGCCATTTTTTAGCTTCTGAGCTCAAAATTTGGATTTCTAGGCCATTTTTAAGCTCCTGAGCTCAAAATTTGGATTTCTAGGCCATTTTTAAGCTTATAAGCTCAAAATTTGGATTTCTAGGCCATTTTCAAGCTTCTGAGCTCAAAATTTGGATTTCTAGGTCATTTTTAAGCTTCTGAGCTCGAAATTTGGATTTCTAGGCCATTTTTAAGCTTCTGAGCTCAAAATTTGGATTTCTAGGCCATTTTTAAGCTTCTGAGCTCAAAATTTGGATTTCTAGGCCATTTTTAAGCTTCTGAGCTCAAAATTTGGATTTCTAGGCCATTTTTGAGCTCCTGAGCTCGAAATTTGGATTTCTAGGTCATTTTCAAGCTTCTGAGGCCAAAATTTGGATTTCTAGGCTATTTTTAAGCTTCTGAGCTCAAAATTTGGATTTCTAGGCCACAATTTTCGCCTAGGCATATTTGGTGTCAAAAAATCGCAAATTTTCCATCTACAGTACCCCTCGGGTTACTGTAGATCTACAGTAATTCTTGCTCACCGTTTTATTCAACATCTTCTGCTTCTTCTTATCCTTTCCTTTCGATTTTTTGCAACAAAAAATCGACCATGTCGAAAAGGCCAACAAAATCACGAGTAGCCATTTTTCGACGAATTTTTCTGCAAAAAAAACCCATTGGGTTACTGTAGCTGGGGTACTGTAGAGGAGAAAATTTGGAGAATTTTGATACCAAATATGCTTCTAAGAAAGTTAATATGAGCAATGCCTCAAAATTTTGGATTTTCTGGTTAAAGGAAGCTTCCCAGTCATATTTTTAACATGAGCAATTCCGGGTTACTGTAGCTTCGGATTACTGTAGTACGTACCTTTAAATAACAGTTCGCACATCAGAATTGAACCACAATTTCAAGGTAGAATAGAAAATCGAAATACCGGAAAACATTTTGCAACATTTTTTTCACGTGATTTTTTTTGGGCGGGAAAATCTGGAGGTCACGCAAAAAATATGGGAAAATTTTGAATTTTTTTCGAAATTTTTCGAAATTTTGACCAAAAATTGATGTCTATCATGAGCAATGCTCTATTTTTGAGGCATTGCTCATGTTAAAAATCAGATAGGATGCCTCCTTTAACAGAAAATAACAAAACTTCAACTATTGCTCATATTAATCATAACCTGTGCAGGTTCTTTAAGAAAATTCATATTTAACATGAGCAATGCCTCAAAAATCGATATTTCTCGCATTGCTCATGTTAAACTCTATCTTGGGGTCTTCCTTTAACCAAAAATGAAAATTTTTGGATAATTGCTCAGATTAGATAGATTGCTCATATTAAACTTTAACTTTAGCACCTCCCTTAACAAAAATATCATTTTTTTCAACCATTGCTCATATTATACTCAAAAAATGCGCATTTTTCCAGATCACCCATCGGGAACCCGTATAATTTTGCCACGTGGCCTGACGGCCTGTATCAGCCCGATTTCGGTGGCCCGAGATCCACGTCATTGGCCGCGGCCCGATGATTTCGATCCGGAAAATTTCGAGTTGGATGCGATTTCGCGCCGAGACCCATTCTCGTATATTCCATTCGCTGCGGGACCCCGAAATTGTATTGGACAAAAATTTGCGATTTTGGAGGAGAAGACTGTGTTGAGCTGGATTTTTAGGTGGGATTTTGGGGGCTTCTGGGCCGATTTTAGGTTTTCCAGGCCGAAAATTTGGATTTCTAGGCCATTTTTAAGCTTCTGAGCTCAAAATTTGGATTTCTAGGCCATTTTTGCTGAAATTCTTGAAAAATTCGATATTTTCAGTCAAAAATCTCGAATTTTTCCAGAAAATTCCACGTGGAAAGTTTGGACACGTTGCGAAATCGTCGACCGATTCCAGAGCTGATTTTGAGACCTGTCGATGGAATTCATGTGAAATTGAAGCGCAGATTTTGAATTTTTGGAAAATAAATCGATTTTGGCGCCAAAAATTACAGTACACCTTCAAGAATAATATAAATTTATTAAAGGAACATACAGTAATTTTCAAAAAAAAATTTTTTTTTTCAAGTAATCACGAATAGGAGCCGTCCATTTCTCCGGACGTACCAAAAAAATGGAAAAAAAATTAAAAAGGGTACTGTAGCTACAGTAGTAAAATTTCAAAAAAAAATAGTACTGTCTACAGTACCCCCGAGGCTTAAAGGAACATACAAAAAAAATAGTTAGGTGACGTCAATTGCAAAAACCCGTGTGCGACGGAAAATGGGCGGGGCGAATTCGAGGTGGATTACTGTAGGGAGTACTGTAGCATAGGTCTTCTTGCGCAAGGAGTACTGTAGGGAAGCATACTGTAGGAGGATTACTGTAGACGTGATGAAAGACGGTGTGTTTTCAAGTAGGATTTTTTCGTGTTGCATGTGATGAGACTCATTTTGTTTTGTTTTGACACCCAGATTGGAGAGTACTGTAGGAGTACTGTAGAAATTTTTGTTGGCTAGAAGAGTACTGTAGGAGTACTGTAGATGACGATTGGAGACTATTTTTTGTTTTCTACACACATTGCGATCTGGAAAAAAACAAGATTTTTGGGGATCAAAAAATTGTGCCAACTACAGTAACCCGGAGGTTTGGAGTACTGTATCTCAAATTTTTCGAGAATTTGGGTACTGTAAGAGATCGGGTTACTGTAGATGAGTATTTGGAAAATTACAGTACCTAGAAATCTGAGCTACAGTAACCTGGAGAAAAATTGTGCCATGAAAGATTCCGAAAATTCTGGTAGCTCAAAAAACTGCAAATTTTTATGGGATTAAAACTACAGTACCCCGGGTTACTGTAGCTCAAAAAAACAAAAATTAGAAGCTACAGTACCCCCTCAAAAAATTGTGCCAAAAATTCTTGTAGATCAAAGTTTTTGCAGGTTACTGTAGCTCAAAAAACTGCAAATTTTCCCGGGTGAAAAAGTACAGTACCCCGCGGGTTACTGTAGCTCTCAAAAAACCCTTTTTAGCTCACCTTTTACATAGTATTTTCCAAAAAAATTCAATTTCTATCTATACATGTATAATAAAATGGGCTATATACAAGTTATAGCAAGTTTGAGTGAGTGCCACGTGGATTTTACATCTGAAAAATCGATTTTTGGGCGAAAAATTGGCCAGAAAACAGGGAAATTATCGATTTTTTAGTCAAAAAATGCGAAAAAATCAAGAAAAATGACGATTTTGGAAGGATGCCAAGAGAAAAAGTGAAAAAATGTTGTTGCCGCCGGCAAAACCCAGAGAGACACACACAGAAAGAAAGCGAAATGAGCTCATCGATCCGCAAAGCGAGAGAGTGTGGCGAGAGGAGAGAGTGCAGAGAAGCGAGAGACGAGTTGGCTGGCGGCCAACAAGGCGAGAGAGTGAGAGACGCAGAGAGACATTTAGCTTGAGGGGGGCGGCGCGGCTGCGCCTTTCTCTTTCTTCTTTCGCTTTGCTATACGAAATGAGAGAGAGAGTAGGGAGAAGTGAGAGAGTGCAGAGAAACGGGGAGAGAGTGTGGAGAGGTGAGAGAGCGCAGAGAATCGTATAGTGTGAGAGAGAAATGCGAATGGAATGAGTCAATAATGTGCACTTTTGGAGAGGGGGTTGGAATTTGATGGGAGGCCTGAGGGGGTTTAGAAGGGCCTAATAGGCCTTATGGGGGCCTTAAAGGGCCTAAGGGGGCCTTAAAGAGCCTTGAAAAGACTTAGAGAGTTTCAAAGGGCTTTAGAGGGTTTAGAAGGACCTTAAAAAGGCCTAAGGGGATTTAAGAGGCTTCAGAGGACCTTAGTAAGCCTTTAAGGGCCTTTAAGATAGTTAGAAAGCCTTAAAGGGCCTTAAAAGGCCTTAGAAGGCCCTTTAGGGGCTTTAGAAGAATAATTGGGCGTTTAAAAGCCTTAGAGAGTCTTAAGGAGCCTTAGAAGGCCTTTATAAGCTCTGGAATGCTTCAAAATTGCCTTAGAGGGCCTGAAAAGGCCTTAGAGAGCCTTAAATGCCTTAGAAAGTCATTGCGACCTTAGAATGCTTTAGGAGACTTCAATCTACCTTAAAATACCTTAGCAAGTTTTTAAAGGTCTCTAAAAGCCTTAAATTTGCCTTAGAAATTCTATAAGGCCTTAAAAAGCCCTTAGAAAATCTGCCACGTGGCAAATTTTATTTCGAAAAAAATCGAAAACACAAACGCGCATGAAACATGTCGAAAAAAAGATGAGGCGAAAAAAAAAGTGAAAACTTTTTTTTTCTCTTTTTTGACATGTGAGGAAAAAAAGGGGCGGAGCCTGGGAATTTTTATTTACCCTGAGTACTGTAGATTCAGAGTACTGTAGAAATTTCGAATCGAAATTCCACTTTTATACATTTTTTGTTGTTGACAAAAGAAAAACAAAAACAACAACAAAAAACTGGTTTTTTTGTTTGTTTGTCACAAAAAAGTGGTACTGTAGATTACTGTAGCTCAAAAATTTGGCGTTTTTTGATATCAAATAAGCCTAGGCGAAAAAATTGTGCCAAAAATTCCGAATTTTTTTGTAGATCAAATTTTTGGCCTCAAAAAAACGCAATTTTTTCCAAATTTTCCCGCCAAAATGTGATCTACAGTACTCCACAACAATATTTATTCAAAAAATTTGGATTAATCAACTTTTTTTTGGTCAGAATCCTCCATTTCCCAATCGCCAAACTCTTTGCAATACAAATGTGTCCAAATCAGAAAAAATCCGGAAATTTCGAAAAAAATCAATATTTTCGCCACTTCCATGTATTTCAGCGGGTCTTGAAGCGAATTTGGGAGAGCTAAAAACAATATTGGGGTTACTGTAGGTTACTGTAGATTTTGGCGCGAAAATTCGCGATTTTTTGAGTCCAAACAAGCCTAAGCATGTTTGGTATCAAAAAATCGCAAATTCCCGTGAAAAATTCAAATTTTCCCGCCAAAAATCTACAGTAACCCCCCGGAAATACCGTACCCTCTTCCTCGTAATCCGCCAAATACCACAGCGAAACGGCGGCTGCCAATTTATACAGTTGAAAAGCGAGTGCAACGGGTGCCACGTGGCCGCGCAGCGCTTTGAAGAATATGAGCAATGTCATTCCGTACGAGACCCATGTGATGAAGTGACGTGTAGAGGAGAAGCTGGTGTCCCTTTAAACAAAAATGTACTGTACATTTATTGGAAGAAAGAAAAAAAACAAAAAAAAAAGCTCGCGCCGGGCGGGGGTCGAACCCGTGACCTTGCGAACAAAAGGCGCGCGCGCTACCGCCTGAGCTATGTGAGACACAGGGAAACACTGTGTTGAATTTGCTTGATTATTTCGGCTCTCACCTGGATACTATGGATTTTTGAACATGCGAATTTTGATAGAGCATCACGGTCATTTGAGCGGCGAGGAGAATTATTAGAATGCTGAAAATGGATACTGTAGTCGAAGAGTACTGTAAATTTGCAAATTTTTGATACCAAATAAGCCTAGGTATCAAAAAACGGCCTAATTTTTAGGCCAGGCCTGAAAAAGCCTGAAAAACTCACCTATTTCCCAGCGGTTTTTCCAAAAACATGATTTTTCGAAAAATGAGTGAAAAATTTATTGATTTTTGCAAAAAATAAAAAAATGTGCCACGTATATACAAAAAACACGTTTTCACGTGGAAAAAAATGGAGAAAAAAATTTGTTTTTTTGAAAATTTGAATTTTCGCGCTGAAAAAAACCCTGGGGTTACTGTAGCCGCTAAATTTAGCGCTAAAAATAGGAAATTCAAATTTTTAAAAAAATTTTGAAAATTCAAATTTTCCCGCTAAAACCACTGGGTTACTGTAACTGTTAAAAATTCGATTTTGAGAAATTTTGAAAATTCAAATTTCCCGCCAGAAACCACTGGGTTACTGTAACTGTTCAAAATTCGATTTTTGAGAAATTTTGAAAATTCAAATTTCCCGCCAGAAACCATAACTACAGTAACCCAAAGTTTTAGCGCTAAAAATAGAAAATTCAAATTTTCAAAAAAAAAAATTTTCAAAAATTCAAATTTCCCGCCAAAAACCATAGCTACAGTACTCCCCAATTTCGGCGCGAAATTCAAATTTTCAACAAATTCGCCAATCGTTCCTCCACTTCTCGTTTCTCCGATTTCAGCTTTTTCAGATTGTGTCTGAAAAAAAATTTGAATTTTTTTTTTGAAATTTTCGCGCCTACCGTAGTACGGCTACCGTACCTGTACTCTTTCGAATCCAACTCGATTTTCCGCGTCAAAATTTTGGTTTCCTCGCGGAGCGCGGAAATCAGGTGAGATTGATCGGCGAGCAATTTTTGAAAATCTGAAGTTCAAAAATTTTTGGCTGAAATTTCAGCTTCTGCTATAATTTTAAGCTTCAATTTCATTCCAGAAATTTTTTTTTTCAAAAATTTGAATTTTCTTTTTTTACCGCTCAAATTTCAGGTTACTGTAGTCGTGGTTTTTGGTGGGAAATTTGAATTTTTGAAAAAAAAATTTGGAAAAATTTTTGAAAATTTGAAGTTTCTATTTTTAGTGCCAAAATTAACAGCTACAGTAACCTCAGTGCTTTTTTCAGCGCGAAAATTTGAATTTTTGAAAAAAAAATTTCGGAAAATTTGAATTTTGTATTTTTTGCGCTAAAATTAGCAGCTACAGTAACCCCAGTGTTTTTTCCAGCGCGAAAATTCAAAATTTCAAAAAACAAATTTTTTTCTCCAATTTTTTCCACGTGAAAACGTGTTTTTTGTATATACGTGGCACATTTTTAAATTTTTTTTGAAAAAATCGAAATTTTGGAAAAACCGCTGGGAAATAGGTGAGTTTTTCGGGCTTTTTCAGGCCTGGCCTCAAAATTAGGCCGTTTTTTGATACCTAGGCTTTACAGTACTCTTGGACTACAGTACCCCTCAAACAATTTTCAGCATTCAATTTAAGCAAATCCCACCTTTCAACTCGGATTTCCCGCCAAAATTCGCCGAATCGCGCGATTTTTCGAGCATTTTCGAGCGGAGTGTCGTTGTTTCATCGATTAGGGCTGAAATTCGAGCCGAGGCTTGGCATTTTTCACGGCGTGTTTCAGCATTTTCAGCCAGCACTTGTCTGAAAATCGAATACTGTAGGATTTTGGCGCCAAATTTTTTGACCTACTTGATGTGCTCTTCGAGCTGTGCTTCGCGTTGAGCACAAATTTCGAGACGAGCTTCGAGCCGTAGAATTTCTTCAGAATTTCGCGATTTTAGGCCTGAAACGTGAATTTTTAGGCGGGGAATTTGGAAAAATTCGAATTCTGCTCGAAATTTGGAGTTTTTTGATATCCAAATTGATCTACAGTACACCTACAGTAATCTTAGGCTTGTGGGATATGAAAAAATCACAAAATTCAAGATTTTAAATCTACAGTACTCCTACAGTAACCCTGGGCTTATTTGGACTTGAAAAAACGCGAATTTGGAAAAAATTCAAGATTTTCGGTGAAAAAATTGAATTACAGTACACCTACAGTAACCCTGGGCTTGTAGACTACTGTAGACGTCAAAAATCCGAAATTTTGTGATATTTTGATATCCTACAAGCCCTGGGTTACTGTAGGGGTACTGTAGATCAATTTTTGCGCGAAAAATTCGAAATTTTAGGTCTCGAAGCGAAACACTTGAATTTTGTGATTTTTTGATATCCCACAAGCCTAGGATTACTGTAGGAGTACTGTAGGTCAATTTTGCCACGTGTCAAAATCCACTCACCTTCAAACTTCGCCTTCCATTCCGCCACCGCCTTCCCATGCGCTTCCGCTTTGCCGCGCGCGGAAAATTCCGCATCGCGCGCATTCCGCACCTCCTCCTCGAGCTCCGCGATTTTCTGCCTCGCCGTCTGCGTCTCCACGGCTCGCTCAATCTCTCGCGATTTTGCGGCGAGGCATTCGCGCTCCAGCGCAAATTCCAACTCGGCGAGTTTCAAACGTTGCTCCACGATTACGGTGGGCTCTTCGGGGATTTTTGGCGGCAAAACTTGCTCTTGGGGTACTGTAGGTACTGTAGATGTTGAGAGTTTCTCAATTTCCAGGTCCTGAATGGAAAATCTTAAAGGTACATACAGTAATCTCAAATTTTTTGGCACATAGCCATGTTTGGTCTCAAAAAATCGCAAATTCTCACCTTCTGTCTACAGTACTCTTGCATTACAGTAATCTCCTTCCTACAGTACTCCAATTGCAGTTCGAGATGTTCGATGACGTCATCCTGTTTGGCCAATAGCTCCAAAATCTCATCTTTATCCGGCGTTTGAGCCATTGCTCAGCCTAAAAGGCCGGGGTTGTTTTAGGGGGCCGAGTTGGGCTTTTAGGCCTGTTTCAGGCCCAAAATTGGGCTTTTCAGGCCCGCACAACACAACACCCAGCCAAAAATTGGAAAAGCGATCGAAAAACGCTTGAAAACTCAGAAAATTCGAAAAATTTCAGAAAAATCGATAATTTTACACATATCACAACAAAAATAGTATAAATTAGGGGCGAATTTTAGGCCTGAATCTAGGCCCAGTTCAGGCCCGATTTCAGGCCTGAATCTAGGCCCGAAAAGGCCCAAAAACAGGCCTAAAACAGACGGGATTTTCAGACAAATAAAAGTGAAATTTCTAAATTATAATACACATGAAAATGGGGCGCGAAAAGTTGAAATTCAAAAAAAAATTTCGGAAAAAAATTAATTTTAGGACGAAAAATATGATGCGAGCAATGTTGGGGAGATGAGAGATGAAATCTGGAAAAATTGGGCTTTTTAGGCCTAGTTTAGGCTTTATAGGCCTTAGGGGGGGTTAGGTACTTTTTAGGCAAATTTTATGATGAAAATTGAGATTTTTAGGTACTTTTAGGCCTAGTTTAGGCTTGGTAAGACTTAGGCTGGGTTTAGGTACTTTAAGGCAAATTTTATGATGAAAATTGAGATTTTTAGGCCTAGTTTAGGCTTGGCCTACTTTTAGGCCTAACTTAGGCTAATTCCAAGATTCCAGACTGAAATTTTGTGCTAAAAACGCTGAAAATGTTGGAAATTGCTGAAATTCATGGTTTTTGCTGAAAATCACGATTTCCAGCATTTTCAGCACAAAAATTCGAATTTCAGGTAATTTTTTTTATCAAAAACATGATTTTTAGCTCGTTTTTCATGAAAAACTCAAATTTCGGGTCATTTTCATCAAAAATCATGATTTTTGGCCAGAAAACATGATTTTTAGGTCATTTTTTCCCGAATTTTTCAATTTTTCCCAAATTTCTCACCTAAGCCTGACTCAAATGCTTCAATCCGCTCAAAAGTGTCTTCAGTCGGCTCAAATCGCGTCCGGACTTGGATTTTTGTTGCTCGACAAGCTTGTTGACACTTTCCCATTGAGCCTCGCCGTCTTGTTGTTTGGCGAACAATTCTTGGGTGGATTGCTCGTTTTTTCTGCAAAAATTTGGAATTTTAGGTGGATTTTGATGGGAAATTTGAATTTTTCATAAAATTTGGAGATTTTTTGAGTCCAAATTTGCCACGTGGCATTAGAAATCTAAAAAAATCGGTTTTTTGACCTTAGAAGCTTGAAAACTGCCTTAGACCCTTAACTTCGACCTTAGGAGCTTTAAAATTACCTAAAAATCATATTTTTGACCTTAGAAGCTTAAAAATTGCCTTAGAACCTTAATATTGACCTTAGGAGCTTCAAAATGCCCTAAAGCTCGGTTTTATGAGCTTAGGAGCTTAAAAATGACCTAAAAATCGGATTTTTGAGCTTAGGAGCTTAAAAATTGCCTAAAAAGCATATTTTTGACCTTAGGAACTTAGAAGTTGCTTAAAAATCGAATTTTTCTACCTTAGGAGCTTAAAAATGACCCAAAGACCGTAATATTGAGGTTACGAGCTTGAAAATGCTCCCAAATCAATAAAAATTTTGAAAAATCAATTTTGACGTGTACTTATGACGTGGCAAATACAAAAATTGATTTCTGTGAATTTGAAAAATCATTTTTCAATTTCGAAAACGTGGAAAATTTGAGTATTACAGAAAAAGGCTTGAAAATGATCTAGAAATTCAAAATTTTCAGAAAAATGTGAATTTCAGGTCATTTTTGTCCAGGAAACAAGATTTTTGGCCAGAAAACATGATTTCTAGCTCATTTTTCATAAAAAACATGGATTTCTGACCAGGATACATGATTTTTGGACAGAAAACACGTTTTCTGGCCAGAAAAAAATGAAATTTGTCCAGAAAACATGAAATTTGGCCAGAAAACATGATTTTTGTCCGGAAAACTTGATTTCTAGCTCATTTTTCATCAGAAAACATGATTTTCGTCCAGAAAACTCGAATTTTGGCCAGAAAACTCGAATTTTGGCCAGAAAACAAGATTTTTGTCCAGAAAACATGATTTTCAAGATAAAAACATGATTTCTGACCAGAAAACATGATTTTTGTCCAGAAAACTTGATTTCTAGCTCATTTTTCATCAAAAATGTGCATTTTGGGTAATTTTTCATCACAATTATAAGTTTTAGGTCATTTTCAAGCTAAGAACATGAAAATTAGCCAGAAAACAAGATTTTTGGCCAGGAAACAAGATTTTTGGACAGAAAACAAGATTTTTGGCCAGAAAACTTGTTTTTGTCCAGGAAACTTGATTTCTAGCTCAATTTTCATCAAAAATCTGAATTTTGATTCAATTTTCATGAAAAATCTCAAAATTTAGCTCATTTGCAAGCTAAGAACGTGAAATTTGGCAAGAAAACTTGATTTTTGTTTAGAAAACATGAATTTTGGCCAGAAAACTTGATTTTCAAGCTAAAAAACATGATTTTTGTTCAGAAAACAAGATTTTTGGACAGGAAACTTGATTTTCAAGCTAAAAACATGATTTTTGGCCAGGAAACATGATTTCTAGCTCATTTTTCATGAAAAATCTCAAAATTTAGGTCATTTTCACCCTGAAAATCCGAATTTCAGCAAATTTCCCATCTAAAAAACCCACAAATTCTCCGAATGCGCCAATTTCAACGTCTGCTCCCGTTGCTTATACCAATCATCCAACTCTTTTCTCGCCTGCGCCTTTAATTCCTCTTTCCGCTTCTCTTCCGCCGCGTCTTTTTGCTCCAAAACGCGTTGTTGATTCTCCTTCCACACGCGGATTTTTTCCGCCTCGATACGCGGAAAAACCGGCGACGGTCCGGAGCTGATTGAGCCCGTTCCGTTTTGAGCTGCACCGTTCAAAATTGGCGCGTTGTTTTCCGCGTCCGCTTCCGCAACCAGACCGTCTAGATCTACACCCGAATCGATTGGTGCGATTTGAACCGGCGCTGCTGCTGCTGGATTTTCAGCCGCTTGAAGATCGCCGAAATCGTCGGCGAGATCATCTACTGGATCTTGAGCAACGGCTGGAGCTTCTGAAAATTTGATTTTTGCTGAAATTTCAGGATTTTCAGTGAAGATTTGAGGATTTTTGATGAATTTTCCAGGTTTTCAGGCATTTTTAGTGGAAAATTGAGTCCTGGAGCATATTTTCATGATTTTCTGGCTCCTGGAGCGAAAAACTCATGAAAATTCACTCCAGGACCATTAAAATCATAAAAAATCGCTTCAGCGACCGAAAAATGATGGTTTTCTGGCTCCTGGAGCATATTTTTATGATTTCCCGGGTCCTGGAGCGAAAAACCGATGAAAATTCACTCCAGGAGCCGAAAAATTATGAAAATTCAATTCAGGACCATTAAAATCATAAAAATTCGCTCCAGGAGCCGAAAAATGATAATTTTCAAGCTTCTGGAGCATAAATTCATGATTTTCGAGGTCCTGGAGCGAAATCTTATGATTGTCAAGCTTCTGGAGCATATTTTCATGATTTCTCGGGTCCTGAAGCGAAAAACTCAGGAAAATTCGCTTCAGGACCTATAAAATCATGAAAATTCTCTCCAGGAGCCGAAAATTTATGAATTTCCGGCTCCTGGAGCTAAATTTCATGATTTTCAAGGTCCTGGAGCGAAAAACTCATGAAAATTCGCTCCAGGAGCCGAAAAATGATGATTTTTCAGCTTCTCGATCACATTTTCATGATTTTCTTGGTCTCGGAGCCTATTTTCATGATTTTCAAGGTCCTGGAGCGAAAAACTCATGAAAATTTGCTCCAGGAGCCTAACAATGATGATTGTCAAGCTTCTGGAGCATATTTTCATGATTTTCCAGCTTCTGGAGCATATTTTCATGATTTTCTTGGTCTTGGAGCGAAAAACTCATGAAAATTCGTTCCAGGACCATTAAAATCATAAAAATTCGCTTCAGGAGCCAAAAAATGATGATTTTTCAGCTTCTGGATCATATTTTCATGATTTTCCAGCTTCTGGAGCAAATTTTCATGATTTTCTGGCTTCTGTGGCGAATTTTCATGATTTTCTGGCTCCTGGAGCAAATTTTCACGATTTTCTGGCTCCTGAAGTGAAAAACTGATGAAAATTCGTTCCAGGACCATTAAAATCATAAAAATTCGCTCCAGGAGCCGAAAAATGATGATTTTCAAGCTTCTGGAGCATAATTTCATGATTTTCAAGCTTCTGGAGCATATTTTCATGATTTTCAAGCTTCTGGAGCATATTTTCATGATTTTCAAGGTCCTGAAGCGAAATTGTATGATTTTATGGCTCCAGGACCTTCAAAATCATCAAAAATCGATTCAGTACTTTTAAAATCACAAATTTTCGCTTCAGGACCATCAAAAGCATGTTTTCCAAGCGTCCCAACAACCCAAAAACTCAATTTCCCCTAAAAAATGGCAAAATTTTACCTTGTGGCGGTGCTCCGTCAAAATCGGCAAACATATTTTGCTCGCGAGCCAAAAAATCGGCAACCGGGTCTGACATACTTGGCCTAAATCACAGAAAATCAATTTCTTAGCTAAAAATGATGATTAATTGTAAGAAGAGGGACGAAAAATCAATAAAAACCGGCTTTTTCCTGTTTATGTACATGAAAATGGGAAAGAGGACAGATGGAAGAAGAGCCGCGACGCATGACCGCAACGCGTCACTATTTCAAAATAAGTACACCCTTCTATTTAGAAGGCAGTGTTAATTTAGAAAATCCTGTTCTGTTCTGTTTTCAAACAAAATAAAAAAATTTCGTCGCGGGATTTTCGTTTTTGAAAAAAACGTCATCCTCCGCTGCAAGACACACGCGGAATTTTGTGTGCGCCTTTAAAAATACCGTAGTTATTTTTTGTGAAAAATTTTATTTTTTGAGCAAACTTTTATTTTTCAAAGAAAAACGAGAAAACAGCGAGATCTGAATGAAAACAAAACATACAAAGGCACAATGTACACGGAATTTTGACCCTAAACAATTTTTCCATGTGGAAAAATCAGAAGATAATGAAGAAAAATCGTATTTTTGTTGTCAAACATGCGAAATTGGTGGGCATGTTTTTGGCATCAAAATTGCGATTTCATAAGGTGGCGGTGGTTCGGAGGGTCGTCCACAGATCCACATATCTGAAGCGATAGCCTCGCTCATCATGGATTCTGCAAAAAAATTTGAAAATTCAAATTTTCCCGCCGAAAACTGCGGGCGGGAAAATTGATTATTTTCCCAAAACCTCATCAAATTGGGCCTCAAAATGCTCTAAATTTTGCGGCGCATCTTTTTGCGCTAAAATCTAACCTCCATTCGCCGCCGAACTCGAGCCATGATCCCTGTCGATGTATTGCGAGTAGATTCGACAGCCGAAGGTCAGCACGAAGACCACGAAGAATATCCCGATTGTTACACCAGCCGCCACGCCGCTACTCACATTTACGTGCTCTGCAAAAATTTTGAAAATTTGAATTTGGCGGGGAAATGTGCGATAGAGCATGTTTGCTATACAGTGCGTTTCATAATGATAGGTTCACCCCCAAAATTTCTGAAATCAGCCGAGGTGTGAGTTGTAATAACAATCCGAGTTAAAAATAAAAAAGAGCACACAAAATTAGCTAAGAAAACTCAATTTTATCTGAAACTACCAAATAATAAAAAAATAAATGACCGGAGTTCAAAAATTTCAAAAATTTAGCGTTTCAAAACGATAGGTTCACCTAATCCAGAATTCCCATTGGAGACATATAATCGAAAATCAATACTTAGTTGGACCTCCATGTTTAGAAATGACATCATAGAGACGATTTGGCATCGAGTCAACAAGTCTCTTGAGGTAGTTCTTATCGATTTTATTCCATTCCGTCTCGATGGCATCTTTGAGTTGGTCCACAGTATCATATTTTTTCCTTGAGCATAAACTCGGCGAACGAGCTCCCCCCATACGTTTTCCATCGGATTAAGATCAGGAGAACACGCTGGCCAATCCAAAACTTTGATTTTGTGGCTTTTGAACCAATCTTTTGATGATTGGCTGACGTGGATGGCAGCATTATCCTGTTGAAAAGTGAACATTCTGGTCCGGAACCGCCTCAAATATGGCAAAAGATAGTCATGGAGGGTTTTTTGGTAATCTAACGAATCCATCTTGAATGAAACAAAAGCTATTTTTAACGTTCCAGCTGCAGAAAATGCGCCCCAACACATAACCCGTCCTCCTCCAAAATTTCTCTTTGGGAAGCGAAGTTGATCCTTTCTGATATCATGCCAGTATGAGTTGTAACCATCCGGACCATCAAGATTAAACTTTTTTTCGTCAGAAAAAATTATCTGAACAAGAAAACATCAATATTTGATGTTTTTAGAAAAATTACTTACCTTATCCCAATCTGTGGCCATGTTGGCTTTTGCGAAAGTAAGACGGTTGTCTTTGTGGCGAAGTGTGAGACGCGGAGCTGGCACCAATTTGGCTCGAACGATTTCTGGGGATTGGTCTATGGCTCTCCAAACTGTAGTCTTACTGATATTCAAACCCAGCTCGTTTTTGATGTCATTACACGATTTCATTGTGTTCGAAGCCAACCTAACAATCCCTCGTTTATCTCTCTCCGTGAGTTTTTTGGGAGCTCCAGTGTTTTTCATTCGCTCATAGTGATCCGGATTGTTGACAAATTGATTAATACAGTTGAGAGATCGTTTCAATTTTGACGAAATCATTCTATTGGACCATCCGGCGATTTTGAATGCTCTAATTTGAGCTTGTTCCTCTTTTGTAAGATGACTTCCCCGCGACATTGATGAATGACGTGAAAAAACGAGAACAAAAACAGAAACACGTTAAAATAATCAAATATCACTCGTATTTTCCAGAATATTCGATAAAACTCCTACCACGAAACATAACTACAGTACTACTGCGGGTGAACCTATCGTTTTGAAACGCTAAATTTTTTGAAATTTTTGAACTCCGGTCATTTATTTTTTTATTATTTGGTAGTTTCAGATAAAATTGAGTTTTCTTAGCTAATTTTGTGTGCTCTTTTTTATTTTTAACTCGGATTGTTATTACAACTCACACCTCGGCTGATTTCAGAAATTTTGGGGGTGAACCTATCATTATGAAACGCACTGTAGTTTAGGCTGGGAAAATGGTTATTTTTAGCCTAAAAAGCATTCCTGGGGCAGATTTTGACGCTAAAATCGCTCCTGGGGCAAGTTTTAACGAAGAATCACGTGAAAATATCGATTTTTCAAGAAATTTCACCCTGGGGACCATAAAATGACTCACTATCATAATGCTCATTAACATAGTATCGATCCCACGTCACCGATCGATAATTGAAATTCACCGCATTCTGTTGTTGCTGATTATTGTTGTAGGGCCAAAGGGCTTGCATATCTGGGCCCCAATTTTCGAATTTCGCGCCGGAAAATGGCGATTTTGAGTGGTGGGAAACTGAAAAATTTGAATTTTTGGGGGGAAATGACCTAAAATTCGAATTTTTGATGAAAATTGATAAGTTAAGTTAACTTTCAAGTTTTTCCGATGAAAAAAAATCAATTTTTATCAATCAAAAGACATTTTTTGAAAAATGAAAAAAAAAATTTCGAAAACACAAAATTTTTTTGTTTGTTTTGACCTAATTGACCTTCTTTAATTACGGAAGTTTTTTTTTTTTGAAAAAAAAAACTTTTTTTTACAGAGTTAGAGAGTGTGGGAAAATGAGAGAGCGCAGAGAATTTTTCAAATTTTCAGGAGATTTTCAGCAAAAATGAATTTTTCTCGAAAAAAAAGTCTGATTGCTCAGATTAGTGGGGAATTAGCTCAGGATTAGTTGGAATACGTCAAATTTGACTCACTTTTTTCTGTGAGCTCTAAAAATACACGCCACGTGGCATTTTTGGCGGAAAATTTGAAAAAAATTCCGATTTTCTCGAATTTCCAAGGTCAAAAAATGTGTGGGTTTCACTTTTTTCAAAAAATTTTCGGTTTCAACAAAATCCCATAATTGCCGTTTGCAAAAATGTTTTTTTGGCAAAAATTTTCCAAAAATTTTTTCACTCACCAAAATCAGACATTTCTTCTTTTTTTTGCTTATCACGAAAAAATTTCAGAAAAAAAATTTTCAGAAAAATTTTTTCAGCAGCCGAAAAATAACTGGTTTTGTGTTGGGCAAATGACCTCTCGAAATTTTTTGTTACAAAAAAATTACAAAAAATTAAATTAAGAATTAAATTTGGAACATTAGAGGTTAAGGGTCTTAATAGGGCCTTAACTTAAGGCTAGGCCTAAAAATCAGGCTTGTTTTTGGACAGCCTAAAATTAACCCAGCCTAAAAATAACCTTTAAAAAATTTTTGAGGGGCCTAAAATCAGCCTAGGAAATTTTTGACCAGCCTGAATTCAAGATGCCTAAGCCTAAGCCTAAAAAAATATTTTGACAAGCCTAACTTTTTCAGAAAAAATCAAAAATGAAAAACCGAAAATGATCGGGGCATTTTTTTTTCAAAAAAAAAAAATTGAAGGTCATTTTTTTCGCTTTTGTTTCCGAGGTCACATTGGGTCATTTTGGGCGGAAGGAAAAATCTTGAAAAATGATCTAAAAAGTTTTTTTCAGGCCTTCTAGGCTTCTAGGCTGATTTTGGGCCTGTCAAAACCATATTTTTAGCTTTCTACAGGTCCATTATACTATTCTAGACCTAAAAATTCAGGGAATTTTTTATTTTTGAAAAAAAATGTGAAAATTTTCCGAAAATAAAATACAAAATTCCATGGGTTGTAAGAAAAACAAATAAATAATAATGATAATGGTAAAACACGTTTTTTTGGGCGCGAAAATTTGAAAAATTCCCAAGAAAACTGAAATTTCAGCAAAATTTTTCGGGGCATGTCAAGAAAAAAGCGATCATGATGAAAGTAGTACCTATTGTTAACAAAATGCCGTGTATACGTTTTTTTGAAAAAAAAAGTTGACCTTGAAATTTTCTCGACGATTGTTTGTGTTTGTTTGCATTGTTGTATTGGGGTTAACAGAGGTTTTTTGGGCTGAAATTTTGCGCTGGAAGTGCTGGAAATCATAGTTTTCCGCGATTTTGAGTATTTTCAGCGTTTTCAGCGCAAAATTTTGGTCTAGAAGCTTCATGTGACTTTTTTTTGTTGATCAAGTTATAGTGCAGTTATGTAAAAAAAAATCAATACATAAGTAGAAGTTCCTAGACTGAAATTTTGCGCTGAAAATGCTGGAAATCATAGTTTTCAGCGATTTTGAGTATTTTCAGCGTTTTCAGCGCAAAATTTTGGTCTAGAAGCTTCATGTGACTTTTTTTTGTTGATCAAGTTATAGTGCAGTTATGTAAAAAAAAATCAATACATAAGTAGAAGTTCCTAGACTGAAATTTTGCGCTGAAAATGCTGGAAATCATAGTTTTCAGTGATTTCGATGATTTTCAGCGTTTTCAGCGCAAAATTTTGGTCTAGAAGCTTCTTGAGACTTTTTGTTGGTCAAGGTATACTTAAGGTATATTAACTTCAAGAAATAGGTTTGTAAAAGTTCCTGGGCTAAAATTTTGCGCTGGAAGTGCTGGAAATCATGATTTTCAACGACTCCGACAATTTTCAGCGTTTTCAGCGCAAAATTTGGGCCCAGATTTGTTTTTGAAGTGAACTTGTTGGTTATTGAATACTCAAGTTATGTGAATCTCAAAAAGCCTATTTAATATATGTTTCTAGACTCAAATTTTGCGCTGAAAACGCTGAAAATCATGGTTTTCAACGACTCGGGTTGTTTCCAGCACCTACAGCGCAGAATTTCAGTCAGGAACTATGTTTGAAGAAAGATTTTTGGTCAAGGCACACTTAACTTATGAAAACTTCAAGATATAAAGTTTCTATATTGAAATTTTGCGCTGAAAATCATGGTACTTTCCTTATATTCCTTTCTCAAACTTTGGCTTCCATCATCATCAACTTTTGCAAATTCTTTTTGTGATGATGATTAATGGGATAAATAAATCATTTATTATAAATGTGACGAATCAAATGGGCAATTGTGTTGTTTTTTTAAATAAATTTTTGAAACGTACATTTTCCACCCAGATATTTTTGGATGATATTTTCTGTTTTTTTCAGAATTTCTGAGGGGATTACTGTAGAGTACACGTTGCAAAATTAAAGCTAAACATTTCAGATATCAATATTTATGCTGAAAATCACACACATTTATAACCCTGTCCAATATAATCGGATTTCGTGAAATCCGACTGAATAATCGAGTCACATTTGATGTAATGTTTATCGAAAAGATACGATAACTTTCGGGATATTCGAGATTTCAAATTTCTCGCAAATTCTGGATCCATCGAATTTTCGGAGAATGGCGAGTATAAATCGACCCAATTTGCACCAATATGAGTGGCCGAAACCAGGCGATAATGTCTGAAAATTTGGAGCATTTTTACACTAAATAAGGCCCTAACCTTACCTAAAATACCCAATAGTGCTATTAAAATGCATAATTCGTTTCGTCGGCGAAATTCTCCATGGAAAATGAAAAAATGGTACATGAGCGTATTGATGTTGATAGATACACTTCAAATTGATCCACATCGGTCGCGATTGAACACGGTATTTTTCGAAGAATCGCTCTTCTTGGCTCAGAATTCCGGGATCTTCGACTTTTATTCGAGCAACTTGAAAAGTTAGGCCAACTATTTCCGGGGAAACGGGAAGATTTTCGAGGAATTTCGGGAGATTTGTGGGACTTTTCATGAAAAATCGCTCGTCAATGTCCAGGTTTATAACCCATTTTGAATGCATTCGACTGCGATAATAGCAATCCTGAAATTAATTTTTTTCAAATTTTGTGCTGGAAACAGTGAGAGCCTCTGAAAACCAAGATTTCCAGCATTTTCAGCGCGAAATTTCAGTCTAGAAAGCTTCACTTATGAAGTTTTTATAACTTAAGTGTACCTTGAGCAAAAACATTGCTTCAAAAAAGCTTCCAGACCCAATTTTTGTGCTGGAAACACTGAAAATCATTAAAACCTTTGAAAACCAAGATTTCCAGCATTTTCAGCGCGAAATTTCAGTCTAGAAAGCTTCACTTATGAAGTTTTTATAACTTAAGTGTACCTTGACCAAAAACGAAGCTTCAAAAAAGCTTCCAGCCCCAATTTTTGTGCTGGAAATGCTGGAAATCATTAAAACCTTTGAGAATCACGATTTCCAGCATTTTCAGCGCAAAATTTCAGTCTATAAACATCTTTTTACATTAATAATCATGTTTGGTATCAAATTAACCCATTTTCTCCGCAAATTCTTTTTTCAAACTTACGGCAACTTGAATCGGATGAAAATCAAAAGTGATTTGGCTAAATTCCAGATTCACATACGTGGCTTCCATCAATCCCAGCCGCTGATATTCCCAAACCACACGATCCAAAGGTTCGTCAGCATCAAAAATCGTTAGGTAGAACATTGTGGCTCCCTGGAAATGTAGAGAACTTAGGCTAACTATGTATGTCGAGCTAAACTAGAATCTAGTCTGAACCCACCATCATTCGATGATGCTCCACACTCTCCACAATATCCACAAATCTCGTCTCATTCCCATAAACCTGTCCGGCACACACACCAATCAAGTGCGGCGGTTGCGTCGCGGTTCGATCGATAATCTGAATCGGGTCTCGTACCGACGCATCCTCGCCGGCTACGGTAATCGAGATGAATTCGGCGCCGAATTTTCGTACGCAACGTACTGCGGAAATCGGGTAGATACGGGAATCGTAGGAACCGATGTGATTGTGATTGCAGTCGAAGTATTGACAGGTGACTGCGAGACTGCGAAGTAATCATTTACATCAGGCTAACCAAGTTTCTAGACCTAATTTTAGCGCTGAAAACGCTGAAAACCATGATTTCCAGCATTTTCAGCGCAAAATTTCAGTCTAGAAACTTTATTTCTTGAGATTTTTATAATTTAAGTCTGCCTTGACCAAAAATATTGCTTCAAACATATTTCCTGACTGAAATTCGGCGCTGAAAATGCTGGAAACAACCAGAATCGCTGAAAACCATGATTTCCAGCATTTTCAGCGCATAATGTTAGTCTAGAAACATATATTAAATAGGTTTTTCGAGATTCACATAAATTGAGTATTCAATAACCAACAAGTTCACTTCAAAAACAAATCTGGGCCCAAATTTTGCTCTGAAAATGCTGGAAACAACCAGAATCGCTGAAAACCATGATTTCCAGCATTTTCAGCGCAAAATTTTCGGTCTAGAAACATTTATTAAATAGGTTTCTTGTTTTTTTTTATAATTTATGCCTATCTTGATTAAAACTACAAGCTTCCAAGAAGCTTCCTGACCCAAATTTTGCGCTGGAAGTTCTGAAAATAACCAGAATCGCTGAAAACCATGATTTCCAGCGTTTTCAGCGCCAAATTTTAGTCTAGAAACATCAAAAACTGTATCTGTATCTGGTATCAAAATAACTCAATTTTTTTCGCTTCAAAAATCTACCAACCTACTATTTTCCCTTCCATACATACTAAAAACCACCGCCACAAAATCCGAATACACAAAAGCCGAAATTAGCCGAAGTTCTCCATATCTCATAGTAATCATATCATTAATAACATTCTGCTTTCTCCATCTCTCATGCAAATGTTGATCTGGGAGTAATCGCGTAGTCACGTTGTTTTTGGCGCCGATTTGACACGTGTTGATGGTGTCGTTGATGGTGGCGATGCTTAGATCTTCGGAATTAGTGCGATTCAGCAGCTCGATGTAGTGTTCCAGATTTTTCGGATGGCTTTCGGGCGTTTTTCGACTGGCTGAAAAAATTTTGAATTTCAAAAATTCAATTATTTCTCTCAAACCTGTGTCCATCCTCATATCATCCTCAGTCTTCCCACTTTCCACAAAAACTTTATCATTTTCAGATTTGGCAGCTGCAAAAACAAAATTCAACCCGAAATTAGATTTTCAACCGAAAATACCTGTCTCAGAATTTGTGACATTCAGGGTTTTCAAGAAAATTATGAAAAAAACCACAAATAGCATTGTATAAGATTTCATTAAGGGGATTTCGCGATTTTTTGGTCGAGAAAAACAGTTTTCGATTTCATTTTTGAGATTAGAATCTAAAATTGTCTTTTGTTAACTAGTTTAATTGGAAAATTCTGAGATTTAATAGGAAATTTGGGGAAAAAGTTGGAAATTTGAGGGGGGATAGAAAAATACTCAATTTTTTAGGGGGTTGAGTTAAAAAGCAGACCACCGTGGTCTGCAAATTAACTTTGCACGCTTTTTTGAATTAAAAAGCAGACCACCGTGGTCTGCAAATTAACTTTGCATGGTGTGTTGAGTTAAAAAGCAGACCACCGTGGGCTGCAAATTAACTTTGCACGCCTTTTTGAATTAAAAAGCAGACCACCGTGGTCTGCAAATTAACTTTGCATGGTGTGTTGAGTTAAAAAGCAGACCACCGTGGTCTGCAAATTAACTTTGCATGGTGTGTTGAGTTAAAAAGCAGACCACCGTGGTCTGCAAATTAACTTTGCATGGGGGTTTAAGTTAAAAAGCAGACCACCGTGGTCTGCAAATTAACTTTGCATGGGGGTTTAAGTTAAAAAGCAGACCACCGTGGTCTGCAAATTAACTTTGCATGGTGTGTTGAGTTAAAAAGCAGACCACCGTGGTCTGCAAATTAACTTTGCATGGGGGTTTAAGTTAAAAAGCAGACCACCGTGGTCTGCAAATTAACTTTGCATGGTGTGTTGAGTTAAAAAGCAGACCACCGTGGTCTGCAAATTAACTTTGCACGCCTTTTTGAATTAAAAAGCAGACCACCGTGGTCTGGAAATTAACTTTGCATGGTGGGTTGAGTTAAAAAGCAGACCACCGTGGTCTGCAAATTAACTTTGCATGGTGTGTTGAGTTAAAAAGCAGACCACCGTGGTCTGCAAATTAACTTTGCATGGTGGGTTGAGTTAAAAAGCAGACCACCGTGGTCTGCAAATTAACTTTGCACGCCTTTTTGAATTAAAAAGCAGACCACCGTGGTCTGGAAATTAACTTTGCATGGTGGGTTGAGTTAAAAAGCAGACCACCGTGGTCTGCAAATTAACTTTGCATGGTGGGTTGAGTTAAAAAGCAGACCACCGTGGTCTGCAAATTAACTTTGCATGGGGGTTTAAGTTAAAAGCAGACCACCGTGGTCTGCAAATTAACTTTGCACGCCTTTTTGAATTAAAAAGCAGACCACCGTGGTCTGCAAATTAACTTTGCATGGTGTGTTGAGTTAAAAAGCAGACCACCGTGGTCTGCAAATTAACTTTGCATGGTGGGTTGAGTTAAAAAGCAGACCACCGTGGTCTGCAAATTAACTTTGCATGGTGTGTTGAGTTAAAAAGCAGACCACCGTGGTCTGCAAATTAACTTTGCATGGGGGTTTAAGTTAAAAAGCAGACCACCGTGGTCTGCAAATTAACTTTGCACGCCTTTTTGAATTAAAAAGCAGACCACCGTGGTCTGGAAATTAACTTTGCATGGTGGGTTGAGTTAAAAAGCAGACCACCGTGGTCTGCAAATTAACTTTGCATGGTGGGTTGAGTTAAAAAGCAGACCACCGTGGTCTGCAAATTAACTTTGCATGGTGTGTTGAGTTAAAAAGCAGACCACCGTGGTCTGCAATTTAACTTTTCACGCTTTTTTGAGTTAAAAAGCAGACCACCGTGGTCTGCAAATTAACTTTTTTTTTGATTTTTCGGAACAATACAAAATAAAACTGACAAAATAAAAACGGAGGAGAAAAAATGAAGAATTGAGCAGAGTTTCGAGCAAATCTGAAAAAAATGTTGATTTTTGTGAAAGTTTCAGGATTTTTCGGCTGAAAATCACAGAAAATTTAGAAACTCACAAAGCATAAACCAAAAATTGCGAATTTTCTGAATTTTCACAAAAAAATTACCAGAAAACAGAAAATGAAAATGATTTTTATTCATCCCAAAACAATGAAACACGGATTTTTGAAACGTGACATTGTTTCGATGAAATAATGATAAAGATCTTACCTATTCCACATTTTTGGGGCTATAAAAAAGGCGGCTCAATGAACATCACTTTATTTTCTTCAGGCTCAGGCTCGTCAGGCTCGTCAGGCTTCTTCCAATTGTCAGGCTTGTGATTATTCTACATTTTGGTATGAGTGAAAATTCGAGGTAAGAGAAAAGAAAGGAACAGAGTAATTTATTGAAGTATATATTCTTTCAGCGCAACTCATTGCAAACCCATAGTAGTTTGCAAGCACTCGTGTTCCTATCATCATCCTGAACCGACTCCAACTATCATTTTTAGTGGGGAAAAAGAATCAGCTCAATCCACAATCATAAAAATATGCAAACACGAATGTCACTATCACCATCCACAAGCCACACCGACGATCATCATTATTGGTGTTGAAAAACAAGAAGAAGAGGAAAAAATCAAATTGAAGAAAACAAATGGAACCATTCGAATTCATGAAAAGAAGCAAAAAAATCCAGAATCTTCAGACGCCGAATCTTCAACATACGCATCGTCCATGAGCGAAAAAAAGAAGAAAAATAAAGAAGCAAGAAAGAAGCGAGATAGAAAGAATTGATTTGAAAGAAAAATAAAGATTTGTGTATCGTCCACGTCCACTCAGCGGAAATATTTCCAATATTTTTGAAACGTACATTTTCCACCCGGATATTTTTGGATAATATTTTCTGATTTTGTCAGAATTTTTGAGGGGATTACTGTAGAGTACACGTGGCAAAATTAAAGCTAAAAATTTCAGATATTTTCAGCCATTTATTGTGGCTGAAAATTTTTTCGCAAACGTTTTTTTCTTGATCAAATTTCCAGAAAAAAATTCAAAAACATTTCCTGACTCAAATTTTGTGCTGAATATAATGAAAATATCGATTGTCAGCTATTATAAATTTTTCCAGCATTTTCAGCACCAAATTTGGATCAGAAAATGATTTTGAAGTGAAGGTTTTGGTCAAGGGGGTTATTTTCAAGAATTTAATCAGATCAACATTCTAGACTTAAATTTTCTGCTGAAAACGCTGGAATCATTGATTTTCAGAAATTTAAAGTAATTTCAGCATTTTCAGCACAAAATTTGAGCCAGGAAATGTTTTTGAACTTTTTTCTGGAAAAATTGATCAACAAAAAAAAAGTTTGTGATAAACATTTTCAGCCCCAAAAAATGGCTGAAAATATCTGAAATTTTAAACTTTCATTTTGTCACGTGTACTCTACAGTAATCCCCTCAAAAATTCTGAAAAAATCAGAAAATATTATCCAAAAAAATCCGGGTGGAAAATGTACGTTTCAAAAAAAATTGGAAAGAAATCCGGAGAGGTGCAAAAATCGTTCAGAGCTGTTTCCTCCTCTTCTTGTTTATGTTCAACACCTACTATTATTATTTTCGGTGATTCTTGCGGATGATGATAGTGGCAAACATGTTTACATATCAGAATAACTTTTTTGGAATTATCACTGAAAGAATATATACTTCAATTAATTACTCTGTTCCTTTCTTTTCTCTTACCTCGAATTTTCAGTAATATCAAAATGTAGAATAATCACAAGCCTGACGATTGGAAGAAGCCTGACTGAGTCAGGACGGGCTGGCTTAGACTGGACGAGAAATTGCAACACCAATTTTGCCGAAATATTTCGATTTGTCTTCGTTGATGTTGGTTTTTGATTTGAATGTCCATCAAAATTTTGAACATTCTGCAAAGAAATCGGCTTATTTTGAGTCGAAAATTCTCTAATCTACCTTAGGGACCTTCCTAACTACTTTTGGAACCTAAACGGGTTTCATAAGGGAGTACAGGTCAACTTGAGCTCCCTAATCTTTCCCTAAACTCACTTCGAAGTTCTCGACAATCCATTTTTTTTGAGTTCGTTTTTTGAATGATTCCAGCTTTACCTCCTCCTTTTATTGATTTTTTTGATGACGTGGCATTTTTTATTTGGGCGGGCGATAAGGAGGAAAGGACACGTTAAAAATGAGAAATGAATACAAAGCCCATAGATCATTTTTTGCTTTTGAGCTCAAACATTTGAGTTTCTAGGGCATTTTTGATGCAAAATTTGACCTACAGTAATCCCATAAACATACAAAATATTCAGCTGGCAGCAAATACATTGGACCGGAAAAATAACAGCAGAATTCTTTTCGAAATAGTATCTGCAAGAAAATTCCAATTAAAACTACGGATTTTTGATTTTTCGGAACAATACAAAATAAAACTGACCAAATAAAAACGGCATGAAGAGAAAAATGAAGAATTGAGCAGAGTTTCGAGCAAATCTGAACTTCAGGACCTTAAAATCAGAAAAATTGTGATTTTTAAGGTTCAGAAGCAAAAATTGCATGCTTTTTCGCTTCAGGGCCCAGAAAATCATCAAATTTCGCTCCAGAAGCCAAGCAATCATAATTTCCATGTTTTTCAAGGTTCTGGGGCCGAATTTACTAAAGTGGTATACCAAAAATTAATGAAGAAAAATTTGGTGTACCAAAAAAATTTGTTCAGCAATTTTTGTACGCCCAATTTTTTCTTCATTAATTTTTGGTATACCACTTTAGTAAATTCGGCCCCTGGAGCGAAATTTCATCAAAGATTGCATCATTTTCATCAGAAGCCCCTCAAAACTCACAATTTCCGTCATAGCCACATTTTTCTCCTCAGGCATCGCATCAGAAATCGGTTTCGACACGCCAAAAACGGGTTTTGGCGGCGCATTTTCTTCCACCATTCCTCTCTCTCTCTCGCTCTCTCTGAAAATTTTTCACCGAAAAATTCAAATTTTTGCCGAAAAACAAAAAAACATTCATTAGACAATGAAACTACACAAAAATATCCAGAAAATCTCAAAAAAACCAAGAAAAACAGCGTTCCCCCGGAAAAACCTGAAATGTGTGGACGTGGCCTAGCAAACCAACGGGAAACTAGGCCACGTCTCCTGGTGTATATCGAAAATCCCATCTAAAATTCGTTAAAAAATCGGCTTCTTAAAATTATCTTTGGAAAAAAAAAACAAGAAAATTGTTTCGAAATGAACAGCAGCGCGTTGCTTGAGCGTCTTCGCAACGAGACCCACGTTACAAAGAAATTACAAAATGTGTTCGATGTAATTACAGTTTTCACCCAAATTGTAAAGAGTGTGGAAATACAATGTGATTACAATTTTGCAAAATTCAACTCTGTATTTACGTTGTAACATCAATGTAATCACAACTCACTCCAATTTACAATGTAATTACGGGGCGGATTGCTAAGTGGTGTATATCGAAAATCCCATCTAAAATTCGTTAAAAAATCGGCTTCACGCCTTTTTGAAACAAGGAAAATTTGCAAATTTGAAGAGAAACTGAGAAAAAGACAAATCGAACTGCAAATTTTTTTCGCGCTGCAATACCAGTCAAAAATTCATTCATTTTCCATTTTTTTCGGCTGTTTCTCTCGCCTTTTTCTGCTTGTCGCGCGTAAAAATAGATAAAAAATACGGAATTGAAGAAGAAAAACCGTAAGAAAAAGTTTTTAAAAATGGAAAATGAATATATTTTTGACTGGAATTGCAGCGCGAAAAAATTTTGCAGTTCGATTTGTCTTTTTCTCAGTTTCTCTTCAAATTTGCAAATTAAAAAGGCGTGGCTTCTTAAAATTATCTTTGGTGAAAATTGTTTAAAAAAACGAAAAACGATAATTTCGGTGAAAAACATTAAATCCAACGATAAACATTAAGTAGTAAAAACGTTAAGGATGAAATACATTAAGCGGGATGATAAACATTAGATGAAAAACAGAGGATACACAAATATTCATTTTTCTATTGGATCACTTTCCTCTCTCTTCTTTCTTGCCATCTCTCTTCTTTTTGGCCTCTTTCTTATTTTTTTGATGTTGACGATGCATAGCTTGATTGGGAAGAAGATTGAACAATTCGAGTAGACGCTTTTTTTTTTTCTCAAATCTGTTGCCTCCTCTTCTTGTTTATGTTCAATACCAACAATTATAATTTGCGGTGATTCCTGCGGCTTATGAACGTGGCAAGAATGTTTGCACACCAAGATCACGTTTTTGGAATCACTGAAAGAATATATACTTCAATAAATTACTCTGTTCCTTTCTTTTCTCTTACGTAGGTTCGCACATTATTGTAGGTTCGCATATAATCACTGGAGTTATTAGAAATATTCACGGAGCCGGAGCCTGACGAAAATAAAGTGATGTTCATTGAGCCGCCTCTTTTATAGCCCCAAAAATGTGGAACACGTAAGATCTTTATCATTATTTCATCGAAACAATGTCACGTTTCAAAAATCCGTGTTTCATTGTTTTGGGATGAATAAAAATCATTTTCATTTTCTGTTTTCTGGTATTTTTTTGTGAAAATTCAGAAAATTTGCAATTTTTGGTTTATGGTTTGTGAGTTTCTAAATTTTCTGTGATTTTCAGCCAAAAAAATCCTGAAACTTTCACAAAAATCCACATTTTTTCAGATTTGCTCGAAACTCTTCTCAATTCTTTATTTTTTTCCCTTCATGCCGTTTTTATTTTGTCAGTTTTGTTTTGTATTGTTCCGAAAAATCAAAAAAAAAGTTAATTTGCAGACCACGGTGGTCTGCTTTTTAACTCAACACACCATGCAAAGTTAATTTGCAGACCACGGTGGTCTGCTTTTTAATAAAAAAAAGCGTGCAAAGTTAATTTGCAGACCACGGTGGTCTGCTTTTTAATAAAAAAAAGCGTGCAAAGTTAATTTGCAGACCACGGTGGTCTGCTTTTTAATAAAAAAAAGCGTGCAAAGTTAATTTGCAGACCACGGTGGTCTGCTTTTTAACTCAACACACCATGCAAAGTTAATTTGCAGACCACCGTGGTCTGCTTTTTAACTCAACACACCATGCAAAGTTAATTTGCAGACCACGGTGGTCTGCTTTTTAACTCAACACACCATGCAAAGTTAATTTGCAGACCACGGTGGTCTGCTTTTCAACTCAAAAAAGCGTGCAAAGTCAATTTGCAGACCACCGTGGTCTGCTTTTTAACTCAACACACCATGCAAAGTTAATTTGCAGACCACCGTGGTCTGCTTTTTAACTCAACACACCATGCAAAGTTAATTTGCAGACCACGGTGGTCTGCTTTTTAACTCAACACACCTTGCAAAGTTAATTTGCAGACCACGGTGGTCTGCTTTTTAACTCAACACACCATGCAAAGTTAATTTGCAGACCACGGTGGTCTGCTTTTTAATTCAAAAAGGCGTGCAAAGTTAATTTGCAGACCACGGTGGTCTGCTTTTTAACTCAACACACCATGCAAAGTTAATTTGCAGACCACGGTGGTCTGCTTTTTAACTCAACACACCTTGCAAAGTTAATTTGCAGACCACGGTGGTCTGCTTTTTAACTCAACCCACCATGCAAAGTTAATTTGCAGACCACGGTGGTCTGCTTTTAACTCAACCCACCATGCAAAGTTAATTTGCAGACCACGGTGGTCTGCTTTTTAACTCAACACACCTTGCAAAGTTAATTTGCAGACCACGGTGGTCTGCTTTTTAACTCAACACACCATGCAAAGTTAATTT